ACTTCTACCCCTTCCACGACTTCCACGACTTCTACCACTTCTACCCCTTCCACGACTTCTACAACTTCTACAACTTCTACAACTTCTACAACTTCTACCACTTCTACAACTTCTACCACTTCTACAACTTCTACCACTTCTACAACTTCTACCACTTCTACCACTTCTACCACTTCCACGACTTCTACCACTTCTACCCCTTCTACAACTTCCACGACTTCTACCACTTCTACCCCTTCTACAACTTCTACAACTTCTACCCCTTCTACAACTTCTACAACTTCTTCGGCCTCTACAACTTTTTCGACTTCTACGACTTCTCTGACGTCAACTACTTCTCTGACGTCAACTACTTCTCTGGCGCCTACGACTTCTACGACTTCTACAACCTCTACAACTTCTGAGACGTCAACTACTTCTGAGGCATCTACGACTAGCGTCCAGAGTACTACATCCATTGTCACGACGACTAGTGTGCAACCCACTACATCCATAATCACGACGACCGTATACACTACAAGCATCGAATCATCCAGCACCCTGCCACCAACGACAACCCAAACCGTTGTGACGACGACGACGACGACGACGAGGACGACGACGACGACGAGGACGATCCCATCGGCGACCGGAGACTGCGCCTCACAGGCCTCGCGCTTCGAAACCAGCAACGGCAGCTTCTTCAACAAAGAATGCGGCCAGTGGTACCAGACGACGCAGTCGATTGCCTTTATGCCGACCAGCGACTACGGTACCTGCGCCGAGTACTGTTCGCAGTATTCCAACTGTTCCATGTTCTACCTCAACAATGGTCAGTGCGCTATGTACCAGGGCACCCCGCTTCTCCAGGGCGCGTCGTCGGGGGTCATGAGCGGGTTGCGCGTTCAGTGAGTGAGTGAATGAGTGTTGCGATAACGTCTTCCATTGTGGGTCACGTTATCTGCGTGAGGGAAATATGTTGAACAGAAGGAGATAGCACCCTGCGGCGTACTTCGCCACTATCTTTCTTTACAAGTTAAGCCTCTTTGCTAGTCTTGACTACTCTTTTTATAGCTTTTATTACTGGTCACTACCCCTTTCATTTTTTCTATTCTATCTTGATAGGCGCTTATTATTAAGATAACTTTCAAATTTGAAGCCTTGAGATTAATTATTATTCTATATGAGGGATGCTTAACCCAAAGTATTCGGTGAGATCGTCGTCGTATACAAGAATGTACGCGACGTACAGACTTAAGTGCCCAGGTTTGCTTTTGCCTGAATGCCTACAATAGATGTTTCTAACGGACTACAACTTTGCGTGCGTAGATGCTGCACTATCAAGTCCCTACACCCCTTTTTATTTCCCAACCTTTCCAAACACTTCCTTCTCACTACTCACTTTTCTACGCACCAGCCAAGGTCGTCTCCACCTTGCAATATTCAACATTTGGTTGGTTCAGATTTGATCGATTATTGATATTCCCTTGTTGTTGCACGCCGAGTGCACCTCTACAACTAGTAAAGCCAACATAGATGAATATAGAATCGAATGATTGTTGCAGGATCCCATGTGCTAAGTCTAACAAACCGTCAAGACGTCTGATTATGTCAACTAAGTGTTGGATAGGTCCCCAAGGGGTTCATGATTCTATATGGGCAGCCTATGCACGGCGGACCTATTCTACATCCTGACAACCTATCCCAGTCTAAAAGTGCCAACTTGCCCGAGGCTCAACATTGCTCATATTTGTGCTCGGCCCTTGAACCAGTGTTGCATATGTGGTACTGCCAAATTGATAAAGCTCATCAGCAGCATTATCCCTAGTCAGATGGACCACACTATTGAACCAGCCGTTCAAGATACTCCCTGCAATGATCCTGCTTTGAACCTGTCACTATCTCAACCCAGTCCTCTAGTAAAGAATGAACTGTACCGCCTGGGATCATGTGCCGGCAACGTACATCCAAAATCACTTGCGAATTTCCTCGAGTCGCTTTTCGCGGGCGAACACACCAAAGACAAGAGCAACTCCCGCGCACGCCAAACCTAGAGCTTTTTGTGCAAATCAGTATTACTTCCTTCACCAAGAAGAAGATGGAGATCTTACAGAAGACTGCGCGGAAGCTCGCAACGTAAGCGGGTACTAGTATCTGTCTAAGTTTGTCACTGGCATTCTGCACGAAGTCGATGTCTTGCAAAGTCTTTTTGATGATCTGAGATTCAGTGTTAGCTTCAAGTTGTGACTTCAGATGCACGGTGCGGATGGATACCTGTTTCGCATCACCACGTCCTTCGAGGACGCGGTGCAGTTCACGGCGTAAAGTGATCTGGTGGATAGCACTTCCTGCGCTGATGCCGCTGACCAAGCCAATATTTCCGCTTAGATAGAAGCCTGAGCTTGCAATTGCTGTGTCCTCAACAGCCACGCCATTTGCAAGCGCCACAAACACGGCCGAGTGAGCAATGCCCGTCCCAAGGCCGCCCGAAAAGATGAGGAGGCTTGACCAGAAGTTACTGTGTCCATCCCAAGAGCCGATCAAGGAGGCGAAGCACACAATCGACTGTAATGACGCTAGGATCAAATGAATCTTGTAACGACCATATCTATATCCATATAAGCAATCGCCGAAGAAACCCATACATTTTTCTTTCGACTTACCTCTTGATCAGTCGGCCCGTCTGAAGCCCACCCAGAGTATTGCCTACGATGGCGGGAATAAGATACAAACCGGCTTCTGCCATACTGGCTTTTTGGACGACTTGCCAATACAACGGCACTGTAACCATAAGCTGTCGAAATTGTGTCAGTTCATCTTCGCAAGAGATCAACCGGGGTTTCTTACCGCAGATTGTGTCAAGTTCTGGAGTGCGATTATGGAGTAGCAGTTGACCACGGTATAGTGTGTCATGATATGAAGTGGAAAAAGAGGTTCATCTGCCCAGAATTTTTCCACGAGAATAAAGAAAGCGCCACTTGTAACCGCAAGCACCCCAAGAACGATAATGGTAGGATGGGTCCACGGGAATTTTTGGCCTCCCAAGTCGAGAGCCAGGAGCGTGGAGGATATGGCCAGACTCATGAAAACCGCTCCCATAACATCAATCCGTCTCAATTTGGCCGCCATACTTGTTTCGTGAGACACTTCCTGGGTGGAAGCAGGAAGCCGCCTCCCGACCAGCCAAAGAGCAAACAGTACGATTGGGCATTGGCCTAGAAATGCCCTGCAGAACCGTGTCAGCTCATTCTCGATGTCAGGATTCGAAAGTATGCGACATACCATCTCCAGCCGATCGTCTGTGCAAGTAAGCCGCCGATTGATCCTCCACAGCTCCGCCCTGCAGTTTGCATGATGTTGACGTAGGAGCGGTATACCGCTACTTCATGCACGGGCAAAAGATCGGTCAGGATGATTGACACCATGCACACCATGCCCGCACCACCGCAACCCTGCATCGCGCGAGCGGCTGAAACCTGGAACAGGGATTGGCCCAGGCCGATGCCTAAGGTGCCAATGGCGAATATGGTATACGACACTTGTAGACAAAGCTTCCGCCCAAAGATATCGCTCAACTTTCCATACTGACCTCGCATTAGCGGCCAAGTTCGAGACAGGAATGACTTTGACCCAGACTTACGAACGGTTGCGCGACACACTGTGCTAGCATGTAACTGATCATCAGCCAGCTGCCAGATTCCAGATCGTTGAATTCTGATGAGATGCGTCCATATGTGGCTAACATAAGACTACTGTCGGCTTGGGAGATGAAGACGCCTACAGACTCATGACTGATCAGCGTTTCTGCGCCAAATATTTCGCTTCGCCGCCGCAACTTACCGATGAGTAGAACAGAAATTATGCCGACAACAGATCTACTGTCCTGTTCTTTGCTGCCCTCTTCGACATCCTGTTGTCTTTCTTCATCCTCTTGGGTGGTTTTGATCGACCCCTGGATACACGATGAGTGATATCTCCCAAGCATAACCGCTGATGCCATCTTACCGATCGTAACTGTGGATCCGTAAAGGAGGTCAGAAGAGGCGTTGTTTCGCATATCACTTCGTCGTTGTTGCTAACGTCCGAAACTTGTACTACTGGATCGCTCCCCAGCTTCGTCGACATGTTTGCGACAGAATCTTGCCGCCAGTCATCGCCCGATCCTCACTTGTCAGAGGTGTAAGGCTGTCCAGGAACTTCTTTCATCCGTGACCAGAGCGACGTGAGGGAGTGCCTTTACCTGGGACTGCGTCCCTTTTTCAAGATTCGGTGGGAGCTCGACGTAGCGGGCGAGGTGCCGTTACCCGACTCACCCGTCTCGCTGTCGCAGAAGAAAGACTCCTCGCCGAGAGGCTTCTATCATGAAGAAGCCCATTGTTGCTGTTCCCTTCGGCCAAGCGGCCGTGGCAGCCGTTTAACGGCAGACTGGCACGAAGGGAGGGTGAACAAGTTCCATGAGGAGAGCATAGCTGGTCAATTCTCGGCACGCTTTCCGTGAGCTTTCCTAAACATCTCTCAAAGGCTTCCACGATATCGTCTTCAACTTTCAGAAAGAGCCTGGCATCAACTGCCCATTGCCTTCGGCACTGCTCGGTATCGGCAGCGGCAGCAGCGGCAAGGTCGACATAAGCTCATTCGGCAAGGAGGTCTAGATTTGTCCAAGCTCTGTGGAGATCCCCACGTCCTCTTTCCCCGGATTCTGTGTCTTATATGGCACTGGCAACCACTTGCAGATGCTCTATGGGCTCTGGGTCTCCTGTATAAAGAGTTGATGGATCGAGACATGCTGGGCTAAGAGTGTAAAAGAAACCTGCTCTCCAACCCTTCCTCTGTTCAGTCGCCCCTAACAAACGATTCCTTACGTTGCCGCAAAAGCAATAGCACCCGGCCGTCTCTTCTCAAAGGCATGTCTGCACCGGAGGCTTCGCCCACTCAATACCACGAAAAGCTCACCATTGCGGATGAAGTTCAAACGATCGAAAGGCTGCCCATTGAAGATGAGGAGTTCAGTGAAGACGAAATACGCAAGGTGAGGCACAAGGTCGATCGACGCCTCATCTCCGTATGCGCTCTCCTAGTCATGATCAGCCTCTTGGACAGGTCGAACCTAAGTAATGCCAACATCGCCGGGTGAGTCGGATCATTTTTTGTATTTCCGTCGGACGTTCACTGTGTGATTTCGCGCACTACAGCAAAAGCCGTCGCTAACATTGAGCCTCAAAAGAATGTCCAAAGATTTGGAGCTTACCGTCGGAACTCGCTACGTAAGTACCCTGCAAGACCCATTCATCCACTAAGAAGATGCGCTGAATAGTCCCAGTCTATCATAGTGCTGTCGTTCTTCGCACCATATATCGTCGCCGAGATCCCTTGCGCATACTTGGTGCGCAAAGCTGGACTCAGATGGTCTCTACCGACCATCACATTGGCTTGGGGAGTTGTTATGCTAGTAAGTGTACTTGCTATCGTCCACATTTTGACCGCAGTATCTGACTTTTTAAACCAAGGGATTTGGCTTTGTGCACAACTGGACCGTCCTCATTGGTCTTCGAATCATTTTGGGCATACTCGAGGCAGGTCTCTTTCCCGCTCTCGCATACTTGTTGTCACTATGGTACACACGCTGTAAGATCTCGATTCCCCCCATGTTCCGATCTCTACTTACTCATTGGTCCCCCTTAGACGAAGTCCATCAGCGATACGCAATTTACTATATGATTGGCCTGGGCGGGTCGTCGTTGGGCGGTGTTCTCGCCTATGCATTCATGCAAATGAAGGGAGTCGGTGGGCTCGCCGCGTGGAGATGGATCTTCATCATGGAGGCCCTTCTCACAATCGTCGTGGCGGGGATTGCTTTTGTACTACTCGTTGACTATCCCCAGAACGCACACAAGGCGTGGAACTTCCTCACACAGAGAGAAGCGACGATGATGCTTCGACGGGTTGAAAGGGACCGTGGAGACACTGAAGAAGACCAGGAGTTTGAGCTCTCCAGGTTCTTGAGACCGGCCTTGGATTTGAGAGTCTGGGGTTATGGGATGATCTGGTGGTACGTATTGTATACATGCTTCTGAACCGCAATGCCCCAGGATGATCGCCGTACTGACGAGACAATTGTTGTAAGCTTTTCGACCATGCCCGCCTACGCGGTAGCCTACTTTCTGCCACAGATCTTGAACCGCGAGCTTGGCTTCAGCACCGGCGTTGCCCAACTGCTGAGCACTCCCCCCTACATCTTTGCTGGTCTTCAGATGTGGTTCGAAGGCTGGCTCTGCGACAAAATCCACCGCCGATTCCCGGTTCTGCTCTGGAACCCCGTTCAAACTATTGTCGGGCTGTGCCTACTCTCTTGGACCCATACTCCGGGTGTGCAGTATTTCGGTGCTTTCCTCGTCACTGCGGGATGCAATTCCAACATCCCGGCCGTCATGGCGTGGCAAGCCAACAATATCCGTGGCCATTGGACACGGATGTTTTGCAGTGCTGTCCTGGTATCTGCCGGAGGTCTCGGTGGAATCATCGGTGCCTTGGTGTTTAGATCACAAGATGCTCCGAAATACTTACCCGGAATGATAGCCTGTATCGTGTAAGTGACCTATGTTTGTCCCATTTCTGACATTCTGCCATCTCCCGGTCAGTGATTGAGCGTCGACTGATGTGGTCCACAGAGCGAGCGGGATCGTTTTTACCTTGACTTGCTCCATGGTGGTCTATTTCATCCATGCAAACAGGCAGGTCACGCAAGGAAAGCGTGTCATAGCCAGACTCCCGAACTTCAAATACACCCTCTGAATCCACCCAAGGACCCCAAAGCCTGGTACAAAAGCAGTGGTGAAGTGTGAAAACTTGGTCGAAGATCGAAGAGGTGCTGAGGGCCCCGGGGAGAGGCGGTCCATGTCTTGGTTCTATGATGGCCAACCTGCTTGTTTTCGTACGAAACGAGGACTACGCGCGTGTTGAAGGGCTGACTGTTCGTGGAGGAGTAACTCCGTACTTTAGGAAGTATTGCACTCCCACATGGAATAGATCACAGGTAGTAGTCCGTAGAAAGTAGGCCACGCTCGTTACAGTTTCCATATTGTGTGTTAGACGGCAAGTAAACTAGGTCAATTGATGGTCGGGGGTCCAATGTGATGTATTGAGGAGGTTGTGCTCGCCCACTAGGAGGAAGTTCTCTATCTATTCATATAGTAAAAAGGAGCGTAAATCTCCCTCCTGTTGAGGCCTTCATCATTACCGCATCGACTCCCACAAGAGGACATCAATGGGTCTAGACAGAAGCCCTAGAAGTTGCATTAACAACAAGTGCTCCTCCGGACAGAAGAGGACGAAAGGGTGACTACATAGGATGCCTGTAAAAGAGTGTCGTGAGACCAGTACAAGGTGTCAACTTGTAAAATAAAGACAGGCATCGACCGAGTACGCCGCGGATCGCTATGACTTTCCGTTCAACACGACCTGACTGTTTGTTAGACTCAGCACGATTCCAATCTCATTCGGCCTTCTATTCTAGCCTTTCAACCTTTCACCTCTTAGGAGAGGCCTCGAAGGGCGATTGCCCTCGTTTTCGCGTGAGTCCCCACACTACAAGAAAGATCCAGAGGCCTTCAGCGATCAATAACGATAGCGATTTGCCAGCCTTTACCGACCTCGGCATTGAATGAATCACCTAAGGAAGCTTTTACTCCTCTTATGCTCGATGAGTCTTGGCTTTTCTTTGGTCACTCATTCCCCTCATACCCCGTAGGACTTGCCTGTTTTTCCCTTTACATTGCATCCTTCATAGATCAGGAATTGCCTTGCAATCGACTCATTCAGTCTATCACTTCATCATCCTGTTCACGAGCCCATACACAAATAGCATACCTTGTGATTGCGGGCGAGCGGCGACAGAGCCTATCCAGCAGCAAGAAAGAGAGACCATGCCAAGCAGTGAGACAAACGAAGCGTTCATGGACGCAGGCAGCATCTCTCCTCGATTGCCTCGCACTCGCGCCCGAGTCGTATGTGTGGCCTGCCACTCTCGCAAAGTAAGCGGCATGTCTCTGGGAAATGGGGGAAGTCTCCATTGACGTTTCGGCTTTCAGGTAAAATGTGACCTGCAGCAGCAGGCTGGAGGAGCTTGTAGTAATTGTCAGCGTCTGGGTCAGCGATGCCGGTAAGCATCTAGGTGGTGTGAGATTTTTCCGCTGCGTTGATAAACGACCCGACTGATATGATTGAATCGTCAACAGGACGCGCGAGCTCAACCATCCCATTCCAAGGCTGTCAGCGCGAGGGTTTTTGCGTCACCGTCGATGGGCCGAGATTCGAGAAACATCAAACAATGTTCTTCACCAAAAACCCTGTGTCAGCAGAGGCGAAGAACAACAGCAACCAGGTAATGAAAATGCTAATGAGCATAACGATGGCGACGGCGATTGCGATAATGACCTAACGCCCTCCAACCTGGCCGACATGAGAGAATCCATCATCCCTTATGCTTCGCGTTCATCACTGAGCCACCCATACCAGACCATAGTGTCACGTAAGTTACAGGCCGAATACCTAAAACTATGCGGAGCCCTAGATTTACCACCACCACTCATGCAAGAAGCACTCCAAAGTAATTACTTTGAACATGTCTACCGACGCTGTGCGGTGGTTGATCAAGCCCATCTATCACAGCACCTTTCAATTCTCCTAGTTCAAGCTGTTTGCTTAACGGGGGCCTCCATGCGACAAATGAGTTCTGAGTACTTTTCGACCTGTGAACTCCTTTATATCAAAGTCAAAACTCTACTTATGACCAACCACGAAAAGAATCTACGCATCATTCTACAGTCGCTGTGTCTGATCTCTTGTTGGAATACGACGCCTATGCAGGTTGTCAGCATGGAGAGTGCTTATCATTGGCTCAGCATTGCTACCAGATTGTTATTTCAAGCTGGTCTACATCGCGAACAAACCTATGAGACTGTTCGGGAACCACGGGTGTTACGCCGGATAGCGTGGTACCTCTATGTAAGTAGTCCGGATGAAGCTTATAGGAGACGCTCAGACTATCTGATTTTCTGAAGTTGGATTGTCAGAACCTAGACTGACCTTACGCATACAGACCATGGAAAAGTCGTACTCATGCGGTCTCGGATTACCCTGCATGATTAGGCCCCATGATTTCCATGTTCGGCCGCTGACGCCTGAGGATTTTGACAAATTCGACGCGAACTCCCAGCTCTTTGTCGAATTGACCAAAATTAACTGCCTTAGAGCGAGAATGCTCGAGGTGTACTGGCGAAAAGATGAAAGTGAAGGTGCCGAGGTAGGTTTCATGCGAATCAATCGTTTTGTCTCGATATTTACACGGAAGATCTAAACTCTCTCTAATCTCATTATATTGAACGCCATATTGATTCATATGAGTGTAGGCCGCGTACGACATTCTACGCTCAATGCGAGAGTGGATTGATCGGCTTCCGGACCAATTTCGTCTGTACAGTGGCAATAACCCTAAACGACTTTATCAACGAGCAGTCTATGAGCTTCATATTCACTACTTTGTGGTCATCGCCACGTTCTTTCACCTCTGTGGCTGGGCCGTGCGTACTTCTATCACTAACCCTGCAGTGTTGGTCGCTTCCTCCTGTATGGCTAGGCTCTACGAAGAGATACTTTATCGTGAGGAGATCGGACTCTTTCTACCTATTCATAATTGGTATATTTCGATCGCATCTCTGCCACAAATTCACGCGCTATCCGGAAGTCACTATGCAGACGATACGGCTGAAGAAGAATTGGATATCCTGCGTCGAGGACTGCAAGCCATGGCGATTAAGTGGCCTCAAGCAAACAATCTACAAATCAGTCTAGATCGTCTCTATGAAAGGAGAGTGTCAAATCGCCATCCAAATCAGACCGTAGTCCCTAACGACAAGGATCTAACCGGTTGCTCAGAGTACACTCGCGATGAAATCGACGGCACTGTCCTGAACAGATTGGTCTGTGATTTGTTCCCTTTCCCCACGTCCATGTGCCCCAGAATGGACATCATTGACGCGATCGAATCGATGAACCCAGGCCACGAGGGTTCAACAGAGACCACAGTTCCTGCCGCCTGGGACAAAGAATATCAATTCGACTGGACCTTGAACCTATTCGACCCCGAAAGTCTTACAGACGGATATGTGCCTTCAACAAGCATGCAAACTTTCGGTGAAGGTCTGTCCTTCTGAGATGATGAGCGTGATGGAAGAGGACTTGAGATCTATGACGAATCTAGACAGACAGCATTTATCTCCCCATCTGCGTTGATTAAGATGGTTGAGAGCGAGATAGCAAATCTTTCTGACTTTCTTCTCTCGATCCAGGAAACACGGTTCTCGTTACACCTTGCCAGCAAGAGGTAAAGAGCTGGTGAACGACGGGTGGGGAGGAGAGACGCAGTTCGCAGAGTGTCCGGGAGAGCCCTTGGTCCTCAATCCCTAATAGCCTCTCGTTGCATTTCTTCTGCCTCCCCATACTACCCCGGATCTGTCGCCGAGCCAGGGCAGGGTATTCATGCTCGCGTGCTGCTCGCCCCATGTCGGGGCTCTCGCTTACCGCAGAGCAAAGAGTAGAGATTCACTTTGTCCTCTGCAGCTCGGTAAGCCCTTCGGTAAGCCCTTCGGTAAGCCTGCTCGGTACCCGTGCCGAGTTCTGTGCCGGTATCCGAGGACATTCGAACCATTTACTGTGCGGAGGTGGACTAGCGCAATGTCCGCATCCTCAAAACGTTTTCCACCCAGTTACCATCTTGAGCAAGCGCCAGTTGTCCACTCTGTGCTCGCAGTGCAGGTAGCAAAGGCAAAGAATCACTGTCTAGAAGGTGCGGCACATGCTCGCTCACGAGAAGTAACAGGCATACCACGTGCAAAAGTCCAGCTTCCAGCAACAACTCTACTTCTAACGCCTACTATACTTCTCTTCTTCTTTTACCCTGAGTCGGCCAACGTCCCACAACTTGGCCCCCGAGTCCCCAGTTGTTGGTGGTACAAAAGTTCTGTACGAGTGTCGACAGCGCAAATTTCACTGCTACACCTCTCCCCGACGACGAGGCCTTGACGGCAGCGTCTTGCAATGACAACAAGAATATAAAGCTGGGTTTGTGGATTCATGTGCTTCATTGGGATGGTAGTCGGGGAAATGTATGAACGGAGTTCATGGTGGCTTACACTTGGTGGTGGGAATAGCACGAATTTTGGACTTGAAGTAGACAGAACTTATGATATGTATAAAGGGATCCTTGGAAATATCACCTGATGTGACGATACCTTCGTTAGACTGCATTACTGTGACCTATGATTGGTACCTATTACTCTCTGGAACATGATGACTACCTGAACCCCTCAGCGCACTTTTGTGAGGATCACCATATAGATTTTGAAAATACGGAGGCGTCTCCGCTCAAGGTCACAACCAGCCCAGCCAAGCCGCTGGGAAAGTCGCTTCCGAATCCAATTAGTTACCCCTGGTCAACTTAGAGTCCTTACCGGTCAACTTGTGAAAGCATTGAAGCTTGCCGTCGGCATTGCTCGGCGAGACCTTCGGGATGCGGCATTGCATGAAGAGGAAATATAGAGTCGCGCGCATCAGATCCAAGCTCCATATTCAACGTCTATGTGGAGAATCTGGAAAAATGGAGCACGTTGGACAATGGGTAAGTCGGCGGCTCAAGATTCGGTCGTGAACTCACTACATATGAAAGGGCGACGTCCTCCTCTGACGGTTGCAAGCAGCTCTTCCATTCCCAAGGGAACCATATGACCAAATCAATTTGAGAAAAATATGCATTTCTTCAAGTCTCTGATAGTGGGCGGGGCATCGATATGGACGGCTGCTTCTGCTGTGGCATCAACTAAGCCCAACATCCTCTTCATCTTGACGGATGATCAAGACTGGCACATGGAATCAATTGTATGCCAAAAGCCCATCTATGACACCGAGGAAGATTATAGTGGACTAATGCGGGAGATAGCAACATATGCCTCTTCTACAAAAGTACATACTCAACGAAGGGACTCTGTACAGCAATCACTTCTGCACCGTGGCGCTCTGTTGCCCATCACGCGTGACTCTGTGGACAGGAAGAGCGGCCCATAACACAAATGTGACAGATGTATTTCCTCCGTACGGTACGTCAAGGACATGATTCAGTTTTACACCATCCAAAGCTTACGCCGAGACAACTCAGGTGGATGGCCAAAGATCTTGAGGGAGGGCATCAACGACGACTACCTACCGCTGTGGATGCAGAATGCAGGCTACAACACCTACTATACCGGGAAACTCTGGAACCACCATCATATCGACAACTACGACAAGCCACGAGCCAGAGGCTTCAACGGCAGTGATTTCCTCCTTGACCCGTACACGTACGAATACTACCATTCCCGAATGTCCCGGAACAACGAACGCCCCGTCAGCTACGAAGGACAGTACAGCCCGGATGTGATAGCACAGAAAGCCTACGGGTTCCTGAATGAAGCCATGCAGCACAAAGAGCCCTGGATGTTGACGGTTGCACCGGTTGCGTCGCATGGCAATGTCCGCTTGGAAGGTGGATGGGAGATCAGCGCCCCGAGGTATGCTAAACGGCACGAGCATCTCTTCAAGGACTACAAAATACCACGCGACAAGAACTTCAATCCTGAAAAGGTAAGCGGATGATGAGCGACCACTACCTGACATGCTAATGTCCTGCCGACAGCAAGGAGGGGTCTCCTGGGTTAAGAACTTGCCACTCTTGAACGATACCGTGGTCGCCTATAACGACGAGTACCAGCGTGCACGCCTGCGGTCTTTGCAGCCCGTGGACGAGATGATTGAGAATTTGGTCAAGATGCTGGAGGCAAAAGGAGTTCTGGACAATACCTACATATTCTACACAACAGACAACGGATATCACATCTCGCAACATCGTAGGTCATCTTAACCTGGATTCGATAACGAGCAGTGGCTAACCGAAGCAAAAAAAAGGTCTGCACCCTGGGAAAGAATGTGGCTACGACACCGACATCCATATCCCGCTGGCTGTCAGAGGGCCGGGGGTCGCAGCTGGCCGAGTGACCAAGGCCGTAACGTCGCACACAGACCTGTCTCCTACCATCCTCCAACTGGCGGGACAGTCACGCGAGGACTTCGATGGGCGTCCAATCCCTCTCTCTGCAGATGAGACTGCACAAGATACTTCGAACTGGGAACATGTCAACATCGAGTTCTGGGGTCGGGCTGTCCCAGAGGGGACCATGGGCAAGTACACTGATGACTACAATCCCGAGTGGGGCTTCGAAGGGGCGATCAGGAACAACACCTATAAAGGCCTCCGCTTGATAGGTGACGGGTATAGTCTCTACTACTCTGTCCACTGTACTGGAGAACACGAGTTCTATGACTCCATCGTAAGCTCTCCCATCTCTCTCTCTCTCTCTCTCTCTTTTCCGTCGGATCCCGTCCACCCACAGATGCTGATCCAGATTCCATAGAATGATCCCGGGCAGCTTGTGAACCTCTTCGACGATCGAGACGTATCTGCGGCATACTCTCTCCGAGGTCGTCCATTTGACGAGATCATTCATCGCCTGGACGCCTTGATGATGGTGCTCAAATCGTGCAAGAGCGAGAGCTGCCTCAAGCCTTGGGACGCGCTGCACTCCAGCGGAAATGTGGCTACCTTGAAGGATGCATTGCACCCCGACTTTGATGCCTTCTACAAGGCCCAACCAAAGGTTGCTTTCACATCTTGCGAGCTGGGATATATTCGCGAAGCCGAAGGTCCACAGGATGCCAATGTCCTCGGAAGCGCAGCAACGCGGCTCGAATTGAGGGAGCAACAAGCCTCGGGGCAAAGTTTTGGTTACAAAGGCCACTGGAGTCACTGGACCTGAGTGTATCCGGACCACTTCGCGGTGAAAACACAATTGGGATTGTGCTCCGGACTCAAGCAGGAGGTACCTTTGAGGAAATCGTCTGCTCGTCAAAGCAACATGGAGTCATCTGAGGGCGGCGAGACTGAGAGCCAGCTATACGCGGACCGAGAGAAGCTTGTAGCAGCTGTTTGGTTATCAGAGCAATAAAAAAAGAGGGGACTTTGTAAATAGTTTGTCCACATTCTCTGGACGAGCGGAAACGATGGCTATCAGGACGGAAGAAAGTGCCAGAACGGAAATCTGCATTGTGTGCTTAACAAGACAGACAATCCTGCGATTTATCTAGCTTGGGAAATTCTTCATCTACTGTACTCCGTATAATCTAAGCATTTACCGTTCCACCACAGGAGAGAAAAGCCTGCGTGCCTCCTGGCCTCGTTACAGTTCTACGAAATTACTCCAGGCTCGCCAAAAGCGGCGCCATTAGCAGTCCGTGTTCGGCGGTAAGGCCTTCCCTGCGCATGCTTTTGACTGTTAACGCTTCTCGTCATTAATCAAGTACCACCCACAGTAATGTTCGATTCAAAATGTTGAACGGTTTTTGAGTGATTCAAAAACAGTGTCGATGATTCTAATTGAGAGCCTCATACAAAGCCTCCCTCACTCACCCTGAGTCGGGATTGTGCTCCGGACGCGTCAATCAGCCGTTGGGGAGACGTCAAATAATCTTGGGTGCCCCCCCCCCCTTGCGGCTTGATATACACGCGTAACGTGGGACACCAGCTTGAGTACACGTTGTACTCTTGTATTTGAAGGGCTGACAGAAACCAACACTCCTTTCCAAGAAGCATGACTTTTATACTCAGCGAGAGCATCGTTGCCGTATCAAATTTTGGATCCCATAGCACACTGAGACCTGCGATCCCGGACGCGATCGTTACAACGTAGAGTTCACAAGCACCAGCTGCTGCTACTTCTCCCATCCCCCACAAACCTCATATACACTTTGATGTGATGCAGAGAAGCGCATCATGGAGCGGGACGCCTTCGATCAAAGGCTCTACCGAGTCTATGCGCATGATTCTGCTCACCTTCTCCCTGATCGGACTGCAGTATGTCACCGTCGTGTGCGAGTACGTCCCGTGGACATGATACTGACGAGGGTGCGCAGGTTCACATGGGGCACTGAAATGACATGTAAGTCCCGGCTCATTCGACGAGTACCTACGTTTGCGCGACACGAACTGACTTGCCCGCTGAAGACGGCACGCCGTACCTCCTCCAACTCGGTCTCACAAAGTCCAAGACAAGCCTCGTCTGGATTGCAGGCCCCCTCTCGGGCCTGCTGATGCAGCCTGTCGTCGGCGCATACGCGGACAGGTCGACGTCGAAATACGGCCGACGCAGACCTTACATGGCCGTTGGCGCAGCCATAACCGGACTCGGCCTGCTCCTCCTGGGATGGACGAGCGAAGTGGTGGGGCTGTTCACGCCGGAGGGACAAGCTCACAAAGACATCACCATCGTTCTGGCGGTGTTGTGTATATATGCCCTGGACTTCAGCGTCAACGCCGTACAAGCGTGCTGTCGCAGTCTCATCGTCGATACACTGCCCATCTCTCAACAACAGGCTGGGAGCGCGTGGGCGAGTAGGCTCACGGCCGCAGGACATCTGTTGGGGTACTTCATCGGCACGTTTGACCTCGTGGGCATTCTGCCCAACTGGGCGGGAGGCGACACCCAGTTCAAGAAGATGTGCGTCATTTCCGCAATGGCACTTTGGATATGTACTGGTGTCACATCTTGGGCTGTGTCGGAGCGAGTCAGAATAGGGGGTGAAGATGACGTGGTGGGTGTCAAGGAGGTTCTGTCCAATTTGTGGTACAGGACGATCCATTTACCCAGACGAATTCAAGGCATCTGTAACGTTCAGTTCTGGGTGTGGATTGGATGGTGAGTCTACGTCGCTCTTCCCATCTACATTTTTCACCTTTAAGAGTTACGAGAAACTTGAGGCCCCCTAGTGTATCTATGCGAGGGCCATGCTTGCAATTCAATTTGAGCTAATACAAGGCCGGCCACACAGGTTTCCCTTCCTTTTCTACTCTTCCACGTTCGTCGGAGAAATCTACTACCGCTACGATCGTCCTTCCACCACAACAAGCCCGACAGATGAACACGATGCACTGGGGAACATCGGACGCCTGGGGAGCATGGCACTCGTAATCTTCTCCCTCATCACGTTCGGCTCGTCGGTCCTGTTGCCCTACGTTGTTCGATCTCCCGAGGAAGTGGACGAGAAGTTCACACCTCGTCCGCCCGCGTCTCTGGGCAGGACCGTCCAAACCATTCTGTTCAAGGCCTACCAGTGGCAGCCCGATTTGACGAGCGCGTGGATGTATTCGAACGTGATCTTCGCCCTGATCACGATCACCGCCCCGTGGATCCGCAGCCTTCACGCCGCTACCGCCCTGGTTGCGAGCTGCGGTGTACCTTGGGCCGTCTCGTGCTGGGCCCCGTTTGGTTTGCTGGGCATCGAGATCAACAAGGCCTCTCCTTCCCGCCATGTCGATGTCCGCGGAAGCAGTGCCCCCGGGTACACTGCCGTACGAGGAAGTGTGGACGAGGGAGACTTGGATGATGATGTTGAGATGAGTGAGCAGGGCCGAAGTGGGGTGCTGAGGCTCAACCATCCCGACGATCACGGTGCCCATTCGAGTACCGGGGAGCTCGCGGGTATCTACCTCGGCGTGTTGAATGTTTACACGACGTTGCCGCAGTTTGTCGGGACATTCATCAGTTGGATTGTCTTTTCGGTTCTGGAGCCGGGCAAGAACGACCATACAGAAGACGATCCGGAACACCATCGGTGGTTGAACCTGAAGGACAATGCGCCCAACGCGATCGCGGTCTGCATGTTTATCGGAGCGTGTTGCTCTCTAGGGGCTGCCGAGTCAGCGAGGCGGTTGAGGAAACTGGAATAGAACCCTAGTCCATTGATTGGCTGATATACCAGTAGAATTGTAATATATGTGTACATGTCATGAAATATATAACCAGCGATTGACGTTCATGCACGACGAAGCAACTACATAATTCTCATTCGAAAAGCACAATAGGGGCGTTGGCTCTTGTCGAACGGCAGGGGTTCGTTGTTCTCAACCTGTGGGGTTCATCAGGATTGTCTCCAGGCACAGCCTTGTATATCAGTCTCTATGCATTCGGCCTTGTGAAGATGTTATTGGAGTCTGGGTCAGAACATCTACGCGCACGCTTGGGGATCTGGCTGTCAGCAGAACATCTTGATGGGGGATTTTGGACCTGAGGAACGTTCCCGCGGCCGAGGCTGGCGACGCCAGCAATATTCACGATAGAAAACAAAAAGACAGAAACTGCAACCAGGGTTCACCCCAAGTCCGCATCCACCAAAAATGCATCGAGAAGAATCTCGAGCAACCCATTAAATTCGGGCACTTCAATTTGTGATGAGAAATTTTGTCTTTTTCATTCAAGCACATAGTAACCGTGTGCGCGTGTGCTCGTGTTTTCGAGCAGTGACCTCTGTAAATACCTCTTGACGTGCAAATGGCATTTTGCTGGTCAATTTAGCCATCTATGGTTCTCCGGACATTGACATTGTGTCTCGGGGATGGACACGAGGCGGTCAAAATCTGATCGCTCTACCTTGCATCTACCGCGATCGAGAAGCTAAGGTTATGGCCCTTCTTTTCTCCATCATCTTTTGCACCTATTTCGTTTCCAGAAGTCGACGAGAGAGGACGGACGATTTATATCGAGCTGGGGTAGAGCATGATTCTGACGGAAGCACCGAAGCTCTTGGGAGGGAGGTTGTGTCGGAACTTGGCTCGGACGAGACCGTTGTTGCCGTGAGGGCGGGTGACCTTGCCCCAGATCACTCGGATCTTGCTACCTTGTCGTTCTTTCGAGGCTCGGTAGACGAAGGCGATGCGCTTTCCTAGGTAGAACCTGTGCAACGAAGTTTGTTAGCAGGAGAGCTTTCCCCGGGTGCGCGCGAATCTTCAACACCAGATCCTCCTGTTGCTGGAAAGGATTCGTGACTCACTTGGCGGCATTGGTGTCCTCGACGCCCTCAATCTTCACCAGGGAGACATTGGGGTTGGTGTTGCGCTTGCCACGCTGATAGGACAAGTGCTTGCCCTTGACGTATACTGTGATCGAAGAAATGTTAGTCTTGACGCTCAATCAAGTGTGAGCGCTTCGCTCTTCGAAAGGGAAAGGCTTACATCTGTGGTTGGTGCTGGAAGACATCTCGTCGATTTTGTCGTGTCGAGAACTGGTCGTCGGTGATGATGGAGGGAGATGGTTGTCGTCGGTGTTTGTGTCGTCAAAATCCTACAAATTGAGTTGTGACCGCAGTTGCGAATTTTGGGATGGGATGTGTGGACTAATCCCGAATGGGGAGTAGAGTGCCAAGATCAGATCTTTGCATCTGTGTCACGTGCAGGGCGGCCGGGAAGAACTTTTGACAAGCCCCCGGTGGTCACGGGGTATCAACAAGTCTCAAGTATCCGCTCGGTCGTGAAGGAAGGCCGGCCTCACCACAAGCCAGAAGAGTCATTATTCTCTAGGCCTGCCCATTGAGGACCGAATGCTTTTGCATTGTTCGACGTCGACAGCCCAACACCAGCTTCATTTCACGCCCGTAGTATTGTAGGAATCTAGGTACACCGTACGAGTACCGACCTACCTAGGTACCTATTGTAGGTGCGCTTGGGCGGGCGGGGAGCGGCGGTCTACCGGAGTTCATCCTCCGACCGTCATGGAAGGACACCAAGAATTATAGCCTAATTACTACTCCGTAGGTAGCCTGGAAATTCAACACTTCAACACACCGCTGCCGCCCGGACTTAAGAACGTGCATGCCGCGTGAAGAGAGACGCCTTGCGCCAGGAGCAGAAATTGTCCACAGAAAGAGGAATGTGTGCAGCTTACGAGCTCCTCTATCACACTCGACCTTGCGAATTCCTAGAACAGTAAGCCGTGACAGATGCAAGGAGCGGGCGATTACATAACATGGCGAGGTTGACGAAGCAGCATGTGGACAGAATGAGCAAGGTCTGAACAAAAGGGAAGCCCTCTGCATCCTAGGCGGCACGTAGAGCCGACGATTCCGCCTGGGAGATAGAATGATCCTGCATCGGAAGACGCGCTTCCAGTAGGCCTGGGGCTGACTTGCCTAGGCCGGACTTACCGATTAGTGACGACAATTTGAGCGCACAGTAAAAAAAAGTGTTGATATAGGCTTGATAAGCGTACCTGGGAGGTACGAGTGTATGCCACCCACGAGCGTCCGCTGCGATTTTCCCTTTCCATTGTGACAACTGCATCTCGACGTCTGATTGTCGGTTGGTGACAGCATCGAAACCTGTTTGGCGTCAGAACGAACCCAGCTCTCCGTTTCAACTGGCCATTGTTCAGATCATTCCCAGCTTGTTGTTTCGGTAGCTCTCACAAAGCATATTACCTGCCCCACCAGCCTCAGTGTTCCGCGGGCCATCGAATCGAGCCCGCAGTTCACTAACATAATTATTTCCGCTTTGTCATTCCATGCCCATCAAATTCAAGAACGACAACACCTCAATCCCAATCTTGTCCTTTCCTGAACCTCAGACCGAGCCCGTTCGCCCCTTGAATACCACAATGGCGGACACTGTCGTGCGCCCGGATGAGCCTGAAAATGCAGGGTACGTGACGTCGCCGCGCTGGCTCCTGGCTCCTGGCTCCCTCCCCCACAATGTCCGAGGGAAATATCATGCTGACCGTACATGCCCCATCAGCACGATCGAGCTCAAGGAGAACACTGTGATTGTCGTTCTCGGCGCATCAGGCGATCTCGCCAAAAAGAAGACGTTCCCTGCACTTTTCGGCCTGGTGGGTGAAGATAACAATGGAGAGATTGGGATGAAACCCTTGCTGACCCTCTTGTCTACGATAGTACCGCAACAAATTCCTCCCCAAGGACATCAAGATCGTGGGATATGCCAGAACAAAGATGGACCATGCGGAATACCTCAAACGAGTCAAATCCTACATAAAGACCCCAACAAAAGAGGTGGAGGAACAGCTTGAACAGTTCACTTCGGTCTGCACGTACATTGCTGGTCAATACGATCAAGACGAGCCTTTCCAAAAGCTTGACAAGCACATCACAGACATTGAGGGTGGTCGTAAGGAGAACAACAGAGTCTTCTACATGGCTCTCCCACCAAGTGTCTTTATCACAGTCTCACAACACCTGAAGAGGAACTGTTATCCCACCGGTGGTATCGCCAGAATCATTATCGAGAAGCCCTTTGGGAAAGATTTGACCAGTTCACGACAGTTGCAGCGGGCGTAAGTTCTGGTACCAGCTCTTTACGAATAAACCCACTGACATTGCCCCTTAGGCTCGAGCCCGACTGGAAAGAAGAAGAGATCTTCCGTATTGATCACTACCTCGGGAAGGAAATGGTCAAGAACTTGCTCATTCTCCGGTTTGGTAACGAATTCTTGGGTGCCACGTGGAACCGCAACCACATCGACAGTGTTCAGATCACGTTCAAGGAGCCTTTTGGAACCGAAGGTCGTGGTGGCTACTTTGATGAGTTTGGCATCATTCGCGATGTGATGCAGAACCATCTTCTCCAGGTGCTCACTCTGCTTGCCATGGAACGCCCTATCTCCTTCTCGGCCGAAGACATTCGTGACGAGAAGGTCAGGGTTCTCCGAGGTATGCCTCAAATCGAGCCAAAGAACGTCATCATCGGCCAGTATGGCAAATCCCTCGATGGTACCAAGCCTGCGTACAAAGACGATGACACTGTCCCGAAAGACTCGAGATGTCCCACATTCTGTGCCATGGTGGCGTTTATCAAGAATGAGAGGTGGGATGGTGTACCCTTCATCATGAAGGCTGGCAAGGCCCTCAACGAGCAAAAGACCGAGATTCGAATCCAATTCAAGGACGTCACGTCAGGTATCTTTAAGGACATTCCTCGAAACGAACTTGTCATTCGAATCCAGCCCAACGAATCAGTTTACCTCAAGATGAACTCTAAACTGCCCGGCTTATCCATGCAAACAGTGGTCACGGAACTTGATCTTACCTATAGGCGCCGGTTCTCAGATCTCAAGATTCCCGAGGCCTACGAAAGCTTGATCCTGGATGCCATGAAGGGTGACCACTCCAACTTTGTCCGTGACGACGAGTTGGATGCGTCCTGGAGAATCTTCACACCTCTACTGCACTACCTTGATGAGAAGAAGGACATTGTGCCCATGGAGTATCCTTACGGTAAGTCTCATTCTGATCTGTAGCCAACTTTGAAAGCTAATCTCCTTCCCTCCAGGCTCTCGCGGTCCTGCGGTTCTCGACGACTTCACTGCGTCTTATGGCTACAGATTCAGTGATGCTGCTGGCTATCAGTGGAACACCGCAAGCACGCCTAACAAGTTGTAGAGGTCGGTGTTCATGGTTGCTCATATGAACGAGTCTGTTGGCTTGATGTGGACACTATCTCGAGATACTGGATGACAGCAACAAAGTGACCATTTGCATGTATGGAAACAACATCTTGGATCCTCAACTAAACAAAGTTGGCCGCCGGTCTTCTTTTTGCTGCAAGGTCGAAAGGGGAAAAGGAGGTTGAGCTTCATCATCAAGAGGTGTCTTTCTCGTGTGCCTGGTATAGAAAGTTCAAATGATGAATGTTCATGCAAGGGCTCTGCCCTGGAATGGGAACATGGGTAGATAGACCCGGGAAATTTACTCTGTGTGCATAAAAAAAACTCGTGAGACTAGAAAAGAGTTACCTGTCGTCGTATGAGCCTATTCTTGACGCCTGTGCTGATCACCCCCTTCACCTACCTACCTGAGACATGGAGTATCTACAACCCAGATGTAGTGGCGTCAACTCCTTGGTATCACACCGGTCTCGAGCATATGTGTGTGCTGCGTCGACCCCCAGTCAGATGCTGTGTGTCTTTGATTTTTGTGGTTCTACGGAGTACTGTACGGATACATCTGAGTAAGCTTGGAGAGTTTTTCCGTGAGAAGGTGTGAATGCCTAGAATAGGTAGGACTGTCTCTCGCAGGGAGGAGTCATCATTGCCAACGAAAGCAAAAAGTGACATTTGTTTATTCCCTGGTGGCTGGGAAACAGCATTGGTTGTTGATAAAAAAAAGACCACTCATTGACATGTATACTCCGTACCTAGATGCTCCATAAAGTAAGTGTACGGAGGGATGAGTGTACTTTCCAGCACGGTTGACCTTTTGCCAGCCTTGCAACGAAGAAAAACATACCTTGGGTATATGTACGTACATACCCTCCGGAACTATTGTTTATATTCTGTACTGTAATAAGTAGTACAGTACGTTAGGTAGTCTTACTCCGTAGTCTGGTTCTAGTTCTGTTTCTCCACAATCGACGAGATTCGTTTGTACTGTACCTACCTACTTACCTACCCAAGGTAGACAGGCAAGATGGCCATGTTCCGGTGGTGTGGACGGCAGTGTACAATACTGTAGCCCCGTCCTGTACAATGTGCACGTGTGAACTCGAGAGATCCATCTTTGTGACATTTGCGGCGCGAAAGTGTGCCGTTATGCTGATGAAAAGCCCTCTGAGCTTCTAACAAGGTACGAGTTGAAATACCTGTCAAACAATCTTTTACGAGCATTCCGAATCCATGTGTTCGGTGGTGATGATGGTGGTGCGGGATTTTGTTTTGGCCTCTCTTTTTCGAGCTGGATGAAGATCAGGTACAGCCACGATGGTGGAGTTCGATATATTTCCTATAGTCCCGTACATTTTTGACGTACAAGTGCTTCGAAACTGAGATCGGAACCACCTAGGTACCTTTGATAGAGAGAGACGGAGATTTTTTTTTCTCGTATGGAGTCGTTCCCGAGGAAAAGGCTGGCTAGGTACCTATTTCGTACTGTGGGTGACATGATAACCATATACAGGGTGTTATAGTATCATGAGTTGTACCTGATTGTGTCCACAGTTCGGGCATAGATTGAGGCGTGGCTTCAGGAAAATATACAGACAGTGCTCTGTATCTTGCTCGTGATTTGGATGCGGGCATTGCCGAGGGGATTTATTTCCCGCGACACAAACAGCATCGTATACCAAGTATTGGCGTTTCATTACTAGTCAAATCAACATCACGATGTCAGTACTTTACCTGACTTGCAGATTACCTTTGTATAAAATTGTACTGAATATCCCACAGTAAAATTAGGCAAATCAAGTATCCATGTGTCTGAACAGCTTATGAGAGCATGGTCACAATCTCGAATGCCAATTTGTATAAAACTAGCATCCATGAATTGCACATTGCCTGTCGGACTCCGGATACACAAATATGGATATTCGGGGCTTTCTCGATTTATTGTACTTCAATCATCTGTATGGCATCGTTGCAGGACAGCTGAGGCTCGCTCTAAGATCAGGTACAAGTGCTCCGTACCAGTAACGGAATAGGGTCCTTCGTTGCGGCGTCCCGGGGCACGGACAAAGCATGTGAGTTAGTGGCAACGACGGCTGAAAATCCTTGCTACTTTGCGCATTTCGCTTCTCGTTGAAGAGAACGGCAGAGGTTTTTAAGCTTTGGCATAGCTCCCTCGCCTGTGAGACAAGGGCCATCTATGTTGGGAAGGTCTTGAAGTTTTCGACTCTTCCGTAAGAGTATTTCAGACAAAGTCTGCGCCACATATGGAGTATTGAGGCGAGTGCTCGTACTATGATGCTTCTATTGCTGGATTGACGTATAGATGGAACCCATGGTCGAAGCATCAGTATCCCCAAACATCCACTTATTTTCCGTATGGTGTGTGAGAGCAAGGATCGTTGCTCCGTACAAGTAGGTAGCACAGTATTATTGATCGACTCCGAGGGTAGGAATTGGCCTGCGAGGAGCTAAAGTTCCAGGTAGGCTAGGGTCCTGCGGATAAGCCCATGGCCTGTGCAGATGTCTCAGATATCATGATGCAAAGATGCATTGATATTGCGGGTCTTGGTGCACGATAAGCATCTTGTCCGGGCTGAGTGGTCCAACATGGATGGATGCGCTCAACGAAGGATGAAAAAGGACCTGTTTGATGGTTGAGTGGGCTCCGGCTTGTCTGGAGAGTGAAAGATCCGTTCTCCTGCGACCTGCAATGGTGCTGATGAGCTGCACTTGAGAGAGGGGGCCTCGGTGTGCCGCGCGTCGTCTGAGCTTTTCTAGAGCATTGGCATGACAGGAGATCTCTGCGGTGACAGGGCATCGACAGCGGCTCCGAATACACCGTATGACAGCTGTAGCATCATCAGCGATCATGTCTTGGAAAATCAGTTTCAGAACTGTTTTTGCGAACCTGGCTGGTGTGACACATGTGCGGATCGTGTCTGGGAAAGGTTTGCGGCAGGTTCGACAGTGCGTTGGGGAGCACGATGAGCCCTAGCTGGGGCCTGCTGGAGATCCCCCCAGTCGATACTGGTTAGAGCTGCAGTACTCGCACTGAGGAATGGGTGGACAAGATTGACGATGGCCGTTCGAGCGTACCGCCGCCTAGTTGAGCCGGGTGAGCATGGGTTCACCCACGCCCAAGGTGTGTTTGGAAGGTCCCTAGCCAGGGACCGTTGCCAGAGTTCCCCGGGTGCCAATCATGAAGCTGCAGGCGACCTCATGCGGATGGGTCTGTGGGCTGACAAGCACTACTCGCAACTAGTCGCAAGGATGGCGAGTGCTGGGGTTGCATGGCGGGAAAATCCAAACGTGCAGAGGAAAAAGTTGGTTAAGCGACGAATAAAGGTGATCGGAAGCTTGGAAGCTTGGAAATACCGCCCATTAGCGGCACAAGGGCCGCCAGGGTTCGCCCAATTTAAGGTACCTAGCGATGCCTAGCGATGCCTATAGGGGCAAGGCGTGTCGGCATTTACACATGCGTTGGGCCCGGTACCATCGATGTCGATACGGATATATCGAATGATTGATTTTATGCATACTGCGTGCTGCGTATTCACCACCACCACCATCAATATTCAATCCACTTTCCATAGCTATTTTCTGGCTTCAGATGTGACATCTACATACAATACTCCTCTCGTCGGACATCTTCTCCAAACCAGTACATTCGTTCTCGTGGAGCGTCGAAATACGGAGTACATCATCGCCATCCTCTTCTCAATTTTTCCATCCTCCTTCTGCCGAGACCGTTTTTCCCTGTGTCTCTAGGTAGCCCACACGGAAATCCCGCTCGACTAGGTAGACTAGGCCTCGCTGGATTTCACCATCCCTGTGCAATCTTGCATTCAGTCTCTGCTGGCCCTCGGACTCGCGTGGCACAACTCTCTCGCCGAGTAGTCGTACGCACGCCGTGTCAATCCGGTCCATATTACTCCCGCAAAAGCATCGAGCAAGCCTCTGCGACTCGAAAATCTTCTCCAGGTCGTTGCTCCCTGCGCCTCATACCACTCACTACACACCCCTGTCGGCCCTGAAACAAATTCTCGTCAGCAACAAAGATCGCCTGCCGCTCCCCGCCACTCACTTCGAGCGACCATACCAGCGGATTGCGCGTCGGACTTGCCAGATACCTCGCACGGCGTTTGCATAGTTCTTCCATCACCTCCTTCGCTACCACGCTCACTTTTCAAATTACTCTACGAATATCTCTCTACACGCGCTCGCTTTCTCTCAATCTCATTTCGCCATCTAATTAATCGGAGGACATCTTCCTTACTTGAAAGACCCGCTCTCTGCCAACTATTCCCAGCACTGAGTTGATCAGTTCCACTTAGCTGCTTCGCTATCAGCAATCTCCACCAACGCAATCGATACCGCCCGTACCTGCCTCCATGACAACCATGTCGCAGGCCAGTCCAGAGACCCGGCCTCGCGCCCATACGTCTATGAGCTTTTCCTCCCAACGAACTCACAAAAGTAGTGCCTCTGGACACAAACTCGAATTGACAGAAAGTGAAAAAGACAAGAAGAGACTGCACACCAAGGCCGATCCTTCGAGGGCTCTAAGTGAGGCGACACCTGGTCAGTAACCCCGAAATATACAAGGTGCGGTTGGAAACATACTTACTGTGTTGTAGCGGAACAAGCGTTAGAAGCGGCTACAGTTGAGGATCTACGCGGAATGACACACAAGGATATGGACGGCAACGTCATCAGTAAGTTGCTCTGTACTGTTGCAGAACTTGAAGTACTGATCAATTGTACGCAGCCGACCCTGATCGTTCAAACCCAACTCGATATCGCCTGGAGCGACCCCTTGATACGATTCGCTCGTTCAACGCTGCAGCAGAAGGTACAAGCTCGCGTCGTTCTTCGTTCAACAGCAGACCATGTAAGTTCCGGTCTCATCAGGTGGTAAAACGGCACTGACGTATTTGAATAGTTTCTCAAATGGGACATCCAGGTGATACGAGTCGCAGAGCAAGCTATTATTCCGGTACGAAAGAAATGTCACGAAACTTGCAGAATAAGAGTGTGCTAACCTCCGAGCAGCCAACGGTTTCTCTCCACAAGCCAGACCTCGACCTTCACCCAGCGGCGGATACTATCGTAACTCATCCTACGGTTTTGGCCCTCAAAGCTCAGTCGAGGAAAGCCCTGGCGCTTCTCAGATGTACGGCAGGCGACAGAATTCTTACTACGGAGCCCCCAACGGGCCTCAGAACGGATATCTCAATGGCTATCAAAATGGCTACAATGGAGAAAGTCCGGTTTCTGCACATTCCTACCAACATTCTTATGAGACCATGACTTCGGGTTCAGAGGAGTATGGAAAGTCGACCAACCCCAGTTCGCAAAATAGTTCTTTCGACCAGTTGCATCAACTTTCACGCCCCAAGCCGGATGGCAATGACAGAAACTATAGTCCGGAGAATCCATATGCAAATGAACTCAAGTTCAGCCAGCCCGCCGTCACGAACAAGCCTTTTGCACCATACAACATGAATGACGGCATGTATGCTCAGAACAGTGTCCCTGTCAACATGGCTCCCAACAACCCTCGCCAGCCTATCAAACTCGGAGGTTCTGGAGATGGTATGGATTCTCCCCCGGAGTCACCCCAAAAGAAACAGAGCTGGATCAAGCGAAGATTCAGTCGACGTGACCATTGATCGGAGGAAAATTTTATTTTATGGACGCTCGCTTTCGATGAACATTTTTGGCGTATTGGAATTGACATACGATGGCCTTGGGAACACGTTATCTCGCATTTGCATATCACAAACATGCGTGGCGGAAGGCGGCCAAATATTATGAATAATGTCTGATGTAATCTCCATGGCGACTTGATGATGGATAACGACAAGACTCCCTAGAGTTGGTTGTCAGGGAGAGCTGGAGGAGATAATCTTGGCAGGATGAGAGTAGCACGGGCTCATATTGGCTCGTAAAGCTCAAGATGCAGACTTGGTCTCAGATGCGTTCATAGACTGTACTTGACCAAGGATGGAATTGCACCGCACTCATTTCGCGAAGCTGAACTCTACAGCGAAGATGCCGTATGCGTAGATCATGCTGCCTCGGTGGTTACTGAGCCTTCTTTCGTTTGTTCCCAGCCTCGGCCTTTTCAGACTGATCTTCTCTCATAGCCATGATGATATAGGCTATCAAGACGACATTCGCCATGATGGCGGCCAAAGCGCCAGCCCATACGGCTTTGCCTAACATTACGTTCAGCGTGAAGTGTTGGTAGAAGGGGAGAAGCGGTCGCATACCTCCAAAAATGGTGTGAAGTGTCAAAAAGTACGAACCAATGGGTACACATACCATGGCCGCAGTGAAGAAGAGGAGCTTGTAGATAACGTGGCTGATTGCCCTTTAGCTGGAATCCGCTGGTCGAATGGATTGAGTGCGACCTACGTTGGGACTGCAGGTGTCGTGTCCGAAACCTGATCGGCTGTAGACGGGCCACTCTGTGTCTCGGAAATCGTCTTCTCAGACGTGACATTGCGTCGTGTGGCCATGGTGAATATTTGATAAGAGACTTTCTCCACGTATTGCAGTACCGATCTTTTCGTCAAGCGGAGGAAAACAAAGGAGAGGTGTGTCGGTTATTGTCTGCCTAGAGGAGGATGGAATATGAAGATGGGATCTAAAACTGGCCTTGACGACTGATACTATGACGGAGGCCACACGTGAGCTGCAGTGGAGGATTGGCCGTTCAGTGCTGCGGGTTCTTTTGTACGTAGACGTGGAGAACAGAGACAAATACAACACGACTCCTTCTCTGATGTCGTCTAGAATATTGTTGTATTGTAGTAGAGAACGAGGACCCGCTCCAACTGGACAGAGTCGTAAGAGTGGCTTTTATCGAACTACGCAAAGCGGCGGTGGATAGGATACTGATGAGACGGATTTGGTTAAAAATACCAACGCTGCTTTAATCTTCCCCGTGACGCGAACGCGTTCTCGTCCATAAAATAATGGCGGAAGTATTTCGTAGCCGGTACAGAGTACATTATCCACTTTCGGAGGGGACCATTTCACTTTTCATAGAGTCTCGCAGGTCGAGTACTCGGTGGCATAGATTAAATTTCCCTGTTTCACCGCCGTGCGACGCTCTTCACAATGGGAGTGTAATGGTGTATTCCTTTAACGGGCGGTGATTTTCTGCCGCGACCTGTTACAACTACCTCACCTTGCCGTCAGTCATGTCTTCCTTTCCTACTTCTCCTTCGCGGTCCGACGATGAACTCTTCAACCCTGGCCCTAAGACTGCCCACGAAACGGTCGAGACCCTGCCTTTGCGACGTGTCGATCCCATGGATGACGACAGCGATATCAAGACAATGGCAACCTTGCCACTCCAGCGTCCTACGCAGAAGATGACACAGCCTACACAAATTATTGATCGTTCACCGGACATGACATCGTCCCCAGTAAAGGAAGGGGTGGTTCAAGTGACAGCCTCTTCACCCTTGGCTGCCCAAAGTCGGAAACCAGGTGGTTATCTTGCCAGCGCCATGGCACCAGCCGGGACCGCCTTTCGAAGACCTTACGTTGCTTCTCAGCCACGGCCGCCTACCATCACCATTGATAGTGACGATGAAGGACCAGTGTATCGTGGAGGCTCATCAGACAGCGATGAACCCCGGGCGAACGATATCAAGCCGTCGACTTTTGTGCGAAAGACGAACACTTCAACAGACAAAATCCCGGAGTCACCGCAGGCACAAACCAATGGTTTGAGTCGGTTCAGGGAAATAACTGCAAATGCAATATTTCGAGAATCGCCCAGCTCAAACTCGTCTACGTCCAACGGTATTAAGCGATCAGCAGACGTGATGGCTAATGCATATGGTAACGCCTCCAAACGACCCCGGCAGACGGCCCCCGCTCGTGCATTGCCTGTTCCAGCTCCTCAGAAGCGACAACCGGAGCTGGAGTTAGACGACATCAGCGACTACAACACGAGAGCCAAAGTCAGGCGTATGATGAACATGGTCAGCATGGTCAGTGTTCGAGAATGCTACGAGGTGTTGGTGTCAAAGAAAGGGCATTACGATGATGCTGTGGAAGAGATTCTTCTACTTAGTGAAAGAAGACATGATCGAGGCAAGAAGAACGCTATCGATTTGACTGGCAGTGAGGATGAACTCATGCCTACCCCTGCAGGTCGTAAAGCGCCCGCTGCACAAAAAGCCAAAGTTTCTTCAAAATCGATCACAGAGAAATGGAGCTCAACACAGAATGTTCGGAAGCCTTCCAAAACGATCGAGGTGTTTGATACTCCGCCTCCTCAAAAGAAGAGAACCCTTGTTCGAGGCCGAAAACGCACTCCGTCTCCTGTACAAAATGTAGAAACTGCCAGAGACACATCCAAGCCCAAAGCCAAACCGATCACCGTCTTGTCAGATGAATCCGACGAAGCTGATTCGGCCGTGCTATCTGATAAAGAAACCGACACCACATTCAACTCCCGGCTCCTTGACCTCTTCAACAATTGCACGGCTGCAGATTTGACCGACACTGCGTCTATTTCTCGCGAGTTGGCTGAACATGTTCTTTCGGAAAGGCCTTTCAAGAGTCTCGATGACATCCGTAGAATCCAAGATCCCAAGCTAAAGCCCAGCAAGGGTCGACGAAAGACGATCCCTGTTGGAGACAAGATTGTTGATAAAGTTGAAACAATGTTGGAAAGTTATGAAGCTGTCGACTATTTGGTCAAGAAGTGTCAGAGCCTAGCCAAACCCTTGGCTGAGGAGATGAAGAGCTGGGGGGTGAATCTGTACGGCAACCAAGGCGGAGAATTGGACATGGTTTCGTTGCGTGATACCCAGCGCTCAAGTCATGACAGTGGTATTGGCACACCTATCAGTGATGAAGATCGGGACATTGTCAAGAAGCGAACGCCGAAAAACTTCCTATCTCAGCCATCGATCATGTCGGACGACATTCAAATGAAGGATTATCAGGTTGTGGGGATCAACTGGTTGAAATTACTTTACCAGAGAGGCCTAAGCTGCATTCTCGCAGACGATATGGGCTTGGGAAAGACGTGTCAGGTCATTGCTTTTCTAGCACACCTGTATCAACAAGGACGAATGGGCCCTCATCTTGTTGTCGTGCCTGCCGCTACTCTTGAAAATTGGCTGAAAGAGTTCAGGCGATTCTGCCCAACTTTGAACGTCGAGCCTTACTACACAACAAACCCAACGGAGCGAGTTGAGCTCAGAGAGAGACTTGAAGACAGTCGGGATGACGTTAACGTCATTGTTACGACCTATACCTTGGCCAAAGGGAAAGAGGACTTCCCATGGCTCAAGAATTTCGGGTTTGACTGTACAGTGTATGACGAAGGTCATATGCTCAAAAATGCCGAATCCCAAGTCGCCAGCAAGCTGGTTCGGATACAGTCAAACTTCCGCTTACTACTTACTGGAACGCCACTTCAAAATAATCTGAAGGAATTGATCAGTCTGCTCGGATTTCTCATGCCGTCTTTGTTCAAGGAGAAAGCGCAAGAACTCAGCAGCATCTTCTCGCATACCGTCAAGGCCATGGAACAAAATCATGAAGCATTGCTATCTGAACAGAGAATCAAACGTGCAAGGAGCATGCTGACGCCATTCATCCTTCGGCGGAAGAAATATCAAGTTCTGAGAGATCTGCCCAGAAAGGAGCGACGAGTGGAGTTGTGTGATATCACTCCTGAACAATCTGAAATTTATCAGTCGTACCTTGACAAGGCTTACAGCATTCGTGAACGGAAAGAAAGAGGGGAGAATGTCACCAACGAATCATCCAATATCTTGATGAAGCTGAGACAGGCTGCCATTCACCCGCTCCTATTTCGTCGACTCTATCCAGACAAGATACTGCCAGCGATTGCGAGACAATGTTTAAAGGTTGACATGTTCAGCGAGTCCAACCCCGATCTTATCGTGACGGAATTAGAGGCATACTCGGACATGGAGATACATACGCTGTGTGACCAGCATGCACCACTTCGGCGGTTCGCGCTTCAGCACGGAGAATGGCTCGCGAGCGGAAAGGTGCAGAAGATGCTCGAGTTGCTTCGCAAATTCATGTCGCAAGGCCACAAGACGTTGATCTTCAGCCAATTCGTCATGATCCTGGATATTCTCGAGCTGATTCTCCAACGGGAAGCTATCGACTATTTTAGACTCGATGGCAACACCAAGGTGTCTGAAAGGCAAGATTTGATCGACGATTTCTCCGCCGACGATGATGAAACACCCGTGTTCATGCTGAGTACCAAGGCCGGTGGAGCTGGTATCAATCTCGCCAAAGCCAACAAGGTCATCGTGTTCGACAGTGGCTTCAATCCTCAAGATGATATTCAAGCGGAAAATCGCGCGCATCGTATTGGACAGGTCAAGGAGGTCGAGGTTATCCGGCTGGTTTCGAAAGGCACGGTTGAGGAGCAGATCCATAGCATGGGTCTCACCAAACTCAAACTGGACGAACAGGTCGCGGGAGACGGCGCCGAAGAGCAACCACCGCGGAAAGAGGGCGAAGAAAGCGCAAAGGAGGTGGAAGGTCGCATGATGGTTGAAGAGATGTTCTTCAACAAATTGGACCAGGAGTCTCTCGAACAGCTCAAGGCCGATGTCACCAGTCCAGTCAAGAAAAGACAGATCAAGGATGTTGGTCCCACGGCGCAAAGCGATGAAGCGTCCGAAGAATCCGAGAGAAAAATCAAACAAGAGCAGGAAGGAAAAGATGTCGACTTGCCGGACCGTACGAAATCAATCGAAGCAGAAGTAAAGAGTGAAGAATAGACTTGAGGGAGAAAGAAAATGCCAGATCTCAGATGCCAGATCCGAAGGGAAAGAAGGACTTTGTTGGATAAATGATCGTAGGTCGCTCAAGAGGGGAGGGCATTCTGTGAAACTCGAACGAATCCACGTTCGTAGACCATCGACGGTGTTTGTCTGCATCACCTGCTTACCCCAGTTGGAAAAGTCAAGAGAAAGACAAAATCAAATGCAAGTCTCGCGGTGTGGTGCAACAACGAGAGACATGGGATCACAACAAGTTGTATCTTACTTACACACAGACATCCACACAGACATTAGTTAGACCATAGACGAATGATCGTTGCACCCAGTCAAGAGGATTCACCTTCTGAAGGCGGTTTTTCTCGAACAACAAACTTGACTGGCACTTGAGGATGTCGTCTTCCTCCGTTGGTCTTCCCGAAAGGATGAGGTATCTCTGTACCTCGACCCTGAGCACGTTGTTCGTTCCGATTTTGTTTCCTGGCATTGTTCTTCGTAATCAGAACTTGGGAAACCTCACGTTCTAGCCTGGGGAACAGAGAGAACAGCTACAGCGATGCGAGAGGAATGAGATGGTGTTGGTTCAAAAAGTACGGAGTATGTTGAAATAGGAACATTTGTTTGTTTGTGGATTCTTGAGTATCTTTGCTACGGAAAGACCTTTTTTTTCATTCTCGGTTGTTGTGAACTCTTCATACGAACTCTGCCATCCTCTCCGCCTCGCCCAAGTTCTTGAGTGCCACATGTACCGTCCTGGACCGGCCCTTGGTTTCTTGACCGACTCGGGAACTTTTGCGCTTCGGGGGATTTTTGGAATCTCAATAACGAGCGAGCCTTTCATACCCAATTCTTGTAATTGGAAAAGGTCAATGGAAATAATAATACACTCGAGTCCACCGATTCTGAATGTGTTTTTTGTCTTGTCCATTGACCTTTCCCCCCCAAAAAAGGTTCAAGGTCAAGGATCAAATGTGAACTTGCTCTCTCTCCTGTTCTTCTCCTGCTTCGCAGCGCACTGGCAAACGCCACACCTCACTCAGGTACCCTTCCGCTCCGATTTCATGTCTTGCGTCACGGCATGACGACGCCCCCCTGCTCGGTACGTCTGTCTTCATCTCAAAGTGCGTAGCTTTATTCGAGGCGAACACGTTGGCTTCTGTTTCTTCGCCGGCCCGTTGGTGGTGCTCATGGATTCGCATCTGCTGAGGGCTTGAGTAGAAGGTTCTGCGGTGTTGGAATACTGCTGAAGTCCATTTCTCTGTGCTTTCTGTCAGTGTCACGATTCAAGGCAGGTCTGGATGAAGCTCCAATGCTTACCGTCCTCTTTGCCACTGGTTCCATCACCCGCACATCGTCTGTGAAATGCTCGCCTTCCGCTGCCGCCGGTGATGCTGGCCTCTTTTCAACACGTGGCTGGCTCCGCCCGTGCTTCTGCTGAGAATCTCTCGCAGTCTCTTGATGAACTCGTCCGTTCCCAGTTCGTCTGCTGGACTCTGAGGAAGACCCTCCATTTTCATCTTCCGAAGACACCGAAATAACATCATCATGCATTTCCTCCGTTTTTATTGCCGGAAGATCGTCGTCGTGCTGAGGTTGTACAGTGACCGTGTCGTTCTGCTGAAGAGGTGTTTGGCTGGACGATTTGCCGTTTGAAGCGCGTAACATCATGGATGGCTCGATGGACTGATACTCGGCTTTAGTTCCCCGTGTTGGGACTGGTTCCCGGCCATCAAGAAACTCTTTCTGGTTCCGCTTGCTGTTGCGTGTTTGAGCTGCATGTAGAGTCTCTTTCTCAGACTGCAATGGGCGCTGAGTAGATGCCTCATCGACATCCTGGTTCGTATATGGTCTTCGTTTGCGCCCAGAGACTTTTGCTGTACCGTCCCCATTATCTGGAGCAAGCACCCAGACCACGGCCTTTCTGATGTTCTGCAAAATATCTTGATTGACCCCGCTTGTGTCACCGAGTCTCAAGACTAGAGGTTCGACCACCATGTCTATCAAACTTCCCTCGATACCACATTCTTTGGGATCTCGGCCTTCTTCGTCATCATCACCATCTTTTAGCTTCATGCCACGATGCGGCTCGTGATCTCTGTGGCCCGTAGCAAAGTACTGATCGTCCAACTCACTCCAGAAGAAGATCTTGATGCACGAGAATTGAACCGTCAGGGCGGAAGACATTGCCTGGCATTCTCTCACGATACCCTCAAGTTCATTGGTGCGCTTCAACTCGGCCTCATGCTCCAATTTCTTCAGGAATGGACGACATCGTCGGATAATGGTGAAGCATGTCAACCTAATATGTTCGTTTCTCAAGCGCATAACGGCCGGGCTGCATCGCGTACCATTCGACTGCCAGTGTTCCACCGCAAATGGCATGTCAATCGCGCGAAGAATCTTTGCTTGTACAATTTGGTTCCACGCGTGAGAGTCTGAATGTGGTTAGAGCTCTGAAAGGGATTCTTTTTGGAATACCTACCAGCTGTAGCGGTTTCAATCAGCCACTTCAAAGAGTCCTCGATAACACCGTTCGCAAGCTTGCTATCCGGTTTGCGAAGATATGCGAATGGACGGAAAAATGTCTCATTACACAAAGAAGCATTGATGATTGTATTGACAATGATTTTGGGGGCAATCTTCTTTTCTTTGATAGCATGATTCATACGTCGAGACCAAAGCGGCTGGGGAGACATAGTTTCTAGCTTTACCATCATCTCAGAGTGACTCTTCTCATCGATCTGTCTCCATGTTCCAATCACCCATCGATTTGAGAGACCTTTGGTGTCCAGGAAGATCTTTCCGAGCCGCTTGTTGACCTCCTCGTCAGGTATTGGGGGCAGTTCATGAGATACTGCATTTTCGAGTCTTTCATCCTGCAACTTCTGGAGTTTGTTCTCGAGTTCCTGCAATTTCTGCTTCTTTGATTTCAATTTGTTGGACAGTTCAGACTTCGATGCTTGCAATCTTTTCTTCGCTTCCTTCAGCTTTTTGATTTCTTCATCTTTCGACACGAGCTGGTTTGTCTGTGTGAGGATTTTGTCATGACAATCCGGTAACGTTGCCGGCAGCTTCGTCTTCTTCAATTGCGAGGATTCAGCATCCTGAGCAAGTTGCCTTGCTGGTGTCTGCTTTGCTTTTCCACGCGTCTTTGTGGTTCCTGGATGGGGTGAATTATGGACTTCCACAGCACTCACTCGGTTAGCTTGCGAAGACGAACGATCATGAACTGACTTGTTCGCGTCTGGTGAAGTTTCTGGTGGCATCTTGTTGTTGAAGATCCTAAGTTGTAGCGTCCGGAACCTCTTGACTGATTGGATGGATTGAGAAAAGACTTATTTGCTTGACTTATTCGGGATATGGGATATGAGTAAATAGGTAGAAGACAATGCTCAGACTTATATGCCGAATTCCGGATGGTGGTTCTCTTGGTCGGCGAGCCAGTAAGAGAAGCAAAGGTGAACGGATATTGAAGTGAGACAAATACATGCCCCATATGTAGTGAAACTGAAGTGAGAGGAGTACTGAGAGCAGAAGTGAGGTCACTTGCACTTACTGGAATTTTGCAAAGGCATGTGATCCAATTTCTAGACATATATAGAATCCCTCGTCTCCATCTCTGTAACCTAAATCTTACCACCATCCACCAATTGAGGGGTTTCCTCGAATCTACCAAGTCCATTCGTAAAGAAAAACCTGGTCAAATGACGCCATGCCTTCAAATTTGAACGTACTCGGTGTGCGGGATGCTGAGCCTCGAGGTAAGCTGATGGTTACCGGCCAGAGAAGTCGAGAAGCATTGACGTTGTCAGACAAAGCCGCAAAGGACAGAAGAAATCAACAGCAACAATCATCTGTCAAGAAACGGAAGTACAAAGGTAGGCCATCCTTCGGGAATGTATTTTCGCGAGCCTAATGCTGGAGCAGCCGCGGAGCTCACTGTTGAGGAGAAAGAGTCCAAACGTCGACGGAGAGAGGAACGAAAGGAGCGCAAAGCGGCCGAGGCAAGAAACTTGATCATGGTGGCTATCGATTTCGGGACCACCTATTCCGGGATAGCCTGGTGCAGTACCAGGAAGACCTGGAATGATATTGTGGTGATCAATCGCTGGAATGGTGGTCCTTGCGACAACACGGAAAAGGTGCCAACCCGGATCGCATACTCTTCAGAGAATGACTTTCACGAGGACAAATGGGGCTACGCACCTAAAGCAGGATCCAAGATCTGTCAATGGTTCAAGCTTCTTCTGGACGCGAAATTCAAAAGAACGGACTTTGATGATGCTCGTCTCAGCATGGCTCTGGGTAGCCGGATCATGCGTATACCGGAAAACAAGAGCGCGCAGAGAGTGTCGAGTGACTTCTTGAGATATCTGTATCGACATCTGTTGCAGGCCATCGAGCTGGAGCTGGGCCCGACTTTGGTCGAACAAACCATCTTCCGCTTTGTGATCACCCATCCGGCAACATGGTCAAACGCCGCTCGTCAAGCCACCCGCCAAGCTTCTGAAGGCGCTGGCTTTGGTTCCAGAATGGGAGATGACATTGTGATGATTGCAGAACCAGAGGCAGCTGCAATATGCGCCATCACCGAGACCAACTCCAAATTCCACACAGAACCCTTCCAGGTGAGTGAGGTGAGTGAGCCACACCGTCTTTATCAAGCCAAGCTGACGTGTAGGAGCAAAACACCTGTACCATGATTGTGGATATTGGAGGCGGCACAATCGACGGCTGCACGTACCGTATTGTGAGAACACAGCCACTTCGACTGGAAGAAGCTGCTGTTGGTGAAGGTCCGCTCCCATTTGCACTCAATGCCCGAGCAAGGCACTAATTATGTTCATTTAGGTGCCAAGGCCGGGGGAACCAGTGTTGACAGGTCGTTACATGAATTCATGCACCATTGCTTCGGCATAGCATTCGAGAGCTTGCCTGTGGAGAAGGTAGGCGCAGGAAGCAAGTTCATGGAGGCATTCGAAATCCTCAAACGCCAGTTCACAGGTGACTTCGACGAAGATACACGTTATGAGCTTCCACTCAAGATGTGCAAGTTGGACAAGACCGATGGTAGGGTGACAAATCATTATGACTTCGACGAAGATACTGTCATGTTGACCGGGTATGTGCATCCAAGTAGAAGGCCTGTGATATTCACTGATAGCTTCAAGCGAGGAGATGGAGGAGTTCTTTGAAACGATGCTGGAGAGCACGTTCGACCTTATCCGCAACCAGCTGCAAAAGACCAAAAATTCGAACGAGCCTGCTGTCCAGGTGAGTACTGCAAAAGCTTGCCCAAGCCAGAACTAATACGAGCTAGAAACTAATCCTCTGTGGAGGAATGGGTTCAAGCCCGTATGTTCAGAGAAAAGTACGCGAATTCATCAATGAGGAGCTGGAAGAGGACATAGAGCTGGTGGTTCCCACACGCCCGTGGTCCGCTATATGCAGAGGCGCCGTCATCAGTGCGTTAGAAAAGCATATCGTGGCTTTCCGAAGTTGTCGAGAGCATCTCGGATTCTCGGTTCATCAAAAATGGGATGCAAGCAAACATTTCGAGAGTGACCGGTATCAATGTCCCATCCTGGGATCCCGAGCAAAAAATCAAATGCGATGGCATGTCCAAAAAGTAAGTCGCCATCGATGCAACTACATCAGCGGCTCACACATTTCAGAACGACAAAATCTCGCCCAACTTTAAGTGTGGCATCGACTGCTATGTTGTCGTGCACGGTACCAACTTGGCCAAATCTGAATATGTGGTATACCAAGACTTGTATGGCAGTCAGGAAGACAGCGCACCGAGTCGCATAGACAATCCTCTTCCAGAGTCAGGTATGGGATGCCACGGTTTTGATGTCTCGCAGACAGGTCTGGCTAACTTCGGGCAGGACCTATATACAAGGTGGGCAATATCAAAATTGACTTGACCAAGTATGTGAAGGAGGAACGAAACCGGCTCATTGATGAAGGCGAAAAGGTTCCTCGTCGTATGGATATCGATCTCACTCTGGAGATGACTCTCGGATCTGACAAAGGCGTCCTTACCGTCACCGCGAAGAAAGGCCGGAAAAAGTTTGGAAAAGCACAGATCGAATTCGACCCGGACCCAGCATTTGACGGCACGTTGGTATCGAGCGCGGCATAGAACAACAACAAGCAGCAGGCGATTCGGGAGATGGTGAGAAACGGAAATGGAGGTAGAATGATTCAGAGTGAAAAGGTGCGAAGAAAGATCCAGAGGGATAGATATTATTGCATGAGGTTGGAATTGGAACTTGGAGCAGTGGAGTTGATGCGCAGCAAGTTTATGCTACAATCACGTGCTTGGTGGACGAGCCGCGTTCATTTTGTCAAGACTACAGCGAAGCCGTCGTTTGGCACAGCCGACAATCAGGAGCCTCTCTTCTCCATACAATGATAGATTCTCATTCCAAATCCCCAGATGCACTGTGATGAACAATGACAGCGCTCTGAACTCCGAGCGCAGTCTGCGCGTGGCCGACTCGAAGAATGACTATCTGCGGTCTCTACTCAGAACCCTCGACGCCATCATCTTCATCCAGATAGGCATCACCTACCTATCCGACAATCTCACCCTCCTTTTGATCCTCCGTGCCATCTCACAAGTTGTCCATGTCCAATATCGACCGACAGGACTGCAGCTTGCACCTGCGCTCTTCGTCAGTGCCGTGTGCTTCGTCTCACATCTGTTCTGGACCCGAAGTGGCGTAAAACACACACATGGGGGATTGATCATTGACTTCGTTGGAGAACTTCCGCCCTCAAAATTGAGGCTGCTATTGTTAGACGTCGTGGTTTTGGTTATGCAACTCCTCATGCTGGTCGTGGGTTATCAAAAACAACTCGCTTTAGGCCACGCGCAACCACAACCCGATGCAAGCCCACGACAGGACATTGAAGCCGAGGAAGAAGGGCGGCTTACGTCGAGTGTCCGGGAATCGCAAGCAGACGGTGAAGAGGAGGGTATAGAGTTACAAAGTTTACTACCTAATGGTGCTGAAGTGGAGCATGGCTCATCAACACCTCCGAGGAAACCAACCACTGAAGAAGCCGATTTGATCGTGCTGGATATGAAGGCAGGATTGACTGCTCTTTTCAGAAAACCACTGCAGCCCAATTCACATGCTGTGGAAGATCCCGCAATGCGTGCCGGGTTGGCAAATGTCCTATCTCGAGTTGCTGCTGCTCATGCGCGGGCTACGTGATGGTTGAATGCTGTCATTATCTATGCGACCTATGACATACGGTACCTAGGGTTGCTGAAGAGATGCTAGCCACATATAACTTGCGCCCTGCTTACTTCGTTTTGTACAATACACAAGCTCAAGGGCCGTAAATGGCACTACTCGCACTTCTGCCTTCACTCTATTTGTCTGGATTCATTCTTACTAAGACATGCAATGATTTCGTATGGGGCATCCGTGTATATGATTGTTAAAAAAGTAAATAGGAGAACTTGGACATCACTCGTGCCTGATGCATCTCTACAACTCTCGGCGCTCTGTTGTCACTGTGCCCCACCGAACATTATACAGTGGAGCATGCGGCATATCATCTCCTTCAACATACAAACCAGCCTCAACGTTGTACATGTTGCCCTTCTTCGCCGTGCAGCAACAAGATGCGTCAGCTACTCCGAGCAGCCCCAAGGCTCTCATCGCGTCTTCCTGCCCAAACATGCTGCGCGAGTCTTCAAAATGGCCAACAACGGCGGCAATACTCGAGGCCGCAACAACCAACCAACAGTTGGCTGCGTAAGTTAATGTCTCTGTTCAATGAGTTCAAGTACGGGGGTGGTTGTCTGACAAAACGAACAAACCAGCCATTCCATTCGTGACTGAGACCCTGGCCGGAATGAGCCACACCACGGACCTGTTTTCACGACTTTTGAAAGAGCGGATAGTGGCCGTCTACGGCGAAGTTGACGACCGAATGGCAGCCACCGTCACCGCATCTCTCCTCTACCTCGAAGCCGAAAGCGACCGACCCATCTCGATGTACATCAACTCCCCAGGCGGGTCGGTGACCGCCGGACTGGCGATTTATGACTGCATGCAATACATTGTGCCGGAAGTCTCGACCTTGGTCTTGGGACAGGCAGCGTCCATGGGGAGTTTGCTTCTGGCCGGAGGGCAAGCCGGACGCCGTTACGCCCTCCCTCACTCGAGTATAATGCTTCATCAACCCAGTGGCGGTCACTATGGCACTGCTGCAGACATAGCCATCCACGCGAAGGAAATCCTCCGGATACGAACTCAGCTGAACAAGATCTATGAGAAACATTTGACCGGCAAGACGAAGATGACGATAGATGATATCGAGAAGATGATGGAACGTGATCATTTTGTGAGTGCCGAAGAAGCTCTCGAGTTGGGTGTTGTCGATGAGATTTTGGGCAGCCGAAAGAAAAAGGCAGAAGAAAAGGAAGACAAATGAAAAGACAAACACGACGATATAAGAAACCCAAACCAAGATACTCCGAGAATATCTCCCAGAAGCAGGACACAACACGGCACCATGAGTGGTATAAACGGGCAGGGCAAATGCTGTGTAAGATTATGCCAAAAATAGGTTGTTTACGACCCTACACCTTCATGTACAACAAATACGCCCCCCACTTCCGGCACCGAGCGTGCTTCGGGGGACTCGATTGGAAACATCACTCGTCCATTGAATCGAGCTGGGGAGGACATGGTGCATCAGCGATGCGACGGCTTCCGAGGTTTAGGGAATGGAAGAACCGAACCCAGTCGGGGGTTCATAAGGAGGATATCACTCCATTCAATCTGTGATTTTAAAACAGATAAAACACTTCTCAATCCCGGTTTTTGAAAATCCTCCAGACTCGTCAATCAAGATCCATGACACCACGTATACACCATTGTTGTCTGTAGTGTAGTATTTTGTCTCACTTTTGTCACTTCTCTTGTCCCTTGTACACCACAGCCTCGTCCGACATCTCAAGTTCTTGGCAAGGCTCCCTCTTCCCACGAGGCTGATATCAATCAATGCAACCATTGACAATTGACATGTTTCCTTTTGTACTTGTACAATGTTTGAACCCCTGTTGAAGTAAAGCCACCAAAATGTCTACACGATCCTCTCTCCAACCACTATCAAAGGAAGAACTCAAGACTCTCGCCACCAAAGCCATCGACGCAAAAGAATATGCATATTGTGAGTTCCCTTTATGAACGACTGCCTTTTTGTAGGGATGGAATGTGTTTCGTAGTCTCAACTCGAACCCCCCAGAACTGTATATCCAGACTCTTCGTGTCAATACTAACGCCGGGTTAAAAAAACAAAGGTCCATATTCCAACTTCCGAGTCGGGGCGTGCGTCCTTTTGTCTGACGGGACTTACCACACCGGAGCCAACGTCGAAGTGGCCAGTACTCCAGTTGGAATTTGCGCTGAACGTTGCGCCATCGCTCCCATAGTGGCATCCCTGAAAAGACCAGCCATGCCGACCCTCAGGGCCATAGCGGTAGCCACCGACATATCACCTCCCGCGAGTCCTTGTGGAATGTGTAGACAATTCATCAACGAGTTTGCGACGACCAAAGATCTACCGATTTATATGTACGGTAAGGATGGGATTGACCAGGGCGGCGACGGCAAAGGTGTCGTGATGATGACCATCGGGGAACTGTTACCCATGAGTTTTGGTCCAAACGACATGGATAGAAATCGTTGATTCTGCTTTGATGAACATGAGTATATCATACGTATCCACGGCATCGGACTCATCATCATCACTTCCTAAACAAAGTGTCTATTTCTATTCTTTTTCGTCTTCTTTCCATTTCGTTGGACTTTGTATCCTCAGGCTGAGACCTAGTACTTCTCGTACTCCAAGGCTAAGTCGTGCCTTTACCATCACTGAATTGTACAACTGCCCATTTACCACTCCAAGCCCATTTTCTCGCTCCCGAATCACCACCACCACCTTCCATGGCACGGATTTCTTCGTCTTTACCATTTGGTAATCCGACCACCACATCTGCCTTGCACGTACGTAATGCGAGAACCCTCAATCCTGAACCAGGACCGAGTGGACCGATGGCGTCGGTGAATGGTGTCGTCGGTTGCCATGTTGCCTGAAGAAAGAAAATCAGTCATCAGCCCGTCACATTCGCATATCAACAAGGGAAACAACATACGTCACCGGTCAATTTTCGATAATTCAAATCCCCTTTGAACACGACCAACTCACTTTCCCTCAAATCCTCAAGGACCTCGGGGGCGATTTTTGGCATCCGCCAAAAACTACCCGCGTGAGTCCAGAATCGATTGGGGCGTAAAATCAACTTCCCATCTTCGTGTAGATTCTTCCAATCTTCAAACAAGAATTTGATGTCACTCTCTTGTTGTTCCGTCAACCCTTTACTCTCGGTTTCGGACGAAGCGTAAAATGTCGCCGGATCCCTCATGGCGTCCAACAAAGCAGCAAAGTCCCCGGGGACAACGTCACTCACGAACCAAGGCATACTTTTGGGGTGCAAAACCACCTCGGTCGCCAAACCCACCGCGACCAGATACCCCGCCAGGACGAGATCGACGAACAATTCGAACCCGGCGTTGTCCAGCACGATATCCACTCGTCTGTTTTGGTGGCCTTCCCTCTCGGCGCGCTTGAGAACGTCGAAAGCCTTTCCCAGATCGTTGACGATGACATTCTTCTCACTCTCCCTGCGAGCCTGGCTCCCCTGCAACTTTTGAATGTCCTCGTAGGTCAACGTGGTGAGCAAACTCAGGTCGGTGGCGTTCCCCCACAGACAAATCTCGGCCATCTCGACGAACAGCGTCTTTTCCGCCTCGGCCTCGTCGCTCTCGTCCCCCGCGGCCAGTAGGTGACGATGGTCCTCGCTTCCTTTTATCTGGGCGATGATTTCACGGTACCTCGTGGCCAACTCGAGCACGGCGTTCCGACTGGACCGGAAGGTGTCCATCTTTTGCCTGGCAAACGGGTCGTAACCCTTCCACGCCGCCGTCCTGGCCGTGCTGAACAGCACCCCGATGCGCCGGTACAGGTAACACTCGCCGTACAGCCATTCGACGCCGTGCCACTTGACCACCCCTCCGCCCGACTCGCGGCCCCTCGCGGCCAATTCGTCATTGTAGAGTCCCACGTCGGCTTGGCCGTCGTCGCCGATCTCGACGAGAGCCCGGTCGTGCTGCAACTCGTACTTGAGACTGCCCAAGCTCGAGATAATCCGCTTGCCCTCTGCGACGGCGTCCTCGGCGTCGCCGGGCAGAGCAGATACGCTCCTCGTGACGTCGTCAATGGCGCCCGTGATGATGGCGGGCCATCTCTCCCGTGCCGATTTGTACGCGAAACTCGTCGGGTCCGAAGTTTGGTATTTTGGGATTGGTGGGTCGAGATCCATGCTGGAGAGAAAAAGAGCACCGTTTTGACCTCTGTCTTTTCTCTACCGATCTATGTTGGAAATCCCCAAGTCGACTTTTCTTTGGCCCCTTGAATTTCGTTCCCCTCGAACGTATGAATAACCGTACTGCGAGTGCTCAATGTCTATGAGTAAATCCAAGTCAGAAACGGAAAGTCAAAGGTTGGTTGAGATTTGGAAGTCGACAACATATCGTTCAGCCTTGCCGAGAACAGAATTGTCGGCCTCAATACTGTGTACGGAACTAGTTCCAAAGCATCTTCCCGACTCTCAATCTATTGGCCATTTTTCCTCGACGAGGCTGCGCATCATTAGATTGAGACTAGACGTACAAGGACACCGTTCAAAAGGAAACAAAAAAACAGGAATTCGATTTTGTTCCTTTTGTTTTGTTCTATGTTTATAACATCCTCTCAATCTATCTACATCACCAACTTATCCAAAATCCATCCTCAGCTCAATGGCAGGTCTTGACTCAACATTATCCGTCGACGTCGTATCTTGCTTCTTCCCGACTCCAGCAGCTCTCAGCAAGCTCTCCAGATCCGACCGTTGATCCTCATCCAATAATCCCACAGCGACCTTGAAAGCTGACTGGTCAGTTGCAACCAGCTCAAGTAATCTCGCGGCACATTCCTTGCGCACCTCTTCCGAGTTCGTACCACGCGGTACCTGTTTAGCACGAACCAGCAGTACAGGTATCAAAATCGACATGGCAGCGAATCGTCCAGGCCCCGCGAGCGTGACAACAGACGCCACAAGAGCCTGGGTCAACGGACCTTTGACAGTTTCTGGATCTTCGGCTTCGGGATCCGTCACAAATGGAACAAGTCGCCCCCAGAGTAATCTGCCGATATACTCGTCGCAAGCTGTTTTGGGGTGGGTCATGAGCAACGATCTCAGACATCCGGCAGTGATCTTGGCGAGTCCGACATCCTGAAGACAGTCTAACATTTCCGACAGTGCACTGTCGATCAGTCCATCTTTGGCTGCAATGGCAGAGCTTGCAGTCGTAATCAAGACAGCAATGGACAGCAATGTATTCTTTGCGCAGACGATGGCGTGTTCATTTTCTCGTCGTTGGGCAACTGTCAACACCGACAACATCCGATGCAGGCAGCCACGTACCAATCTCGACGCTGTTTCGTTGTTTGAGGACCGGATGACATCTTGCAAGAATGTTTTGAAGACGGGCATGATGCGAGGAATCACCTCATCTTGACATACACCTGTAGCGAGGATCGTGCAATAGCTGTAAAAGATGCAGGCGTGTAGGTCCGCGCGAATGATGGATGGGAACACAGAAGCCACATCGACGAGAGCTTGGAAAGAAAGCTGCACGAGACCGACGCTATCCTCTCCCAGTCGGCGGACGGCGGATCCAGGTGGATCTTCAAGTGTCGGGACTAGGCCCGTCAAGACCAAAATAATGATCCTTGTCAGTTCAAAGAGTTGCTCGATGTCGTCCGAGAGCTTCTCGTCACGATCCTGGCTTTTGGCGACGAGGTGGTCCATTGAGAGATTTCTGGCGATTTCCACCAAAACGCTCTGTGTGTCTCTCGTGCTGGTGAGAGCAAGTCGATCCAGAGTGTCAGTGGTTTCGGTGAAGACGGCGTCCTCATAAATAGCATTTCCAGATACTTGAGGTGTCAGGATCTTCCTCAGGGCTTGTAATATTGACAAAGCTTGAGACGGATCCTCTCGTGCTTGGGTGACCAAAGCTTCGAAAGCCAATCCGAAAAGAATGAAAAAGAATGCCACAGGCTCTTCTCGGAAACTCATATCTCTGCCTTGGACAACGGTACCATTGGTAGAACCTTCGTCGGCAGCAGATACGCGTTTGTTGTCCAGTGCATCAAAGACCGACTCACTATCCTTCTCGACAAGAACCGCAATTGCATCGACGATACTGAGCCAGGTCTTCTGATAGAACGTCAGGCGGACTTCGCGATTGAACGATGCATATCGCTCATCCAGATTGCCTCCAACCATTTCACCTCCGAGGGTATCGGAAATTTCAGGTTCGAAGCGAAGGCCTGCAAACTCTTGCAATGAAGTCAACCAAAGAGGCGCAAGTTTGGGTATGAATGGCTGAAGAATATCTTCTAGATAGGCTTGCTCGTGACTTGCCAGCTGCAATTGAGCCCAGCCAGACAAGATTCCCATCTTAAGCATAGCTTGGGCATTGGGACTGAGGTCCTTCAAATCGCCGATTGAAGCTTCTGGGGTCTGCTGGGTGAGGTTATCTATGCCCATTGAAAGCACCTTGAAGATGCGTCCCATGCGGTCGGCATTGGTGACGATACCAGTCGCAACAAAAGTGGCGCAAACGCCTATAGCCTCGGCGGCCAGTTCAGGAGATGAATCAGCTGCGAAGGCAGGAGTCAGAGCTGAGCTGATTTGTGCTTGATATTGCTCTAGCAGAGAAGCTTCCAGGAAATCGGGATCCGGCGTCTTTCCGAACAACTTGAGGATCTGGTCAATAATTCTTAACCCCCAAATGCGAAGCTCGACAACATTGGCAGTTGATGCTGAAAATGCGACCCGAACCACCTCCGCGACCTTTGCTTGTAGAACTTCTTCCGCGTGAATCACCCGTTCCGCCGACATTGCTGCTTGAACAATGTCCATGGATTCGCTGAGCAACCGCATCGCAAAATCCCGAGTTTGCCAGCGAAGGAATTCTTGACCTTCTGGAACTACTTCTGCAGCTTCCCCCTGAGCGGCGGCAGCAAAGCCAGCGACTTCCTCGTCAGCCAGATCTGGCATAGCTGTCTTGGCCGCAGCTGTAGCTGTGTGAGTAGGGGGATTTTTTGCCCGTGTCTTGGAAAGGATGCTTTGGCACTTGTCAATCCACTCGGCGGTATCAAGGAGTATGGTCTGCTGCATCCAGTTCTGCAACATGGCTTGGATAGATTGGTCTTGAGGACTATCATCCAGACGACTCCACAAGTCATCGCCCAATTTCGACGTCGCGACTCGGGCGACCTCGGAAGCATTTCTTTTCATCAATTCGCTGAGGCCTTTGATGGCGGAAGACTGGAGCAGTTCTTCATCCGAAGAAAGATTCTCCTGCAAGTCAAGGACGTATTTTGAGAATTGAATGTGAGCCGGTGCGTACATCATAAGGTGGCGTAAGCACTGGTAACTTTCAAATCTCAGCCGGCGTGAAGCTTCATTTTGCAGATAACCGATGAGGATCAAGATCAGATTCCGCGCTTTCGATACATCCTGCAGATCAGGGCCCATCACATTGATGATGCTGTCAACACACTGAGCCAGAGCCCAGGGTGTGAAAAGTTCTAACTCAAGATTTGAAGTTGCTTGAGATGCAGACTCCTCGTTATGGGTATCGTTGGAATAAAGCTGAGCCAGCAAGCCAAGGGTGCTTGTCGCGTAGGTCGAAAATGCCAATCCGGCTGAATCTGCAACCTGAACCAAGCCTCTGAGAGCCCAGTAATGTACTGTGGTGTGGGTATCGCTGCACAAGGATAGTAACACTCCGACGATAGATTTCATGTGTAGACCAGCAGCCATTGCACCAACTTCGGCATGGATATAACCTAGGGCAAGCGCACACCCAGCACGTGCGCTAGGGTCACGATTAGCCACTATCATATCAATAAGATCCTTGACTTCTTTGTTGGTGAATTGTGTACCGGCCAGGTTGCACAGTCGACCTATTGCTCGGGCCGACAGGTGGCGCAGGTTCTGATCTGCGTTGCAGACGTATCTGCCCAGAAGTTCAACAATGACTGGTCCGATCGCGTCCACGTTCAATTTACCAGCAAGGTATGGTGTTTCTTTGTTAGCCACCGCCAGAGCACAGAGGAAGGCCAGTGCCGAGTTGATCTGCATTGCAGCCTTCTTGCCAGGCTCACGCTGGAGAGGCTGAGATATCGCTGTAATGAGCTGTTCTACTGTGCTCTCCTGGACCCGGGGAGACTGCAAGGGTAGAGATATCGCGAATAGTTTGATAGCAAGATTGACGCATGATGTTGCAGGGGAGCTCAGCTCTGCTTCCTCGGGACCCGAACCCTGTCTAATGATCAACACTGGATCGTGCTCTATAGCCGCCAGCGAGGGAGACTGGATTGAAAGATCAGGAAGTGAGAATTCCTGCTCCGGTGAGGTTCGATGACTCAGCTGTAGGTGATTCTCGAATGGCAGGTACGTGTCGAAGCTGTCAGTCAAACTGCAGACACCAAAGCCCCAGTTGTCACTCGTGGTCCAAAGGCCTTCAAAGTTGCTGGCAGCGTTTGTCAATGATGTTTCCAGATTTTTCATGATGGGACGCTCAGGATCCGTGAAAGTTCTTGTAGTGAGACCGATAAGGTCGGAGTGCGATACCACCTCGCTTTGATCCAGATGTTTTAGACCGGCCACTGCCGTGAAACATTGGAGGACTCGTCGGCGCAGGAGGATCGTAAGATCTTGTAGCTGCAGCGCCGGAACTAGACGTTGAGAGATATCGTCGGCTTCCCTGGTAGACGGGAGGCTTTCCAAAAACAGAATGGTGTTGTGCAGCATTGTCGAAATGCGCTTGGAACCATCTGTCGTTACCAGCGTGCTGCAAGATGAGAGGAACATCAACAGGGCACTCAATGCACACTCTCGAACATGCGACAAGAAACTTAATTCTAGATGTCCCCTTTTAGCAGCATTCTCGTGCGTCAACGGAGGAGGCAGAGCATTTCTCCATAAAAGCATCAATTGGTTCAAATGCACCTTGACAAAACTTGGTCCAAGCGAGGTGATACCACTAATCAGTGTCCAAGCTACCTGTACCTGCATGGCCGACACGCGCAATTCCGCAGCAGCACTTGACTTGAGGAGGTCCGTCGCAAAGGTGAAAACGTTGGAATAGATCTGAGTCGAGCCGTAGAGCGGTCTCTGGGGCACACAACTGATCATCACAGCAATAGTTGAAGCATACCCTAGAGATTTTCGATGAGGGTATTTGACCTCGCTTGATGGTTGGAACTCTTTGTGCAATTGTGACATGGCATGCTCTATGCTGCGGACCAGCTGACTCGGGCATGCGAGGACGAACGCCTTGAAGCATTGCACAGCATGGCTCTGAACTGTGTGGCTCGGGTGCTGGACGACTTGGAAGAGCGCTTCCCGACACGAGTCTTGAAGGACGTTGGACGCAGGACCCAGTCTGGTAAGCAAGTCGGTCAACGTTGAAATAGCCCCTGTTAATATCCGTTTGGAAGGCTCCTTTCTCTCCGGCATCACCTGAGGGTAGTTCTTGAGGACATCGTTGATTAAATGTCGGGCCGCGTTGATTTGAGCATTTTCTGTAAGGAGGCCCGTAACGTCGTTCAGGATCCACTGGACAAGCTTCCGAGTGAGTAGCAGTCGGTAGCGGTTGGCGGACACAGTAGGATTATTCAGCAGATCGCCATACGTATGTACTGCGATGGTTGCGTATTTTTCCTCTAATGTTTTGCGTGGTAGTAGGCGGAGTAGGTATCTATAGCCCATGGCAATGCCGGCACGTGCTCGGTTGCTGGTTGAGGTTCTACAGTATTGTTGCGATAGTACTCGTAGGATGTCGTTCAGGGACATGGATAACTGGACAGATGCCTTGCCCTGGCTGGGAGCTGGAGAGGCTACGCGGTCTTGTTCTCCATCCTCGTCCAGGGCCGCGCCAGCCTTCTTTGACTTCTTTGGCTTTCGTATGACCGGGACCTCGGTGGGCCCGCTTTCTGAAAATGCCTGTTTCAGAGCTGCGGCCACAGCTGCGGCCGCAGAATGCCTGACAGACGAGATTGAGCTGTCGATGGCCTTCCAAAGACTGTTCTTGAGGCTGTCAAAGTCTGCCGAGTTGTTGAAGTAGGTTGTCTCGGTGACCAGACTGCGCATACAGGAGCATGCACACCTTTGCACAAATGCAGACTTGTCATTCGCCGCAGCACTTCGGGCCTGTTTCCAGATGTCTCGAGCCACATTTTCGTCCAGGCTGGTTTGAATCCCGATCACCAAAGCGCCAAGTGCTCTGAAGACACAGCCACGAGTTCCCGTGTGGGATGACTTCAGAAGCTTAAGCAGACTCGCAACAACGAGTCCAGACAAACTTATAGCACTGTCACCAGCCGAGCGGTAGAGAGCACCCAAGCATACCGCAGCCGCATGTCTTGCGCCCACCTCTTTGTCATTTTTCCCTGCATTCAATATAGACACGAGGTCGTTTATAGTTTCATAAAGCAGGCTTCGACTGCCTCGCCCGAAGGCATCTCCTAGGATTCTACCCAGGGTGTTGCGGACAACGCGCGATGGAGTTGGTGCTCCGAGCCCGACAATCTTGATGACCTCCTTCTTGATCGATGCCTGATGCGCAGGCAAGGCTTCGGCGGAGAGTTGTTCGACGTGATGTTGCAGATCGGAGACGAAGGTCAGCAAGAACAGGTCTTGCTGTTCGGTTGGAAGAGCATGTAGTTTGGCGATGTCGAGTTCGGCATCGGAGGTGCCATTAGTTGCAGGCACTGGTTCAGGGGCCGGCGCTGGGCTGGCCATGGGGGTTTATATGAAGACAAGCGAACGTCCTGGACGGACGGACGCACTCGTATTTATCAAATACCATATAAGCGTGACAGGTGACAGAGACAGTGCCCGACGACGACTCACATGCCCTCTCTTTACATCTGTCCTTCAGAAAGTTCATAAACGGTTAGATTGACGTCTCGATCAAGCATTACTCCACCGTATGAGCAACTTTACCCTATGTAGTAAGCACTACTGTCGCGCAAATAGCAAGCAAATTCCTCAATTGTTTTCTCTCTGGCTACAGTTGAACTAGCTTACATGGCCATCAAGTGCTCTTCTTCAGATACAAGGTCTGTGCATTGCAGAATGCGCGTAGTCCGCCAATGCCCCATTCGTAACCGACGCCAGACTCTTTGTGACCTCCAAACGGCGCGTTGGGATCAAGCTCAAGATGAGTGTTGACCCAAACACTTCCAGCATCCAGCTGTCGAGCAATTCTGCTGGCTTCTTTCAGGTCATCGGACCAGACCGAAGCGCCGAGGCCCATCTTAGTATTGTTTGCACGAGCAATGACATCGTCCTCGTCGGTCCACGTCATGAGAGGAACGATAGGGCCGAAAGGCTCCTCGGTCGCGATTCTTGAAGTGTCGGACGGCTTATCAATGATGGTGGGTGTGATGAAATATCCAGGCTTGTCCTCGTTCTTACCACCTACGGCAACGGTCCACTTCTCCTTCTCAATATCTGAGAAGAAAGTTTTGACCTTTTCGTACTGCATGGAGTTCTGAACGGGTCCAAGGAACACGCCCTCTTCACTACCATCGCCGACTTTGAGTGTCTTGGTAAATGCGACCATGGCGTCTCGGAATTGGTCATGGATGGACTCGTGGACATAGATTCGCTTAATGGCAAGGCAAATCTGGCCAGAGTTCAGGAAAGCAAGCGTGGCAATCTGTACAACGGTCAATTTGCGATTAGCATATATATAGGCAAGTCTCGTACCTTGGCCGCGACGCTATTAATGTCAACATTCTTGGTGACAATGGCCGGATCTTTACCTCCCCTGTCCAAGATTAGTCATAGAACTGTCGCAAAAATACGCATATTCTTACAGCTCGAGAGTGACTCGCTTCAGCGTCTTCGCGGCACTTTCCATGACTTTCTTTCCAGTGAAAGTCGAGCCAGTGAAGCTGATCTTGTCAGGGCCAGGGTGGGCTGTAAGCCATGGTCCGAGGTTATCGTCTCCGCTCAGAACTTGCAGCACGCCTGGCGGGAAGAACTTCTGGGCCAGCTCACCCATCTTCAAATTGCAGTAGGGAGTGAATGGAGATGGTTTGATGATGATGGGGTTGCCAGTAAGGAGAGAAGGGCCGATCTTGCCACTTCAGCATGTTAGAACTAGAGACGGCAGAATTATTGCCAAAAGTTGCATGAGAGACATACCATGCCAGATGGATGGGGAAGTTCCACGGGACAATGCCGACGGTGACTCCGAGAGGAGTGTATCGAACAATGACTTGTTTTTGGGCATCTTCCTCAACGATCTCCTCCTTCAATTCGATCTTCGACAACTCTCTGAGCCAGTGGACTCCCGTTTGAGCCTCTTGAACGGCAAATTGGACCTGTAACAGTCCATCAGCTCAGAATTCCCTGTCTTCTCAGGCTCAAGTACTTACAGGTTTGCCTTGCTCCTGTGTGAGCAGCTTGCCAAAGTCCTGAGCATGCTCTTCGAGAGCGTCGGCGAAAGCAAGAACAGCCTTCTTTCGTTCTGCCCATGGTGTTTTCGACCAGGTCTGGAAGGCTGCCTTGCCCGCTGCCACTGCGTTGTCGACATCTTGCTGCGTCGAGACCGGGACTTCTGGATTTGGCTTTCCCGTTGCGGGGTTGATGCCATGTCTGGTCTTCTCTGTCTTACTCAATTGGCCGTTGATGGTGTTGTAGAAGCCATTGAAGACGTCGAAGCTGGTGTCGATAGAACCCATCTTTGCTCTGGTACAAGTGCTGTCTGGGAGATAAGCTGACGAGAGTTTGTCGAAGGTCCAAACAAGCTAGTTCTCTCAACGTGGCGCGGAGGGAGGGGATTTTATAATCGTGACGACTCGACGACTCGAGGAGTCCGACTGTCTGACTCGCCTGGGCGAGTTGACTTTGTTAGCGGCTTCCTTCGAGGGGTCCTGGTCCTGTGCATTGTGGAGGGGCGGCTGTCTTGCGGTCCGGGCACTACATTGGTATTGGGGTTTTGGTGTAATGTAGAGAAGCTTGATGATGTCGTAGTCCCCTCATTGCCAGTACGACTGAGCGGGAGGAATAGACATCATCGACTTAGTCGAGTTGTCATTGGCAGCGCTGACGGCAGCAGCTCTCGGGTGGCAGTTCTGACTTAGAGCCCGAGATCATTGCGCCTACAGTAGGTGGTCAGTCTGTGAATTTCTCCCTCGGCAGTTCTCTCGTTCTTCTTGGCTGGCGGCCGGCGGCCCGCGGTAGAAGGAGGGGAAGCCAAGGCTGCGTGTTCACGATATCAAGGTGAAAAGGTTTGTAAGCCATGCTGACCAAAAGCGAAGCAAGTACTAAGCGCGTTTCTCGTAATTCGTAGATGGTACTTGATTAATCAACACAATTAATGAAAACAGTAGCATTGCTCAATGGCGACATCCTGTTGCTCTCAGGCTTAGAGGAATCACTCTGTCCGCGGGCCGTTGCAATCGTTACTTGTACATGACTACATCAACGACGTGTCAGCTTCCCTCCGCTATGGTTTACTATCAACGTCCCCGATAGTCATTCTGAGACGCGCATCCATTCGCAGTCTATTGCCTAGAGTCCATGCCCTCGATATGAAAACCCCGATTGGAGTGGATTGTCGCGAGTGGTAATTTGTCTCTCTGAAAACACCCGTCGCTTGTAGTAAACAGGGTGGCACGGTAAAATACCCACAAGTCCGGGTCGACGTTGTACAAGTAGGACATGATGCTTTCCGTGTCACCTAATTGACGTTTCTAGTCGGATCCGAATTAGATGGACAGGCGGAAAAGGGCCTCTTGTCTGGGGGATCTCTTGAATATATATTGTGAATATCATCCGAGGTTAAACTACGGAGTACTGTAACCAATAATGCGATGATTTCTCACCTTGCACGAAATCTGATCTTCATCTTCTCCACGTCCGCATGAAAATTTACATAAGGGATTATCGGCTTTGCAAGAATCGGTGGTCTTTAGGATGAAGCCAGACACCGCTACAATGGTGAAGTGGTGAGGTACGAAAGCCTGGTACCAGTGAGAATAAATTTGGGGAAATTCAGAATGTCAGCCACCAGTAGATGTGAATTCCACCCCGTCATCACCACCAACCGTCTAACCTCCACGAGTCCGAGCGAGGACGATACAGTAATATTCTAGTAATGGGGAAATGGTTGACAGGAAGGGAGGATCATGTGGAAAGGCTCTCCCGCGCTCGAAGCCATCTTGGTCATCTGTCGCGATATGCAGTGGTCCATCAGCCATCTCAATTTCAAGAATAAGAAAAACCAATCGAAAGTATTTTTAGCCTTGAATTTCATTGAAGCTCGTATTTCACGGGGTCCTGCTACGGACATTCCACCTGACATGAGGCTACGGAGAAGTCTTGCATCAATGATGACTGCAAATAAACAAACCTGCATATACTCGTATTCGTACCGATGTGAACCTGGTTATCCATCTTCCTGGGCAGCTGATTCATGGCTCAAGTGGCGAGAAGATGATTAAGCTAGCCTCCGTATAGCATAGAAGTACTCGTCCTCGTACGCAATAAGCTCGCGGGGTTTGGCCCGCGCTGTAACCTGTGTCTTGCAGTCAGATCAGTCCTATGAGGCACGGGGCGGTCCCTGCCCGCATTCAGTGGTAAGACACGAGGAAGATCATGGATGAGGCCAAGTCTTGCATGAATGATAGAATGGGAAATCAAGCGTTAAGTAAATTGTATTATGACGAGTATTCCGAATTCCGTACGCCGACCTCCGTTTATGTACAGTATGTCTCACACGTTGATGTGCGTCCAAAGAGGGCGCAGCAACTTGTTGATTAATTTAGGTGAAACAAGTAATTTGACCGGCACTCCGCAAAACTTGGTTGACCAGCTTGTCACTTCGGCTCTTCGGGGTCATAATCCGCCCCCTTCTTCTTCGGGAACAACAAGCAAGGTGACGCATTTCCGTGCAGTAATATCAGACAAATGATATGCCACTGGTGAAAGGTCTTGCGTGCCTTGAGGTAGGGTGTGGCTGGGGCATCTCCCTCCTTATCGCGCCCGCCCCCAGACGCCATGAAATGCACAATACCAGTGTTGTGCAATGATTCAGGGTTGTCTAGTAGACCTTGCCCGGGATTTCCAATAGCTGCAAATTAAGCAACGGCACCGAGAGTATTGTAGCGGAGTGCGGCAGCCATCCCCAATGACTTTTTCTAATCGTGGCACGCCGAGGAGGCACACATGGCATGGTCAAGCGTCAGTCAAACGTGCCACTGAAGGAGTTGCATGCCTCATTTCCGATGGGCGGTGTAATATTCTGTGCCGCCGACATGTAGCGTGAAAGCACCAAGCTCTTGTAAGCCCACGGAGCCTACGCCGGCAGCATGTCATTTTGAGGCTCATCGAGGGCCGTATGTGGCTCGACTGATATGTAAACATCTGACATCCAAATACTCGTGTATATGGTGCTGTGATGTCGATAGATTTGTTGTGCTAGATATATCTCAAGTTTGTTCACCGAGTGACAATATCCATGTTCAACGTGGGGTTCGAGAAGGTGACATTCTGTGACGACCACAGAGCTTCTGAACCAAAGGCCAAGTAGCCTAGGTAATCGGTAGTACTGGGGCCTCCCACACTGGTTAGGTCTTCTAGCAATGGCTTGAAGTCGGCAGAGATGCTCTGCACCATCCCCGAGGCGACCCAGGTCAAGACTGTCTGCTGCAGACCGTTCACACCAAAGTAGAGGTCAAAAGTAGTGCCACCGATGACTACGGTCTTTCGCGAGCCCTGCTCGAGACCGATGGGTTGCGTACTGGCGCCAAAATCAGCTAGCCAAATCATGACTTCGTACTTGGCATCCTTTGTGCTTGTGGCAGCATGCTGGTTGGAGTCAATGAACATGTCGATAGCTACGTTGGCATTAAGTTCAATACTGGTAAGCTCGGTACCATCTGTGCTTGTCGGGACAACACTGCCAACACCGTAATGCCATTCCGTTGAGATGTTGATTGCAGCCACAGTAGAAATCTCGACGGGGAGAACGTTGTTCGATGGATCGATCTGGATGTTGGGGAAGGCATGCACAGGTTGAGTTGGAGGACCCTGGGGGAATTGCCAGGTAATCGACCACTCCGGGGCAGAAGTTCTGGTCGGGTAGGAGCCGTTGTCGAACGAGGTAACCTGTTCCTCTGTCAGTCCGACACCACAAGCATGCACTCGATGTGAGGGTAGACTCACGTTCATACAAAGGCCACCACTAGTGGTAGCATCGGTGACACCCCATTGATTGGGATTCACTGAACGTTATTTAGTCAGCTTTGAAGTACAGAACATGACGGGTAGAGAGAGGAGGTGACATCTTCCCCAAGGCGGCTAGACCACGGAGGTTCAGGGATCTCCAAATGCCGACTTGCAGCCAACAATGCAGGACACTCTTGCGGGTGGGTCATCGACCAGTCCAAACAGGTGAAAGTCCAGGAACAGGCGGGAAACCTGGCCACCCAAGAGCGTTCACTGATGCAAGGCACCAAATTGTTGGCAGGTGGGAAGACCGACAAAGTTTTCATCGTCGGCTGAGCTAGCCAAAGGCAATAACAAGAGGGCAGGACTCACGTGTGTACTGTTGACCACTGGTTTCGGGCGAGATACCGAAGGACAATTGGCAGTACTGCTTGTGAGTGACTTTGTTGCTCACAAACGGCGGTGCGAATCCACGCGATACTCGATAGGATTGAAGGCCGAGCAGCACTCCCAACGTGACGGCCACCGGCAGGATAAGGAAACCGTAGCTGATGAGTGATTTGGCGCCCATGGTGGTCGACTGTTGTTGAACTTGAAACAGTCTTCGGTGTGCGACAGGTAGATGAAAGATGAGAAGAGGCAGGAGAGAAGATGAGGACGCACTGGAGCGTACTTAGGTGCCTAGATGAATGGAAACGAGAGACTGGAGTTTGTGAGGTAGGTAAAATGATATGGAGTAGGAGTGATCGAAGCACAAAAGGAGTTTGCTGGTACAGTATTATCGAGTCAGGAAGGCAGGATGGGGTGTCGTGGACTAGGAAGGGGGCTCTGTCGGCAATAGCGACCGCCGATTGAAGGTAAAGAAGGCGACGTTTGGCTTGTGGGATGATTTTTTGACAGGACAAACAAGCAAAGACTAGTAGGGCAAGGGGTGAGAAGATGTTTTGGTGGGTGTGATGAAAGGAAGATTGGATGAGACAGGGTTGTGTAGGTAACCCGTCCTGTTGTGCATGGTTCTACTGTACGTACACTCCGTTAATAGATTGGTAGATTACTCCGTAGTAGAGTGCCTACTCCGAGTACAGTCTATTCTCCGTGGGTGTCCAGCTGAATTCACTCACTGCATGCGAGAAACTGGGAATCAAGAGGCCGGCAGAAATGAGATTGTCCGTGCTGGCAACAAGGTTACGACTTGTTTTTGGCGTGTGTTGAGGGGCGCAGAAACAAGGGCGAAGCTTGCATGGGTGGCGTCCTTGCCAGCGAAAATCCCGGGAGGCGGCAGTTTGAGTCAGTGCAGGCGGCTAAACCCCTTGGGTGCCTAGGGCCATGCAACCCTGGCCAAGGGGCCCAGGGGCATCTAAATTGTTGGCTGAGCCTTGCCTATCACCACCGATAGCCTCGCTGCCTTGATGCCAAATTTACGTCGCAGTGGGTGTGTCTGGAGTCGAAATCCGCCACTCACACTGCACAGAGGTGGTGAGCCCTTTTCTCGCCTATCGCCGTTGCACATTCATCTTTTTCGCTTAGACTTTTCGGGCGAACCGTGAAAACTTTGTGGGTGTGTTAGGGGCATGTTTGTTTGTACTCGTATCATGAATACGGATAGCGACCCCGTACATTACATATCGGGTGAGCTCAACCACTTGCACCCAGGCAGCTTAATGCTGGAGTACTGTACTCTCCGGAGTAATGCGGACAGTTGCCTGCCACGGTTACACGGCGTCTGTTACAGCCCAGCCCATTCAAGGCATACCAATAGCCGTTGTGGACGGAGTACGCGCGTTGATAAACCCGCCACAAAGCACTGGACGAGGTTGACCAAACTTTTTATCAACGGACTTGCGAGATTATGCAGCCAACAATCCGAACAAAGCTGGGGATGGTCAAGGTTGCCTGGAATAATGGCAAGCTGTGCAGCGCGTGCAGCGCGTGCAGCGATGCATTGTCCGCCTTCTCATACCTGCTCCTCAAGCCCCAATTCCCGCGCACCGTGCAGTCTATAGTTTTGTGTGCATACTCCGTTCAAGAATCCGTATACAGCAAGATTCTCGCTCGAACCGACATGCCCGCTGTGAAAACTGGGCATTAGCTCGTAATACCCTCCCGTAAAGTACTGTAGAAGCTCTCAGATCAAAAAAAGGCACAGCCCGATCCATGACGGAAGGGTTGGTCGGATCATCTCTCCCTCCTGTTCCTGGTAGGGGAGAGCAAAAAACTAGCACTGACCATCGCCGCTCTCCTTATCCACCTCGCTCAGCTGCATCCAATCCCGGAACTGTCAATCCAAAATTTGAAACCAAACGATGGCCGGGCTGCTCTGCTCCATCTTCAGTCACTCTCTCTGCTTGTCACCTCGCATGGTGTAATTTACCTGCCCTCTTTCCTTTCATCCTCCGAACAAAGCCTCTCGTTATACCAAACACCTCACCATCGCGTGAGAGACAGCTCAAACAGAGCCGGGTTTCCTATATACCTTACTCTCGCTACCGAGTTTACGTGCTCGAACCACACAACACAGTCGCTTCCTGCACTCCTTACAACGAAGCAACATTAATAAACGGCACATACCATACTGCACAGCTGCTCAGCAGTTGAAACATGCAGCACGAGTCCATCTAATCTCACGACCCCGGACCACAATTTGATCAGAGCCACCAACCCTCTAGCGTGACCTCACAACATTCCTTCCAGCCTCAAGCTCCCCCAGAACTCTCCTACCTTCGTGACATGCCTCTCCTTCGAAAAGGAGATCCGAGGAGGTCTCAACAGCACCTCATGACGGAATCCAAGTCGTCGGCGGCAGCCTCGAGTACAACATTGCACGAAGGCATGGATCGGTATCTCGAGCCCCCGTCGGCACATCCAGTCTATGGGAATTACACAGAGGATGTGCCCCTACAAGAGCAGCAGAGCCTGACACCTCGAAGACCTCCGATGTCTGAATACCATAATCGAACACTCTCTGATCTCGTGCCAGAGAGCATTCAGGACAGCCCTATCGACTCACCACATCATGCCAACTATCCTCCCTTTGGCCCTCGAACAACGTCGGCCTTCTCAGACGCCGGCACCATGAACAACTCACCCTACAATTCCGGCTCGCCCTACCAAGGCAACTCACCATACCCGGGCAGCTCGCCCTACCCGGGAGGTTCACCCTTTCCCGCAGGCACACCATGGAGGAGTCAGGAGACGCTTAGGCCGCTTGTGCCTGATGCTCCTCAGACATATATGAAGAGGGATTGGGTTAAAGACGGCTCAATTGCTCAATTAAAGTCGCGAGATGACAAAGAGTTCATTTACGGCTGGAAGAAGTGGTTGTTCAAGTGGGTGGCCCCCGTCCTGGGAATGCTCACGCTGGCATTGTACTGGGTTTATTTCGGCATGCGAATCACCTTTGTCGTGGAAGCCCAAACAAAATTCCATGCACCATTTCCTTTGGCTTGGGTTTTTATTGCCATCGAAATCAGCATTGCTGTTCCCATCTTTATGCAGACCTTCTGGTCGCTCTTCATCATGAAGAAGAGACAGCGTCCCCAGCTTCGGTTGGTCGGCAACAATGTTCCCTCTGTGGATGTTTTTATTACTTGCTGCGGCGAGGACGACGACTTAATTCTCGACACGGTACGAGCAGCCTGCGACTTGGACTACCCGATGGATCGATTCCGGGTGTTGTTGTTGGACGATGGAAAGTCAGACCACCTTCAACAAGTGTTGAACGACATGCGCGAGCTGTTTCCGAATCTCTACTATGTGCGGCGTCCCAAATTCCCTGGTGTCCCTCATCACTTCAAGGCCGGAAATCTCAATTACGGTCTGGAGTCGGTTCACAACCTGCCCGGAGGTGCCTCTGAATACATGGCTGCTTTGGATGCTGATATGATTCCGGAACAACACTGGTTGCGGGCTGTCATGCCACACATGCTTTTGGATGAGAAGATGGCTCTCGCATGCCCTCCCCAGCTTTTCTATAACGTTCCAAAAGGCGATCCTCTCTGTCAAAGTCTCGACTTCTTCGTTCACGTGTCAGAGCCAGTCAAGGATGCTCTGGGCGTGGCCTGGTGTACCGGATCTGGCTATGTGGTACGAAGAGTGGCTCTCGACCAAATAGGTGGATTTCCACTGGGTTCCCTGGCTGAGGATGTTGCTACCTCGACTCGTCTCCTAGGCCGGGGTTGGAAGACCGCCTATGTTCACGAACCACTACAGTTTGGCACTGTGCCCGAAGACTACGGCAGCCATTTGAAACAACGAACTAGATGGGCTATCGGGACAGTCGACACCTCATTCAAGCTAAAGTTCTGTCTGTTCGGCGATGATGTCAAACACATGACTTTCGCACAGAGAATGTCAAGCTTCATCTACGCATTCCTGAGTTTGTTCAACATCTTTTTGACGCTTTCGATCTTCGCCATGCCTATTGTTTTGAGCCTCAACAAGCCTCTCGTGGCTTATTCGAACAACGACGAGCTCAGATTGCTGATCAGGACATGCTTTGCACTTACCATGTGTAACCGTCTGTGCGAATTCGTCCTCTATATCCCCGCCGGATACCACACTGGACAACGTGGCAGTCGATCACAGCTGTGGATGAGCCCCTACATTGCGCTTACCATCATCCGCTCCTTCATTCTCCCGACATGGCTCGGTGGTCAAACACAAGCCTTCAAGCCTACCGGCAGTCTTCAATCGGCTTTGAACGAACGATACCCCAAGTTGAGAGCCCCGATGTGGCGACGTATATGGACAATCTTGGTCAACTACCTTGCTGGATTCCACGTTGCATATGTTTACTGGGTCTTGGTTGCTGTGACGCTATCCAGCTACCGAGCATTCCTCGCTCATGGAGTTAGAGCCAAACTGATCGAGAATCTAACTCATGCATGGTATGTACAAATTCTGAAGTACTTTGGTAAGAGTTTGCTAACTAAGTCACAGGTGGGTGCCCTTGGCTTGGGTACTGGTTGTGTCTTCGTTTTGGATCCCGTTCACATATGCTGTCGACCCACCATCGATGCCTGACCGCGAATCTCTGCTTATTCGGGATCCCAAGACGGGCGTCGCCCATCCCACCAAGGAGAGTAAGACGATTGCCTTCCGCGGCCAGACGATGTGGTTCGAATTCGAGTACACCTTCACTACAGTCTTTACCGCCGTCGTCTTCGCGGCCACATTCTTTTACTGAACAACATCGCATCGACCACGACGACATGATCATGGCTTACGGATATTTTTGTTTAATCTTACTGCACATATGGGGAAAAGCCTCATTCCCGGACTACCTATTAAGGCGCACCAACTTAGATTCTGGACCGAAAGAAAGCACAGCCTTGTACAGAACACATGATTTGAGAGAAAAGAATGGTTACTGGTTGATTTATAATACTATAAAACGTGGGATCGGCTTCCACAAGCATGGATATTGTTTGGGATTATCTTGAGTACAGTAAACGAAGGGCGAATCAGGAGGTATGGCCGAAGTGATTTTGGACAAGCACTTTTTTGGTCTGCATCAGGGGTGCGGGTTGGGTTATACTCAATACTACGTTTGAGTCTTGAGACTTTTGGTGGTGTCCGGTAGGAATATGTGTGCAAGGCATAATGGGAAATGAGTTCCAAGGAGAGAAGAAAATATACATAAACACTGGTAGACAACAGTTCAAGAGTTGTCCTCTTCTTTATGTTGTGATCTTTTTGTCGATATGTGATTAGACTACGGCTCCTGCTTAGTACGAGAACCAGTGCGAGTACGTGTACTCCGTACAGCTGGGAAATACAGACTCAACAGAGTATAGGGATATCGCCATAGTCCGTATACCTGCAGCATGTGGTGATCTGTTTAGTTGCACAGAACGGAGTTTATCAAATCTCCATGAAGCCTGAGAATGGCCTCGGCATAGTTTCCTGCACCGGGGATGTTGAAGTGGACTCCAAAATCGCGAGTTTCTCTGTAAAAGGACTAGCGTCTCTTTCCTCGGAAGACGGCCGACATGAGTTCAATACTTTGATATCTTTTCAACCATGCCTTACGTACCTAGATATCTTCAAAGCCTCTTGAGGTCCAATACCCTTGAGTTCATTGTCCTCCGTGTGGTACATGCTTGATGATCATGGCGTTAAGCACTCCGTACGGGGACAGAGATGTGTTATCTCCGTCGAGAGTACCCCAGGTAGGAACATATAAAAGACGAAGTATCGACTGATACTCAGGGCTATCCCAGAGTATACAACCTGAATTATTGCGGAGAGTGATCACCACTCGCAAAGCCGTTGACATCGTAACTCCTTAGGAGGCGCCTTGAAACGATCCATACAACGAGAACATGGCGGACAACAAGAAGAAGATCATCCTCATCACAGGTATGTGTCCCGGAGGCAGCCATCGAACATTTTCTTGTGTTCTCTCTCCCCTGACTCATCGATCTATCCTTGTCTTGTAGGAGCCAACTCAGGTATCGGCTTCGATACAGCCAAGGCCCTCGCGTCCGCATCGGCAAACAATCACGTCATCATGGCTTGCCGAGACGAATCCAAGGGTCAAACCGCCTTTGAATCCCTGCAGTCCTCATCCCCCTCGCTCCTCGGGACACTCAGCCTTCTGCAGCTCGACATCACAAACGACGAGAGCATCTCGGCCGCAGTGGCGCAGCTCACTTCGGAGTTTGGCAGGCTGGACGTTCTGATCAACAACGCGGGCATGATGAACCTCAAGCCCACCGACCGTCGAGCGGACCTGCTGAGCACGTACAACACCAACGCCGCGAGTCCATTGATCCTCACGGAGCAAATGCTGCCTCTGCTCAAGAAGAGCGAGGACCCCAGAGTCGTCAACGTGTCGAGCGGGCTGGGCAGCGTGACGGACAGGTCCAACCCCGCCGACCAGTACTACGCCATCCCGGGAGAGCCATATCGCATGTCCAAGGCGGCGATGAACATGGCCACCGCGTGCATGTACGCGAGTTACAAGGATTGGGGGTGTAAAGTGTGGAGTTTCGATCCCGGGTTCGTGGTGACAAATCTGTCCGGGGCGGAGAACAGGGATCGACGGGTCAGTATGGGTGCCCAGAGTTCCGAGACCAGTGCCAAAGGGTTGAGGGAGATTGTGGAAGGTGTGAGAGATGGTGAAGTTGGGAAGTTTGTCGGACGTGAGGGTATCACCTTTCCTTGGTGAATTGGGTGACTTTCATTCCCTACCTAGGAACGGCCTAAGGGGGCCCAAGATGACTGAGGACCCGAGGTACTTCGCCTCGTGTAAGTAGGAGGATTCGCCGTTTACCATATAGATAGAAAAGAAACTGCATCAATGATGAAAAAAGAGGGACCATGAATGGAGGAACACAAAGAACAAGTTTGCATTTTCCCCCCTCATAGCTTAGCTTTCTGTACACCAGCACCTCCTGGAGTGTTGGACACGAAACTACCTTCCTGTTCTTCCCATTCACTCAATACCGTCTTTTTGCCCTGTATGAATGGTCCGGTGGCTTTACTGTGAATCGCGCGAGTTTCAGTACTCATTGCACCCGGGGAGGTGACGGCGCGAGGGGTTTCAACTTACAACATTGCCTTGAACTCTTTGGTCTTGCCATGGACGCCGATGGAAGGTAGATCCTTGTACCGTTCGACCATGAGAACCTCGTTGGGAGCATCCGGTCGCGTCATGACGCAGTACGTCAAGGTCCCCAGCTCATTCTCTTCCACCCAGTCACAGAATTTTCTGGCAGGGGCACGTCAGTCGGTACAAAGCACGGGACGAGTACTGGCGTTCCCGGAGAAAAGACTAGGACTCACCCTAGAACATCCACCAACTTCTCCCTCATGCCTTGGCCGTCCTTGCAGACGAACTTGGCCAGCATCACTATCTTGGCCTTGGGTGATTCTCGTTGCTTGTCCCTCGCCATGAAACCGGCGCTGGGGTACCACGTGGTATGATCCCCCGGGTTGACAGCCACGTCGGACAACTTGAAATACTGATCCGCCTCGGACGCTGCTTGTCTACTGGGAAACGTCTGGATCACGCCGACCGTGGTGTCCTTTTCGGAAGCCGGAACCATGCCCAACATGGCCCCCTTGCGAGTCGCCGGGGTGAAGTACGTGCAACTCAGACATTCGGCCTCGGCGACGCGAAAGAAGGACGCTTTGGACAAGAGTGTGTGTAGTAACTGTGAGAGACAGAAACAGGTAATCGTTAGCGACGAAGAAGAAACTCATATCAACAAGTGCCCTCTGCAATGACTCTGGTAAGGTGTCTCATCTCCACTCCGGTCAACAAGACCACCATCAACGCCTCCAGCGTCACTTTTGGCCGGGTACGCCTCCTGCGTATGTACAGCAACTTCGTCAAAAAAATCTTGACTAAGCTTACCTTTTCTTTCGTCTGTGTCGAATTCGGGTGCAATAGCGTCAATGACGCAGCTTTGTGTGCTTCTACCCCCATTTTCGAAAACTCGTGTGAATGACCAACGGCGTCGGCTTCAAGGCAACGAACGGCTGAGATCCTCGAATCGACGGTACGAGTAACAAGATTGAAGAAACAAGATTGATGTCTTTGTTAACGAGTCCTCCGTATGATTGATTGACCTTGATTACTCTACAGGGCCATCATTTGCCTCGGTCAGGCCCCCGGTTTGGAGGTCACCCACCCCCGCCGCCAATCAACCGTACAATACCCGCTCCGACTCCGTACAGTATTTACCGAGGACCAAGGAAGAACTTGGTCGTATTCGCTAAATAAAAACCACGGAGTAACTACTCCGTAGCATCGACCATGAGAAATACGCCAGCTTCTGACAAAAAACCACCTTCTCACAAGCTTAGCAAATACCGTACCCAGACTAACTATTGCTAGCATATGAGATGCCGTCTGATTGAAGCAATCTACACATTCATAATGTCGTGATCTCGCGATTCACATCCTTTTGTCAATGTCTCCAAGGTTGGTGCGAGAATGTCTCTCTCCGCAAAGTTCACGAAGCTGTCTACATACAATCACCAGACCGCACCAGGCTCTGGACACAGAGAAATTCAAATAACAGCAGTGGAGGTATATGCGTATTCGTTGAGCTATGGAGACGATGAGGCTGGGCGCTCTTCTTCATGCAGATCACCTCAAAAATCCGATCGGACTCTTACGCTCGGAACAGGGCAGAAGGACCCAAGGCTGATGATAGCTTGGTAGTAGCTAGTAATGGTCGCGCGTGTCGTGGTGATGTGCTATAAGACGAGGTTGCACCGTCACCCGGTGTACTTGGTCTTTGAAGCTCTCTCTCAAAGTAAGTCCTTGGGACAAAATCGACCGCTTCCGTTGTCGTTCTTTTAATTTCGCCCGCCAACGAAAAATGGCTCGCTTCAGTTCGTTGGGCCTCGCGGCTTCAGCATGCCTTCTCTTCAGTAATGCAGTCCACGCTCGACCAAACGCTCCCAGTTCGAAGTATCCTCCAGGATCTTCATGTGCCCAGTTCACTGTTCCTGTGGCCGTTTCGAGTGAAATCTACTACATGGACACGTCCCCGAGAGTCGACAACAACATCGAATGCGGAGATTATGTGGTCGATGCAGACACGTGGACTTCTCCCAACGTCACTGAACGTGTCACCAGCGTCGGACAGCTGAACGAGACCTTTTCAATCAATGCGCAGCTTTGCGTTCCCGCAAAGAATGCTGGCAAGGAAAACATTCTCCAAGTTGTCACCCATGGCGTTGGGTTTGACATGAGGCAAGTTCATGAATTGCTGTGAGATTTGACTTCGTCTAGAGGGACTGACCTCGATCGTCCGACTGCAGATACTGGGACCCCGATTATAAGCCAGAAGTGTACTCGTACATCATGGCGACTCTAGAGGCCGGATACTCGATCCTGACCTACGACCGTCTCGGCACTGGTCTCTCCGACAAACCCGACGCCTACGATGTTGTCCAGGCACAAGTCCAACTGCAGATTCTCAAGGTAATGACCGAGATGGCACGGTCGGGCGAGATATCGAAAATGGCAAGTTCGCAACTGGACAGCATTCCCAGCTTCACCAAATTCGTGCACGTGGGTCATTCGTTCGGTTCGATCCTGACGAGTGCCCTGGTCGCCAAATATCCCGACCTCACCGACGGCATCAGTTTGACCGGCTACATCATCGCCACGCACGCGAACCACCCGACAGGATCGTGGGGTTGGGTGCTCGCACGTGAAGCCGACCCGGTCAAATGGGCCGATCGAGGAAGCGGATACCTCAGTCTGGCGACGCTCACACAGTTTCAAGAGGCCTTTATCAGTAGCAGCGGAGGGGTGTTTGATGCAGGTGCGTCGGCTTTTGGGTATGACATTGCGCAACCTTCGCCCATTGCAGACTTTCGAACCGGATTTGCCATTCAAGGGCTCAAGGCTACTGACTACAAGGCTCCAATTCAGGTAAGTAGCCAATCGTCTGTGTTTTTGTGTGTCTGCCGTCACGCGAAGAGCAAACAGAAAGACAGAGTTATAGGTGGCTAACACTTCGGTGATCATTTAGTTCCTCCTTGCCGAGTACGACTTTTTGTTGTGTGGAGGTAACTGTGTCAACAATTACAACGAGACCTTGTTGCGACAAGTATATTACCCCTCGGTGTCCGACTTTAACATCACCATCCAGGAAGGTGCAGGGCATGGATTGACCTTGCATACGAATGCCAGGAAGGGTTACCAGGCTCAATTCGACTTTTTTGATAAGAATGGGTTGTGATAGCCAGGATACCCGGAGTACTTGAGGGATAGGTAGCGTGGCCTTTATCAACAGAACTCCAACGACATTCTCGGATGGAAGGTGCATTACAAAAATCACAGATGGAAGAAAGTCTTGGTAGGCATTAGATTGCTATAATCATAAGTCATGATTGTCATCTATCTTAATAACGGACCGCATGTCTTCAGGCCTGATACATGGCGTCATACCTAGCATATGAATGTAAGAGACCATGGGTCCTATCTTCGTATTCATGGTCATTGTTTCTCCTTGCGTCCGAAAGTGTATGCATTAAGTATACAGTTTAGCCCTCTCTTGAATCAACAAGCGAAAGGTCCCCAACTCCGTACCCTCGTTTGGGTAAACGATAACTAAACATGACCGCAAGTGTGTTAGGCATTTAGAGAATCATCGAGAAGTCTTCCTCGTACTCCGTACATCACATCACGTAAGCTGATCCTTTTCTCCCCCCTCTCTCTTTCGCGTGAAGTGGTGAGTGGGGGAGAACAGAGTGAGTGCGGGAGAACAATATGTCGACTTGCTTCTGTCTTGATCGACTCCAGTGTAATTGCGGAGAAACTCCCGGTGTTCATGTGCTGGCCGACCAGCAATAACCCGAATACACCGAACGTAGTATTCAATCAAAGGTGAATAAATACCCGATCATATATGAATGATTGAACTTCCTCCTTCATCTTACTCGTCACCTATCGACTCACATTTGAACGATACAACACTTGTTCCCATCATCGAGATTGATATTTGACACTGTCATCCTCACTTAACCATCGTCTCCCTTCGCCTCTACCTGAATATTTCAAACATATCCCAACCAACTTCATAAGTTTTGGGATTCTCTCTCCGTGTGTCAGGTTTACAATGGCCTCTTCATCAGATCCGATATCCAAACACACGGCCACCAACGGCGCCACCCCACTCCGGGACACCACCACCTACATCACCGGCCACAACAAGAAAGATTACACCGCCATTTATGAATCGGTACGCCCCGCGGAATGGCAACCCATCAAGGAAACAAATCACTTCAACGTCAGTTTCACCACTTCCGAGATGCCTGTTTGTATGGACGACGACAAGGACATTGAACAACACGACCGGGTCATGGCTTCCAACACGCTAGGTCTGGTGAGACCCAACGGGACCGTATGTAGGACCGTCGATTTCGCCCCGGCGGGTGAAGCACTCATGCACCGTACCAAGAGTTTGGATTACGGTATCGTCGTGGAGGGTGAAATCGAGTTGCACCTGGACTCGGGAGAAGTCAAGACCCTCAAGAGGGGTGACGTCGCGGTCCAGAGAGGTACCATGCACGCTTGGAAGAATTCGAGTCCCACCCAGTGGGCCCGCATGATCTTTGTCCTCCAGGACAGTACCCCCGTCAAGGTCGGCGATAAAATCTTGGGTGAAGACTTGGGTCATGCAAAGGGTGTCATCCCGGACAGTGGCAATCAGTGAAAGGAACAGGACCTAGATATTGAGATACAGTTCGAGATTGATTACGAGAGAGTCGAGATATGTCGAGTCATTCCTCTGAGGGAGATTCCTACGGGTGGTATCAATGGTGAGAGGGGAGAAAAGGGGAAGTGAGAGTGCGTTTTAACGTATATGCTACTTAGAATCGCAAAGACTGCGTCAAAGAACTCACATAAAGAGGATTCAGTGCATAGAATTTGAGCATGCACTCTCAATCATGATCATGACTACAAGGCCAGAATCTTAAGTCCCATAAACATGTGTATCGAACAATACATTTATACTTGTCATACCTATAAAGAATCGACAACCCTCGACTCATCATAACCAAACAACTTCATGGCAATCTGTTTCGCCGTGTCCAAATCAGTCTTTTCGATCTTTGCCAGAATCTTGTCTCTAGATTTCAACAACGGTTTCACCACATCTACCCAACCTAATTGTCCTCTTGTCGTATAGGGACGAGCCTCGGGGGTCACTTCCACCGCCCCTAGCTTCCCGTCCCTCTTTCTCACGACGCCGTCCACGATGGTCATGACTATATCCCCGGGGGTCGAATGCATCACGATGGTCGTGACCGGGTCGTACTGCGCCCCACAGACCATGCCGGGACTCAGGGCGTCAAAGACGATGATGTCGGCCAATTTCCCGACTGCCAAACTGCCGATTTGATCCTCGAACCCGACCGCCCTTGCTCCCTGAATCGTACCCAGAGCGTACGCCTCCTGCACGGTCCTGGAGATCTTGGAAGGCACCTTACCGGCAGCCAGGAACTTGCCGTTCTCCACGCCGCGGGACGCCTGGAGGGCGCAACGCATCTCGGCGGGGATGCTGGGTAAGGTGACGTTGTGACAGTCGACTCCGAGAGAGCAACACGCCTGTAGCGCTTGGCGGTCGGAGTCGAAGCACGCCGGAGTTCCCATGGCCATTTGGAGCTCGAGCGACGGCGTGGACGAAATGTGGGCGTTTCGCTTCCCTATCAGGTCAATGTCCTTGGGTGAGAGCATGTTGGCGTGAGAAAGAACAGTGTGTGGTGTCAGGACTCCGTATGAGTCCATGACCTCGACGTTTGACGGCATCCCCGGACGACCCGGCGTCATGTGCGTCGTCAGATGCTTGATTCCCATGGCCTTGATCTTTTCAAACATGGGAGCCAAAAGTTCCTTGGGGAGGAACCACCCGTCGAACGCCACGCCCAGAGTCACCCGGCCGTCCCCAAAGGGTGCTTGTTGTGATAGTTTCTCCAGTGTGTCGAGGGCCCATGGCGCAATGAAGCTCGGGTTGAAGGTGAATGGAGCCCAGGAATCGACCCGGATGTTGAAACAGTATCCGTACACAGACCTCAGACCAGATGCGGCTGTTGCTGCGATGGCTGCTTTGGCTTTACGTAGCAAAGAATGAGACTGTGTCAGCATAAGATGTATAATGTTTGTATGAATAAAATGAAGAGGGGGAGAGAAAGATTAAAACAACGTACGTGCTTCCTCTGAATAGTTCAAGTGAGAATGATCCACCACCGTCGTCGTGCCGGCATTCATACACTCCAGACAACTTGCCAATTGACCCCAAAAGATGTCGTCGGGTTCGTAATTGGAACTCTGAAGAATACCTGAGTTGTGTAACATGTTAGAAAGCGGCCATTCACATCAGACTCGTCAGTCGAGTGGCGGAATGGATCAAGGTTTTTGGTTCTTGGAGAGGTCTCAATCCCACCTTGAACGATATAGTCTTGTAAAAGATTGTCTCCGTGACGACCTCGAAGTGCCGTGTTCCACATGTGTCTGTGAGTATCGATGAAGCCTGGAGCGATGATTTTGTCCTGACAATCGACGACTTCTGCTTCGCTGGGTGCTTTGATGTTTGGCGAGATTTCTGCAATCTTATTGCCTCGGACCAACAAATCTGCCTTGATGCCTTTTGCTTTGTCTTGTGCATCGTGTACAATCACAGTGCCTCCCTTGAGGAGCAAGGGGCGTGACATGGTGGTGGTGGTTTCTGATGAGACCGCAGAAGAAGAAGATTGAGGACGTCGAAAACTATCGGCCACTTTCTTCAATCGCTCAGTTGCTGCGGCCTGTCTGACGGTATCTGGGCTTGAAGTACTACCTTGATATCCTGCCATGAAATGATTTACGACAAAACAGCTGCTTGTATGTCCGAATCTCATAACATCACATCCGACAATTCTCAAGTCCGGTCGTCCCTCGAATGTTTGAGACGTTGCAACCCACACGTGCTTCTTCTCTGGTCTTTCGGGCTTCGGAGCTTGTGTCAAGTCGGGGTTAATCAATTTCCCTTCTCCTTTCTCCTTACACTCAAGTGACAATGATCTCACACACGAGTAGAGAACATTGGAATTGCATTGGATACTCCCCAATCGACCCCAAAGGACCAAGACTTGACTAAGAGTCTAGAGGGTACGCCATCTCCACAAAGTCGAGAGTCGACGTCGAAGGTGTCCACCCAACTCCGGTCACGTGATCGGTCATTACGGACGTCCTTCTTTCGCGTCCTTCGCCATTGGTGTTTGTTCCTTCTTCCTTCAACGTCCAACTTTGGACCCAGGAGTCGTGCACGATCTATCACCCCCATTCCGCATCGGCATTTTGAAGATGTGATCAATCATGCCACCCCGCTCTGTGAGGGGCACGGTGCGCGATACACTAACACGAGGTGTTAGTAGTCCTGCTTGCACAACGCCTTTTCTTGTGAGTTCGAGCAGCTTGGCAGACACGACACACAAATGCATGGAATTCAATACCAAACTAAGTGAACTATGGCTAGGTCTAGAACTGGCCCTTGATACTACATTCAACCAGAGGTCAAAGCTTACAATTCTCGAGAAGCTCAGTGACTTTTGACCACCCGGCCACCGGCCCAATGCCCGAAGGTACCCTCATATTCTTTGGGCGACTGTACTCATGAAGAGTCTCAATACAGTGCTCTCTGCCATAGCCGGAATGTTTTGCTCCTCCGAACGGTGTCCCTAAAGCCATACGGTTGTAGTTGTTGATGAAAACCATACCAGCATCGACCTCCCGTCCGGCTTTGGTCGCCTTCGTCACATCCTTGGAGAAAACTGCACAGACAAGACCGTATTCAACCTCGTTTGCGATCGAAATGGCTTCCTCGTACGTGGAGAATGCATTGACTGTGACCACAGGCCCGAATATCTCTTCCCTTGCCACTCTCATATTCCGAGTCACACCGGTCAACAAGGTAGGCTGAACATAGAAGCCCTTGGCCAGCTTCGAATCCGTCGGCTTTGGTGCTTGTGCCTCTATCTTTGCGCCCTCGCTGATGCCAATCTGGATATATTCTTCGACTTTCTGTTGATGGACCTGGGTCACCAAAGGTCCTACGTGGGTATCAGCGTTGGCACCGTGGCCAACCTTGAGCCGCTTGACAGCAGCGCCGAGTTTACTGACAAATTCATCGTGAACGCCGTGTTGTATTAAAATCCTGGAGGAGGCTGTGCACGCTTCTCCCTGATTGAAGAACCCGCCATCCAACGCATTTCTCACCGCCAGATCAACATCCGCATCGTCGAATATGATCATGGCGTTCTTTCCACCGAGTTCAAGCGAAAGAGGAGTAATTGAGTCTGCCGCGAGCTTGCTGACAGCCGCTCCTCCCCTTGTCGAGCCGGTAAAGGACACTTTCCGCACATCCGGGTGTGTGACGAGAGCTTGCGGAACAGCCGTGCCGACCGCTGGAAGTGCTTGTATCACTCCCGTTGGCAGGACTTCCTGAGCAATCTCGATTATTCGCATTGCTGTCAATGGTGCTTGCTCTCCGGGTTTGATGATTATTGTGTTGCCCATGGCCAACGCCGGCGCGGATTTTCCCCCGACATGGATTGGGGGCCAGTTGAATGGGATGATGCCGGCCACAACGCCGTATGGTTCTCGAAACACGGAGGCGTAGATGCTTCCCTGATCGTAAAACTCGTCGGGCAACTTGTCAATCAGAGACGCAAAATAGTGGAAAATGCCAATCACAAAAGGAACGTCGCCTTCGCGAGCTTGGCTGATGGGTTTGCCGTTCTCTCTCGAGAGCAATTCGGCCAGCTCTTCAAAGTGTTGTGATAACTGGTCGCCCACTCGGTGCAAGTACATCGCTCGTTCTCGTCTGGGAAGCCATCTCCAGCTTTGAAAGGCCTTTTGAGCGGTGGCAACGGCTTTTTGCACTTCGTTGACACCTCCACCTTGCACTCTGGTGATTAGTTCTCCCGTAGCAGGATTATGGACGTCAAATTGATGCGCCGGGTCGTTTGAAGACCATGGAAATCGTGAGATTTTCTCGTAAACCTTGGGCTGGAAACTTATGCTCCCCATGATGAGAGTGGTGTATGTCGGCTGGCAATAACTTGTTGATTGAGGATGGCACTCTGTATATAGCGATCACGGATGGAAACTCCAAGGCACTGATAAGGTCGGAATCAGCAAACAAGAGGCTTTATACGGCGACATGATCTTCGATACTGGCGATTGGCCGTTGAAGTTGAGCCCCCCCTGGTCAGGAGTGGAGCCATACTCAACTCACGTGCCCGGAGTCGTCGATCGTGGAACGAAGCCAGTCGCAATCCATCTCGGCCTTGGACTATGCCTGGTCGGGTTCGGAGTTAAAAAGTACAAGGACAGACTACTCGTACGACCTTTGTCTTGTTGGAGAGATAGATTGTGATATCCAAACAAGACTTCTCGTCGGTATCTGGCTACTGTGAAGCGACATCCACGGTCATTACAGGGATCACCTCCAATCAGAACACCAATCATGAAAGGCAAGATCATTCTAGAGGAGCATGTCTGCTTACCAGAAGAGAATCCAGCAGAAAAGCTCAAGTTCTTTGCACGAGATCCCAACGGTCTTGCCGAGGCATTGTTTGATCTTCACGGAGTACGACTGCAAGAGATGAACGAGAATGGTGTCGAATACGCCATCATGTCTTACACCCCCCCTGGGCCTCAAGGGTTACGAGATCCAAAGGCAGCAGAAGAGTATGCCGTCAAGATCAACAACTGGCTTGCAGAACTTGTCGATCGAGCACCAGAGAGATTCGCAGCCTTTGCAGCCGTGTCCATGCACGATCCCTCGACCGCGGCCAAAGAACTGACGAGATGTGTGAAGGACTTGGGCATGGTTGGAGTCATGCTGCACGACACGCAGGAGTATATGACATCCGAAGGCCGTGTCAGCGAGTATCATTACGACGACCATCGATACGATGAGTTCTGGAAGGTTGTCGAGTCTTTGGGCGTTCCAGTATATCTTCACCCGAAACCACCACTCCCAGACGACGCTGCTCGCCTTTACGCAAAGAGGCCGTGGCTGTTCGGACCGACGTACAGTTTTGCGAGAGACTGTGGGTTTCACTTTTTGGCCTTGTGCACGAGTGGTATCTTTGACAGATTTCCTGGTTTGAGATTGATCATTGGTCATATGGGTAAGCAAGCCGCATACATACCAAACATCTCGACCCAGGGACAGAAATGAGGAACTACCAAGCTAACACACACAAAAAATGTTGATCTAGGCGAAATGATTCCTGCTCATCTAGGAAGAATGGATCACTGGTTCGACAAGAAAGATCGAGGAAGGACTCTCCCTTGTAAAAAGACGCTGCGCGAGTACTTTGAGACAAACGTCTTTTTTACGACTGCCGGAAACTTCTCAACTACGGCATTGTTGCATGCCATGTCCGAATTCGGTGTGGATCGCATCTTGTTCTCGGTTGACACGCCATATGAAAACATCACCGAGGGGGCCACATGGCTGGATTCGTTACCGATAGGGAACAAAGACGTCGCGAAGATTGGTCGGGACAATACTTTGGGGTTATTTCCTCAACTTCAGGCCCGACTCAAGACGGAAGAAGTGGAAAAGCTTCAGAAAGACCATAAGAAGGTATTGTACCTTCACCAGGCTGGATTTCCAGCTGGAAAGCTATAGGGCACCCTGTTGGTTGCGGTTCACGAAGATATCAAGTAGGAAAAACCATAGCTCTTGTCGGTCGCTGTTGACACGATACACAGCCTTCTGAATCGTGTGGTGATGGGCAGAGACATATCATCCACAACATGACAAAACCGCAAAGGGTTGCTTTTCGTATAACAGACTTAGGAGTGTACCGGATGGCTGAAGTTTACAACAGTCGGAAGTCTAGAGAGTAGCCTTACCCCAAGCCAGCCGGAGCCGCGACTTGGGGCTCGTGGCTTGAAATCCACATTTGAAAGAGAACCTCGGCGTTACTGAGTTGAATTTGGCGACACCCTGGGTCACGCCACCGTGCCCATGAAGTCCAAGAAGTAATTCTCAATACTCTGTTCCGAGCAAAAGCCAGACCAAAGGCATCACGGAACTGAGACAATTGGAGAGTCAGTTACCTGTACATACCTAGGTAGTTAATTAGCCTTGTCCCCACCCCCCAATATCGCGGGGCTCCACAGGTACAGTACCATTCCGGAGGACAACGCCCTACCCAGTGTAGGCTTCAGGGCACAGACTACAGACTATGTGGCATGGAGAACTTTTACTGTAAGAATAAGCCGAACGACAAGAGCTATTGCCCGAAAGCTATTTGGCAGTGATCCAGACTCCCGCACTCATGTGCCCAAGACTTCAGTAAAGTGGGTTCTCTCACCTTCCAGTCACAAGATCGCTCCTCGTTTACACTTTGTAGTACGTTCTCTTCCACTCTAGCAAATACGCCTTGATACCAGTAACAATACCACTTCAAGCCGTAAACTAGTATATAGTTTTAAGGTACAGTAAGAATGCTGGCATTCAGCAAGCAACGGCATCCTTCAGGTTGAAGTAAAAGGGAAGTCGAAAAACAACATTCAGTCAGTGGCCTACCTGAGTCAGTAGTCATGCCGCCTCCAGTAGAAGAAGAGTTTGACTTCATCGTCGTGGGTGCAGGTAAGTCTTGGGCTCAATCTCTCTCTGTCTGGTCAATCATGTTACCTGAGGCTGATTTGGCTCTACAGGAAATGCTGGAGCTGTTGTTGCTGGAAATTTGGCACGTTCAAAAGCCAAACCAAGGGTTTTGTTGATCGAACTCGGCGGTGACAATTCGGCGGCACATTTACGAATACCGTCTGAGCGATTCATCAACCCTTATGTGAATCCCAACATCGTCCTTGACTACAAGACGACCCCCCAGAAACATCTCAATGGCCGAGTACTCGACTATCTCCGTGGGACAGGACTCGGAGGCTCCAGCATCGCCAACTTTCTCGCTTACATTCGAGGAACGGCGTCCGATTACAATCGGTGGGCTGATCTTGTTGATGACGACTCTTGGAGGTGGGAGAATGTCCTGGAGAGGTACAACGAACTCGAAAACCTTCACTTCTCCGGTGGCAACGACGACGCTGACAGCGACCCTGAGGGGTACGTCAAGCTGAAACCGGGGGCGCATGGGTTCGATGGACCAGTCGACCTGACACTTCCATCTCGCAAGGAATGGCCCGAGGGTCTCGATATTCTCATGCAAGCAGCCAAAAGCCACGGTCTCCCATTGAACCCGGACCAGAACTCGGGAGACATCATCGGCATGGCAGGAGTCACTACAACTACACACGCTGGCTGGAGAGTGACGAGTGCATCTGCGTACTTGACCAACCCTCCTTCAAATCTCGTCCTATGGACAAACTCTGCCGTCACACAAGTCGTGTTCGACACCAATACGACAAGTACAAAACAACAACCTAGAGCTTCAGGAGTCATTCTCTCAGACGGTCGTCAAGTGAGAGCGACAAAGGAAGTCATCTTGTCTCTGGGAACCATCGACACTCCGAAACTGCTCATGCTCAGTGGTATCGGTGACAGAACGGAACTGGAGAAACATGGAATTTCGTGTCTCGTCAACAGCCCTCGAGTCGGCAAGGACCTCATCGACCATGTCTATCTTGTCATGACCTACGGAGCAAAGTCGACACTGGGGACGAAGGTCGCTTTCCAACAAAACAAAGAATACGTCAAGGCCGCCCGTGAACAGTGGCTACGAAATCAGACCGGACCAGACGCGACGTTGAACACAATCAACATTATTGGCTTCCTAAAGTTTGACTCTCGACGAATCAATTTCGATGAAATGTACAAACTCGACTCGAAAACCCGCAACTTCCTCGAACGTCCCGACGTACCTCAGTACGAGTTTTATATGCAAGGATACATCCCCGACGATTGGGATGTCGAGAAACACGGCCCAGAATGTTTGGGTATGGCCGTCATGTTGATGAACCCTCAATCCCGAGGATACGTGGCTCTAGCCTCGAAAGATCCTCTTGCTAGACCCATCATCGAGACGAATTACCTCGCTCACCCCTATGACCGACAAACCATAAATAACGCAGTCAAGGAGGCCATGTCTTTTGCAAAATCAAAACAACTCTCTCCTTACTTGCTCGACAAAGTTTTGGGTCCGGAGTCGGACAGCGATGAGCATGTCACAAAATTTGTCAAAGATGAACTCATGTCAATCCTTCATGGGGTCGGGACAGTCATGATGGGTCCCAAACACGAAGACACTTCTTCTTCTTCTTTCTCTCCTTGTGATACCGACTTTCGTGTACGTGGCGTAGACGGGCTAAGAGTCATTGATTTGAGTGTGTGTCCAACCATCACAAAGTAAGTAACAATACTTACCATGGCCCCCCCTTTTGTGATTTCAAAAACTAACGTATTGAAAGCAACCATACTCAAGCAACTGCGTATCTGGTAGGTCATATGGGTTGGAAAAAACTTTGTGATGAATACAATCTGGAGTCGCCGAGTGGTCATGCTTCTGGTAGCAGTAGCAGTGGTGGTAGTGGGTTGTCTAGAGAGCATCGTCTATAGTGTTGTATCAGTCTATACTGCTACACTCTCATATTCTTACAATTACGCTCACGCCATGTTTCCTCCTACTGCCGTATTTGTTCATATCTGTACGAGTCCTCAGAAATTCAATGAATCCGTCAAAGCAAAACAGTATCACTTGAGAGTTGAGAACTCCTTTCGTGTCTTGAAGTGCAATTCTGCAGTAATGGGACACATAAATCCTGGTTTTCACAGTATAAATTCGTACCTTGCCTTGCCCTGCACAAAGGTTTTGATCATGACACGTATACTACTCCATAGGGAAATACCGTGTGCTCAAGTAGCCCTAAGAACGTCTCTAGACAGACAAAACAACAGTCTCACGATGTTCCGGCGTAACCTCCCCCTTTTCTCCAGTAGCAGTGGCCGTAGCATCCCTGCTGCCGTGATGGTGTTCTTTGACGACCAACTCTTCCTCATTCTCACCAAGCTGAACGTCATTACTAAACACCATCACTTCGTCCTGGTCTCCGAATATGGCGGCAACTTCTTCCAACGGGACACCTTTTGTCTCTGGGAGGACCCATGAGATCCAAACCAAGCCAACAGCGCAGACAGAAATGAAGACCTGAAACGACAATAGTCAGCAGTATTCTTGAGAATCCAATCAAACGCCAGATCGTCAGCCATTCACATACCAGGTAGTATTTCCAGCCAATGGTAGAGAACGCGGTAGGTGCAACTTGAAGATACACCAAAGAGCTAAGGCAGAGTCCAGACATGGTGATGGCAAGGCCTTTGGCTCGAAGGTGATTCGGGTAGATTTCACCAAAGAAGACAATCCCAGCGACATCAACACCGCAGCCGTAGATATAGATGAAAATGTAACTAGCACACAGAGATCGTCAGACGCTTTTCTTTTTTGCATCAAGTGAGAAGGAGGAAGATGGTATCAGAAAAGAATTGTAGTAGTCTAGCTTCACTTACAATGCAGCGACTGCAGCTCGGAGAGCAGCCTTGTTGGGGACAGCCGGGACAGGAGTTGCGTAAGTTGCTACCAATGCAGCTTCCAAGATCAAGCACACTAGACATCCTGCGATACCGAATATCATGAGCGGTTTGCGGCCGATCTTGTCCATGATCAAAGCGCCTATCGAACTCGAATCAGCTTTCTGATAGGGTCAAAATTTAACCTGCCTGGCCAATACATACCTGTTAGATTGCCGGCGATGCCACATGTGATCCATCCACATTGTAAAACTAGTTGACGTTCGGTATCAAATCCGAGCGAGCTATATAGCATGGGCCCGTAATTGTTGATCACTGTCATGTAAATTAGCTGAGACCAGGAAACTCAGGAGGTTTCCTCACCGAGAACTGCTGTGGATTGGCCAAGGATGGAGTAAGCAGTAGTCATAATGACACGTTTTCGATACGAGGGCCGCTTGAACATTTGCCAGTAGCTTGGGTTCAACGTCCTATCATACTCAATCTGTCTCTGCATCTGGTAGAACTCGACCATGGCGAAATGGTGTTCTTCGTGACGATCAAGTTTGTGGAGTTTCGTGACAACCTTTTTGGCATCGTCGGCTCGGTTGACAAGTAAGAGCCAACGAGGACTCTCGGGGACAAATGGCATAGTGAAAAATGGTAGAGCAGTGAATATGAGGCTCAATCCGTACGGACCTCGCCACTGTGAAGATGAACTGTCCGAGTGGTAGAATGCCAGGCCCATGTACGTGGCGAGAGCATAACCCAGGGCAATACCGAGACCGTCCATGCCCACGAAGAGACCACGCAGAGCAGGAGGTGCGAGTTCGGCCGTGTAGACAGGTGCTATATTTCGTTCGTTGGTCAGCGCTTGACATTGGCCAACGTGGAGAGAGAAAAGTACATACTTATCGCAACGTAGCTCCAGGAGCTAAATCCGGCGAGGAACTTGAAGGCAATGAACATTCCCACGTTCTGTGCCGCACACACAAAGATGCCTCCAAGTAACCCGGTGACGGCACAGAAAATCATGCCAGCCTTACGGCCCCATCTCTCCATGACATAGGTCGTTGAGAAGATGCCAAAGACCCCGCCGGCCTGGAAGACTCCGGACATGGCTCCGATAAGAGAGTTGGTCTTACTCGTGACCAGTCCCTCACTGTTCAAGAGCTTCATGTATACATAGAAGGAGGGTTGTGCCAGTGTCGTGCCAATGATGGATGCAGGGTAAGAGAAGCCCAGCATGCTCATGGCAACGGCGAAACAAATAAAAAAGTGCCGCCAGTTCCATTGGTCTCTGGCTTTGATCTCCATGATGGCAAAACTGGAATTCAAAAGTTGCCTCCCTAAAGTGTTTGGAAGGGTACGTGACGCTGAAATGATCGCGTAGACACAGTCGCATAGGGAAGGCGAAGACCTACCTTTATAGTCATACTGATTGGTACTTCCGCCACTGTCAATGTCTGAATACGAGGTTCGGTGTATTGAGACGTAGTGATAGCTTTGGCCGGCTACAAAGGCCTGGTCTGCAAGGGGCGAGAACGAGTGTTTCCCGACTGCACCACGCGGTCTTCTCCAGATAGTCACCATGTCAATACGGGGTAAAATGTGGAGGGATAATCAGGGGAACGTAGAACTTGGTATGTACGTAGTAAGTGGTTGGTTGTCGAGAGAGAGAGAGAAGTATCAAGGTCTCGCACGTGACCGGAACCCACAGTTCTTCTGTGGTTCTTTAGTCAGTCGACATCCACCACCGATCCCTGCTGATTCTCCAAGTCATTCCCTTCTGTATCAAACTCGCACCTCGGGCGGAAGTCGACGCATCGCAACGGACAACCACCGTATAGGCAGGCTGAAGACAGGGCTACTTCCTCTCCTATTTCTCATGGTCAATGAAAGATGAGTCGGCGCATGGGAAGCAGCTGCAAGGCATGCCGTAAGGCTAGAATTGGATGCGATCTCATCCTTCAGCAAGGCGAAGATCCATGCACAAATTGTGTACGGAGGAAGAAATTATGCAGCCCTCAAGGCCATGTATGTGATTCCATGCTATTCCTGTTCTGGCTATTGACAATCCCCTTCTAGCAGGATACGGCGGAGGGCCAACGCCATCCTCGTCAAAATGTCAAACCAGCCTCAGAAACACGGCAAGCACTGACGCAGAATCCAAGGTCACCGATCTCGACAGGCTCAGCATCTGTGGTAGAGCCTTTCAGCTTTGATTTGGAAGAGATTGCCACTCGACGGACGCAAGCGACGCTGTTGCATGACTTGCTCTGTGACATTTTCATTTCACTCTTTGAGTCTCGCTTCTCACTTTGGCTCGGTGACAGTTGTTGTCCGTACCTAGATGTGACGACGGTAGGTCATTGGTGAGCAAGCCTGATTAGATTTCAAGATTAACACAGAGTGCGACAGGGGACCAAGTCGTTCGTAACGAGAATAGCCATTGAACTTGATGAACGCCGTTCAACAGATCAAGACGTGTCATCAACCGCCTCAGATCTCCTCTCACCCATCTCGAGATCCTCAACTGGAAGGAGCACCCGTGATGCGATCTTAGATGATGCACTGCGCCATTCCATCTATGCTTATGCAGCACGTTGGCTCCCGGTTCGAAGTGCTCTTGATGTTGCAAATCCAGGAGATACTGCTAGGTCGAGAACCAAGCAGCAACAAATACGTGAACAGTTCTGGTACAAGGCACGCGAAGGCGTTCATGCTGCACTCACTCGACCGAGCTGGCGTTCTGTCCTCGCCCTTTTGCTCTTCACATTGACGGAAATGCCGATAAACAATGATGACCCGGGGATCAGTGATCTCTGCACACAAACCTTGTTCCACCACTTCGTGCGACTTACCTCCCCATTTAAACAGTCGGCTGCCCGCCCACTGGCTCAAAGTACGACGTCTATTCCCCTTGCACAAACAGCTGTGGAATATAGCATGCCGCCAAAGCAGAAACTCGAAATTAACCCAAGAACTCAACACCTACAAGACTCAATATATTGGCTTGGAGTGCTTTGCGATAGTAGCAGATCATTGATACGACAATCTCCTCCTGTATTACTGCCAGGCAGATCAGGGGAGAGACGAGTTTGGGATTTTATTCGTCAACGAACTGTCATCTTTGATCAATCTTTTCGAGTACTACACGATTCCCCACTTCCTCTCCCGGCCGATGTCATTGTCGTGGTGTTGCAACATGCGTCGGCATGCAAGACAATGTATCTCGGCGTCTTGAACCAGTTCTGTGATGCAGCCTTCTATCACAAGCTCGAGCCGGTGGAGGATGCAGCGCGACGAGTATCAGATGAATCGAGGAGGTTTCATGATGTCTTTGACAGACTACTGGCCATGTGCGCACGAGAATACCTGACCATGAGTTCAGAGAACCAGATCCACTATCGTAAGTTTGTACACACGTCTAGTTGTATGGTTGTGGTGCACGAGGTGCTGACACATTACACAGTACTCTTAATCACCCACTACCATCTTGGTTCCTTGATACTGGCAGACATGCTCGACACCCTGGGCAGCGTTCCCGAACCCTTATCGGACCCTAACACAATACGCCTGAATGCCTGCAAAGCAATCATTAACGCACTGACTTTGCCAATGAACTACGATCGGTACTCCCAGGAAGACTCACCCTATGCTAGCCGACTACTGTGTGATCCAACTCCAGAACTCATGGTCGAAGTTCTTGCTAGGACCGGCAATGCCATATTCACAGTCCATCGAGATGGGAAGATTGAAGTCCATACAGCACAAATCATGCTCTCCTTCGTTTTCAGTGCGTTGACTGTCTTGTGCGCAATATCCGTCAGCGCTTCATTTGTCTTGTCCTCCCTCACGCATATCGCATCAAGCGACGGGCTGAAGATTAAGACGGACAACCAGTCTTCCGCAGATGGGCTGGTCGCCAGACAGAAAGACATTCAGCTCCTTTCTCGATGCGACACACAGTACGTCGGGGAGTTTTTGAGGGAGGCACAGATCCAGACGAACATGAATATTTTGACGTTGGACGGAACCATTAAGAAATACGAAAAAACACCATCATCTCTGACCTCTACCGTGTCCCAGGATTCCCATATGATGGACGATGTATTTGCGAGCTGCTCTTCAGCCCTAGAGGCATCTGCCTCCGCCTTCCAAGCGAGTCTCAATGAGACCTGGTTGGTATCGAGTATCCCGACTCCAGCCACGTCACAAGCGGAGCTCAGCGTGCACGATGTGATGATAGAAGTATCCGAGACATGATCCAGTTTGGACTGCTTGCCGCTTATGGCTATATAAAGAGACGGGGCTTCATCGGCAGTAATGATCCTATGTAAGTCATAGGCTGCATGGATATGGATAGATATACTTGGAGAGGATGTTACGATTACAATAGCATGGCGTATCAAATTGAGTGTTAGGCGCCCAGGCGACAAGGTAACATTGACAGAATGTAACAATACTTCAAGACTTGGCTGTACAAAGAACTTCTGTACATCTATCATTTGTTCTAGAAGGCATCAAAGTCGAGCGATTGAAGAAATGACAATAGAGCACCAATAATGATTTACTGCCTAAGATGTCTCTGTTGAGTCTCTTTTCTCTCGTGTGTCGTTCCTTCACGCTCGAACTACTTGACGCACTCCTTCTCTCCATACGTCGCAACAATAAAAATTATTCTCACCTAGAAAGAGCTTGGATTGAAACCAAGAATGCTGACAACACCACTGAGTAGAGGTGAGTGAAACTGACAACGATTACAACGTCGATGTCCGAATCGCACCGCGATGGGCAATTTTAGCCACTGGACACGCAATGCATCTCGATGAGCCCAAAGATGAAGTCAGGAACCTGGTTGGCTTCACCGTTCCTTCTATGCTTCGATAGAATGGCATCGGGAATTACAATATGCCACACAAGGAAAAAGGTGCGGTGTTCGGCCTCGCATCTTTGCTGGCGGCCACTCTGTTCTGTTCAGCGGAACCCGAGTTTCGCACACGTGAACGGCTCTCACGAACTTCACACAATTTACTTCCTGTCCCGCTTCCCGCTTGTACCAGGCGCGAGCACTGGGCTTGGGCCGACGCACCCCAGGATCATGGATCGTTCAACCCCTTTGGGACCGAACACGAGCTTACCGCAAGGGACCCCCGCATGAGCCCAATCTAGCGGGTCGTCCATGTCAATGCCCGGGGAATGGACCACAGGCATCGGTCAAGGCAGTTTCTCTTAAATGACAGTCACCTTGGTGGTATGGCCCCTCGAGGCTCTTCTGCGTGGCACAACGCACACCAAAAACTTTCAGAATGGAGACTCAGACATTGATTTTGCTCGTTGTGGGAGCTCTCTCCCTCATCCTTCTCAGTTGTGTCCAGACCGTCTTCAGAAAAGGCCTCAGGAACATTCCTGGCCCATTTTGGGCGAGGCTCTCATCCTTGTACCGAGTTTCAATGGTTCGTCGCGGAGACGGAGTGCAGAACTATATCGCCCTCCATGAGAAGTACGGTCCAGTTGTACGGACAGGTCCGTTTCACGTCTCGGTGGCAGACCCTCAGGTGGTGCCGCTCGTCTACGGAATAGCGAGCAAATTTAGAAAGGTAGGCCTTTATCGTCGTTGCTGTCTACAATCTCTTGCATCAGGACTAACGTGCAACACAGTCCGGCTTCTACAGCTTGAGCGTGCCCTTCTACGAAGGCAAGCCCCTCGACAACATGTTCACAGCCGTCGACCCCGGGCTGCATCGGGCTCTTCGAGCTCCGACGGTTCAGGTCTTCTCCATGACCAATCTGCGCAACTACGAGAAACCAATCGACGAATGTACAGAGATTCTGATGAAAATGCTCCATGACGTCGACGGTCAGGTTATCGATTATACCGAGTGGTTTCAATGGTATGCCTTCGACGTGATATCCAGCATAACGTTTCAGTCACGGCTGGGCTTTCTGGAGAAGATGGGCGATGTGGACGAAATGTTCGAGGGAAGCAGTACGTTTGCGTACTACTTTGGCGTGTTGGGTCAGTTACCATGGTTGCATCCATACTTGCTGGGTAACCAGCTTCTCTTGAAGGTGATGACCACATTGTTTCCCGATGCACCTGACCCGACTGGCAAACTGTTCACGGTAAGTGTCTGGAGAGACCTAGAGACATGTCGCTCGCAAAGACTAACCAAGATCGGCAATTGCTAGAACATTGAACGCGAGATCCAACGCTACGATCAGGAAGAGAAGCTCTCCGATCGTAAAGACTTTCTGTCTCAACTTCGAGCCAAAGACGATCCAGATCGAGAAGGGCACAAGCGAGATTTGATGAACTCCTTGTCTAACAATATGTTGGTTTGCCCTTGGACTCTGTTTCCGCCCTCCACTTCCAACATATGTCTTTTCACGTAAACTAGAGACTGACTTGGGGACGAACAGCCTCGCTGGAAGCGAAACAACCGCCATCTCACTCCGCTCGATATTTTACTTCCTTAGCAAAACACCACGAGCCTACAAGACGCTTGTCAGCGATATTCTTGAAGCCCAACAAGCAGGTCGTTTGTCGAGTATCATCAAATATGACGAAGCCCAAAAATTGCCATTCTTGTAAGCCTGTGTCGCCCCTCATCCCAAATATCGTGGGCTGACTTCGACGTATACAGACAAGCGGTGATAAAAGAAGCTCTGCGCCTGCACGCTCCAACCTGCTTCCCACTTGAGCGCATCGTGCCAGCTGAGGGTACCCAGATAGGAGGCTATTTCGTGCCCGGAGGCTGCGTCATAAGCACGATGGCTCCGTTGATGAACAAGAACAAGGAAGTCTTCGGCGCGGACGCTGAAGAATTCCGTCCGGAGCGATGGTTGAACCAGGATTCGGAGAGACTAAAATTGATGGAAAGGACATTCTTTACTGTATGTTGCTGCCCCTTGTCTTACGATGCAGTATTGAATGCCCTTACTTACCGGTCGCACAGTTTGGCCATGGCTCCCGTTCATGCATAGGCAAGAATATCGCCTTGTTGGAAATTACGAAGCTTGTGCCGCAGATCTTGAGGGAGTTTGATGTATCGTGGGCGTCGCCCAAGAAAGAGTGGACGACAGAGTCATATTGGTTCTGCATGCAGAAGGATGTGGTGTTTCGGTTTACTGCGCGGGATGGTGGTAAGGCGGAAGAATGAGAGAATATTGTTGGGAGTATTCAGTGCTCTGTACCAACTCTGATCAACATACTCCTGAATGGTGGTTGTCTCATCAATTGTGGTGACAGACCTGTATGTAATGCGTGTGATCTTCGCTCTGGTTGAGCCAGAGATACTCCGTATATAGAACCTCGTTGTCGTCGATGAACATGACTTGACTACAATCGAACCTACGACGGACACTACGAGTACAGAGTAAATGAAGTCATGGAAATGAAGTACAAGATGAAACAAGGCCACTTCAGGGCGATAGGTATTACGCACACGGACCTCTGCATTAAGCACAAGGCTATAGTTCTCGCTGGAGTTACCCCCAACTGCCATTCGCTATAGAGATACCTTTGTAAAAGGCACACGACTGAGTAACCAATAATTTAGTCGCTATTACTGTACTTGTTAGTGTCTCGGTGCTCGTCATTCACAATATTCTCAAGGATGTCTCTTGACCTAATTGGATCTTGTCGGTAATTGTTTCAGAGGTGGGTGTGCGTAATACCTACCGCCCTGAAGTGGACTGTAGGGAGGACTGTACAGTGGGGACGCGCTTATTCCCAGCCTCGCGTGGCTTGAGCTTCAGGCCCAGACGAGGCCCTAACAAAGGCTCCAAAGACCCTGGACAATCCACTCGAAACCCCACTAAGATGCCAACCACGTTGATTTCATCTTTGGACACTTGATTGTTTGGAAAATAGAAAGGCAGGCCATCGCACGGCCTCGTCTATGTCTCTTGCGCTTCTCCTCTACTCCGGAAAGACATTCGCTTGCGCATAGACGAACACCAACCTCATGTACTGTGGTTACACAGATCACCGGTTGAACATCTTCTGAGGATCTGTCTCCAAGGCGGGCCTTTCCGTTCGCTATCTCGTTATCTCCAACCCACCGTTCAGCTACTTGTACCTTGGCCGCTGTCAGGAGAGTGTCAGGGACAGCAGGAGGCACAAACTATTGGGCTCCGAGCAAAAGACACAAAGCACTTGACAGGACTCAAGGTGCCGATTCTGGCAGTGAGTCCAGGAAAAGGCGCAGATCAAAGACCACCCCCGAATCCTGCAGGCCTGAATCCGGCAAATTGCATCATCCGACATGTCTCGAGACAACTTCCAAGGTGGTCTAGGTCAACCACCACAACGCCTGTCGCCGTGTCTTGATGTGGACGATAATACCACTGCAATATCCCTTCCTCCTCCACTTCCCACCAGAGGTCATCAACGATCACGAACTGCCGTAGAGCTACCGCCTTTGTTTGCCCGAACCCAATCATCATCACCTACACGAGCCTCGACCTTTCTGCCTTTCCTACGCCCTCAAAGTACTCGCTCGTTGTCTCCGGAGAGGATTTCTGTCGCAGAGACCACTGCAGAGTCGACTGTCTCAGGAGATCCGTCAGTCACAAAGAAAAGAACAACAGGGGCAGTGGAGAGGCTGGCAAGTTGGTTCGAAGGAAGTTCAGAACCAGTCAATATAACATTGGTCCCATCGCCGAGGAAAGAGAAGACAGATCCCCTCGTCGAAACAGAAAATATGGACAATATATTCTCTGCCAGTCAAGGCTCCAGAGAAGACAACCTCACTCGCCGGCGCCCCCAGGAGAGGCCAACGAATGCGAGCACTTCGAGATTCAGTTTCTTTCGCAAGTCCACGGTCTCAGTACCACACGAGACTCTTGGAGAAGATGAGCTGGTGAATATGAACGTCGAGGAGGCGCTCTACCCACACGGGCGCCCAGATGAATATTCACCCGCCGCCTTCAAGAACCTGGAACAGAATGCCGAAGGCACCATACGTCGATTCCAACATGCCTATACAGAGCAGCAACTGTCTCTCAGGCAGACCACATCAACCAAGAATGTGCAATCGGATGAGCTGGAAGCCGCACAGACGAGGAATGAACATTTAAAAATGCAATTACAGGAGATGGCCGAGAGGGCGACAGAGCAGGAGAGAATGATCGCCCAGCTACGATCAGAACTGGCGGCACAACAATCATCGCTGGCTACATTTAGGTCTCAGCAACAACAAAGTGTCAGGATGGTTTCGGACGACGGTTCAAATGAGCCCGATTCCACCACGCCCAGGTCAAGGTATCGAAGAAAACGGTCATCCGATATCTCGACATCTGGTGAGTCCGAGCTGGGATCGGACGTCAGTTCTGTTGTGAGTGTGTTCTCGGAGCCACTATCGTCAGTTCCGTCACGGACGACTTCCATCATTGCAAGTCCTGTATCGAAAATTTCTACGATCGGTGGGAGGGAACAGGATTGCCCAAATTGTCATGGCATGCATACGAACGAGGCATGGGATGTTATGAACGTGATGAGAGCAGAGTCGACGGCATTGAAGCAACGAATAACCCAGTTGGAGAGCGCTCAAGATGATGCTCTTGATTTCTTGAGCGGATTGAGATTGACAGGAAGATGAGGAAAGAGGACATGAATTGCGTACCGCGCTCTGGATGCGGTACATTCATTCTGTCTGGGATTGGGGCGATGGCGATGACTTCTACCGTGTAAATCTAGCATTCATTATGCACATTTATGGCTATTATATACACAAGAGGTTTTGCAGACAATACCTGGAGTATTGCAGAGTGTATATGGAGTATCTATGTTTACCCTTTTCCTCATGCGTAGACTACCAGACATATCTAACTCCTGAGTTATTGTACTCTATACTGCGGCAAGGCTGCGCTCGCTGCGCCCCATTCCCCCCAGCCACCTAAACCAACAAACACCAGCCACATCTAAAGACGCGTTTGACGTGTATCCAATCAACAGGCACTTCAACCTCATCATTTCGGGTTGAATATCTTGTCACCACCAGGCAAACCACTTGCCTAACTACTTGCCTACGACAAGCCCATCTCGTTCTGGACCGAATGATATTACGGGGTACTCCGTATCCATCCTGCATTTTCTCTGCAAATCATTCCGAATGGCATACCCTGTATCTGTGTCTGCAGTTTGAAGACTTGCAGTATTTTGACCAGTGCTAACAATCCCACTTCCGCTTTTGCTTCAACAAGTACATTCACTTTTGACTTTGACTACAGACATCCAACATCTCACATTCTTCCTTTTGTTTTTACCTTGAGAACAGACTGATCCGACAGACAAGAAAGACTCCTTTGAACAATGTCCTTCAGTGGACGCACTCCTGAATCTCTACTCCCTCGATCTGACTCGAAGAACCCCGCCACGACATGCAGAGGCATAACATCCACAGGTCGGCCGTGTCGAAGAGCCCTGGCTGCATCCCCAAAGACTTCCCCGGCACCGTCACCGACGAGAAGTGCCGGTGTCCTCGCCGTGTTGGAGGAACAGAATGCAGCCGCATTCTACTGCTGGCAACACAAAGATCAAGCTGAACGATTATTAGCCTCCGCCAAACAACACAAAACGACCCTACATCCACTCAAGGAGAAGTCGAGTATTGACACCTTGGTTGAGAGAGTTGGAGTGTTAGATTTGGACGAAAGTGTACTGGATCAACGCAAAAGGCATCGTCGACGACACGAGTCAACCAAGCACAATGTTGGCGGCCCAATGACGACAACGAGACGTGAGACTCTCCCGGCTGGATGGACAGATATGCAGAGTCCAATTATGAAAGTACCTGAGAACATGTCATACCAAAAAATTCACCATAGACCGACACCGCCGCCGCCGCCGAGATCGAACGTAAAACTATCATGGGCATGTTGTATCCAGACTGCGGACGATGATGATGACTATCCACCTCCTCGAACGCATCGACCTCGAGAAAGACAGCCTTCAAGGCCTCACCCATCGAATAGTAGCCATGATTACGGCTACGCCAGACCATCTACAAGACCAGAACAATCTGCACCTGTACCTGCTCGACCGAGTATGACCCAACGCCCAGATAGACCACTCCACACCACCACACAGTCTTCACCGTCAGCTACATTACCGCGCCCACCACTTACTTCGTCGCTTCCATCCCACAAGACCAACTCGGAAACAAGAGCGTTGTTGTCTCTGATTCCATCAACACTCTCTCCACAGACCACATCACTTTTGCTTACCGAACTTTCCCGACCCATCTCCCCCGCCGATGAGACAGGATACATTTACATATTCTGGCTCACTCCGGCCTCGGAATCGTCGAAGCCTGACGATGAGACGGCATCTTCATTACTCGACGATGGCGACGCCGCCGAAGTGTATACGCGCTCGACACAAGCTCAAGCTCAAGCTCTTCAACGGTACGCTTCCGTCCGCCGGCCCTTGCACGGTCGCGTGCAACGAACCGTGATGCTCAAGATCGGACGGGCGGAGAATGTACACCGTCGTCTGACACAGTGGACGAAGCAGTGTGGTCAAAACATTACTCTTGTTCGATATTACCCTTATGCCACGACCGCCTCGCCTAACGGAGCCACCAAATCTCGATCGTCAGGTCCTGGCGGTGGTGAAGACCCAGGTAAAAAAGTTCCGCATGTCCATCGCGTCGAACGTCTGATTCATCTCGAACTAGCGGAGAAGAGGGTGGCCAACAAGGCCGAGTGTGAAGCCTGTGGTCGAGTGCATCAGGAGTGGTTCGAGATTGAGGCCACGAGGGCAGGATTAAAGGGTGTGGATGAGGTTATTCGACGGTGGGTAGGGTGGGCTCAAAGACAGTGATGATGATGATCATTTACGAACAGCATCCTTACAGAGTAATTCCTGCTCGCTGTGATGAGACAAACTTGAATGACTTGAACGACAGAAGATGAACATATTATGCATGACCATTTTCCATAAACAAGGAAATGAAAACAGAGATACAGTGACAAGAACATAAAAGACAGAGACAAATCCATACGCTAGATGCAAACATTTTACAAGCCATGTTGTACAGAGTAGCTATCCTACCACCATCAGTACATGTCCGCTTTCTTGATGATAATGTACAACTTTAGGCCACCTATATAGACAATATTGTCACCCCGATTTATTCTGATAGATACCAAGTCAATGCGACATTGTCTACCTTATATTTATAAACGAGGTTCAGGGAACGGCTTCTTGTCGGAACCGTCCACTGACGAAGACGAAGCATCCACGTTTTGGACGGGCTCGTCATAGTCCTCAAACTCCGCCATCTCATCCCCCGTCTCCTGTTGAGGTGGTGCTAGCATATCCTCCATGTTCCCCTGACCGTACAACATTCGGGCATCTTCCCATGACAATTGTCGATCGGCGAGGACGTTTCGAATTTGGTACATTGTTTTACGGATCTAGTAGTCGAAAGAAGCGATTAGCATCTTGGAAATGGAAAGAAAAGACGAGTTGGCTTGCTTTGTGACAGTGGGTTAGTGATATGCTATTGATAAAACGTACCGTTTTGACTCGTTCTTCATATTCGGCGACACCGTAACCTGCTCTCAGTCGTTTCCTCTCTTTTTCTCTGGTCATTACGACGTTTTGTTCCTTGACGCAGACCCAGTATAGCTTGTGTAGATCGTCGTAAGATTTTTGAGCGAGTTCGGTATGGGTCCATGACCGGCCTAAGATTGAGCGGTGATTAGCATAGTGTTGCTTCCGGCTTTACGTCGGGCAAGGGGAGTCAGAAGAAGGATAAGCATCCTTACCGTGACTTGACTCGACATCTGGAGCAAGCATAGGTTTTCTGTCGTTGTTGAAGAACCCCCATAGTCCGTGGTCATCAGATCCTGCGTATTGTGCGTCCGTTCCTCTGTGGTCCCTTGCGACGGGCACGGGAAGAGGGTGCATCCATAGACCTTGTGTCGTTCTTGGACCTGTTCGACGAATCGCAGAGACACCTCTTTGCTTGTTCTTCTCCCCACCTGCGGCCTGACCTATCTGGTGCGCCTTGTTGCGCTTCGGTTTGCTGGCGTACGATCGGGAAAAAATTGTCGCTGTAGGAGCTGCTGCTGCCGGTCTTGCAAAAGCTGGGGCGAGGAAGACCGGAACGCTTGTCGAGGTGGAAGAGGAGTAGGACAAGCTCCTGGCGATGGAAGCCATGGTTGAGGCTTCCAATGTGACCAATATTTACGTCCGTGGTACGACTAACAGGGTAGGTAGTGTGGGTGGTAAGCTATATGATATCCAGCGCCATGTATTGGTACTCGGGGAAATGTTTCTTGACGAAGCCTCTCCGGAGAAGAGCCAAATCGCGCCAAGGCTGCGGAATTGAGATCCTCGCTTCACCTGCTCAATTTTTGGTTTTTGATTGGAACTAACCCTGAATGGGAATGTCAACAAGACAAGACCACCATGAGGATGCGCAACATTCATGTGAGCGTGAATTTGGAATTACTGGTTCTGTTGTTTGTTGTTTGCGTGTCGACCAAGGGAAAAAGGGTAGACAGACAAGAAAGACAGCAACCATGAAGATTATCGAACTCATTATCGATGGGTATGTTTTCCGCGAGAGGGTCACTCACTGTTTTGCGACACCTGGCTAACGCGCGCATTCTCTACACAGGTTCAAGTCCTACAGTCAGAGAACCGTCATTTCTGGCTGGGACCAGAGTTTCAATGCTGTTACTGGCCTGAACGGTTCGGGAAAGTCGAATATTCTTGACTCAATATGTTTTGTCCTGGGTATCACGAACATGTCCACTGTACGAGCGCAGAACCTTCAAGACCTCATCTACAAGCGCGGTCAAGCCGGTGTTACCAAGGCCAGCGTGACCATTGTGTTCGACAACAGCGACAAGAGTACGAGTCCGATCGGGTTCGAAGAGTATGGACAAATCAGCGTAACTCGACAAATCGTCATGGGTGGAACGAGTAAATATCTCATCAATGGACATCGAGCACAACAAACGACCGTCCAGAACCTTTTTCAGAGTGTCGGTCTAAACATCAACAACCCGAACTTCATCATTATGCAAGGTCGAATCACAAAGGTCCTAAATATGAAGGCGGCGGAAATATTGGCCATGATCGAAGAGGCTGCTGGTACGCGAATGTTTGAGGATCGAAAAGAAAAGGCGCAGAAAACCATGGCCAAGAAAGAAATGAAAGTCGTTGAAATTGAGGGTTTGTTGAGAGAAGAGATTGAACCTAAACTCGACAAACTTCGTGGTGAAAAACGAGCGTGGCTAGATTACCAGAAAACACAGAGTGAACTGGAACGACTGACGCGTGTTGTGGTTGCGGCAGACTATGTTCGCGCCGGTGACAAGATGAAGTCTGCCAACGAAGAACACGAAACAAAGCGAGCCAAAGTTCAACACCTTGAAGAAAATGCCATCAAGCTTAAGCGCGAAATTGAAAACCTGGATGAAGACGCACAGAGAGTTCGGTCGGTCCGAGAAAAGGAGATGCGTAAAGGTGGCCGGTTCCAAGAGCTTGAGAATCAGGTCAAGGAACTCAGTCATGAACTCGTACGACTGTCAACTGTTCTGGATTTGAAGCAGTCGAGTGTGGCAGAAGAAGAGCAGCGAAAGAAGGACATTGCCAAGAACGTCAAGAACCTGGAAAAACAGGTCGCTGACAAGAAGAAGAGCTTGGAGAAGCTCCAATCCAAGTGGGACGGCGCAAAATCCGAACTCGACGCACAACATGCCGAAGTTGAAAAGAAGGAAGAGCTTTTATCGACGCTACAGACGGGTGTCGCGTCTCGAGAAGGACAAGAAAGTGGTTACCAAGGGCAACTTTCAGAAGCACGAAACCGTCTGACGACAGCCGGTACTGAACAAGAACAAGCGAAACTAAAAATCTCACATCTCGAAAAGCGCATCAAGGAGGATGAGCCTCGAGCGAAGAAGGCGAGGGAACAAAATGCTGGCCTGCTGAAAGACCTGGAGGTTCTACGAAAGCAGGCCCAGAAACTCGAAGCTGATCTACAGAAAATGGGTTTCGACCCTGGCAGGGAAGAAGCTATGCGAGAGCGAGAGGTTGCACTTCAGAAGAGCATCAGGAATCTGTCTCAAGAGGCGGATGGGCTCAAGAGGAAGGTTGCCAATGTTGATTTCCACTTCAGTGATCCTTCGCCCAACTTCGATCGATCTAGAGTCAAAGGTCTTGTTGCTCAACTCTTTACGTTGGACAAAGACAAGTCAATGGCTGGGACCGCCCTGGAGATTTGTGCTGGCGGAAGGCTCTACAACGTTGTCGTCGACACAGCCGAGACAGGTACACAGCTGCTGCAGAACGGGAAGCTCAAGAAGAGAGTCACAATCATTCCGCTGAACAAAATCTCTGCTTTCAAAGCATCAGCGGCAAAGGTTGGCGCTGCGCAACGAATCGCGCCTGGAAAGGTTGACTTGGCTTTGTCATTGATCGGATTTGACGATGAAGTTTCGGCTGCTATGGATTATGTCTTTGGCACGACACTTATATGCCAGGATGCAGACACCGCTAAGAGAGTCACATTTGACCCAGCTGTTCGGCTGAAGAGCGTTACGCTCGAGGGCGACGTGTATGACCCATCCGGCACCTTGTCTGGTGGCAGCTCGCCCAATTCAAGTGGCGTTCTTGTCATTCTTCAAAAATTGAACGAAGTCACAAAAGAGCTTGAAAAACATCAGGCTGAGCTACGAGAACTTCAGGAGACCATGAGGAATGAACAAGCCAAATTAGCCAGCATCAAGACCGTCAAGGAGGAGCTCGACCTGAAGACGCACGAAATTAAACTTGCCGAGGAGCAAATTTCTGGTAACTCGTCGTCTTCCATCATACAGGCCATTGAGGAAATGAAAGCTTCAATCTCGCAGTTGAAGCAAGACATGTCTACTGCGAGGACAAGACAAGAAGAGGCGGCCAAAGACGTCAAGCGGATCGAGAGAGATATGGAGGACTTTAGCAAGAACAAAGACAGTAAACTGAAGGAGCTTGAAAAATCCTTGGTAGAGTTGAAGAAGTCTCTAACCAAAACACAAGGAGCCATCAAAGCACTTCAGAGGGAACTGCAAGATGTCAGGATCGACTGTGAACAAGCTGAGAGTGATCTGAGTGCTGCCGAAGAACAGATGGTCGAGGTGACCAACGCCATTGAAGTACAAAAACAAGAGCTCAACACACTGCGAGAAGAAGAGGCTAGCGTCAAGAGCAACCACGACATTGCACAGGCTGAACTCACAGATGAACAAGCCAAGTTGACAGGCTTCGATGACGAACTCCGCGAACTCGAACAAGCAAAATCCAAAAAATCAAAACAAATCAGCGAAGAGGCGCTCGAAGCACAGAAACTCGGCCATGCCGTAGAGAAGGCTCAGAAGGACGCACAGGCAGCTTCGCAATTGGTGACCGCTCTGGAGAAAGAGCACGACTGGATTGAAGACAACAAGGATCAGTTCGGTCGGGCCGGGACACCGTACGACTTCCAAGGCAAGAATCTTGCCGAGAGCCGGGCCACGCTGAAGAACGTGACGGAGCGTTTCCAGGGCATGAAGAAGAAGATCAACCCCAAGGTCATGCCCATGATCGATAGTGTCGAGAAGAAGGAAACCAGCCTGAAGAACATGCTCCGAACGGTGATTCGCGACAAGAAGAAGATCGAAGAGACGATTGTCACGCTCGATGAGTACAAGAAGGAAGCTCTGGTCAAAACCTGGCGCAAGGTCACGGAGGACTTTGGCAACATCTTTTCAGATCTCTTGCCGGGCAACAACACGGCCAAACTTGTTCCTCTTGACGACGACATCAATCGAATTCAGCAGGGCCTGGAGGTCAAGGTGTGCCTGGGCAAGGTATGGAAGCAGAGTCTGACTGAATTGTCGGGTGGACAACGGTATGATTGATTTCCAATTTTTTCTTTGTCTTTTGCATTTGAATGTGGACTAACAAGGTAACAATAGATCGCTTGTTGCGCTCTCGCTTATCCTGGCATTGCTGCAATTCAAGCCGGCACCAATGTACATCCTCGACGAGGTGGATGCCGCACTGGATCTGTCGCATACGCAGAATATTGGTCGCATCATCAAGACGAGGTTCACCGGGTCACAATTTATCGTGGTCAGCTTGAAGGACGGTATGTTTCAGAATGCAAACAGAGTGTTTAGGACAAGATTCTCAGAGGGAACGAGTGTGGTGACTGTCATGACGCCTGGGGAGATCAAGGGATAGTTGACTGGTGTTGTTTTTGGTCGCCTTGTGTTTGTGGCACGATTTCTTGGAAATTTGTTCGAGAGTACCTTGGTCTTTGGTTGCTTCGGGTGGGCATGGGTAACGACTTGATGAGCGTACGTGTTTGTATATTCTTTTTTGATGGTCAGATAATGCTATCCATATGGGTCACCAACTTTGCCATCCCCTTGAAGGGGTTTCGAAGATGCGATATTTCCCCCATTGACCAATGTCCAATCCACGTGCATCTCTCAGCGAGGCTTCGAACGACGAAGGAGGGTTCCATGCCAAAAGGTACCTGGGTAGTCATGGTACGCAGATGGAAACGTCGAAAATTGACACGCGAACATGAAACGGGAAAAAAACTTCAGGGGATTGAACAAAAAAAGTCGTCTCATCTCCATTCGTGTTTTTTTTCTGGGTCGCTTATAGCTCTCCAAACTGTTGCTCGTACTTTGAAATATCGGCGACCTTGTCGGCCGAGGCGCTCTTTTCGTCGAACCTCAACTCGACCCACTCGTCGACGAGCTTCTTGGCCAACTCGAGGCCGATGACTCGCTGCCCGAAACACAGGACCTGGGCGTTGTTGGACAGGACGCTCCGCTCGACGCTGTACGGGTCGTGGGCGGTGACGGCACGGATGCCTTCGACCTTGTTGGCCGAGATGGCGACACCCAGACCGGTTCCACAGATCAAGAGTGCACGGTCGGCCTAGAACATTGTTTTAGAAGAAAAAAAAGAAAAGAGGTTGAGTAAGTGAGTGAGAATGAAGAAGATGGGAATGAGAGTGGGAGGGGAAAGAGAGAGAAGGAGAAAGATGAGGATATAAGTGTCCAAGGCGGTAACTTACCTCTCCTGATTTGATCTTTTTACAAGCATCAACCGCCAGATGAGGGTATGCTGTGGCATCATCGGCGGCCACCACGCCAACGTCGAGAACTTGAGTCACACCAGAATGTTTCTTGAGAGTCTCCTTGAGAGCAGTCTTGTAGGCGTGGCCGGCATTGTCTGAGCCTACGACGATGCGGAGGGGTGTTTTGGTACCGTTTGTCGTCATTTTGTTTTGTCTTTGTTCGCAGACCGCTATACTTTGTGATGCTATACGTGGCGGGGGTGGGAGTAAGTAGTGGGCGTTTGGAGGAGGTATGTATGTCGATACAAAGTCGCATAAAAAGAGGGCAAGAAAGATATTCTTGTAGGGGTATTGGAGTATTATTAAATCATGCCCAGATTGTTTCTCCATACAAAGGTCACTGAGTCGCCACACTGGTTCGTCGTTTGAAGATCTAGAGGTTGGTACGGGATGTTAGTTGAGTCCAGTACTAGAGACACGCAAATAATGCCGTGTCTTTGCCGGCGGCGAATCTGGCGTCATCTTGTAAAGTTGTAGCCGAAGTTTTTTTTTTCCTTTTCCCCCAAATGGTGGCTTCGGCTTGCCATCTTGGGTCCTTCCGGTCGGTCATTTTCAGCGGGACACACCAATTGAGAGGAGAGACGAGAACGGCCATGGAGTTCACAATCCCGATCTTGATATTCAATTTACTATTCTGTACTAGAGCTGTCAGTGCTGGACAGTAGGTGTTATGACCAAGATAGATACGCGACAAGTCTCCAAAGAATCAAAGGACGCAAGTGTTATTGTACTGTAAGAGGCACGAGTGACGACTGTTGGAAATACCACTGCCACCTCATACTCTTCCTCCTCCCTACAGAACCTGCTACTCTACAATCCCACACATACCTAGCAAACAACCTCACCGTCACCATGTCGTACCCCAAACTCCCATCAAAACTAGTCCTCACATCCACCAAAGCATACTTCTCCCCCTCGAGGACGATATCCTACTTAAAATCCATCCTCGACCCGACGGAAAACATCCTACCACCTCTTCAGAAACACTCCGATCAAGTTCTCTTCGTTCTCATCCCCGACTTCCTCACCATCTACCCTTGCTCCGAGGTCCTCTCGTCCATAAATTCGAGTCGACCGTCGTCGTGGCCTATAGCTCTCGGCGCCCAGAATTGCTACCAAAGCACGTCGTACGGCGCGTACACGGGCGAGATCGTCACTCCCGCCCTGTCGTCCCTGGGCGTCAGTATCGTCGAACTCAACCACGCCGAACGTCGGCGCCTGCTGCACGAGACCGACGAGTCATCCGCCGCCAGAGCTGCGGCGGTCTGCGCCCAGGGCATGGTCCCTCTCGTGTGCATCGGGGAGCTGGACCGTCCTGACCTCGCGGGACCAATGTCTCGGGCGGTCGGCGATGCAGTGACTCAGTTAAGCCCCCAGATCGGTACGATCCTCAAGGCCATCCCCAAGGACGCCCCGATCATATTCGCCTACGAACCCGTCTGGGCCATCGGGGCAGCACAGCCGGCGGGCGTCGGATACGTGGGTCCCGTCGTGCAGGCCATTCGCGAAATCGCGCGTGGTGTCGACAAAGGCCGGACGGGTGAGGTCAAGGTTGTGTACGGGGGAAGTGCTGGGCCGGGATTGTGGAGTGGAAAGGCAAACGGTGGGGACGGACTGGGAAAGTACGTGGATGGTTTGTTCCTGGGGAGGTTTGCGCATGAGATATCTGGAGTCAGAGGAGTGGTTGAGGAGGTGGTCGAGAGTCTTTGAGGCTCAGTCTTACTGTCCGTACCATTTTGATGACCACGTGCCCCCGAACAGGCATTGTCTCTTTGTGACGCACTACGGGATACGATCTCGGATCATTACCATGCTCTGATCACCCACATGGCCCTTTTCCTCTTGGTGCTTCATGGACGGCGAGACTCGGGGGGTGTTCGTGGTGCAGCAAGTCTATTGATGTCCTCCTCAGAAGGGAAAATATTCATGTCTGACAGCACATCTGACTAAACATCATCTATACCGTCCCGGTTGTCAGACAAACGATTTCGGCAGTTGCTTGGGTGACGAGTGACAGTTTTGAGTTGATCAATGGCCCCGCATCTTTTTCTCTTTCTGCTGCCTGCGTCTCGTAGAAACGTGGCAGTTCATTGTGTCGCCAACGAAGCCCAAGTCATTATTGAGGGAGTCACATTATTGTTCTCACCTTTTTACTCCGTTCCTTGTTTTCATACCCATCTCCGATCCATCTAGTCATCTACGGTGTATCCGTCGATTACCTCAGGGCAAATGCCATCAAACACCACGGCGACCTTCCTACACTAGACTTGAACTTCCAGCACTGCGATACAATCATGACCACCATCCTAGATACTCCTAGTCCTCTGCCGGGCTCTTTTCTGCCTGCCAACGAGGCCACCTTCCGATGTACCAACTTCAACGCCTCATTATTTCTTCCTCCGACACCTGATCAATCTAGATCGACCCCGACATCATCCAGTCTATCTCAAAGCCTCCGCAACAAGACATCTGCGCAGACCGCATCGAGGAAGCGACCACGTTTAGATCCCGTGTCTCGTCGCGACGCCACCTCTCCTCCCCCACTGGTCAACACAAATTACCGTATCGCCGGAGGACTCGACACGCCGACTTCACTCAGCGTGCAGAGGGAAGAAGAAGAAGACCGCGATGAATTCGAAGCAGATTGTCGGCCAAACAGGTACACAGAGACGACGAGATCGTCGTACTTTCCTCAAACGCCGGCGGTCAACGATGACAACAAATCCACGAATGGCAAGCGCAGACTATCTCAGTCCCCACAGACTCCTGGAGGTTGGGGCAAGACTGTCTGGGCCCTGACGGGAGGCATCGCCGGAAAAGTCATCAACTTTTGCTGGAACACCACATTCAAGGGTTTCCACGCAGGAGGCGGCAAAGGCTATGAATTCGACCTGAGCACTCCAGACGTATCTTCGCTCACGATACATGAAGTCGATGCGGCACAGGATGTTTTCCACGACGCCTACGAACGTCCAACCAGAGGAGATCGGGATAGGACACCCATTCCGGGTGGTTTCCCGGAAGAGCAAAGCTTCGTGTTTGAAGGTTTCGAAACGGCACGAACCAAGTCTTATGAAAGGCGGAATGACTGGGTCATTGTCGATGGTCCAGAGCACGACAGAGACGCCAGCCCGGTGAGAAAGAAGTCCAGAGCCAGTACGGCCAACCTGTACGCTCGGCAACCAAATACGCGGCAGGCAAGCAGCACTCAACATCCTCCTCGGCCTCGGCTCGCGTCTAGAACCTCTTCTCAGAAACCGTCGGCCTCATATGCCTCCCCGAGATCGTTGGCCGTGTCTGCGGCCGCCGCGAAACCGCAACACCGTCGGTCCGTATCTTCCTTTGAGCCAGCCTCCAACACCCCTCGACCGAACAGTAGAGCATCGATGGCGTCGCCGCGTCGGCAGTCTTCCCAGGTCCATACCACCGCCCAACCATCTCCTGAAGTTCGCAAATTCGAACAGAAAATGCGCCGGAAGGAAGCCAAACAGGATCAGACGATGAACCGTTTCAACGCACAATTGCAAGCCATGATCCGGGAGGGTCAGCAGGCGTTGGGATCAAAGATTGAGGTGGTCGACGGTGGTATGAGTGATGTCGATGTTGATGAGGGATACGAAGAGGGCGGTGAGATGATGGAAAGTTGGAGGAGTTAGTACCTAGTCGTCCCAGAAAACAAGAACAAAGGTGATCGGCCAAGTAACAACTGCATTTGGTGTCGATAACAGAAACAAGATACCCCTTAGTCGTTGTCTTTTTTGGTGGTCCAGACACTCGAGATGTCCGTATGAATACTCCATTCCATTCAATGTACAGAGAATTTTTACACGCTTATTCTTATGATCAACTTCTACTGTCGCTTACCCCGATCGTTTTGAATCTTTTGTCGAAAGTAAAAAATACGCTACCATCTTTTTGTACCCTTGCCCGTTCCTTTTCTTCTTTTCATAGAGGTGAAATGTCATATACAGTCATGATATCGTGATGTCGTGAGTAGTTGGGATCATCTTCGTCGTAGTGGTAGCAGTGGTACAGGTCTAAAAGTAAACAAGTTCCATGAGCGGGATAACCCTGCTTGAGCCCGAGAGAATCTAGGTAGAGAGGGCTCCTAAGTACAAGGCTTGATGTCTACCGAAACGCACTGTCTTTTGGGTATTATTATGGTTGACACTGGCCTCATCGTCATGTCCAGCATCGGCCAGAACAGCAGCAGCGGAGAATTTCCCAGAGGGAATGCTATGCCTCGTCGTCTCAACCGGTGGCGAGCGATGTACATTATCGCGAAGACGCCTCAATCGCTCAGTATGCGATCGTCGGTCCTCGAGCGACTCGAGAAGTTGTGTCATGGGTTCATTCGACGTGTCCGCGTCGTTTACAAACGTATCATTCCTTTTATCGTCTGGGTATTCTTGTGATGATGTGTCTGTATCGGACAAGGCCAGCCTAGGAGCAGTGGTGCCTTCAAGGAGGAACGTTGCCCATCGCCTGTCCATGGCAAAAGCATGATTCAGACGATCTTTCAGACCTTCGTCTTCGTCGTCATCCTCATTCCTAAACTCGTCCTCGGGCAGTGTATCTTGAGTCAGGCTTTGTATTCGTCTTCCAATATCCTCGCGCAATCGTCTTATCTCGTCCGTCTGGGTGGCCGCATTCTCTTTTAGGCTTCGTCTCTGTTGAAGTGTGTTTTGCAGAGATGTCCTGTGAGCCAAAAGTATTGGTATTATTTGTTCAGTGTTTTTGTTAACATCTCGTAGCTTTAGATTCTGGTTTGGGTTTGGGTTTTTGCTCTTCTTCCCGTCTCGATGGTCGTCATCCACTTTCTTTCGAAGAACGAGCATTCCGAACGAAGCGAGCAATTCTTCAAACTTGTCACCCTTGCACTCGTCTAGCATTGTCTTGCGTAGTACCGTTTCCTTGGGTAACGAGCCATTCTTTTTCAATTCCGTCAACGACTTGTACAAGGCTGCGCGTAGGTTGAGGGAATCCCTCGGTGTCGATGGTGGGAAGTGAGGTTGTAGTTTCTCCCTGGTCTCGACGGGATCGTAAGTCTCAAACAGTCGGTACAAAGCCCACTCGACACTCTTGACGCGTTGCTGCAAATTTGTTGGAGGTGCTGCTTTGGGCGAACTGTTGCGCAGAGTGGATTCGGTGAGTGTGGGTGGGAAGTCCGGGAGGAGGTCAAGGTCGAGTAAGTGCAGGGTGTGGATGAAGATGGAAATGTAGTCTCGAGGTCGATATGGGAGTTGAGATTTGTTTGGGCTCGAGGAGTCCATTGTAGAACATGTTTCTGTCGAAGAAAAGGCTGAGTATCCGTAGAAGGTTTGTTGTTTGAACTGTACGGACCAAGTTGTTGCAGTGGTGACCTTGTTAAGTTATCATGGAGAAATAATGGACGCCGATTGGCTCAAATGACTCGATGTGAGCCTTGCAGATAGAGTGACGAGGCTGAAGATAGCACGGAGCATGCACTCGAGGGTACATCATCTCATCCAACAATCTTCATCTCGTTTCACTTCTGATGTACTTCACCAAATCGTCTATGGTTGCCACATGGCTTTTCGAAATTTTTGAAATTCAACTCCACCGACAACACCATCAACAAGCAGTGGTAGGTTCAGAGATGAAAATGTTCTTTGCGAAGTTATTAGATTTAAAAACAATCATACTTCCAGGCCTGAAGAGTTTTGGCAGTCTGGAGAGATATGGGATTTTAATCAGTGAGTCAGGAAAACTATGTTCAATCAAAGTTTCCATTAGGATCTGCCTGTTGAATATTAAAGACTGGTACAACCCACACTTTTCACATACACACACGAAGAATTCCATAGATATTCAACCTCTCTTCTCCCTACTTCTTTCTTGTCATTATCTTGAATCCTTCAAAAGAAAGAATCAGTTTCTCGAAATTTCTCGACGCTACGCTTTACAGCAGTGCAAACAAACCCCGACCTCCTTGTTAACAACGTAAGACGATAACAGACGACAGCAGACGGCTCAAACTCTGCCTATATACTCGACACAAACGACAATTGACGACACAAGTTCTTTCTATATACATATCCTCGACCCCGGCGAATCAGATTCGAGTTCTCGCTTCAGACAATTCTCTTCTCGATTGACATAATCCAACATCACACATACTTATCAATCACAGCCAATTATTTCCTTTCTTCTAAAGAATATAGTTCAGAATGGGAGCGAGGACGACAATCCTAACCAGAATTCTCATTCTATCCGACACCCACGGCGAAGATTTTAAGCCCGAAGATCGACCTAGGCAGTATGCAGACGTGGCCATCCACTGTGGTGATCTCACTGATGGCTCCAAGCTAGAAGAATTCCGAACAGCACTCCAGACACTCAAATCCATCAACTCCCCTCTCAAACTAGTCATCGCAGGAAACCACGATTTCACCATGGACATTCCCGCCTTCGAGGCCAAGGTCGCAGAAGCAACACCACCATTGGACCCCGAGCTTGTAGTCAGAGAATACGGGACGCCAGGCCAAGCGAGACAAGTGTTCGAAGATGCGCGACAAGAAGGAATTGTCTTCCTAGACGAGGGAACTCACCATTTCGCGCTCCACAACGGAGCCAGACTGAAAATCTACGCCAGCCCCTGTACGCCCGCCTTGGGAGCTTGGGGTTTCCAATACCACCCGAACAAAGGCCGCCAATTCGATATCGAGCAAGACACAGACATCGCCATCACGCACGGTCCACCAAAGGGGATCATGGATTATACTCATGGTCGTGAACGGGCAGGGTGTCCTGATCTTTTTGGAGCTGTCGCTCGAGCCCGACCTCGCATCCACTGTTTCGGTCACATCCATGAAGGTTGGGGTGCGAGAGTGGTGACATGGAAGGATTGTGGTGGGATCGTTGAACCGTCTCATTTTACCGCCATTGACAACGAAAAGTCTCCGGTCATTGCAAGACTGGCCACTCTTAGAACGCACACGTCAGATTCCGAGGAGAGGGCTGAGGAAAAGAAAGCGGAACTGGAGGAACTGGAGCGCAACAAGTGCGCCGTGACGAGCCATCGCAACACCGTGGATCAGCATCCTCTCGAGTCGGGCAAACAAACCCTATTCGTCAACGCGTCCATCAAGGGGGACGGAGAAGAATTTGTGCAGAGGCCGTGGTTGGTTGACATTGATCTTCCGAAGCCGTGATTGGTACTGTCTTCAAGGCAAGAAGGGAGTTCATTTTGTTATATGTATAATGCTATTGAAGGTGAGTGAAAGATACTGTACGACTAACATAGAAACAATTGCCTGAGAAACGTAGTCGGTATGGGTAAATATTCGTGACATCAAAAAAGGACTACATCAGCACCAGCCACACGAGGTAGTGATGATGTTTGGGCCCTTTTGTAACAAAAGCAAAATATCAAATGAGCAAATGAAAACTTACATAAGTGTCAACAAAGCAAATAGACCCGACTCCGTGACACCCATTCCATTCCATACCAAACCATATCATACCATAGAGACCTTCCTCTCACACTCCACCGTCATCCCTCCATCCGAGAACAATTTCAATATTCCCTTCATCACCAGCCATGACCATCCCCGTCCCACCTCTCAATCAGCGTCGTCGGCCAGTACAGTGCCGGGTCGGCATCAGACTGACATTCCAGCAACGGGTTTGCCAGTCACGTTCCATTTCTATCTTGACGCCCATTTCGGCTATGAGGGCACAAAGTCCCTTGAGGTAATCCCCACGGAGAGCAAGGTAGGAATCGACCAAATCTGGAACCACCAGGTACTTCATCTCGTTCATGGCAGTGACCGCCCAGCTCCACGCGTTCCTGCCACGGAGCTGGAACTCCTTGTTGATCCAGCCTTGCGGATAGAGATCCACGCCGTTGACCCGTCGGTTCGCCACACCGGTGGCCTGGTCCATGTACAGCTGCGCCTTGTTGACGATCAGACACACCGGGTTGAATTCGACGTCGAAACCAAAGTAGACGACCCCGGCGGGACCGTCGTTCAAGTCGCCCGACAGGTCCAGAAAGATCCCTTGCTCGCCGTCGAGCATGTCGACTTTCCAACAGCGGCGCCCATCCTCGGCAAGTTCCGAATCACCGACATCACCGGAAGAGCAGCAAAAGTCAAAGTTGCCACTGCCGTCGACATCAACAAAGACGAGAGGGTTCGACACCATGGAAATTTGAAAGCCGTGGAAGAACCGCTGGATCAGCTGTTGTTGCTGATGCAGTTGACAGAGGCTGTTGCTGGGTCGGGGTTTGTTCAGAATCAGAATCCGTCGTCGCTGGAAGCCTGAATGGACAACCTGGAGTTGGTTGCTCTGAAAAATGTCCTCGCCGAGGTAACGTACACGATAGAATTGGCCATCTCTTCCGGCCGGACGGAGGTAAATTCCAATCCAGGTCAAAGGGGTCTCAGAAGAGTCGCCCGGTGTGCCGGTTGCGCCCACGATCGCAACGTACGTCTCGGTCGTCCAAGGCTTGGTGTACAGAGAAACGGAGAGTCCGAGGTTTGTCAGTGCCGAGGGTTGGGGACTGCTTGTATTTTCGACTTGAATGTCCTTGCACTCGTAAAAGAATGGAGGCTGATCAGCCAACAGCTTTCCAAGTGCATAATCGGGGCCGCTCCATGCCAATATGGTTTGGTCACTTGTCGATCGGATGATCTCTTCTTGAAGCCTTTGGAAAGCTCTCTTGCCCTCACCGTACATCACGGTCAGGTGCACGTCGAATATACCGAGAAGGCAATATGCAAGATCCTCAGGCCTGGTGGTCACCCGATTGGCCACCCAGGACATTTTCTGGGCAATGCTGCAATCACTGAGAGGATTACCGTTCAAATAGTTTTGTGGTATCCCTGTGAGGTTGCTGAGTCCCTCAACCATGTCAGACTTGGTTCCCAACGGCTGCCAGTGAGCATTGAAGAAGGCCATCTTTCGGGGAGCCTAGAGTTTGTCGTCGTTAGATATCACCTTTGTGTGAGTTGGAAGCTCGGGGGTGTACACATACTATGAGTTCCTGAAGAGTCCATCCTCGAGTGAACCAAGCACTCTTTGGTAGATCGTGAGTCGATTCCACATCAGACAGGTATGCGTAGCATTCCTCGGCTTCTTGATACCAATGGAACATGGAGTTGATGGCTTCCTGAAGTTCAGCACTACTCTTTTTGTCGATGCAGCAGCTATCGACCCAAACATAGTGAATGCCATTATCGGCCGCGGTCTTGCAGCACTGGTGGATCTTGAAGTTTCCTCGCTTTGGCGATGCTTCACTATCCTCTGAGCCATTGTAGATGTCACCAGAGAGAAATTGTTCGAAGCTGATTTCGTCTTCTTCCCATCGGTGAGAGAGGATGGCGTAGATGACATTTTCGCAGGTCTGAAATTCCTCCATCTCCATTGACTTGGTGTTGATGAGTCTGATCATCCTGAGGATGTGTGGAAGCCAGAGAGCCTATCTATTTGTCTCGTGAATGGTCAATTCTCAACAATATCGAAAGGTCTGGACTAGGAGACAAGTACGAAGGGATGGACCCGAGGAGCGGTGTCAAGTGTCCAGACATAACTTCCATGATGGGGGGATGGAAGTGATTATATGTCAATTCCACAGTCATGGGAGCAGTTAATCATCGAGGCTGCACATCCAAGCAATATAGGCAGGCTGAATGTTACCTACACGTCGGAGAGGCAGTATATTGCCTTTCTCCATGCTGATCCGTTGACCCTTGTGATGGGGGTAAGCAATGTTTTATTGCCTTTCACTGGTCATGGTATCTTAAGCGCTCGCTAAGCGCCAGCATGAACGGCCACATATGAGGTCAACCAGCACTCAGACCTGGAATCAGAACTAGAGTCAGGCTAGACCAAGACGTGCCGCTGAGTGACACGAGGTCCTTGTTGTGATTATATCCAGAATGTGCATATTGCTTTGGTTGTTGCGTTTCTCCTCCCAGGCAGGGTGTAGTCAGTCAATTCACTCTCACCACTTTGACTCCTGCACTGTACTCGGTATTCGTCTTTGATATATTATGATGTCTTTTCTTAGTTTCCTCGATATAATACGAGCGATTTTTGCTGTAGTGCCATGGTATCAACACAGAGAGAACAAAAATACAGAGTACTTGTGCAGATGAAATGAGGTAATCATCATTGGGTGGCATTCGCAAGGCTGACGAGGCTGTGTTGCTGCCCTACGAAAACTGGAACGAGGCTCCGTCGGCACAACGTCACTTGGTAAACAACAAACTTGCCCGGCATCAGCGGCAGTTTTTGCAGCAGACTTCCTGGCAGTTGGTTTTTCTTTGTCTCTTTCGCGCGCAAGTTTGTATATACAATCTAGAGATCAAGTGGGAAATATTAATTGTCCATTTCCTCTTTTCTCTGCTTGTTTCAATTCCCTCTTCCTACATTCATCACCACAACTCCTTTTTGCAATCAAGAATTTCTCATTCGTCCGATCAGCCAACATGGCTACAGATACACCACAAGGTAAGCAAACATTGTCACTCCGCAGATCCTTGCAACGTACTAACATTACACAAGCTCCTGAATATGTGACGAGACAAGAACACACCTCTCAGCTACCCAAGCCGAATCCCTGGTCGGTCAATGCGGTTCTGAAAGATCTCCCAAACCCGCCGACCGAAAACGCCTCTTCTCCGATCCCCTTCTTCCACTATGTCGAACGACTCAAGGTCGAGAAGCGCGAAGGATGGCGAAGATTTGGAATCTTAAAGGGCGAATCGATAGCAGATCACATGTACCGCATGTCGCTCATCACCATGCTTGCCCCTCCCGAATTAAGCAAACGACTAGACGTCCCGCGGTGTACCAAGATGGCACTCGTTCACGACATGGCGGAAGGCCTTGTCGGTGATCTGACCCCGGTCGACGGTGTGCCCAAACCCGAAAAGAACCGAAGAGAGGCAGCAACCATGGACTGGGTGGCGCAGTCTTTATTGGGGAAAGTGCACGGTGGTGTCAATGGGCAGGACATCCGTGCGGTTTGGCAGGAGTATGAGGACAGCGAAACCCTGGAGTCCAAGTTCGTGCATGACGTCGACAAGATCGAGCTTATCCTGCAAATGGTGGAGTACGAACGGGCCAGCGATTGCAAAGTTGACCTGAGCGAGTTCAGCTGGGTTGCTAGGAAGATCTATCTGGACGAGATGAAGGCTTGGGCGCAGGAGATTTTGGACGAGAGGGATCAGTTGTGGAAGAGCAAGCATATGGAACCGAGGCAGCCGTCTACTGCAGAGACGATCCAGAAGCAGCAGGATCAGTATTACGGCAATGGCAATGCAGAGACGAAGACGAACTGAACGAGAGGTCCCGACAAGTTCCAGTTGGACATTTTGCATGAGGATACGATGAGCAGGATAATGGAATGATGGAATGAGAAGAGTTGAGGGCAGTCATTTTGCAATTGCTGTGTACTTGTAGACAATGATACCCAGAATTCAATAGATAGACATTTTATGGTAGCAATCACCTTTAAGAAGCATTTCATGCCTATGTGATGTTTGCTCTAGGCAGCGCCTTTATGCTCAACGTTTTAGCATAGTATGTGGCGTCCCAAAGCCGGTAACGAGGTTCCTCTATCCCCCTTTGCTTTCATAGTCCCCCGCAGGATATAAATTTGGCTCGCAGGGTCCAAATTTTTGATTGTCTTGACAGGCAGAGATGCAAGTCTTTGCTTCTGACGACGTTTTCGACGGTGCATAAGATTGTACCTACGCCATGTATATCGAAGCGTCATGGTGATGGCGCTAGCAGAACTCCTTGAAGGTCTCTCTGACACGAGAACTTCGATCTTGTACAACGTGACTGAAGATGGTCAAATATCGGTAACAGTGTGAAGTATCAGTAGAGCGATTCCAGTTCAGCCTTCTTCATCGTCATCTGCTGTCCGGTCCTTCTCCATCTCACTCCTCAACCACTCTGCCTCTTTCTGCATGACATCTGCACTCCTTGGCTTTCTGTCACTGTCGGGTCCAGCTGAAAACTCCTTTCTGTGATTCATACGGTGACTCCTCTGGCTTTGCATCTCGAGAAAGGCCTTTCCAACATTTCCCTCTTCACCGTCCATCGATTCATAAATCTCATCGCCCCCTCCACGGTGGTCATAATCCCCTTTCTGTCTTGGGATGATGTGAACATGTACGTGTGGTACTGATTGGCCGGCATCTACACCATCTTGAATGGCCACATTGAGCGCACTGGCAGAGTAGACTCGTTCCAAGGTTCGCGAAACTATCCGTACAGTGTTGAATAGGTCGGAGGTCTCTGCAGCACTGAGTTGTGATATTCTTGGAACTACCCGCACTGGACAGATCAAGACATGCCCGGGAAGAATGGGTTTCAAGTTGACCAATCCGAATGACAATCGACTTCTTGACAGGTGAAACACCTGGGACGCAATGGGAAAAGGTCCGAACTTCAGATTGGGAGGAAGTGAAAGCTGAGGCATACTGTCCTGAGATTCCGAGGATATCTGATTCTCCTGTTGATCATCCACTTGCATGCTCATCGTATCTCGCCCATACGGACACGAAAAGGAACTGGGAAGTCGGCCACCTCGTCCTCCGTACCGCTCGCTCACAATGACTATTTACAGTCATACACGTTGCTCGGTGGTCGAACCCAGCCAAAATATCGCTCAAATTGAACTCGCGATGTCGCTTGCTACTTCATGTCAGCTCGTAAGAAAACACCAACTTCGTCCCTTTGTTGACGGACTGCTTTGGGATTTGCTGGGCGCCAAGAATACGAGGACAGTACGGAGTAATCATCGTGTCTATTCAGCATCAACTTCAACTCTGCTTCTCACACCCCATTGCAATAAATATTCTTGCAGAGTGAAGATCCAGCAATTCCATATGTCCAAATAAGGCCACCCTTATGCCTCGATGCGTCTAATTGATGTCAAGGCTGCGCTGGGTCACCGTCTGGCCTGGGTTATGCTTACGTCTCAAGCTGTGCCATTCGATTGCTTGTCGGCCATAGAACAAGCCCCGTCAGGCTGACAATTCTCCTTGAAAGGCCCGAGTCGATCTACATGCTCAATTCCTACAGAGGTAAGTGACTTTGACGATTTGAGATGAACGACGCAACGCCACCTCATTCCGAGGTCGCTGCATATCACACAAGTATGACCGTCGAGTACGCGTTCAGGGTCAATATTCCAGGTCCATGACGGATAATCTTTACGAACTTGTCCGGCATTTTACGGACGATGGATCATCAGGCCTCTTTCGAAACTCTCACATCCTGTCATGCTAGAAGCACAACCAACATCAAAGGTATAAGTAGAGGTGAGCCCCGATCACGTTCTGAAAGATTCAGTCTCATTCCGATCCATTGCCTCAAACTAGACTATCACTATGCATCTATCACTTCTTCTTATGCTGGCGCTACCTTACCTGGACACAACATCATGTTCTCCTTTGCTTGAACGTGCCCCAGACTTGGACACCAGTGGCTTTCAGCTACCCACCATATCAAACTCATTAGGAGGCAGTGCAATTTGTGTCTCTGGCCTTGTGGCCTTGAATGTCTCGACAAATGTCAATACCGAGCTCGACCTACCTATGAATGTCAGCCAAACTCAAGCAGTTGATCTTGTTCTCGGACTCAACACTGCAAATTCGACTTTGGCGACATCAGTGTCGAAGAATTCCCCGGACGTCGTTGACCAGACATTCAACATCGGCGCACAGCTATGCTATCCTGTCTCGCAACAGAATCAGACCACGATCCAGTTTTTGACCCACGGTATCGCCTTCTCAAAGACATACTGGGACTTTGCATTGCCGAACAACAGCTACATCGAAACGGCGGCCAAAGCAGGTCGGGCGACATTTTCTTATGACCGATTGGGAATCGGCAATTCTTCACACCCCGACCCTGTTCAAGTCGTGCAGAGTGGGATCCAAGTGGTTATTGCAGAGCAATTGGTCGGATTACTGCGTCAAGGACGATTAGCAAATCGCAAGTTCAGCCACGTTATCGGCGTGGGTCACTCGTATGGTTCGCTCATCACGACGTCCGTCGCAGCATCTTCGCCTGCTACCTTTGACGCAGTTGTCGCCACGGGGTTTTCCACCAACAGGACAGGAGGGAATCAATTTACATCGGCCCTCAACCTCCAGCCGGCCAACCTCTTTGCACCACGACGGTTCCAAAATCTTCCCTCCTCGTACTTGGTCCCCAGTACGAAATACGGCATCCAGTATTCTTTCTTCCGGGCTCCCAACTTTGAACAGTCCGTGCTCAACAAGTCGTTTGACAAGGTCGAAACGACCACGTTGGGCGAGACTTTTACCAGGTCTGCTTTCGCGACCAAGGCCGCCAACTTCACCGGACCAGTCTTGATCGCCAACGGTGGTCGGGATTTGGATTTTTGTGACGGTGATTGTTCGTACCCCAATGATATCAGTGCGGCTACACTGAAGACTTTTTTTCCAAATGCGAACAATCGATCATCAACAAGCTATAATCTACCTGATAGTGGTCACGGGATGAATCTCGCCATGAATGCGCCTTTGGCGTTTGACAAGATTCAAGAATTCATTTCGTCACTCGAGTTTTAGTATTTGAACTTTAGTTCTTGGGCGTGTTTCTCGAACTGCAGAACGAAAGGAATTTCTTGGGCAAAAGGTTTCTGTATAGGTAGAAATGAAACCATGTTTTTTGGTGTAGTGGTGTCTTTCGGGATGAACCACAAAGTACAGAATATTTATTTCCCCCCCTTCGACCTCGGACATCTCCATCGTCCATCGCATGTCGGTTTCTGTCTTTCCTAAACTTCAGCGTACATCTTTTGTTCTCCCCTGGGGGTTTATGTACTTTGTTTCCTTTACATTTATCCGCAGTCATTACGGTACCTCAGTAAACATTCAGACACCACTAGACGAATACTGTCTCTACGATACTCGACTTGGTCTGCCGATACAACATAGACACCCATATAAACGTACAACCCACTACCACAAAAGAGTATCCTTTTAATAAACAACAATGACACCTCAAATAAACAACAAGAACAACAACTACTACAGTGACGATAACGTTGGTCGTCTGACCACATCTTCCACGACGGGGACGTTTTATTTCGCCTACGGCAGTAATCTATCCCCGGTACAAATGTCACTTCGGTTGAGACATTCTCCGTCCTCGAGTGTCCCCGTGGCGATTGCCAGACTAGACAATCATTCTTGGATCATTTGTAAAAGGGGTTATGCGAATGTTGTTTCTCTGACGCAACCATCTCGGTCAGAGTCACAGGATCCTCTCAACGATTCATTACAACCTTTCAAATTTCCCGAGTCAGAGTCGGAGTCAGAAGAAGATTCTGCCGACTCGGTGGTTTGGGGTGTCTTGTACAACATGCATCCCGCGGATGAATCGAGATTGGACATGTACGAAGGTCATAATGAGGCGAGAAATCCGGAACCGCAGCCGAACCCGGACGAAGAAACCAAACATTTCAAATCACATTTGCAAGGTGGTTGGGATTACAACAAACATTATCTACCCGTCACCGTCACCAAATGGTTGACCGGCAACCCAAAAGATTATGGTGTCCAAGTGCCAAATCCCACCGAACCGGGAAACGATTCGACCACATCCGGTACAAACACGACCGCGACGGTGAGGGCGTTGGTGTACGTCGATGAATACCGTACGGAACCGGGGACGATAGTACACGAGTACATCGGTCGTATGAACCGAGGGATCCAAGAGAGTGTCGGTCTGGGTCTTCCGGCCCCATGGGTTGCAAAGGTCATGCGTAAATTCATCCCGGAGGGGATTCACGTCGAAGATTTGGCCTACGTGGGTACCGACGAAGGTTACGTCGAAGATGTGTAGACAGCAGACCCTTGAGAGGGAAAAAACCTCATCTAGACGGGCAAAGAAGTAGAATCTTCTCCGGGAATGGTTTGGTAAACACACACACACAAGGTGTTATACCTTGCCTCCCCAAGGGGGGTAGTACTCCATAGGTACCTCGAAGCATCCGAGTATTGATTGACCAAGTCTGTTCGTTTCAGAAGAAAATATCAACACGTTCGAAAATTCCCTACGGAGGGTTTCCCCTAATTTGATGTACCTTATTTACTCCTCACCACTCCGTATTACTCCCTGGCAAAAACCACAAACCCACTTTATCCGATCCTCGCTATGCTCATAGGAGAGGAACCCAAAAGGCGCGCACACACATCATATACATAAACGTACTCCCGTAAATCACACACCACACCCAAAATACCTTGCAAGTAAGGTGTATTCCAACAAGGTGTCCCTCCTTACTTCTTCTCTCTTCTGACTCCTCGTTCATCCATTACCACACCCTCGTTAAGACCGAACCACTTCTCACTTCTGTGGGTCTCACTCAATAACCAAATCTTCCAGGTGCACTCGCCTGGCTAATTTCCCTTCTAACATTCTCTTTATCCCTTCCAAACAATGATCCCATCACTTTCGGTTTGGTCGGACTACCACCACTACCACCCTTCAACCCACTGGCGACCCTATTCTCCTTCCCACTTGCAGACTTTAGGTTCACGCTTCTCGCTCGGTCTCGTCTTGCTCGGATCTGTGCTAGAGCCGCTTCTCGAGAAATCGGTGTACCCGGTACATTCCCCAAGATGGAATTCGGAATCATCCCCGCCTGTGACGCGCGGTTTGACCACGTGTCGTTGCCACTGGTGCTGCCGTTACTCGCTGTACTGCTCCTCAACGGGTTTGGTATTTGGTTCATGTCTATGTTGAGAACCTCGGTATGAGCATGACCTGGCTTCTCTAGACTAAACACATCGTCTACTCCAACAACATCTCCCAAACCCTTGAGTGGGACCCTGGTCGTGGTGCTTGTAGTCACGGGTCGAGGCTGTGATTGAGCATGTTGCGCCAGGTTCTGTGTCGACTTTGACTGCTTGTGCAGTGGTGTGATGGGAAACATTGTCCCTGGAGCTGGCGAGGCAGAAGGGGCACGTGATTCCGGTTGGTGTTCGCTCAAATGTGACGTGGCCGATGAGTGTAGGGGGGAATGACTTCGAAGGTTGGGTCTGGACTGAGACCGTTTGTGCAAGCTATTTCGCTCCGGCGAGCCTTTCAAGGCAACCTTCGTGGTCGTGGTGATTGTGTGGTTGTACTCGTACGCATGGGTCGGAGAATGCTCAAACGTTCTCACCGAGCGTGGTGAGTCAGGAACAAGGCGGATTGGGGAGTTCACCGTCAAAATACCCATGGCAGTAGACGGTCGGCGGGGTGGTGCTTGCTTGGGTGGTGAAAGATCGAAGAGGTCTCGTTCGAGGACGTCCGCTGCACTCTCGGCATGTCGAAGGGATGGAGTCGCAATCTTCAATGCCGGGTTGCTCGTGGTCGAAGTTGAGAAACAGAATGGTTTTGAAGTGGTGCCAGGCTCTACTATGACCTGCGTGATGTCTTCGAGTTGAGCGGTCAATTCTGGAGTGCAATCCCGAGAGTCGAGTTCCATGGGGTGAGGCTCAGGAAGAGGCACTTCAGCTGCTTCATCAAGAAGATTACACGATGGCTCTTCTGAGATTCTTGAAAGGTGTTCATTGGTCGGATCAGGGGGCAGCCTACCGGCTTCTGTACTTGTTGTCTCGGGTAGAAATTCAGGAACCTCCTGAGATGGCACATTGGGGGCCTGGTGGACATTCTCTGCAGTTTCGTCGGCAGTGCTCTGGGCAGGTTTCATCTCTTCGTGTTCATCAGACAACTTTCTTTTCTTTGGTGCTTGAACAATTTCGAGAGTCGTGTCGTAGGCGTAATCATGCACGAAACGTTCACCCTTCTCCTCAGCCAACCGGCATGGACAAGCCTTGAACTGACACTGCATGTGCATAAAGTGGATCATATCAGCATCCTCGGCGTGTTTCTGTCGAGCGCATCTCAATTCTTGCTTGAGGAACCTGATCTCTTCTTCTGGTGTGAGTTTCTCTCCCTGCATACGTTTGTCGTGAACGTCAACAAAGAATTTGAGCATGTCCCGTGAAGCCTTTAATCCAGGGACACGTGCTGGCTCTCCTGCAGCGTCCATTGGTCTCTTCAGCGACACTGGCGCTGCCTTTTCAGATTGTTCCGTTTGATTTCTTGGTTCGGGTTGCTCCTTCTGTGGTTGTTGCGAGACTGTTTCAGCCTTTTCATGTTGTGGTGGCAAGACAAACACTTCAACATCGTTCGTCTTGGCCTGTAGAAGAGCAGCGTCCCTCTCCCTCTCGACCGCCCTCAGACGGTCCTTTAATTGATCAACTTCGCCCACCATCCCAGCCAGAGCATATGCTCTCTCGAAACTTTCCTGTCTGCTCTTTTCCTTTTCCGCCTTCTCATGTTGCACTTCGGCCTGGCTTCTCTTCAACTCACCTCTCGCCTCTTGCAGGTCTTGCCGCACCTCGACGACAGCCAATTCAGCCCGATAGGCCTCTTTACGACATCTTTTCACCTCTCTCGCGTAGCTCTCCTGGTCACGGCTTCTTTTCTCCCTCTCGGCTTGAATTTCCCCCAACAGGTCTTCCACCCGTTGCGCAAGCATCCGTTCTCGCTTCTTCCTCGAGATAAGCTCCTCACGCACCCGTTCCAGATCTGCGGTCACCGTGGCCAGACTGGCCTGGGCCTCTTCGTACCCCATGACGGCCTGTTGAAGAGCGGTGTTGCTGTTCCCATTCCCTCTTGGGGTCCTCGTGGGCGACGACTGAGCGCTTCCGGTGCCATTGGCGAGACTGTTCAGGAAGGCGACTTTGGATTGAACTTCGGACGTGAAAGAGTCTCGAGTGCATGGTCGGTCGTTTTCGTTGAGGAGACCACCTCCCATCGGAGGCGACTGCGGTGGTAGTCGTTGTTGATTGACTCTCTCGGGAGAGAGCAGGTGCAGAGGTTGTGAGAGGTGAGGAGGGCATTTGAGAGGATTTGGACTCGCATGTTGTAGTGGTTCCATATCCTGTTCGATAAGTATTGCTGTGTCCATGCTGAGTGTGCTGTGGAAACTCAATGGACAATTCAAGAAAATGATGCTGCTTCTCATAAAACTCTCATGTTTTAATGCTTGTGTGACAACATACAGTCCAATCCAAGGCAAAGGTAAAGTTGCAACGCAGGCTAGTGTGAGTATCTTAGGTACTGTTGTCGTCCTGCACGGCTGGATTTGTTTACTCTTTACGTCCCAATGGGGTTTCTTCGGGATGGAAGCGCTCTTGGCAACTGTGGTCACGTGGGATACCTTTTCATCCGAAGGTCGACCCAAGTACTTCGTATGCTAGGAACTAGGGGCAACATCAGAATATTTCAAGCATATCTTTGATTTATTGTCTAGCACATCTCGTCGACCGACGATGATAATCTAGCATGATGGATGCATATTGCAAGCAAAATTTTCCGCCTTCTGCAGTGTGCGCCGACTCCTGCATTCTCACAGTATCCCTTTGTCTCAAGGGACTTTGCGACCTGTAAAGGTCTGTAGGTCTTCCTAGACTCTTCTCAGACTCTCCTCTCACTCGTGTACAATGACGAATTCCGTCCCGATGTCCAATAACAGTAATGTACAATTCGCAACCCGCATCTCTGGTCGGGTACTTCTCTCTCTTGTGCTGAAACCTGAGGCTTTCCTTCTGGACGGCAGCCTCTGACATCGAAAACCCCCTGGCCGTCAATTTAATAATGATAACAATAAAATTCATAAACACAATGCAATGCAAGACATGAATACAGTTTTAATCATGAAAAAAAAAGCCCGTGAACTTTTTTAACAAAGTCAAGAACAATCCATCTCGACGTCCTCTCGGCGCTGCAAAAATGGTGCCTCTCCAAAATCCATGGCTTCCATGCCACAGCTCATCATCCTCTTGTGGTGTCCGAAGCCAGCCGTGTTCTGAGGTTCAGGCTGTGGTGCTTGGAAGTTGGCAAATGGGTTGAAGGTAGAAGAAGTGGATGCTTCCGTTATTGACTGAGGCAGGCGATTGCGAGACTTGGGCATGGCGATCCGACGACCATTGTTTCTGTTATGATCACCGATTTGGGTCATCGGGCTCACTTCGCCCATGTTGTCCACGTCAATGGCGAGGTAATCAATGGGCATTCCCATACCAGAATCTGCGATCAGACTCGGGGTTTGTGGCTGCCAGTCCTGGCTCTCGTCGCTGTCCGAGTCGGCTTCGTATCCTCGCTTGTGGCTGGTAGAGTATGACCAGAGTTGTTGTTGAGCGACAGCTGGATCTTCGTACTGTGACAAGAAGGAAAGGCTGATCCCACAGAAAGTCGCGGTGCTCATGGGTTGAACCTCAGAGGCAGAATAAGGTGACAACTCGTTGCCGTTTGCGGCGTTGCCATTCGACAGTGCTGCCTGGGTTTCTGGGGACAATCTGTGTATGTCGAAGAATGGACGGGGGGTGAATTTCTTCGCCTGGGTCTTGTATCCTTCGGCAACCGATTTGCGCACGCGCATGCCCACCTGAAGCAACTGAGCTTCAATTTCGGCGCGATCGGGAGCTTGTTCGCACAGTTGGAACATCAACGGAGAATCAAAGGTGTGGTCTTCAATGGAGGTGTTGTCGGAGACAGGAATGATGGGAGGGAGACTCTGGGGACCGAAGCGACGGCGCTTGGTCTGAGGAGAGGTAGACTCGTTCGAAGGTGCAGCGAAAGCTGGGAAGTCTTGTGGGATACCCATGATGGACGGTAAATGTTGTAAATGTTTGAAAGAGAAAGAAAGTGGTGAGGCTGGAAGTAGATGGATGTGGATGTGGATGTGTAGGTAGGTGAGCTCCAGGGACAGCGAAGTCGAGGAGTAAGTAAGACAAGGCGCGACGAATAGAGAGAGAGAGAGAGAGCCGAATCCTGCTAAGTGAATAGCAAGATGTCTGGTGGTTTGTCGAAGGGTAAGGTAGGTAGGTGATTGAAGGTTCGAGAGATCAGTGTGAAGGAGAGGAAATTAGAAAGTAAAGAGGGAACGGACCGTGCTGAGAGGCTTTTGGTGAGCTTTTCCCTCCCCTCGTATTATTACTGGGTAGCGAGTAATGAGGCGCGCACGGGGCAGGGGAGAGGAGCAGGTTGAGAGGATGGAGGAGGATTCTGAATCCGGCTATCAAACTTATCTTAAGCCTCGTCAAATGGTGGAGTTTCCGGAGCGACTGGGCACAAGCGAGAGACAATCCACACAACTCCGTACCATACACAAGTATTATGTTCTTGTACGACTGTGAGGACAGAACATCCCGTACGGAGTACTCTGTACAGAGTAGCTATACAGAGTACCCTTTGATGTTGTTGGTCTTGTATTTTTCCATCTTCTCTCACTTGAAGATAGCATATCACTCCTAATAAGCAAACTACATACCTACAGCTAACAGAGGTACAAAATCTACGGAGTATACTGTACTGTATATCCTTCATAAGCCCTTCACAATAATAAATCCTCTCTGTCTCTCTCAACGCCACATCTTGGCTGTAATAATAATAAATCTCCCTTACTTTCGTAGCCTACGGACCCATACGGAGTACCTATTGCACCTCCATTACTCTATGTAGGCTTAGGTCTTGGGAGGTGGCTGCAAGGAGGATGGATATTAATAGCGTCCTCGCTTCCGCCGCTAACGACACAGCCATCTGGCATTAGTTCACGGACTCTGTATGCAAAAGTCCGGGGGCTGGGAGTGAAATGGGACTGTGAAACCAGTTCTTCCTCCCTTGATTGGGCCTCATTTTTCCTGCGTCCCTTGTTCCTGCATCTTCCTATTTAAATTATTCCCACATTGATTTGCCCATTTAAAGACACGACCATGACGCGCCTGTGCGCGTTTTGACAGCTTCTAGCCCGCAGAAATGGAGATTGCTTCTTAGCACTTCCCAAGGCAATCTCACCATACTCCTGTACGAGCGCACAGAATACCGAAAATCGCTGGGCACTCGTACTTTCAACGTACGGATTATGACCATCGTTGTTCTTGTCGTTCTGTCGTTCTCTATATCATCGATGATGACTGCGTCGACATCGTAACGCCCACCCACTAAAACTGTATGGCGCAATGGCAGGATGAAATTCGCTGCACCCGCCCAGGCCTGCACCAAAAAGAATAACGACAACAGCATCATGTTTACTCCATATTGAATAGATTCATCTTCTACGACACTTCTATCCTCGATTCCCTCGTTTTCCTCCTTTCTTTTGCCTGGCAGCATGCGCCTTCAGAATCTTGCGATGCTCGACCAAACTTCTCTTGCCCTTGGACTTGGCCTTGCCCAAAGTCATCAAGAAATTCTTCTTCCGAGCCTTCTCCTTGTTGGTCGTACTTTTACCCTCGCTCTCTTTCCTCTCCTTCTTCCGAGCAGCTTTAGACTTGTGATCCTCCCGATCCGCCTTGTGCTCTTCGAGGAGAGCCAACTTCTGGGCTCGAGTCGCTTTACCTCGCGACAAGGATGCCAGACCTTCAATCTCTGCAGCCGTCAGAGGATCATCAATATGTCGTTGGGCATTCGTCTGCTCCGCTCGTGCACTGTGGTGCGACTTGTGGTTCTTCATCAACGATGACACAGATGAGGTAGTCCTCAATTCCTGCAATTTTGCCAGGTCCGCAGGCGTGAGGATCCGGGTAGTGGCCAGATTCGATTTCGACTTCTCCGAAGCCTCCACGCCATCCGCCTTGTCTTCATCTTCGGCCCCATTCTCTTTGTCGTCGCTGGTCGAGACTTTGGCATCAAATCGTACCTTCTTACTCGAAGGCTTTTCATCTTCGCTGTCGCTGATGTTGATTTCGTCGTCACTCTCAACATTGATCCACCCACCCGAATCATCGCTATCGTCTTCTTGCACGTCCCAGGCATTCCAATCTTCTTCATCTTCGTCCTCCTCCTCATCCTCTCCATCCGCGGGAAGACCCTTCTCCAGCCGTTTCCGCTGTTTCTCTTCTTCTTTCCACTTCTCTAATAGTTCTAGACCTTCAATCTCACCGACCATTTCCTCACCAAATCGTTGTTGTTTCTGATCACCAGATCGGAGGCCAAGTGAAGCATCCTTTCCTCGATCACGCTTCTTCAGCATCTCTGCCCCAACTTGCCGGTACAAGCCCAGTAGTCCTTTGGCTGCCATCATGACACCCTTGTCCTTGCTCTTCCTGTACATGACCAAGTCTTGGAGCAGAGTGTCATTCATCGCCAACGGCTGCCGTACGCAAATTTCACGGATCGCATTCAGGCCCGCTGCTGCAACCTCCCCGGCTGCGGCTTCTGACACAAACTCGTTCGCAATCTTCTGCACAAGAGGCTCCAGCACATCAGGTGGCACAAGGTTATGTGTCGACTGTGCCAGACTTGCCAGGAAACTCGTCACGCTTGGCTGACGCGGTGTCAAGTACTTCAAAAAGTAACTGTAGAAACTGAGAACGGTCAACTTGTGCAACCCGATCAATCTCGATACAAGCTGCAGCACCAACAACTTTTGCTCGAGATTGAGCCTCGATTTGGCCGCTTGCAGGTGCTTCGTGAACAGCGTTTCCGCGAATCCCTGAGGGTCATGTAACAGGTGCAGTGCCGAAAAGTTCAACGGATGCGGTTGACCCTTTTTCTTCTCCTTCCTCCGCACTGTAGCGGCAGCCTTCTCGAGCCTCCGTTCTGCCTTTTTACTCTTCTTGTTGACCCCGATCTGATGCCGTAACCGACCCATATCCACCGCCTCGTCGTCCGAGCTCTCGTCCTCGAGTTCTTCCCGCTCCTTGTCGCCTCCCAAGAAGAAGCGCACACCGCCGACGACGCATTTCTCGTTATCACTGACCGCCGCCTCTTTCATAATTTCCACGGCCTTCGCATCCGTCCATATCTGTCTCTTCCACATCTCCCTCGTGATCTTGATGGCCCAGAGCGCTTTGGGACTCGTCCTGTCCTCCGTGACGAGATTATGCAGCGTCGTCTGCACGCTCTTGTTCAACTTGTGATTTGTCGTCTTTGCGTTCGCACCACGCAAATCACTGATGATTTTCTGAAACAGCAGCGCCCGTAGACTCTTGCTCGGAGTGGATATGAGGATCGGGAAGAAGCACTGTAGCAGTGTCAGGGAGTCTATGATCTCTTTCTTCCGCAGCAACACGAGGCTGCCCAAGATCTTCTCGCGCAGTTCGGGCTCGAGGCTCGCATGGTGCGTGGATAGGATCTCGATCAGTTGACCGGGAAAGTCTTTCGTCTCGATCTTGTAGCAGTCCGACACGTGGGCGACGAACTCGATCAGGTCTCGAAAGGAAATGACGCCCGTGTTGTCGGAGGCCGCGGTGGGCGCCTGCATGAAGATCTGCCGTTGATTCTCATACTGGATGTACTGGTGGGAGAAGTCGGTGTGGTAAGATCGAGGGTCGCGCTTGATTTTGTTTTGTAGATTCGCGAGGTCGGCGTCGACCTTTTCAAGGGCGCCCAACTTACGTTTCACCATTTTCCTCCCAGTATCGATGAGTTTGGGGAGGTCGTAAGTTGTGGCAGGTTGTCGTCGAAACTACTATTCATTGACCGCAGGCGAAACTTCTGAACTTTTTTTTGCCCGGAGTTGATCTTATCTTATCACTAGCCCGAGTTAGATCTCAGCCTTGTGCATTCATAGGGCCGCCGGCTGGAACTCGGGCGCCCGCCTCGCAGTGAACTGTTGAAAACTGTACTCTGTCAGTGAGGTAAATGTACAACCTAATACCGCTTTTAAGAGACAACGTTGATCCAAAGCATCAGTTTCTATATAGTAAGTTGTACAGATCATGTTCGTCTTGTCCACATGTGTAAATGTGTGGCGAAACCAATTCTACATATAACGCCAGTTCGTAGATTCTACGTAGTACGTCTCCTATGATTACAGCAGTAAATAACGATATGGAGAAGGGAGCGTCTGAGAGTACGAGGAGGGGTACCATGGTTGTCAACAAGAGCAAGCATTTTGCGTGCTTCCCCGTCCGAGTCTTACACACAGCCTCCCCAGACAATAAACTAGCATTATGGTGAATGGTGCTAAAACCCATACGATGTCAGTAATATGACCATCACCATCCAGACCAGGACGATGGCAAACATGTCTCAAGCGTCATGAGCTGTTGGATTAAGATAGGTCGCTGCTATTCATCTCTGTCATATGACCAAGGCCTCCAATTGTTTCACCGATCTGTTTTCGCAGATCAATATCGTCTTCACGCTCATCTAGCCAGATGTAATCGTGAACTAACTGTGTTCTTTGAGAATTGGGAATAGGAGTAAATCTGCTAAGTTGTACTGCCAAACGTTCCCGACCGCCTGACAGTTGTCGATTGAATACACTGGTATGTGTGTAGCGGCGATGTTCTGGTGGCCATACCCCGACTTCGGAAGTTTCCATCTCCACAGAGGTGTAAAGCCTGTCTCGACCTTCCTCCTTCAGAATAACCCTCTCTGCAACTCGGTCTGGAGTGATGAATGCCCATCGGCTCGTCGGTTGTGGAGCTACACGCATCAATTCGAGCGCTTTTCTCCTGAGCACCGGGTCTCGGCACTTCATGGAACAGAAATACAGCGGTGGGACGCAACCCGGATCAAGCTTGAGAGTCTGCTGGTCTGTGGTAGATTTCGCCGCGCAATGTAGATAGACTTCCGCGTGGTGAACGATGTCGAGGAAATGCTCCCTGTATTGGTCGTAAGTCGCTTCCAGGCGGCTTGAGCATGTAGCCAAAGAGACGTAACAGACCGCCCAATACATCGAAATGTATGAGTGCATCCATCCGGCTTCGGGATCAGGCGTTGGGCTCCAATCTCGTTGAAAGATGGTCTTCCAATTCAAAAGCTTCTCCAACAAAGCCCTTCTTGTCAACACAAATCTCTGAAGTCCTGGGTCGTTGGGATCATCTTCCGGGACCAATTCAGCAACTCGAATGACCTCGTAGCAATGGTATACTAGACTGTGGAACTGGACTCTAGCTTCGTTCAGTGCTGGTAGCCTTGACAACGCCATCTGTAGGGCCGAACTTGATTGTACATTCGCAATCCATTCAGCTGGCAAGACCGTGCCGAGCGTGGCCATGAGGACCGCTTTTCGTAAGACAAAAGGCCCGACCACCTGCTGGATAGCGAGACTTGTTGGTGAAGCCCGCTGCTGTGAAAGTATTTGGATCAATATTCGACAGCCCCGTTCGACCAAATCTCTCCCAGTCTTAATGTTTCTCTGTTGAAATTCCACAGTGGCGAATAGCACACAACTCAGCAGAGCAATAGAGTCATCCATGTCGTCTCTTTCAGCGAGGTCTCGCACGTGGGTAATAGCCTTGTTATAGAACTGCAGCGCATGGCGATGTTGGTGATTGGTGATTACTGGAGCCGAGACGGCATCGAAGACTGTCGTCAGTGAGCCATAAGGGACATGCTCAAGCAATGAGCTGATGCAAACTACCATGTTCCAGACGAACTCATGGCTGCGAGCGAACCGCGGTACCAGGTCTTTCCAGAAGCCGGTATCCGAAGCGCCTGCGAAAATGGGCGCAGCTCGATCGAGAAAGTAGTTGAACGCTCGACGCTCATACTCATTATGACCGGGTATTACGAGCGAGACTTCTGGCAGTATGATGGAAGTGTCCGATCGGTCTTTTGGGCGATCCTGAATGAAGCGGAATTGCTTTACAACAGGGCCTTCACATCGTCTCCCAGACTCAATACATCTCCGACAAGAAGGTCTTGTTTCATCGCACTTTATTCGCCGAACTCTGGCAAGATTTCAGCTCAGAGATAGGAAGCAGAGAGTGAGAACATGAACCTACTTGCAAGATAAACATCCATTGCGAGATTTCTGGTGACCAGCACGCCGCAGTCGTAATTGTTCATTATGCTGTACAGTCATTGGCCTGACCTGGGAAAAATATATGAAATGGAGATGTATATCACCAATCTGGGTGGAATGGTCACCCGCCCCTAACACGGGACCCGGTTATCTTAGGAATTCTTCAGGCGTAGATGCAACAGGACAGGGATGCTGACAGTTCGACCGGCGAGCTCTGCCAACATAGAAAATTACTTCAGAGGTGTTCCTGCCAAGAGCCTCAGGGATTGCTACAGTGTCCTGCATCAATCATAAGGCGAAATGCTGATTCGATCCTGCAAGGACGGAGTAAAGTTGGGAGGACTTGTGAACAAGTCAAATTTGCTGGGAGTTGTATGGTATGTGGAGCTTGTCGCCAGTCAAGGATGTTCCTCATTGGGCGTGTCGTGTTGCTGGCCATTTTGGGCTTAGTGGGAGGATAATCTTGGAAGGACACTAGCCATTTGCGGAATAGACGGCCGATAGTCGAGGGTGTTCGAGCCGCTGTAACAACGACAAGCATTGTTCCGTACTCCGTAGTTGATGTACCTGAAGGAAATGCTTGACGACGAGAGGACAGGATGTGCTTCGAAATCAAGTGACACATGGGTCTCAGGATTGCTTGTCGTGTGGGTCGGAATTGCCTTAACAAAAATGGACGTGAATACGAGGAAGTCGCATGGAGGGCATCACTACCATAAATGTCTTCGTGCCGTCAAAGCACGCTGCCACATTCAACCTCTTGTTACTGTTGCATCTACTTACGGTCTTCGCGTGTGGTTTGTTTCTACGCTTGTCTTGCATGACCTACTGATATCGTTCTCGTTATTTTACCTCAACATATATTTCACACTCGTTTCAAGAATTTCTGCGCACGCGGCGCGCATTGTCTACTTCGCCAGCTGAAAACAAAGCAGCCTCAAACGCCCACATTTCCGGTTCAGAACCAACGACCATAATCCCAGTCCAAACATGGGGTTACCAGATACAGTGGTGGTGCTTCTAGTCATCATAGGGGCCGCCTTCTCGGTCTGTATGGGTTATGCAGTCCATAGGACTTTTGCAAAATCCTTTTTTGGAGACGCTCCAACGTTCAATCACGGGCCATCTCAACAAGAATACATGAGAGAAGTGAGAAGCAGAAACCAGATGATGGCATTTTCCGACGCCAGGCCTCCAAGATATCCTCCCCCAGAAGTCTAAGACATCAACTTGGGTATACTGGAAGATCAATGATCGATGGAAGCACTCGTCAGACCACAATCCTGGATTACCGAAGGCAATCATATCTTGCAGCAACCTATGGCGGCTGAATGCTATGTGCTCCAACTCAGCCCAAGTTCTAGTTGAGTAGAATATTGGAGGAGACAAAAAATGCAGAAAAAAGTCAAACCTAGTCATATTGCGTCGGTGTTGGCAGGTCAAATGGCGTTTCAAGAAGTCAGTTCACAAGAATGACCCCATTCGCTTATGGCGCAGGGGCAAAAGCAAATGATCGTCGGTGTCGGGTTGAATGATAAACGATGGTGTGTATGTCTTTTAGCGCATGATGGACATGGTAAACGCGGGCGTCATCATCATCTCAGGCGTTGGGTTAGAGGGATACAATTTTGGTCACCTGCACGTCGTTGTAACAAACGGTTCCAGATTGTAGTGCCACCACACATGGTACTCTGGACGGCTAGTAATAGTTGATACGTCCCAAAAATTCACATTGTTCAGGGAGTAGCCCAGAGACATCTCGTGCGGCATTCTTTCGATCCAAGTAACTCACAGGCCTTACCTTTTGCTAAGAGCACGATTGAAATCGCACGATAAAATGCAGCCAACACTCGAAGTTGGTTGAGGAAATTCAGATCCAGAAAATATAAAACATGGGAGGAAAATTTGCCGAGAAAGGCTTGGATTGTGTTAATGTTCATTTTTTTTGGCACATCACCATGTTGCAAAGCGCTGCCATCTGGTTGACCCAGCCGAAATCATAACCGACCGGAGGCGACACTGCGTAATATCTGTAAAATAGGTAACACCACCTATCTTCTCTGCATAGGTTGCCATAAAAGCAAATCCGCCCAGTGCTTCTGTCCGTAAACCCCGAAATCTGATGAAACCTTTATCGGTTGCTCTTGGCCACACGCTCCAATTCGTCCTTCTTCTTAATGGCGTAGGAGTTGCTGCTTCCCTTAGCAGCGTTGATCAATTCTTCAGCAAGGCACTCTGCGATGCTCTTGACGTTTCGGAAAGAAGCCTCACGGGCACCAATGGTGAGCAGAGCGATGGCCTGGTTGACACGGCGAAGAGGAGAAACATCGACGGCTTGTCTTCGAACGGTACCGGCACTTCCAATTCTGGTGCTGTCTTCTCGGGGACCGCAGTTGACAATGGCGTCAACGGCAATTTGGATGGGGTTCTGATCGGTCATGATGTGAATCTGTATCATCGGTCAGACAATTTCTCAACGCTGTGCACATCCATTGACACATACGATCTCAAAAGCATGTGCGACGATTCTGATAGCCATGAGCTTCTTGCCGTTGTTGCGGCCGTTCATCATCAGGGAGTTTGTCAATCGCTCGATGATCGGGCACTGAGCCTTTCGGAATCGCTTCGCGGCATATCGACCAGCAGAGTGAGGAAGGTAGACGGGAGCTCGGATTTGGATGTAGTCGCTACAAATAATGTATTAGCACTCCCTCCAGTGATTCTTCGATCGGCGCGTGTTCCCTACGTCAAGGAGATATCTCTGACTTCAACATCGCTGTAATCCCACTTGTTGAAGAGACGGATGCTGCCCAGCTCAGCAGTAACATCCTTGGGAAGGACTTGGTAGCCCGAGACGGGGTTTTCGACTTCGACTTCTCCGGAATCAGACATCTTGAGTTGTCGAGATCTAGTGGTCGTTAGAAGGTGACTACAGGGAGTGAAAGCCAGGCGACAGGAGAATCGTGGCCTTGCGTTTGTGTGGTGCAATACACTTACTGTGTTGGCTGTCGAAAACTTGAAACTGGAACTTCGTGAGGCTGCGATAGTGGTTGCCAAATTTCGATGTGTGGTGCAGGATTGCCAAGATTGAAAAACGCCAAGTCGTGTATCACGTGCCCGAACCGACTTCCGATGTTCTGCCGGGCTTCACAGGACTAGCCTAGGCAAAGCCTTACCAATACATTCATGTCAGTGCTTTCTTTTCAATATGTTTGTTCACAGCAGCTATTCATATTTGCTTTGAACTATTAGTGTATGATAATGCGGTGAGAGTCTACTCAATCACAGGTACAGCAATCAAAGCCAATTAATCCCTCCATGTGCTATGCGCAGGACAACGCGCACAATGGAGGCTTTCGCCAGTCTAATACTACTACATCACACACTTGCTCTCTTCGTGGTGCTAGCTCTCCTTACTTGCTCAATCTCAGTGTTGATTCCTCCAGTGGTCTTTGGTCCAACATAGCGGCTCTCGCCAATGAACCACCAAATGGTCACCAGAACCGTCAAACCTCCCCAAATCAAGCATGCATAATTCATGGATTGTGCAGTTGTTGGCAGGGCAAATGGGAAGCAGTAAATAACGAACCATACCATCAAATACCCACAAGCGATGAAGTTGAGGGCAAAGCCGATCTTCTTCAACTGGAAAGGACCGAATTGAATATTTTTACGGCCTGTCAGCAAGTGTGGCAAGATTGCTGCAATGTATCTGAGTTCTGTCAGCAGTGTCACTTCTCTGAATATGAATATTCACTTACGAGGAGCTACTCATCAGCACGAAACTTCCGACAAATGCATTGAAGGCTGTTGTACTGCCAACGTAGATGCTAGCCAAACGGTGAGTCTGAGTTTCGACCATCAAAAAGAGGAGCTTACCATCCCAGGATAGTTGCAATACAGCCACAGGTCAGAGTTGCAATGAGAGGCATCCCCAGCCGCGGAGCCACCTTGCCCAGATGGTGAGGGAAAGGTGTTGCTCCATCCCGTGCGAGCGCCCACAGCGTCCGGCCAGCCGTGATATATACGCCTACCATGCATACTCCCACACAGAAGAGGAGTAGACAGAGCAGACCGATTGCACCACTAGCTGACCCAGTCGCCTGTCGATAGATCTCCGCAATGGGAAAGGCTGAGTCGAATAGAGCATCATAATCGCTGATGGCATACATCTACAACATGGTTAGAAAGCCGTTTCCAACTGCTTTGAGCTGAACCGGAGCATGATGAAGAATGAGAGACTTGCGATTGCAATGATATAGCACAACCCGGTGAAAAATCCGATTGCCATCTGGGTCCCGATCGCGATAGGAACATTCTTGCCCGGGTTAGGGACTTCCTCGGCAATGTGGCTGACGAGCAAGTGTCAGACTCATAGACGGTAACCGTCGCATATGTTTATGGGTGCTTACCTGACAGCATCTGGAGTTCCGACTGCATATGCTCCGTTCAACATACCGGCCACGAAGACAAAACTGCTGATGTCAGAACACTCCCAGATCTTGCAGATCTGTCTGCATATAACTCACCCATTGGGATATCCGATGTCTGCAGTCCAGTCCTTCCATACAAAACTTGATGTCGCATGTGGCGGACGTCCATCTGAGCCAGGCATGGCCGCACTATGACAGTTAGCACAGAATGTGGCGTCGACGAAGTCATGACTCACACTACGACGATTGTAATGAAAAATCCGGAGAGAATGAGGACTATCCCCAGAGTATTCAAATGCGGCATTCCACTGTTGAACAGACAGACGCATGCGCAAGCAATCCAAGTCGCGATCTTCACAGAGGTCAGCATGTCTGCGAACTTCCATGGACTGTCTAACAGCTAGAAGGCCGTGGAACTTACGAGGTAGGTGACGAAGACATGCCATTGCTTGGCCTCAAAGCCACTGTGAGTGACACCATACATCTGGACGATCGTGTTTGCTGCACTGCATTAGTTGCTGGCATGTTGCACCTTCACAGAAACCGACCGAAGATGAAGCTCATGGAGGCACATCCAAACACCCAAGCCAGCCAGTTCCAGTACCCAGCATAGAACCTGTGACAATGTTAGCCAAAGCTGTGGTATTTGAAGGACCACAAAGAATATCTTACCCGATTACACGACCCCATCTCTTCCCTGGTGTCACTGATGCCCAATGGTATATGCCGCCACTGGAAGGGATGGCCGATGCCAATTCAGCTATCGAAGCCGCAACAATCCAGTAGAACACCGAGACAGCGATGAACTCATAGATGACACCAGGAGGACCTCCATTGAAGATTGCAACCAGGATCGAACCTCCCACAGCGGGCCATACATTGCCAACCACTAAGCCGACACCGGCTGCAGAAAGCAGATTGAAGTTACGGTCGAGTTCTTGGACGTGACCCGATGCGTTGATTAGATCCGAGACTTCACCGTCCACTGTTGGGATGATTGCGTCCTCCGGCGCAGTACTGGGACTTTTTTCTGTTCTGCCCATGGCGATCCGATATCGAAGACGAGGAGACAATTAGGGACGGTAGGCAATTCGAGGTATAGGAGCAAGGGGCCGTTGAAGGCGTAATATACAGTAAAGACGATACTCTAAAGCACTGTACCCGACAGCGATATTGAACGAATCTGTGCTACCAATGCCACTCTAAAGGACAAGGATCATTAACCAGCCTGCGACGAAGAAACGTGTGCCGCTGCTTCGTAGATATAACACCAGCCGACATCCTGCCTTCATCGTAAGAAACGCCTAGAGGCCAATCTCCGAGCAAAGTCTCCCGTTGATTGGCAGAATTGCAACCGAAACACGAATAGACGTTGATAAGGAACAAAGAGCTGACAACAATCGACAAGTAAGAAAACGTCCTACATTCTGGTATGGACTATTTCGGATTCGTTCAACTAGCTCCAACGAGGCAGGAAGATAACAGGGCTCCATTTCTGGCCCAGGCGCTCGGTACTGTACTCGTCCCTGGGCATTCACGACTCGAAGCCCCAAATATGTACCCACGAGCGCCTATCTCCTTCGAGCGAAGTACCTAACTCACTGTGTCATACTTTCTAGCCCCGGTCAGACCACATGGCTTTGGCGCTTATCTTGAGATCAATATAAGCCGAACTATGGGTATAGCTGTCTCCAGAGCCTGTAGTGCCGCCAAAAGAAGTAACCGTGAAGGATTTCGTATTCAACCACGAGGTCAGAGTCGGGCCTTATGGCCCACTTCAGGCCCCTTCTCGAACATATTGGGGAATAGAAATATCAAAAAATATCGTTGGCGGATATGTCCGACGAACACGAGATCCCTCTAACTTGACTTCTTGAAGAGGGCCATAATTCTGGGACTTGGACAGCCGCCGTTGTTGATCATCAGCCGTGGCAATGTCTGAAGCGAGATATTCATTTCTGGGCCTCGAGAGGCTTCACGTGTTCGTGACCGGCGCAGGTGGTGGGATCGGTGGTGCAGCTGTCAAAGAATTTCTTGGTACGTGAAGACTGTTGTATGATGTGCGAGAAGCAAACATCATCTCTGACGCCATTCCAGCCTTGGGGTGCCGTGTCACAGGGTTCGATAAGAGGGCTATCGAGAGCTCGAGACTATGTTCGAGCCCGGAAGAGCAGTCCAGATTCAATACCGTGCAAGGTGATCTGACTGTTGAGGAGTCTATTGCTGCTTCTTTCCGGTCTGCAGTCGACAGGTTTGGCCCAGTGAACATTCTCGTGGCCAACGCAGGGATTACCGATGAAAGTGCTCATCCGCCAATCTGGGAGGTCGATGCCGCGCTTTGGGATAAGGTGAGAGGCAACTGTCGAATAATGATACGCACCATGAAACTTACGGGGCCAAGGTGAACACCAACAATGTCAGGGGCACATTTTTGACTGTCAAGCACTTCTTACGCTCGGTAAAACAAGCCCAAGAAAAGCAGGGCGGCGAACTTGACAACGTCGCTATTGTCATCACAGGCTCGGAGACCGGCAAGTTTGGTCAGGAAGGACACTCGGAGTTTGTTTTTACTGATCAAGATCGGACTAGAAGGAGGAATCGCTAACTCCATTCAGGTATGCCTCGGGAAAAGCAGGTCTGCAATATGGCCTTGTCCGAACAGTCAAGAACGAGATTGTCAGGTTGAACTCGAAAGCTCGCATCAACGCCGTAGCGCCTGGTTGGGTCAATACTTCACTCATTGGGGATCGCCTTGACGATCCCAAGGAGATGTGGTCTGAATGCCAGGCAACGGTTGCTCTCCGAAAAATCTCAGAGCCCGAGGATGTGGCGCGAGCAATGGCATTTTTAGCCAGCCATCGGGCTGCAGGCAACATATCTGGAGAATGTGTCTCCGTAGATGGCGGTATGGAAGGCAGGCTCATTTGGCGGGAGGAGCAGGTACTCGGTTCAGGCTCCAAGCCTGGCAGTAGCGGAAGCGCGATTCAGACGACGACTATTCCTACGTCTTTGAGTCCGCCAAAGAGACAGCGGCGTTTGCGAATCTGTCTGTCTGTTGATTTTGACGCCATCTCAGGATACCTGGGCACCGGTCATGACCCCAACAACACGCTTGCCGACTACTCGGCGGGTGTTTTCAGCGCCAATGTCGGTGTTGGCAGACTGCTGGGTTTGTTCAAGAAACACGGGATCTCTGACAAGCTCACCTGGTTCGTGCCCGGTCACAGTCTGGAGACATTCCCAACCCAGGCACAGGAGATAGTGCAGAGTGGTGCGGAACTTGGACTGCATGGGTACAGTCACGAAGGGGCCTATGCCATGACCGTTGAACAAGAAAAAGATGTGCTCGAAAAGTGCATCGAGATCATCACGAAACTGAAGGGGGGAAAGCGACCGGTGGGATATCGGGCACCGTTATATCAAATTCGCGAGACCACGGTACGGCTACTGCAGGATCACGACTTTCTGTATGATAGCAGCATGAACGCACATGACGCACTCCCTTACTTCCTGCCTAAGCCATTCCCCGATGAGCCACCGCATGTGCCTGATTACAGCAAAGATGCCAAAAGCTGGATGGTACCAACGCCTGTTCCACAACAGCCTGAGGCAGGTTCGGCAGAAGCAGAGAGAGCGCTTGTTGAGATTCCAGGAAGCTGGTATACCGAGGACATGACACCGGTAAGAATGATCGATTTGAAAACATGGAGCGTTTGCTAACTTCCACAGCTTGGATTCTACCCGTATGCAGCCAACACGCAAGGCTACATTAGCGTCGATGTAGTCGAAAAGATGTGGATTGATCGATTCAACTGGATCTGGGAGAACGAAAGCTGGTTGGACGAGGGTCCTGGCAAAGGATATGGATCCGTCTATCCGTAAGTAAGATCGATCTATGTGATGTGCTGATTACTGATTGAATGTCCGCCAGGATGATCTGGCATCCGGAATCAGCTGGACGTGCACACATTGTCGGCATGATTGATCAATTTATTTCCAAGCTGGTGGTACGAATGAAAGAAGCCGGCGAAGGAGAGATTACCTTTGAGCCCATGGAAAGTGTGGCTCGAAGCTGGAAACAACGAACATGAGCGGATTATCTCAGATCTCAGCTCAGCAGATGTGGCGGCGTGGAGAACGAAAAGCAGTAAAGGTTTTGAGAAGGGGTGTACTTGTAGTTTTTCGAATGAGCTTCCTACAGTACAACTGAGAGCATTCCATTCCTTCGTGGCAACGCTCTGTACCACTCAATGATGGTCGTCAGCGTGATTTAGCCTTAACGCTTGAATCCGACACCAATGCAGCAATGCCTGGGAGTCATTGAGAGGTAACATACATTATGGATACGGGCCAAGTTGACAGGTCAGTTGATTGGGCCTCGAAGGGCTGGAATGGTCGATGAATACGATACGAGAGTAAGGTAGTGGGTGGGAACAAAGGATTGAAGCAAGGGCGGAAAGGCGCAGGCTGATTAAGCGATGTGGTCATAGCAAAGAAATGCTGAGTGGACAATCAAGTCTCGTATGTGGTAATGATGCTAGTCGAAAGTGGCATTTGCTCGACTTTGAAAACGAACCGCCTTGAATCGCCCAAAGCCAAACAAGTTGGTGATCACTGATGATGATATTTCTTTCGCTGGCCCTCATGATGCAGCTTCACCTGGGATTTCACCCTTTGCCACGTTAGGTTTCTTCACCTTTTCCAAGTGCTTTTCTCTCTATCTGACCATAGGCATTTCTTCTTGTCTTTCCCCAGCTCATAGACACATCCTGTCCCTCGTCTTGGAAATTGTTCCTTTGGCCCCCTCCAATACACATGTTCTTTGTATTCTGTTGCCTGTCTCCCTTCCCTTGGAGATCTGCATGGCCCAGACCCAGTTACGCATGTGCATATGGTCCGAGCTTAGGATCTGTAGTCGACTTCGTTGTGCAAACGGCCGCTCTTACGAGTACACATTGAAACCTCCTATGAGCTGAACCAGAATCACCATGTCTACCTCCAACCCTCTCCCCGATCGGTCGCAACAGGAGGAACAGATTCCTCAAGTTGTCCTCGAGGAAGCCACCGCAGTGGCGGCAGCAAACCAAGAGGAGGCAGGCGACTTGGGAAACATAAACACCGCTGCGTCCTCGCCAGAGAGCCATGTTCGACATCATGGCGGCACATCTCCCCACCTAGACGAAGTTCCTGCGCCAGCCTACAATGCCGACCAGTACGAACACTTGGACATCAGTCAGAATGGGCTGGATACGTCCGCCCAAGTCAGCAGTAATGGCAGAATCAACATCAATATCAATCAGCGGAGCAAAAAGCTCACGAACCTCCTTATACCGGCCCTACGGCACCAATTGGACATCCAGAAGCAAAAGGCGACCGCTCAGCCGCAAATACCAGAGGGCCTCGGGGAAACAGACGATGGATTACCTCCATCTCCTATGAACATTGTGATCCAGATCGTGGGTAGCAGAGGAGATGTCCAACCCTTTGTCGCATTGGGCCAGGTGTTGAAGAACAAGTACAACCACCGAGTCAGGATAGCCACGCATCCCACATTCAAGGAATTTGTCACCGAAAATGGCCTCGAATTCTTCAGCATTGGTGGAGATCCAGCAGAACTCATGGCGTTTATGGTGAAAAACCCTGGGTTGATGCCTGGAATCGACTCTCTCAAAAGTGGCGATGTAGGCAAACGAAGAAAGGGCATCTACGAAATCGTCACGGGGTGTTGGCGATCGACTATTGAAGCTGGAGATGGAACGGGCGTGCAGGTGTCCGATGACACCCATTCATTCGACAGCGCCATCTCCTTCGGTGCAGATCCGAACTTCAAACCTTTTGTAGCAGATGCCATTATTGCAAATCCTCCCAGTTTTGCTCATGTCCACATTGCTGAGAAGTTAGGTGTTCCCCTTCACCTCATGTTTACAATGCCATGGTCTCCAACACAGTCCTTTCCGCATCCACTTGCGAACATTGTCTCCTCAAACACCGACGCCAATATGGCCAACTTTGTCACATATGCTTTGGTGGACATGCTGACTTGGCAAGGATTGGGAGATGTTATCAACCGATTCCGAGAGAGAAGTCTCGGCCTGGAGCCTATCAGTATCATGTGGGCGCCAGGTATGACCAGCCGGCTTCGGATTCCCTGGACGTACTGCTGGTCCCCCGCTCTTATACCTAAGCCGGCCGACTGGGGAAGCTATATCGACATCTCGGGCTTCTTTTTCCTGAATCTTTCCACCAATTATATGCCGGCGGAGGAATTAGCAAACTTCCTGGCTGCCGGTCCACCTCCTGTCTATATTGGTTTTGGCTCAATTGTCGTTGATGACCCCAATGCGATGACTAGGATGATCTTCGAAGCAATCAAGAAAACAGGTCAACGAGCCCTTGTGTCCAAGGGGTGGGGTGGCCTCGGCGCAGACCAATTAGGCATTCCAGAAGGTGTCTTCATGCTGGGCAATTGCCCGCATGATTGGCTGTTCCAGCACGTTTCATGTGTGGTTCACCACGGTGGTGCTGGAACAACTGCAGCTGGAATTCTTGCCGGTAGGCCGACTGTTGTGGTGCCTTTCTTCGGTGATCAGCCGTTCTGGGGCTCGATGACATATCGTGCCGGTGCAGGACCTAAGCCAGTTCCCTACAAGACCTTGACTGCGGACAAGCTTGCGGAGTCAATAATGGAAGCTTTAAAGCCTGCGTCTCTGGAGCAAGCGAAAGAGCTGAGCATGAAAATCAAATCGGAAAAGGGCACAGAGGCTGGCGCAGAATCTTTTCACAAGCAATTACACCTGTCTGATCTGCGATGCTCGCTAGCTCCGACTCGGACCGCTGTCTGGCGAGTAAAGCGAACGGACATTCGCCTTTCGCCACTTGCAGCAATCGTTCTCGGAAGCGAAGGTCTACTTGACTTCTCGGACCTGAAATTATACCGACCTCGAGAGTATGAAACAGAAGATGGTCCATGGGAGCCAATCTCTGGCGGCGCTGCAGCTTTGATGGGAACAATTGGAAATCTCTCTATGGGTGTCGCCGATTTCCCAGTGGAGATATTGAAGTCACTAAAGACAGCCAGTAGTGACCTAAAAGATCTACATGAGCGAAAAAACTCGCCCCCTGGATCGTCCACTCCTACTACAACTTCTGAACGCGTATCAAACGGAGATGTATCAAGCACAGTTGACGCCGCCTCTGAAGACCAGTCTGGCGTCGCCTCGAGTGCAACCACCCAAGTAGGGCAGGAAACCCCCTCTGGCTCATCACGACCATCAGCCATGTCGACTGTATACGCGCCAGATGGCAGCACAAGAAGCTCATCCCACCATCGTCATTGGTCTCGCAGTGGGCGCCATTCACGGTCCAACTCTGGTTCGCCGAAGCCTGGACATCGTACACATTCACCCGCTTGTGAAGAAGTAGGGCAGATATCACTAGACACCGCTATGACTGGAGCAAGAGCCGTGGGAAAGATTGTGTCTGCTGGTGTCAAATCGCCAATGGACTTCACCTTGTCGCTGGCAAAGGGTTTCCACAACGCTCCGAAGCTATACGGTGATGAAACGGTTAGGAAGAGCGAGAAGATTGTGGATCTCAACTCTGGTCTGAAAGCGGCTGGCAAGGAATTCGGCTACGGCTTCTACGATGGTATCACCGGCCTAGTGACCCAACCTCTGGCGGGCGCGAAAAAGGAGGGAGCCGCGGGCTTCTTCAAAGGAGCGGCGAAAGGCATTGGAGGCCTGGTCCTCAAGCCAGGCGCCGGTATATGGGGTCTTCCAGGATACACCGCAAAAGGCATTTATGCTGAAGTCGCCAAGCACTTTGGCAGTTCTGTACAAAACTATATCATCGCTGCCCGAACAGCTCAAGGTTTTGATGAATGGAAGAACAGTACGCCGGAAGAGAGAGAATCGATTGTTCGAGCGTGGAAGGATGGCAAGCTCGAAACCCGTAAAGGTGGGCGGTTGTACGGGGAGGAACGTAAAGTAGCCATCGAGCAACATATCCTCACCAAGACGCACAGCGATTCCGTTGAGTTGATCCACGGATTCAAGAACACCAAACATCTCAGCTGGGATGAACGGAAAGCTCTCGACGAGAAGCGGCAACAGCTCAAGAAGGAACAGAAAGAGCTTGAGCGTCGTGAGAAGGCAATCAAGAAGGAGGAGAGAAAGCAAACAGGCAGAATCAAAAGTCGGTGCAAGTTCTGCCCCTTCGATCACGAGAGTAGCCAACACCTCAACCATACTCGATCATTGTCGAGTATCAGTTCCAGTCTTGATCATCCTGCGAAGAGTCAGGAAAACATCGGAGATGATCCAGAATATGAGGAAGCCATCCAGAGAGCAATCACGGAAACCAGTAAAGGAAATCGCTCAGAGGATGCAGTCATTGAGAGAGCGCTGCGTGCCAGTCTGCGCGAGCTGCACAATGCGCCATACCGAGGTAGTATCCAAAGCGACGAAGCTTTCAAGACGGCAGTACGGGCAAGTCTGAAGGAGTTCAAGCGTGCACAGGCGGAACGGTCTTCTCAAGAGACTGGAGTTGTGCCCATCGAGGAAGGAGAAGACGAAGACGAAGCAGAAGCCGACCATCACGATGCTGTACTCGAACGGGTCTTGACGAAAAGTCTGGAAGAGTACAGGGCGGCTCAATCGGCCCAAGAGGGCTCACAGCACCCGTCTGCCGACCATCTAGACTACAGTGATTCGGGGATTGACACGGACTATGATGAGGACTTCAAACGTGCTATCGAAGAGAGCAAAAGACTCCACAGTGAAAACGAGCAAACGAAGAAAGATCTTGCCGTGAGGGAGGCGAGGCTGCTCGAGAATGAAGGTGGTGGAGAAGTGTCTTCGGGGTTGAATGCTGAGTCTGCCGAAACCCACGGTGATGAGGATGAGCTGAAGAGAGCCATCACTGCATCTGAAGAAGATGAAAAGGCGCGACGGGATGAGCTGACCAAGCAGCAGACCGAGGAACAAATTGTGTTGGAGTACGTCAAGAAGCAGAGTTTACTGGAGGAGGAGATAAAGAAGAACAAGGACGCCCAAAATGTCTCTACTACTTCCGAGTGAGGATGTTTCGAAAGGAACGTGGCTTGTTGTTTACTTTTTGTCGGGCTCGGAACGCGAAAGGAAAGGAATGCCAAATGCCAAATGACAAATGACGACGATACCCAACGAGCATATAGCAGTGCTATCCCTATTTTGCTTTTAGATATATACACGAGGGTCATGGGCATACGACGCGATCATGAACTAATAACGAATGAATTGAATGATGATGATGCTGCTAATGCTGAAAACGAATGTGATGTTTTGTCCTTGTTTGGTTTCACTAGACTGTGCGGAGCATGCTGTATTTTTTGTGTTGGTCGAGTTCAAGAAGTCTAGTACGCACCCACGCGCCGAGGGGAAGGGGCTCCCATAGCTATGGTTTCCAAGACTTGGGTTCGTCTCAGATCAGTTCATCACCCAGACACTGTCATGTTTTGGATACTTTTTTGAGGAGTTATATAACAAGCACGTGGGTGATGGGTATATCGTGTTGGAATCCACACTTTACTCATTTAATAAACACCGAGCGGATACTGGGTCGGTATGTTGTGAAGAGATTTCACTTTCGGGACTCGGGTGTAGGTGGTGGTGACTTCGACGGTCTCATTCAAGCCGTTGGTGACGGGCACCTTGCGGGCGTGGAGTCGATCGTCGATACTTTTGGCCAGCTTGAGTAGTGTCCCCTCGGCGAATGGGAGACCGAGCAGTTCCATGCCGATGGGGATCCCGACGGGGGCGGAGTCCGTGGCGGGAGAGAAACCGATCGGGATGGTGACGACGGGGCTACCCGTGAGGGCGGCCAGGATACCGTTCCGGCCGGACTGCGAAGGGGACCCCACGGGGACCACGAGGTTTTTTTGCTCCGGGTAGATGACGGCGTCGAGGTCGTCGGACAGAAAGGTCGAGTGGAGGGTGCGAGTCAGGTTGGCGATGAGGGATTGTTTGTTGAAGTAGCCAGGGTCGCCCGTGGACGAGCGTAGACTCGACTCGAGGTAAGCGTACTGACTCGGGATGACGAGGAATTCGGGTCTGGTGCGGTTGGGCGTGTACAACTCGGGCATGCTCGGAGGGTGCGTGCCCCCCAGGTCCGGAGAGGACAGGTAGGAGGTCAGACCCTCGCGGTACTCGAAACTCTGTACGTCCATCGCCGACGATATGGCCGTGGCGTTGTAGATGGGGTCGGTGATGTTGACGACGGTCGCGCCTTGAGACTGCAAAAGGCCAATCACCGCGGACATGGCCGAGGTGACGGGTGTCGTCTCGTTGGTGTCGGTCCGGTCGATGAAACCTTCGAGCACGCCGATGCGAGTGCCGGTGAGGTTTTGGAACGAGGTGAGAAAGCTCGTGTAGTCCGTCCCGACGGTCGAGGGAGGCGCCGCGGAGGTCACGTTGTCCCGTGGGTCGTAGCCCACGCTCGACATGACGGTCAGGGCCGCCGCGATGTCGTACAGGCACCGACCTATGGCGCCGACCGTGTCTTGGGTGTAGGAGATGGGGATGACCCCCGCGCGCGAGATCAGACCCCTCGTCGGACGGAACGAGAACAAAGAGTTTGCGCTCGCCGGGGACCGTAGGGAGTTGACAGTGTCGGTGCCGGTGCCGAAGACGGCAAACGACGCGGCGACGGCCGCGCCCGTGCCTCCGGAACTGCCGCCCGGCGTGCGGCCAAGGTCGTAAGGGTTCAGAGTCTGGCCGCCGAGACTGGACACGGAGAGCCCTTCCAACGCGAGTTCGTGGAGGTTTGACTTGCCCAGGATGACGGCACCGGCGTCGCGGAAGGCCGCGACGGTGGGTGCGTCGTGGGCCGGCGTGGACGAGTTGAGGGCGATGCAACCTCCTGTGGATGGCATCGGGGTGGCGTCGTAGTTGTCCTTGAGCAGTATGGGTATGCAGAACAGTGAGCCCGTGGCGTTCCCGCTGGACAAGGCTGCGTCGAGCGAGTCGGCAATCGACAGAGCGTCTGGGTTCAGTGTTATGATGGCATTGATGTCGGGATCGAAGCGTTCAACGCGAGCGATGAAGGAGCTCACGATGTCGCGGCATGTCGTGACGCCGGAGAACAATGAGGCGTGCAGAGATGGTATGGTAGCCTCGCGGACATCAAATGCCAGAGACTGTGAAATAGTGAAGGGTATTGTGCATGCGAGGATGCTGAGCAGTCGCATGGTGTTGGTACTATGCATTTTGTTTCCCCCCCTCTGCTTTCGAGACTCGTGGCCCAAAATATCTCAAGGTACCTTCTCGTCTCAGTATCCCTCGCAGATGTTCTATACCTTCATGCTCGTCTTCAACACCTCGAGCCAGGGATGAAATTTATCAGATCATGGTGTCCGATGTCAAAGGCCCTCACGAAATGGTTCAATGGAGATGCCCACCTTATCAATGGTGAGTTTTCGATACCTGTGACGGCTATGACCAAACACCTTCCTGATCAGAGCAGATCTTCCACTGATCAGTATAACCCTTGTATATGCATCAAGCTCGGCACCGGAATCTGACCGGATAACGGCGGAGAGAATATTGTAATTTCTTTAGGCGTTGTGATAAATCGTGGATGGGTATCCATACCTGGTAGGAAATGGTGGTTGATGTTGGAGCTACCGCAGCCTTGGCCGGATAAACCTTGAGCCGTTCCGACACCATTTCGTCTCAAAACTTCCTCCGTGGACTTGCTGTTCCATGCTCCTTGACGGTCATGATGGCCGCATCGGTTGCGACGCATTGTGCGCCTATGTCCGTGAGCTGATGATCAAGGGAAAATCGACAAGGTCCTCGTAGGTCCTTCAACCACCCCCCAGAATTCGTCGACAGAGTGCTATTAGAGCTGGATCCCGGCAGCATCTCCAATATCCCTTCACGTCTTATTGCTCCTGCTGGCTCTTATTTGCTTTGGATTCGTTCAACCGCTTTTCCGAGATCTCAATGAATCCATCTCGGGCCATGCGTCGAATACCTCTGCTCTTAGGCGTCTCCAGAGGCTGATGAGTTGTCCGAGGTTGCATTGATGGAGATATCTCGACCTCTAGAAGCTTACTCGCAGCCTTGAACCTCAAGGTCTCACCGGCCGTCAACACTTTCCCGCTCCTGGGTCTCTCAATGTCAAGTTGACGTTGTAACGGAAATTCCCACCGTCGAAATACTGGCCTTGATCTCCCTTCGCCTTTGTTGAAAATTGTGTGGGACAGACAAGCATGATCTTCACGGACCCGGATGGGTGTGAATCAGGTAAGCTCGCCAACAAGGAAGCTATGGCTTCGACTCGACGAGGCTGCGATATATGTGGGGCTTCACATTCACTGCCTTGAAAAAATGAGTGGTTATATATTGGAATAGTGAAATTATGTCCTCAATGGCGAGTCTGGCGTGACCTCTCAAGCCCCTCCTATCAAAGCTACTGTTCGGTAGAACCCGTTTAGCGGAGGCGAATTCGAAGTCACGTACTGAAACGGACCAGACTCCTGGTGAAGTGAGTGCTCGCAAACTCACAAAGTAACTCTGGATGAAGGAAACCGCCATTCGCAAAAAAAAACCGAGTCCAATGATAGCATCTTCTGAAAGAATCTCTGCTTAGGCCTTCTGTTTTCGCTTCCTCCCAACCTCTGGCACTAACCACCCAGGGCTTGGGAAGAAAGAGTTTTTTTGTCATTTTTCCGAACGGATATGATGTTCAAATCCCATCGTGGTCGATTTCTTTCTGTTTCTTGCCTTTCGGCATGGTATGCGTTACCAGCAGAAGCGGGCGGTCAGCCGGAGTGAAGTCATTTCGGCAAAGTATCAGACTCTGACCACTTCAAGCAGGATAAAGCAGTGGTGCGTGGACCGAGAACAGCATTCCTCCCACAACCACATAAAAAGGATATCCATTTCATACGCTCGGTTCTCTTCAGTCATCCTCGGACCCTCTTCAAACCTCGCCGTTTCTTGTCAAGATGGAGACCTTCTCCGAAAGCACGTTGCGAGTAACGAGTCAAAGCTGAGCAAACCTCAACGAAAGCAGCGTAGGGAGATTTGCTACATTGGAATTCCACTTGTTTCGAAGGCCCGACAGTCAGCGTGATGGCTACACAAGCGGAGACAACACTCGTCGATGCCACATTGAATAAAGAAACATAGAAGATGTTGTTGGAGTTTGACACTGTTTGATTTTTCTCTATGCAGTCTCCTCAAGGTAGATTGCTGTCCACTCCGACGTCGGGCTGACTTATGGGACTGAGGACTGCCTACTTGGAAGTGAAGACGGTGGTGCAGAAAGCCTGCGTTCGTCCAAATGAATTGAGAATACGCTATGGTAGTTGTACGAAGAATCTCGAGAGATATTCATCCTAGTTCGCCCCCAACGTGGTGTGTCTCGTAGCAAAAGAAGCCCCAGCAGCCACTTTAGCCACGGGGGTAACATTGAGCGGTGAAGGAGATTTGATGCATCTGGTGATACTTTGACGTCGGAAGCTTCCTTCTAGTGTCTTTGCGGGCCGGTGAGAAACGACAACCTTGTTTCAACAGCTGTATAGTAGTTGTCGCAAGGGTTTTTTCTGTCGGGAAGTAGATGTGACATGATCAAGTCTCTGGTGGTTTGAAGGTACGTTGGATACCTACAGTGCGTACGGATACGGAGTACTCTAGACTGCCGTGGCTGTGACGCCACTAAGTACTTGCTCCCTACGGAGTAAGTGCCTGTTGAATATGAGGGGGGCCCTTGCGTTTCACACGGGTCGGATTTGGGCCCCTATTTCCTCTTTACAATATCCCTTGGGCGAGAGGTTGAGCCTGATAGTAGGGTATGGAGTAATAGGGGCAGATAACTCTTTTCTATTTCGCCCATATACCGGGTTCTTCCTTGCTCTACCAATGCAAAGAGGCGTCACACTCCTGCGTACCCCTGTCGTTCAATGAACACAACGCGTGCCTGGGGAGCACAAAAAGAGGTGATGCAACCAGGCTGGTGGGTTCAAATGTCCCAGGCTCGTCAGGCCTATTACTGGGTTATGTTCAGCCACTATTTAAGCCCTTTGCAACCGTGTCTCTCGGTCGGAATTCAAGGGCCGAGATATTCCTCTGTCTTGTTGTCTCGTCCTCTCCAGTCGGTCCCTCGTCGCCTATAAACCACCAAACACGGACGGGACACTGTACGAGATCGAACTGCGAATCCGAAGCCGCTCCCCTCTCAATCATCCACTTCTCACATCCACCTCAGATCGTTATATCCAGCAGTCGTGTGTACACATGTCTAGGGTCACCGCTAACCCTGTCGCCGGCAACGCTTCTCTTCATTTGCAGCCAGACCGGTCGTGCAACGGAGAGCCCTCAGCGCCCCCCTCGACCGTTGTCTTCGGCAGCATCTTTAACATGGTCGCTTCTTCATCAGCCCCCGTCCCTTTCCCTGCCAGACGGTACAAATCCTCGTGCCAGCGGGTGAAGACGACGCCATGGCGGGGTAGTCCAGACCATCCGTTGCGTTCGCAATCATGTGTTCGCCCATCCGTCGTCTTCATTCGGCATACCAGGCTCTTCCCATGCATCAGCCCCATTCCGTGTCGTTTTCTTCCCACTCACTAATGCACACCGGGCTCATTCTTGCCTTACTTAATGGGCCTGACAAGTCATCTCTCTAACCACATGCCCATCTGAATCGCTTCTTGAGCGCTGGCCTATGATGCATTGGTCTCGGCAGCAGCATTGAAGAAACTGCCGCAATTGGCATCTTCCTTGGGTGGTTCTCACTGCTACAGCATCTCGTTTTCCCGACCCGTTTCTGCCTCTCTCTGGTCCATCGAATCGAGGTCCCACCTTGTCTCTTCCAAGCATGCTCATTCGGCCTTGTGCTGCGTCCTCTTCCAGTTCACTAGCCAGGCTGTGTTGTGACCGAGGCCCGTGGCAAGCTGGACCTTCGCCATTGATAGCCTTACCTGCGATCGCTACCGAAATCCCACGCAACCTGATATTAATTCAACGCCATGTCCAAACAGTCCTCCAACAAAAAGCAGAAACGGGGCGAACCGTCAGACTCTGACACCGACGATGATCTGCAGCCGATCCATTTCTTTGTCCCGGGGGAGAATATCAACGCCGCAGTGTTGGTGGATTACATCACACAATATGTCGACCGGACTGCGAGGATCACTTCAGCCCATCACCCAACGGTGAGAAGCCCACCGGGCGATGGCTAAGATTGCACTAACAACCTTCAGGATAAGTCGCGAACCGGGTTCAGCGTCCTCGCGAAGAAAACCCTCAATGCTGTGAGCGCCCCGAGTCGAAGAATCCATCCCATCTCGGGCTCGAACTGATCCCCTCCTTTAGGTTAGCCTCCGCGATATCATCAACGATTCGAAAGATTGGGATACAGAGTCACAAAGCAGTATGATTGATGTGTAATGGGTGTGAATTGTCATGTTGACGGTGACCAGAAAAGTTTCGGAAGGACCCGTATCGATATGCGGACTCAGACACTGCACGGCGGCGTGCCCATCAGGGCGCATCGAAAGGCGGCACAGCTCGACCAGCACCGCGGCGAGAGTCAACGGCAGACTCGGAGACGTCCAGACGAGATAAGATGGCCAGTCCTACGATGGGCAATGTTCCTGCACAGTACCAGTATCAAGGCTCGCAGACTCCAAATCCAGCAGGATATTATAAGGCTCCTCCAAGGCCAGATTATGGTTCGGGTAACTATACCATCTACAATACAGTGAATGCCACTTCTTACAGCGCCAACATACCTGCGAACCCCGCTTCATACTCGACGAGTCAATACCAGGGTGGTTATGCACCGCCACAGAAACCATACTCGGATCTTCCTCCACCTTCATACGAGCAGGCCGCTCCAAGAGGGCCACCTCGACCCCAGACCCCAGGTCAGCCCGACCCAGACACATTCGATAGAGAAGAGAAACCAAGGAGGGGACACGCTGGGGACGCTCCTGCCTCTCGTCAGGGCTCAGTCGTAGCGGGAGATGACCCGGCTCGTTCATACAATCCTCAAAGCCGTAGGCAGCCACCTTACGATGAGACAACGCGCAGATCTAGCCATCGATAGCCGGTGTGGAGTAGATCATACCAGAATTTGATGGATGCAAACCAAGGTTGCAAGCATGATGAAAAGATGGCAATAGAAACTTGCTGGTGACATGTCCGATCACACCAACTTCGTCCATCGCAAGGCCCGGTTGTCTGCCGATCGATTTTTTTTTCTTGAAAGCGGTAGTACAACTCAATCAAAGTTCCGACTTGCGTTCATGACTGTCAACTTGATGGATGCGCATCTAGGCGGTGCGGAGAAGTATTTGTGTTTTGAAGTCGTGTGTGTACCTCTTTGTGTCTTGGGTGTGCATTGTCAAAGGAGTCGCTCGCTTGTTCTTTGGCATCGGATATGATGTGATATATCTTGGAGCACGGCTATTGGCATGGAGGTGATTGATGGCGGTTCATGCTTCTCGAAAATGGTACACTTGACCCCAGCATAGATCGTGAGATACTCGATAGCGTCAAGGGGAATGCAAAATTGCATTTCTCGGCTGATGAAACAAATTGATACTTGCCCATGTCCTGACCCTTGCTGTTCCACCTGGTCAACAGCACTTTTTACAGCATCCTGATTGTTGTGGTACGGAAGAAGTCACCAGGAGCCATCGGCTGGCGGGAAGGTGCAGATGAGCAGATCTGTGCTCATACAATGATCAAGCCATTATTGCAAAGCGCGCGCATCAGCTGTTTCAAAAACCGTACCTTATTGCTTACCTGCGGCCGTCCACTTTGCCCTTTGTCCGAGTCACTTTGCATGCTGTCGGAATTGCTTTTTCGGCGCCAGTTGCATGGCAAAACTTCTCTCCAGTGTCTTGCATGCACGTACCATTGTGTCAGGAAGGCATCGGTCCCATCATCGACAACCACACCCTCATCGTTGATTACTAACGACAACATCAACCACTCCCAGCACCCCTCCAAACGCATACTGTCATATCCGTTGCAACGGTTCGGCCTCGCTCTGAAACGGGGGCAAGTCGTCCTTTGCTTTCTCCGCCTATGGGAATCTCTTCCTGTATGGCCGAGCTCTCCCTACCTAATCCTTTTAGATCGAGCGATCGGTCCCGGGCGGGATGCAGATTGACGCTGGGAATTCAAAAAAAACAACAACAGGATTATACGTCGGATCCCTGGACAGATGACGTGCGGTGGCTATATAAACAAGGCCTGGTGCCCCCAAGGTCCCGTTGGAAATTTTGTCAAGATTTGCCCCCATCTTCCACATTGTACTTTCTATCTAGCAACGGCTTCACCCGAAGCAGGATTGTTGGGGCACCTTTGATGCCCGCAATCTTACTGCCAGGCATAGGCGTTTGACAATCCACGCCACCGCCTATACACCCCTGCCTGATTGGCTCATAAGGGACTTTGCATATGCAGCAAGCTAATAAACCGGCCCCGTAGCGTCGAGAGATGCATGTCTCACGAAGGCCACGACACAACCTCAGACGAGCCACCGACGACTAACTACAGGCCACACCAACATCCCACACCCCTCTTCAACCGAGGGGTTTCTCCCTCGTGACGGGCCGCATTTGCAAGGCAAACATTCTCGCCCTGTCATACCGTGTCCACCTATTCGGACAAGGCGGAAATCCTCTCGGTGCATTGCTTCAAAGGCCAAACGATTCTCGGCAGTTTAATTCCAACCTCACTTTAGGAAGGGATGATCGTTGAGCAGAGCACAATAGAGTCGAGTCAATGGCCGTGAGCCTGGGGAACGCTCGTGGATGGATCGTCAACGACAATGTTGCTCAAACTCCTGCTCCGGCTACCGCTGCTACCACTACTCAACTTGAAGCACGCGAAGGCCCCGCTCCTAACCAGTGGCAAGCGGTGAAGGAGGAGATCCGGGTTCTGTACGAAAAGAAGCCCTTGAGAGATGTCAAGAGGATCTTGGAGCAACGGCATGGATTTCGCGCGACGTAAGTACCATGCAAGCTCCCGGCGCTGCACCTATTCCTTCCCCGGCCCTGATCTCCCTCTCTCGACTTTGAACGAGTATCACTGACCCAAGTCAACAGGGAGCGTATGTATAAAGCTCGTCTTGCACAGTGGGGGTTCAGCAAAAACTACTCCGACAAGGACTATCAAATATGTGCAGTATTACACCACGCTCGACAGAAGCACGGTAAACGAAGAACAGCCTTCATGATACATGGCCATAAAAGGTCGGTAAAGGACTTGCACAAGTACATCAAGGGTCGCAAGATGTCTGAAGATGCCTTTCTAGCCACTGCACTCAAGAATGTCAATCTCGATAGTCGTGCCGATCACGAACAAGCTCAGTATGCCCATGTGCGCGCCTACACTCCGCCTCCCGGCGGATCCAATACTCCAAAGGCAGAAGTTGAAGGCGATGAATCGATATCTTCACCGACGCACCTTCAGTCCTATGGTGCTGGCAAACATTCGTCTTCCCGACGAGACCCTTTGTCGAGATCAGGCTCTGGGTCTTTCTCTATGCGTCGAGATTCGCAACCTCAGAGGCAGGCAACATCGCCGGGATCATCATTACTTTTCCCAACATCTTCGACACAGCTGACGCCGCCCATGCGACATCCTCAGGTCCCATTGTTCTCACCGAGTAGGAATGGTTCCTCAGTCACATGGCCCTCCCCTTCCAATCTCCATCTTTCGACCTCACCACTAGAGGGATCTTTTACTTCAGCTGTACCCTCTCATCGATCTGGCCAGCGTCCTCAACTCGGCAGCCATGATGATCACAGCAACCAAGGTGGCTCGGTCCACAGCAGCCCTTGCCAATGGCTGGGTAGAGAGGTGGAATACATGGCTCTGCAGGTGACCGAAGCACCGTCGCTAAAATCTCTCTGCGGGCACGACGATATTCATTCTTGGCGTCTGTTGAGTGACAGCTCGTCCGAAGCTGGAGAGTACGAACATGTTTGTTGGAGATGCTACGAACCTAGTCGAACACATTTTGTCAGTTTGCCGAATCTCGAGCTGCCTCAGCAGTCACGTAGCATTTTGAACGAGAATGTCACAGGCGGCGACAGCACGATCTCCGTCCCAGCGTCTTCTCGTGATCATCAGCATTCTTGGAGATGGGTTGCTCGTTGTTTTGCGGCATGTATTTATCTCAGCAGAGGTGACAAAGATCTCTCAGAGCGGAGTCTAGCAGACGCCAATATCGAATTCGAGCAAATGTTGGTTCCAGTTCAGGATCCCAAGGTGGTGCTCGCCTTGAATCAGACGCTCCAGATCCTTCATATGCACGACCAAGGCGAAATTACTCGAGAGATTATGAGGTCGGCGAACAACGTGGCAACACGTGTACTGGGACCCGATGATCCGTTGACCGTTATCACACGCTGGATGGTATATGTAGCAGACTTGCAGATGCGTGATCGAGAAATCACGAGTTCGACGTTGCATGAGATCTACGGACATTACCTGCGGCTCCACGGCGCGGAGGATCCGAGATGTATCGCTGCACTGTACTGTTACGGGTTCATGCTTAACGTCGAACGGAAGCTAGAACAAGCGGAGCAGGTGTTAATGAGCGCCTATACCATCTCGTGCGCGAACCTCGGCCCAAGACATCTACAGAGCTTGTCCGCTCTGACAAATATGGCCAGGTGTCTAGAACGCCAGGGCAAATTGGACCAAGCGATCGCGATGGTAGAACGAGTCATCGATGACTCACGAGATACGTTGGGCGAAAGTCACCCTCGACGGCTTGAGACGATGCGCATCTTAGGAACCTTCCTCGAAAGGCGTGGAGATTTAGCCCAAACAGAGTACCTCTACTGGAAAGTCCTGGAGGGCCGAATCAAGATGCTGGGCGTGAATCACATGTTCACACTGGGGATGAAGGAAGATCTAGTGGAGCTGCTGAAGAAATTGGGCAAGTGGGGGGAGGATCCGAATGGGCAGAGTGAGGCTCAGATACGGATCCATGATTTGTTCGAATGGAACCCGTGGGAGATACCAGAAGATACTGGAGGGAGCGATGGGGATCTGAGCGATGGTGTGGGAAGTGACCACGATGCATTCTAAGAGTTCTTTATTCTGCATGTTCGGGGCTGGAAACCAACGGAAGAAGAAAAGTCAGTGGAGATGAAAGGGTTTGGCAGGATTTGCCGCAACAAGACACTATATGGCTGCACAACTGCAATGGCAAGGTCGGTACTTTTCCGAGTCCGAGTTGCCCTGGGGCCTATTGAAATTAGGTGAAGAAATGAACTGAAGATGCGTTGATCTGCAGAGAGAGGCATGACAAGGCTGTGGTTTGTGGGGGGGTGGTTGATCAGTGGAGTAACTTGTCTGCTCTGGCACTCGAAATCACTTAGTATGAGAACAGAGGTCAAGAAGGTCACCGTCACAGCATAAGACAGGGAACGAGGGCGTGGGAGGTATATTGATTGCAAGACATTGACATTTGACCAATACCCATGACAGAGAAGCATAATAGTAGAGAGACTATTTAGTTGGGTACCTACCGGGGGAAGTTGTATCATTGTCATCTCTGGAGTCATGTACTTGGATTCATGTTACGAACGACTTGGGAATTATGATGCTGACAGCGTAAACCGACGAATAGTACGGTTGTGGTAGACGAAGTGGACGGGTACATGTCATAAAGCTCGCGACGAAAAAAGGACTGTGCATACGGATACTGGGTTACAATCATCCGTACCCGCGTGCATTAGGTTGGTAGGCAAATGGTAATTACACCGCACCCTACGCCCGATTCCGTCAAGACTACCTTGGGTAAGTTAGATATGGTCTCGGTACTTGTGCCTTGAGGTACGGAGGTAGATACACTACCTGGAGGTACCTGACAAAGCGCATGGGTACGGAGTTACTACTACGTACAGGATGACCAAAAAGGGCAAGACAAGTAAATACTTAATGGCTGACAGGTTATCCCCGACACAAAGCTGATTCTATTCCACGAGCGTATGAGATTCCGTACTCTTCTAGGTTACCTAGGTGCCCAAGTAGTCTTTCTGTAACGCCTTTGCGTGGACCATTGGCTTCAATGACATGCCCGGGCTCACAAAAGGATCGTTCGCGTCATGAGACCAAGACGCACCGCATCGCATCGCAACGTCAAGAGGTTTATTGATTCTCAAACTTCAAGCCACTCTCCAGTCTCTTTGCACCGTAGATGCCGGCAATGTCGCCCTTGGCACCTTGTGTGTCTTTGACCACCTTCAGGTAGGAATCGGCCAGTTCCACATCCTTCATGCGACAACCGGCACTCTCGGCCAAAGCCATGGCATGCCTGGCGTCCTTCCGGGCGAGGTCGACGGCAAACAACGGCTCGTCGCGCTGGTAGTAGTCCCCGGACTTCAACCTGTTGGAGTAGGCCGTGTACGGTCCGGGAAACATGACCTCGATGAGCTTGTGCAATTCCTCGACCCCGAGGCCCGTCTTCTCGGCCAGGACGTGACCTTCGGAGAGGGCGGTGATCATGTTGGCGACAAAGGTGTTGCCGATGATCTTGAGGAGGGTCGCCTTGCGTGGCTCCTGGCCAGAAAAGTCGATGTTCTCTCTCCCCATGACGCCCTTGCAGTACGGCTTGACTCGGTCCACGGCCTCCACCTTGCCGGCAAGCACACAGACCAGTTGCCCGGCGTCCGCCATGGCCGGGGCGCCAAAGACGGGGCACGCGACGAAGCTGGCGCCCCTTGCCTCGATCATGTCCGCCTGTTTGCTCGTGGCTTCCGGGTGAACCGTGCTACAGTCGACGAGGATCTTGCCTGCCACGTCGTTTTGGAGGACGGTGTCGACCATGTCCAGCACGGAAGAGTCATCCCCCAGGCAGTAGAAGATGATGTCCGCCTTGGAGACGATGTCCGGTATGGATTCTGACACGGTCGAGTTGCCGATTTTCTGGGAGAGATCGTGGGCTCGCTGGACGGTGCGGTTGTAGATGATCAGAGGATGCGACAGGTTGCCCTTCTCGACGAGGTTCTTGCACATGCCCTGGGACCTCACCATCAGCACGTATGAACGACGTCGTCAATCGACCAACACAAAAAAAAAACTCACCCTGCCCATGTTGCCCAGGCCGAGCCACGCCAGTTGAGGTGCCATTGTGAGTTCTGGGGTTTGTTTGGTTTGATATCACGCCAGTCTGTAGGATATGAGAGATCCGATGTAATTTTTTTTCCCTCGTGATTTCTTTACCGTGCTTCAGGTCTTTTAAGTGGAAACTCGGGCATGGGGTTGTACTCGCATAGTAGCCCTGTACACATCGAAAGAAAGCGTCGCAGCGCGTTTGCAAACCGGCCGGTCATGATTGCGATTATGACGTGGGGCTTTGCATTTACCGGACGGCCCCCCCACGTTAAAAAGAAGCAGCGAGTGTGTAACACCCGGAGTGAGTGCCGTTTGCTCACTTATGGATTTGGACTCGACTCATCGGCTACATTGCGGCTCTGGTTGTGTCACGGTTGCACGATATTGTAGCAGAGACATGCTGTTGGAATGACCGGTGAAGACCCAGAGCAGAATGAAAATGTTCAGCAAGGACCGAGCGGCGATAGATAGGATGAACCACGTTGTTTACCTTTTCCAGTTCAAGGGCGCAGGTGGCCGGCCCTACGAGAGTGAGTACGGTGAAGCGGGTAGTCGTTCATCATCCCTACTACGGAGTACAGACTCTCAGAGCAGAGATGCACTCGGGCAAATTATTTGTGGCAGGCGGTGACTTCGACTGAATCCGCAATGATTCATACGGCAATATTTCGTATCTGCTTTTCCCCCTCTAGCAATGTATGAAACTGAATCTTTGCAAGGGCCTCACCACAAAGAGTCACTTCATGGCAACGACGTAGTACATGATCTATTGTCGCCTGGCTCCTCTTTCTGGCCCCTCTAACCCTCGCATCGTGCCCTCTGACAGCTTCTGCACCATGAAATATGAGCCAGACCGCCTTCGCCTCATCTGCAGCTTTTCTGCGGAATAATTACTCACAATGGCAGAACAGAAATGTTGCTGCTGATATACTGAGATCACATATAACATCGAAGACACATTCAACCCTCCTCCCTAGACGGTCACATTCAACTCGTTTTCACTCTACCGAGGCCTCTCCCAACTCGAACGAGCAGCCTCCTTCGCTGGACGATGGTATTGCACCCGAGCATGACAAGAGCAAGACGTTGGCTAGGTGGGGGAACCAGAAGCTGGCGAACAAAGAGTTCTTCACAAGCTTACTGAGCTCGGCTACAACCAAACGAGACGCAAAGGCCTTTATCACTAGACTCAAGTCTCCAAGAAAAACTGTCGCTGTTCCCAAGAACTCTCAACAGCCTGCTCCGACAAAGAATGATCCTGCAGTCAATGTTGGCAATCTTTTCGTCCGGAACCGAGCTGTGGAAGAGAGCCCAGTCTTTACTCAGTTTGAGGATGAGCTGTCACAACCCCTTGAAGAGCAGGAAACTCTACATGTTGCCATAATCAAGCTCAGTGATGTCAGTTCCATGTCCGATGGCATCCTCGGGGGCATTGCTCGGACCCTTGCTTCTCTGGCTCGATTGAGCATGGCTCCATGTGTTGTCTTGGAAGGGTCACTTGCCAGCGAAGAGCAGGCCAGGCGAGAGGACCTTGCTCGTTCGGCGGATCGGCTTGTAAATGCCATCGAACAAGTCAGTGACACCGGAGCCCGGAGGCTGGACCACTTATTCAGTTACAGACCGGATGGTCGGCCTGAAGTTTTCATCCGGAAGCTGCTGACTCGTCCCCTCCGCCGAGGACGAATACCCGTAGTGGTACCAACAGCATACTCTGAAGTCCGTCAACAAGTCGTACCCATCAGCGCCGATGAGGCTCTGCTGGCGCTTGTCAGAGAACTTGCGGGTCTCAACTTCAGCCCAGGCATTTATGATCCCCCTGAAGCCGCTTCACAGAAAGTGGACGCCATTCGAAAACAGATCTCCGTGGACAGGATAATTGTCGTGGACGAGAGTGGCTGCATACCAAGCACCAAAACCCCTGACCGAAGACATGTTTTCGTCAACCTGTTTCAGGAGTATCCCTCGCTTCAAGAAGAATTGAGAAGCTCCACAGACGGAAGTGTGTCAAAGAAACATGCCTCCAACCTCAAATTGTTCAGGGACGCACTTGGCTTATTACCACATTCGTCATCAGGCTTGCTCACCACTCCATGGGAAGCTGCAAATACGTCTAGAGCATCCGACGATGTTCCCTCGAATGTGGGCACGAGACGGCAAAAGAACCCTCTGATCCATAACTTGTTGACCGACAAACCTGCGTACTCGTCATCACTCCCCTCGGGACGCTTGGCCAATGACACACCTACAGCATCATCAACCACTTCGACCTTCATCAAGCGTGGAATGCCCTTGAAAATCTTACCCAACCCGGCAGCTCAAGTCTGGACCGCCGCGAGTAAACCTCGACTGAAATTGACTGACTCGAAAATCGATCTTGAACGGCTTACATACCTGATCGATGATTCATTCAATCGGACTCTTGATGTCGAAGCATACCTCGAGCGAGTAAATGATCGAATAGCCGGTGTCATCATCGCGGGAGACTACGAAGGCGGCGCAATCCTCACCTGGGAAACTCCGCCGGGTGCTTCTGACGACGACACGTCGCGATTAGTGCCCTATCTGGACAAGTTTGCAGTCCTCAAGAAGAGCCAAGGCGCTGGTGGAGTGGCCGATATCGTCTTCAACGCCATGGTCAGGACCTGCTTTCCCAACGGCGTCTGCTGGCGGAGCCGCAAGGACAATCCCGTCAACAAGTGGTACTTTGAGCGGTCTAGGGGGACTTGGAAAATCCCGGGCACCAACTGGACCATGTTTTGGACCACTCCTGGGCTAATGGCAGACCGAAGCAGCCAGGCCTTTCTCGACTACGAGGCGGTCTGTCGCTCGATCCATCCTACTTGGGCTGATGGGAAGAAACTGGTAGATTAAAACAAGTCGAAAGGGAATGAGGAGACGTTATTATGACCATCTATGACACATTTGGGGGGTATCTAGCAAAAAAAATATAGCAGAAATACAGCCACAAAATACATTTCCAGTTCGTGCTCCTAGGCACTTCCCCTGGAATCACGAGTATAGACCTCCCCGCTTGGGTCTTTTGGAAGTTGTTCCTTGTTCAAATTGTTCAACAGATGTGCACCCTCACCGGCCACCGTGTTGGACTGTTGTGGTGGTGCCGCCGACCTCTTCAACCTCCGCACGTCGCCGCGGAGCAAGGCGAGGATGTAGCTCGACGTGATGAACTCGACTCCCCTCGTCTCCTTTTCGTGGTTGGTATTATCGGCGGCACCAGCACGGCCGGCCGCGGCGTCTGACGCTGCCGCTGCGTGTCTGTGGCACGTGCCGTCCTCCCGGACCTGTTGCCACTCCTCACCCTTTTCGGCGGCGTCGTCGTTTGTCTGTTTGTCGTCTTCGCCCGACTTGCGGCGCGGGATCCAGACGTTGCCCAGGCCGGCGCTGGCGAAGAGGCTGAGCGCCAGGATGGGCAGGATGGAGATGAAACTCCACATGGTGGCGGTGGCGCCCTGGGCCCGGATGGCGTTCTGCTGGGCCGCGGGCAGGTTCTTGAGGGAGTCGAGCGAGGCCGAGTTGTGCAGGCTGAAGCCGTTGGAGCTGACGGCGTCGGACCCGAAGTAGGCGCTCATCTTGTTCTGGAACACGCTGCCCATGATGGTGAGGGCCAGCGTGCCGCCGAAGGGCATGGCGAACCGCAGCAGCGAGTACACGGCGGCGAGCTGGGAGCGGAACATGCCCGACAGGTGGAGGCTGGAGGGCATGAACCGCATGCCCGTCCCCGCGCCGGCGATGCCCATCATGACGTTGACGAGCGTGCGGTCGCGCACCTTGGTGGCGTACGCCAGCACGGCGATGCCGGCCGTCTCGACGACCGTGCCGATGAGCAGAGGGTAAAAGGTCTGGCGAGGGTAGACGTTGCAGATGAAAATGGCGAGGTAGACTCCCACGCCGATCCCCGGGACGTAGTACAGCAGCTGGGTGCCGGCGTGCGAGGACGAGTACGCCTCGACGAGGGTGAAGTAAATCCCGATGAAGTAAAAGACCGAGTACAGGGCGGCACCCGTCGCCGCGGCGATGAAGCAGACCAGGCTGACGTCCTTGGCGGCGAGGGCCGAGGAAGGGATCATGGCCACCGTCCTGGGCATGCGCCGGCTCAGGACGCGGCCCGGGGTGAGGAGAGATTCCCAAGCCAAGAACAAGAGTATCAACACCGCGCCCAGGACAATGCTCGAGATGACGGCCCCAGATGACCAAGGGAAGGTCGATCCGCCCCACGCGGTGCCCAGGATGATGAGGCCGATGCCGAAGATGAACAGGAAGATGCCGCCAAAGTCGAGAGTCGCGAGGCCCGACAACAGGGCTTGCATCCGCGTTTGACCCGACGGAGGATGTGAAAGTGAGATCCTACCAGGCTTCAAGTCGCTCCGGAGAAGGAAGATTGTGAAGAAGGAAACGACGGACATGCCGGCCGCGAGCACGAAGCAGTAGCGCCAGTCGGCGTTGGTGATGTAGCCACCAATAACTGGGCCAACACCTGCAGGAAAAGGTGGTTAGCAAGGTGTGATGGCTTGATTTTTGTCAGGTGTAGGGATGAGAAGGGTGATACATACTGTAGCCAACACCATTCATAAGCTGGAATATGCTCGTGTTGACAGCTTGCTCTTTGAGAGATACCGAGTCGGCCAAGACGATCATGGCCACGTTGGACACGCCAGCGGTTCCCACACCTTGAAGTGCTCGTCCGAGAAGAAGGACCGGCCAGACTGGCGCGGCAGCACAGAGTACGCCGCCGATTATCAAGGAGACAACGGCGATTTGCAACGCGAGATGCCGCCCGAAGACGTCCGAGAACTGACCGAAGACGGGGATGAAAGCGGTGGATGTCAACGTGAAGGACGTGACGATCCAGTTCAGTTGATTGAATCTGTCTGTGAAAAGGTCAATGCTGGTCGTTGGGGTCGGGTACGTCATATGTATGCAAAGGTCAACTGACCGAAGTGAGAAGCGATCTGAGGCAAGGCTGTCGCGACAATGGTCAAGTCGAGACTCGCGCAGAAGAAGGCCGGCAACAGGCAGAAAAGGAGTTTCCATCGGTACTTTCGACCGGCGCTTTTCTCTTGCGTACACTGAGGACACTTCTTCTTCGGGAGAGGTGGTGTCGTGGTCGGTGTTGTTGGTGTTGTTGTTGTCGTCTTTGCGACAGCAGTCGCTTCTGGACTTGATGGTTGTTTGCTGGCATCAGAGGGCTCGACAGAGACCGGAGCGGCAGTCGATGGCACCGAGGCTGCCGCTGCGACCTCTGCCGCCTTCTGAGCGCGGTGCTTCTTGATCTTTTTGTATGCATAATACATTGTTGTGGCCGCAGAATGTCAGTTGTCAAAGGGCGATGTGGGAAGGGTAGGAGATGAAGTAGGGGAGACGAATGGGTTACTGGCGCACGCATCGCAACATATTAAATACATTTTACTTTTTTTCTGCCCTAAACATTAAAACATGATAAAACTGTAGCAATGACCACCTTCGACCGTCCCCCGACAAAGAAATTGGGAGTCAATACGAGGGCGCAGGGCTGTGTGATTCTTCCCCCCCAGGAGACCCGTTCGCACATTGGACCGCATCCGGCAAGGCGTTGAATAGTCACGGCTGAGTCCATCAAAGTCTGGGCCGCTAGACCGGAAATGGTGCATACCACGAGGTCCCAGCGCAATGGTGACATTATTCGCGATCTTGAACCCAAGTTTGATCAAAAGAACACCGAAATCCACGTATGCCAGGCAGCAGTCACCGAGCTCGATTTGGTCCATATGGCGAAGCATCAAGAAAGTCAATCATCTTTGCCAATGTTACTGTCACTGTCACTTGTCACGATTGTGGACAGAACGGGTAGTCATAACCCTAAGATAACTTTGTAGAGTGTTTAAAAAAAGGACACGGGAAGAAGTCGCTAGTTCGCGCTCTTTGATCTGCCGTATGTACAGTATCTACCACGGCGGACTATTTAGCCATGAAGCACACGTGCGAAGTGGCTTGTTACTGGCGTCGTATGAGTGAATGAATAAACCACTTCGTATCTCGCGTCTTGCAATAGTCGACAAGCTTAAACAACCAGAGTTCTTCGTCGATCGCTTCGGCAAGCATGCCAATATGCATCACATGCAGTACGCCAGTCAAGAATCTATACACCGTCTACAGCAAAGCCGATGACCGGACGCTGGGGAAAGGGGTCCGACTGACCCAATGCCCCAACTGTAAGAGGTTTGCGGACAAGTACGTCGAGCATGACTTTGTGGTCTTGTTCATAGACCTGGTCCTGATCAAACCCCAGGTACGTTGGGGGCTCGAGGCCAAGGGACCGACCCAGGTTGGAAATCTGCTCACGTCGTGCAGGTCTATCGCCACCTCTTGTTCAACAGGCTTGGACGCTCCGACAACAGATTCGACCCCAGCATCCTCCGACTGGGCATCTTACTCATTCTGTTCGACGTCTACATCACATGGGCTCGGATCGAGAAGAGCAGTACCGTCAATGGAGGCAATGAGTACGGCTCGGGCTTGACCGGGATGCCCATCCTCACACAATATCTCTTCTTCCTCACCATGAATGTGTTGGCCACCGCCGCTCAGCATGCCATCATACGTTTTCTGGCCCGTGTTTTGGTCAAGGAGCGTGAGCATCCGCAGCAGCAGCAGGACGGAAAGCCCGACGGTCACAAATCACCTCAGTCTCCAGCGGCGAAGACGAACATCCAACCCATAGTGGTTCCGGGTCACGCCTCGCCGAGCGCGATCAGCACCGCCTTACTCGTGTCGAGTTGCACCAAGCTGTTCCCCATTTTACTCGTCATATGGCCAACGGAAGTCAAGGGCGGTGGCCCGTCGGGCTTTGCGTTTCGTGCGACAAACTATGTGGGATGGGCAGTCATGGTCAACAACATCGAGGCCCTGCTTATCTTGCTCAATTGCGGCTATGTCGCTGCCACTGGCATGGCGGTCTCTGGCATGCTCGCGAGGTGGGCCGTCGAGTATTGGGCTCTGAGTCTCGTAGGCTTGGGAACGGATTCCAAACCGCTGGGAGACCTCTCCTCGGCGGCCGTAAACGTTCTGAAAAGGTAGATCACCACAGACTTGTAGGCAATCGCCAGACCAGAACGACAATCAGGCCACCAAACGTGCACAATTGACGCTTCTTCTTTTGAACGGATTTTTTCAACCTATTCTATTCAAGTTTTGCCGTACTTTTTCCAGCCTGAACTTCAGGCAGAATGACTCGTGCTTCCCAAAGAATCCACATACAAGCTCCCTCGTGAAGAATGCAGACAGCCTGAACCGATCGACACCACCTTGACTAGCTCCGAACTCCAGAGCATTCGTCAGGGCTGGCGATCTTAGATAATCAGCATCCTTCTCATGCCAGAACAGAAATTCCCACTGGTATTTTCCCCTGAAAATTTCGTTGCGGTCCTCATTAGGCCTGGATAGTTTGCAAAGAGGCGTGTCAGTCCTATAGTCGCAGAATACGTCAAGCTTGAATTTTTGGTCCCAACCAGAATAGTGAAAGGAGAAGGCGAGCACCATGGGATAACTCGGACCCGAATGAAATTGATGCGGGCGAAGCACGATGCGGTCTGCGTGATCCCACAAAGGTACTGGTACCATCCCTTTGAATCTCAGTGGCACTTCCGACGTCAAAGGTATGTGAATAGCATGTTTCCGAGATTCAGATATTAGGCCGTGAATCCGAGAAGGGACGTCGGTAAGAACATAGCATTGGGAGTTCGTCGCTCGGTAACTTTCTTTCCTCGGTATAGTGTCTGGCCGTCCAAACCCTGCAAGTTGTCTTGTGCCGTCACGACACTTTCTCCGATTAGTAGAATCCTAGAAATGTAGATATGCAACGATGAGAAAGGGAGGTATAGTGTGTAAATATGTGAGAGGAGACTGCAAATCCTTATATACAGCGTAGATATCCGATAAAGACTAATCATATCAGGTGGAAGCCGCCAGTCTCTAGGAGAATATGAAAGAGTGCGAGGGCTCACAAAAAGATCGGGACCTATCTTCCGAAGATAGATCCCGCCAGAGTCACCGTGTTTCGTTATGACCCAAGAATAGAAGATAGGAATCAAACTCTAGGGAATACTTGCGTCCAAGGCGGTCACATGTTTCTGTAAAGACAGCCCGAATGTGCATATCGGAAGAGACCAGGATACCCTTGTTAGTGACGGAAAGGTTGGGAAAGTCCTGAGCAAAAGGGGTGGCTTGAGAGCCCTTGAAGGATGCAGGTGACGGCGCCCAGGCACCCAACAACTTCTGGTCTTGGGACAGATCATTCTCCCATGCGAATATTGTCGTGTCATTGTTGCGCTTGACGATCTCCTCCTGGAGTCGACGAAAAGCTGCGGTACCTTCACCGTAGATCAGAGACATGTGTATGTCGAAAATGCCTAGCAGACAGTATGACATGTCCTCAACACGAGTTGTCTGCCGTCTGGCAGCCCATGACATTCTCATAGCAACGGAGCAGTCGGAAATTGCCTTCCCCCCTAGAAGGACCGTTCGTTGAATCCCCGTGGTCGTCGAAATGCCATCCACAAAGTCGAGCTTTGTCCCCAGAAAGTTCCAATTCTTGTCATAAAGCTCGACATATCTGGGCGCCAGAAGTTCCTGCAAAGTCCATCCTCTAGTAAACCAACGACATCTTGGGAGGCTGTCTTCAATATCCGAGTCTGGTTCGAAATCTTCGAGGTACACATAGCAAACCGCCGCATCTGAGTACCAAGCATACATTGAGTTGATAGATGCTATCAGCTCAGCACTACTTGCTTTTTCAATACAGCAGGTATCGATCCAGATGTACTCCAGTCCATCCCGTACAGCGACCTTGCACGCCTGGAGTATTTTAGCATAGCCCTTATACCGCTGGCATCGTGCTGAAGACATGTCTTGAAAGGAAACTTCCTCTTCGCCCCAGGTATGAGAAAGAATCGCATAAGGTGGGATTTCACCCTGAGAGAAATCTTGTAATCGACATGTCCGAGTGTGGATCAGACGCATGTTGAAACCATTCACGCATGTCCTGAGAGGGAAGATACTCCAGACTCCAGTAGGCACCGTCACAATTTCGAGAAGTATGATCGAGCACTTGCCGCAATCGAATGGGAATCGTCGCTCTTCATCTTTGACATGGAACAATGATATGAGTTAAAGAGCGGAGGCAAGAGGCCATCAATCAGATTGATGAGCTGGCTAGACTCGGTTCTACCAGGCTGCAGCTGTCGACATGTGAAGCCTCACTAAACCTCCTTGGTAGACTTTTGTCAGACCAAACATTGTCAGGTACATTCCGGCCCCCCCACTTCGTCAGACACACATGTTATTTCAAACAACAGATCAGCTGGTTAAACATGAACCATTGAGTCTGACATCTATTCCTCCCGTCTCTTTACATCAATCACTCTGATCATTTGGACCACCCTTTGGCAACAATGGACAAGTTTTCGTCGTTTGGAAAGAACATAAGGTACGCCCATTCCCAGGTCGATGCAAGCCCAAGACTAGTCCTCAACCTCCCTACGCAGCATGATCCTGAGGCCCCTTTAACAAGTGCTAATTGAATGACTGTGTCGTCAATGTAGTTCTGCCTTCAATACCACCGTCTCCCCCTTCGTCCAGCGGAGTCAGCAACAGCTGAAGGAACAATTCGGCTCTGCAGAAGAGAAAGTAAGAGAAAGAGTCGACTTCACTGTACATGTAACTGACCTTGGCCTACAGACTCAACTGCCTGCGGACTACACTGAACTGGAGAAGCGTGTCGATGCGCTGAAGCAAGTCCACCAGAAGCTTTTGACCGTCACGTACGAAATTACAAAACAGCCGCCCACCAGGTAAATCTTGTTGACAAGTGCCATAGGAATCAATACCAGAATGAGGCATACGACTACCCTCCAAATATTCGCGAATCCTTCACCGATCTCGGTCGTAGCATTTCCGAGAAAGTAACTCTGCTATCTCATGCCTCGAGCACAGCCGAAGCCCAGGCTGCGTTCACCGCGCCTCCCTCCGCAAAGCCCCAACCGAAGACCTTTAACCATGCGATTGCGCGTGCGTCCTTGGCCAGCTCACAACTCCTTCAACAGACAAACCAGTCTGGCAGCGAGGATCCATTAGCCCAGGCGTTGGAAAAATACGCCCTGGCAGAAGAGAAGGTTGGAGAGGCACGACTGGCGCAGGACCATGCCATTCAGTCGCGCTTCCTTGCGGGTTGGAACACAACGTTGAACACCAACATCCAATTCGCGACCAAGGCTAGAAGAGCCGTGGAAAATAGTCGACTCTTGCTGGACAGCACCAAAGCCTCGAAGAAGAGCCAGGTGATGGGTCGTGGCATGAACCCGGATGATGAGACAGCGCTGAGTGAAGAGGCACGCGCCGAGATTGAAGCCAAGGAAGACGACTTTGTTTCACAAGTTGAGGAAGCACAAGGTGTCATGAAGAACGTAAGGAAAGCCATAATTGATCTGGTGACAATCGCTAACAAAGTTCTAGGTCCTAGATACCCCCGAGCCACTCCGCAACCTGGCAGACTTGATCGCGGCACAGTTGGAATACCACAAGAGGGCTTATGAAATTTTGTCTGAGCTTGCGCCAGAGATTGATCAACTCCAGGTTGAACAGGAAAGCAGCTATCGCAAGAGCAGAGAAGGCGCTTGATGTCGTCACCTGAATCAACCATGACAAGCTTCTGCTTGGGTTGGCCTGTATGTCTTTCGTTGGTGAGGGAGGGATTCCCTAATTCCATTTTCAAAGGAATGGAATGGTCATAAATCATTGAATGAATACCACTTTGCCTGTTTTACCAACGTCTTTCCACGTCCCACGTATTCATCCCTTGATTACTCTGCAGTACTCTCATGTACCTGTTTATTGTTGACCCCTGTCGGGGATAGGCACAAGAGGCTGTAATAGGAATCTTAGCCGAACACTCCCTCCTGCGTACAGTGCACCTGAACTTCGTCGCCTTGATATCGTCACAGCTACAGCATGGTACTCGTACTATTCCAACTTGCAACTTTGGGACAATAGACCCAAGTTTTCCCAAGAACCACCTCTCTCCTTCCATCCCGAAAGTTGGTTTGAGTCCCTACAGACCCGGAAACTGCGCACCCGTCGTACATCCACCAACCACCTGCGCCTCCGAAGAGGCGACGCCTACGCCGAGCGACCTGCTGCGTCCACGTTAAGACCAATCTACGAGGGGCAAAGCTGCACTTTCGAAGTACCCGGGGTGATCACTTTTTCGATTTGGGTGGGACCGAAAGAACACAAAACACACAGCATCATGGCCAACGGGTAAGTGGGCACTTCTGCCACGGAGAGAGCACATATCATCCAGTTACACGGGAGTGCCGAGTACGAGCAACTACACCGGAGGAACTTCATGCGAGAAGGCAAGGGAGTGTAATTTGTACACTAGAATTGAGCAAAGAGGCTGAATCTGTTTTGGTGGTGCCAACTACAACACTTTCAAGAGAGACGGGTTTCCAAAGGGGAAACAGGCAACATCCACATCTTTGCAAACCAATCACCACCGACCGCAGAAGGTGTTTCATACTGTCGCGGCACTTTCTTTCACCTTCTGAAGCCAGGCTGTATAATAATCTTGTCGATGTGTCCTTTTTTTTTCCAGAGCGTCATGTGGGAAAGCTGTCGATGGAAATTCTCCCTGTCCTCTTGACGTGTATCCTTCGACTCATTCCTCTCGCCGCAGGAACCCTCAATCAATGACTGGAAACCGAGACCCCTTCACTGACACCTTGTCTATCTCTAGATGGTCTCTTCTGATCGGCTTGATCGTCGTCGTCGCTCTCAGCGTCGGCGCATATTTCTTCAGCCCAAAGGGCGAGAATCAGACGTACGTCTCTCACATGCCCTGATCTCTTGCCTTGCCAAAAGGCCTTCTTGTCCCTTTTTCTTCCCTCTCTCTCTCTCTGTGAGCTCATCTCAGCTAATTTTCAAAATTCACAGGATATGGAGAAATACACTCATTCTCAGCTTCGCCAGTTGTTACATCATGTGGGGTGCGTTCTTCTCTGCTCTGCCACCATTTCGTCGAGGCTTGCAATGCTGACAGCATCCCTTCTAGCGATAACATTCCTTGCCCAATGGCACCCACTCGTCGAACCGCGGATGACCAAGTTGAGACCCGGATATTTGGGTGGTAGTTGAAATACCTTTCTCCATTCTGCGGATATTGAACGTCATGGGGGAGTTTTTCCAGCTGTGCAGTACAACAACATCAACGTGTTCGCTACTGCATGTACAATGCTGCCGGAAGCGTGTATATTTAGGCACTTCGACGCTAGGACGAAGTTCCATCTGAACTACAGAACAGCATAATCAGACGAGCCATTGTGAAACTACAGTTAATAACAATTTTGCGGCGAAGCGTGAAATAAGATTTGAGGTTCATAGTCTCTGCAATTTCTCTACACAAGAGCAGAGACACTCGTCACTTGCTGCATTCCTGGAGTAATTCTCCTTTGCATTTCATCCACGATTCTGTGATTTCAGGCTTGACCCACGTTAAAATCGCCGTGGTAAGCCCTTCTCTCGAATATTACTGTACATTTGGGGGTCGCAATAGTTTCCACACATCGCCACGCTCATTATGTTTTTGGAGTAAAGGTAGGACTCTGTGGTCTCAATAAGACCCCTGTTCGGTGGAGAAACCATCACTGGTCATCCTTATCCTCTCCCGCTTCTGTCTCGACGAGCTCTGCGGTCTTGCTACCCTGTGCTGTGTCGAGTTCATTGTCATCATCGTCGTCGTCGTCGTCCAGTTTCTCCTCGACTGCGACTCTGACGTCGACCTGGCGCGACAACGGTGACGCCAATGGAGAAGGCTGTGACTTTGCTGGACTTGTCGAACTCCGACCTTGTGCTCGCAAGATCGGACTGGGGAGTTCGGTGTGCTCGTCGTCGAGATGTCCTAAGATCGCCTTCAACACGTCAGGACCGCCTGTTCGGATACTGCCTCCAGAGGGAGATGTGACTTGCTCTTCTTCGTCCTCATCATCAGCAGTGCTCTTCTGCTTGACGGGAGTTTCTGTTTTGGTTGATGTGGTAGTGCTTTCGGGTACGGTTGTTTGACCGGCGGCAGCAAGGGGATCAGAACCATCTCCTGTGCCTGTCGGGGTCGGGTCTTCGGGTGCCCGAGGCTCGTATTGTGGTACGGTAGCACCAATGTCGAGTTTCGGCAATACTCGCTCAGGGGATCGATCTTTTCGTTCAGTGGCTGTGGTTGCTGACGATTTGGCGTCCGTTTCCGGAGCAAGCATTGCAGAGATATTGCTGGATGTGTTGTCTTCGTCCTCCTCTTGACCTTCTGGGATGATGGCAACGTGGCTCCCTGTACTGGGAGTGTGCTTGTGTCGACGAGCGGTCGCGCCAGTCGTCGCAGTCGTTGTAGCTGGACTAGCAGTAGACGTGCTTGGGGAGACGCTGTTCTCGGCTGGTGGGTTCTGGTTATCCTTGCGGAGTATCTGCATCCGTGAGCCTGCTTCTGGGTCGGAGGCGGATGATGTGCTCTGATCATTCGATTCCTCAGAGGATCCTTCCGCTTCCGCTGGAATTGTGTAGCTATCTTCAGGAATGAGATGATACTCATCGCAGACGGTCTTGAAGAACATGTAGAGTCCATATGAGGCCTCCACCGACCAAAACACTTCCCGATGTTGAAACCAAGCATGTGCGAAAATCCGGTACACCCGTCGGAAGATATTCGTGAGCTGGCGCATGCTCTGGATTGCACTTCCCGCCTCACCACCCAATGCTAGCCTTGATGGGAAATGTTTGGGACTAGTGAGGATATTCGCAGCCCAGTCTAACGTGTGGTTACAGTAGTCGATGGCACAGCAGGATTTTGGAGGTTCATGAACCGCGCAGAGATACTGCCACTCGCTGGCGCGCATTTCGGGGCACGTCTGAGCGGAGCATGGGGGGTTGTCGTTCATGAGAGAAATCGAGACGAGATTGGCCTTCATGGTCAGGAATCTGCAGAGTTCGTACAACCACAGATTCCTGTCCACACTTTCGTTGTCGTTGATTCGAGGGGGTGTGGCAAGCTGTAGCGCAGTCTCTTTTGATACGGGTATCGTGTGCGAGGCATCTGGGGTATGCGTGAGGTGGGAGTAGAAGGCTTTGAGATGTTCTTGAAGTTGAAAGGGCGAGTCGAGCTGGAACCGCCGAGTTAGCGCATCTGATCTGTGGCACAATGAGGTTATCCTGACCTGGCTCAAAGGGACAAGAGGAGGTCCTCTGGCCATGTCCGCGGCACGAGTGCCCGGTCTGATCCTGCGTGCAGCGCCCTCATCTGGCTTGCCGACCGCGTCAAGAGACAATTCTTTGGAGCTGTCGCCGATTCCCGGGCTCTTGGGTCCAAACTGGACTTCTGGAATGGGTGGAGGAGAGGGCAGCCGAGGCGAACTCGACGGCGAGACTGCCGCCATGCCGTCCAGCTCGTAGAAAGGCCTGAAGAAGGGATACGTGGGTGTGTCGTCCTCGAACCACTCCTCGTCCGAGAAGGAACAACAATGCGATCTAACCATGGTCTCGGCTATGTTTCCTTTTGGGGGTGAGAATGGAGCGGGAGATCGACGGCTAAACTTTGGTGCTAGAACGAAGTTGACGCCCCACGTCATTCACAGAATTGTACAAAGTACGGAGTACATACAAACAAATTATCTGTTTCCACACTTGAAGCCCTGTATTTCTAACTTCTATACGCCTCTCTTGTTTGTACCAATACCTCTTTGTTATCTGTCATTAATAACAGTCATGGACGACGACATTCCAGACCTTGTTGACCTCCAATCACAACAAGATTCCTCCTCTCAGAAGACCTCAATAAAAAAGGTACCCATCACAATAGTAACAGGTATATCATATTTACAAGAACCCCCCTTTTATCTTCCATTCAATGCTGATAATGCTGTCAACAAAAGGTTATCTCGGTGCTGGCAAGACGACATTACTCAACTACATCCTGACAGCTGAACATGGCAAAAAGATAGCAGTGATTTTAAATGGCAGGTCTCACTTCCTACCCCTGGGTGCATATGTACCTATATAGGCCTCTGGACGCCATGGCCACAGCACCCTGAACCCTCACTGCAACGGGAATCTAACATGTTTGAACCTTGATCACAGAATTCGGCAACACAGCGGACATTGAAAAGTCTCTCACAGTCAACCATGGCAACCAATCCTCCACGGAATGGATCCCTCTCGCCAACGGCTGCATCTGTTGCAGTGTCAAAGACAGCGGTGTCGCCGCCTTGGAATCTCTGGTCGAACGTCAGCAAGACTTTGACTACATCCTACTCGAGACGACTGGTGTAGCAGACCCCGGCAACATCGCTCCGATGTTTTGGATGGACGAAGGTCTAGGAAGCAGCATATACCTCGACGGTATCGTGACCGTCGTCGACGCGAAGAACATCCTGAAAAGCCTTGACGAACCTACACCTGAGGAACTGCCGGCGTCAGAGAGCGAAGGTCGCGCCCAGCACGACCACGAGAAGTCTCCTCTGTTGACGACGGCTCACCTACAAATCTCCCACGCCGACGTCATCATCCTCAACAAAACCGACCTCGTCTCCACGACCAAACTCTCCGAAGTACAGGCAAGAATAACATCGATAAACGGTCTCGCACGCCTCCTCCCGACAAGCCACTCGCACGTCGACTCCTTGAGTGGCACCGTCCTAGATCTCGACGCCTATTCGACGTTTCCTACTACCTCGACCTCCTCGCCGCCCAAAACGGCACCGACCCCGGACTTCTCCTCAAAGGGTCATTCACATCTCGATCCGACCATATCGACGCTCACACTCGCATTCTCTTCTCCCTTGGACCCGCCGAAACTCTCGCACCTGACATCCTGGCTCGAGACCATCCTCTGGGAAGCCGAGGACGACCAAGCCGACCAAGCCCGCAAGTACGAAATACATCGCACAAAGGGACTCATCCCGCTCCTCGACGGCACGGTACGGGTCATCCAGGGCGTCCGCGAGATCTTCGACATCATCGAGCCGCCCAGACCCACCGAGGGAAGCGACGCCCCGCGGGACGGAAAGATTGTCTTTATAGGACGAAACCTTGACCTACTACCTCCTTTTTCAGAATCACAGGTCTCTGGATGAAATTTCTAAATCTTTTGATCTCGAAATCGGAAATGACCGGTCACTGAACAAAAAGCCGCGCTGCATCTACATACCTGAGAGGCGGCGGCGGGGCGTCGTCCTCGTCACAGAGTCGACAACAGAAGACTTTGACGAATTATTACCAAATACTTGCACGTAATGCAAGCACCTCGAAAAACAAAACACCCTCGTGGTCCTCGTCTACTCCACAATACAGCGAGCGCGTTGGTGGGGGTCTCAGCAGTACATCGTTAAAGGGGAGATCTTTGGTTTACGAATACAAAACTATATTATTCGAACACCTACACTCACACTTGCCCGCCACCCGGCCGGCTACAACGCACGTGCACAATGAAGCAAGTCAAGCCTTCGGATGAGAAAGAAGAAGCTTTCGAGTCACGATTTTTAAGATCTAAGTAAAAGGAAAATACATTTGCAATTTCAAAAATATCCAATTTCCACCATCTTGAGTCCTGTCCGTTCCTCATGGATGGTGTTGTTGTTGTCGTTGCTGTAACTCCGTAGGTACTACCTAGGTACATAAGAAACACCCCTGGATTACCTGATCGTTCGTTCGTTCGTGTTGACGGTCGTTTGTCGTTCTTTCGTTCAGTCATTGCGCAATGTCAGTTCAGTTTCACTGCTCGCTTGCTTCGCTAGTTTCTTTATATGAGACAGGCTGATGGTCGAATCGATTTCGGTTTCGGTTTGGTTTCGCAACCATGAATCGTTGTTACCCCGAGAAGAAAACCTTCAAAATTTCAAAAACAAATATCCAAAACACCACCAAGTGACCGACGCGTACAAAAACTTGACAAAACAACAAAAGGCGTCCTCGTCCCGAAATTCCCCTCCCGGTGAAGAAAAAGGTCCCTCCTCATTCGCACGAATCACGGTACTCGTGTGAGTTGTTACTGCTCGCTAATAATTGAAAAACCAAAAAAAGACATTTGCCAGTTCCGGCTTCCTAAAACCTACTACACAAGTTCTGCTCGCTAAAGAATCAATGCGGCTTTCCTATGTGCGGAACAAGTTCAGAGCAAAATTCGTTTGTCATACGTCATTAATCGTTGGAATGGCGCCGCGTGGATGTACGCACGTATGCTTCGGCGACAGCATGTCGGGTCTCGGCCTCTCATCTCGTCCACCAGTATCTGTAGCCTTGTTGGATCCTACTGCTAGTGGTGGACTGTTGCGATGCGGCACATCTCCAGAGGATGGTGAACCAACACAAGTCGGTCGCCGCTTCAAGGTCCGACATGTTCAACTTCAGACCATATCATCAACCTCGTGGGGTACATCGCATGCGAAGTAGAAGTAGAGGGGGGTATGTGTAGGCGGGCTTAGGTCTTCAACCAACGCCCTGAGATTTATCGTGTAGGGTCCGGCTCATTCCTGTTTGTCATTGACTAGATCGCTCGGCTGTGGTCTGTCGAGTTCCGGTTGATGTGTCGTGTGAAAGTCCGGGGCTGCAAGACATTCCAGATCAGCAGGCTTCAGGTCAAGGTAAGTGTCGGCCTCGGGCTCATTGAAAACATCTCCTCTGCCCTCGGCATCCGGCATTGTACTGACTGCTGAGACGATATCAGGGACGGCATCATCCATCTTTAGCTCTTCGCGCTTTTCTTCTTGTGCTGTGGCGAGAGTCTGGACACTTAGGTCGAGATCCCCACCTGTAGCGAACGATTCATCATATCCACTATCCGCAAAAGGCAGTGTGGGTAACCTGCCCTGCACCGAAGAACCAGCTAGTACGGGTTCATCGGACTGGGTAAGGCAAGGCGTCGTAAAGATCTCAGTATTAGGGTTGTTAGATGGTATTGTTGATCCTTGAAAGGAGAGAACTTGATCCCTACTCTCTTCAGGCTCAGAAGCCAACTCACCACAAAGCTGACGAGTCGATGTTGGTAAGACTGCATGGCTATTACGCGGTGTACTGTCGGACGTTATGGAATTCGTAGTTACCAAAGAGGGACGTCGTGCTAACGAGGCAGGCTGAGTTTGGACGGGGTCGATCTGCACTGGTGTCACAGCTTTCGCTGGAGACACTGTATCGTCACTTGTTAGTCGCGCCTCTGCTGCTCGTTCCAAGATCTCCAACTCTTCATCGTTGAACGTCCTTCTAGGGACAAGATATGGGTGGCCATCCAGTTCCACTTTGTCGAATTCGCGGTCCGTCCCGGGTGAAATGGGAACAATGTTTGGCTCCGCATCATCAACCAACGATGGTCTGTCATCCTCGACAATCCAGTGATGTCTCTCGTTCCTGCCGAGATGAGCATAATTCACAGGTGGTGCTCTTCCTCTCGGACGGTCATAGGCAGAAGTCTCGCTGTCGAATTCATAGTTGGAAGACTTGGGATATGTGAACGTGTAGTCATCCCTTGAGCTTTCTGGAGAATAAGGCACATTTTCAATCTCATGTTGGTTGGAGAAACGCTCAATGTCATCCCTGCCTACCGCATCTGCAGGGTCAATGTACTCTTGTGGGGTCCGGAGCTTCAGTGTAGGCCTGTCATGACGTTCTTCTGGATGCAGAGCCTTTGTGTCGCCTTCTCGGAACATCTTTGCCAACGTCTTGGCTGAACACCGATCTCGAGGACGACGAGATAGACATATCCTTACAATGTCTTGATACCACTCTGGAACTTCGGATGGGAATTCCTCCACGCTCAATGGAGATACGTGGCGCTCGGGCTCATCATCGTCCATGGCCAACGCCCACAACGTCATTCCCAGCTGGTATAAGTCTGACTTTTCACCAATGTACATCGAGATCCTTTGACTGCTGGCAATCTTGGCCGCAATTTCGGGAGGTTCCCAGCCAACTGGACAACCCCTTCGGTTGATGTCGATGATCTTTGCATTGCCCTCCCCATCAACAACAATGTTGGAGAGGGTAAAATCACCTTGCACATAGCCTTCTTCATGGATCTCGCTAAGACCACAGGCGGCTTGTTCTGCCCACCTGCACCGATCTTCCCATGGGATAGCTCCCCTATGATCATAGAGGAGGTCAACAATGGCGCCCTTCTCGGCGTAGCTGATGAGAAGACCTTTGACGAATTGTTCCTCGTCATCGACAACAACAGCTTCTAGTCGTATGACATGACTTGAACCGTGAAGAGCGTGCAAGGCGTTGATTTCATATAGGAATTCGTCGACAGTGTCTGGACCTGGGATATCCTTCTTGATATAAACTCTGCCTTTGTGCTTGACCTTGTACACAAACCCGGAGATGTGAGAATCGAAAACCAATTCACTCTCTCGTATCTCCATTGGCTGAAACTCATCGTCATGTAGTATATGGGCCACAGTATGACGGGGTGGGTATGGGATGATCTCGTTGACATCTTCAGTGACATGGACATGCAGACGACCATCGGTCGTTTCCAGCTTCAGATTCGTCACAGTGTCGTAGAACTGGATCTCAGGCAGCGAGTCTCGTATGGATTCGTATATTTGCATGCTCTTGTCTCGTTGGAATTGGAGCTCCTTGAGGTCCATCTCGAGGGACCCTGGTTCAGCGTTGCGATAATCACATGAGACAGTCACCCGACGCCATCGACTTGGGGTCTCTGCGTACGTGACGAAGAACTTTTCTCGATCTGACTTGTCTCTGAAATGCATGCTCAGATTGAGAATCCATCGAGTGTCGAGCTCGTCTCTCAGGTCGGCTTTATCATCGACGAGAGGCATTCGAAGGAAGTTTGAGTCATCAGACGAGGTAGTGGACGGAGGGCGAGGAGGTCGAAAATTTTCCTGAGGCCAAATATCCTCAGTGGTTGGAACAAGATTGGGATCAAGGGACGAGGTTATGGCGTCAATGCCAGCATCAGTGGCGGGCGCATCGGCCCTGCTTGTGAGAGCTACGGCAGGGGCAGAGGTCCGACCCGGTTCCCAGCACGGCGGTGAAGAGGTCGCTCGAGGACGAGGGAGGCTGGTCGATGCATGTCTGACAGTGGACGAGGCACGTCGTTCGGCATGACAAGGTTCGACGGGCAGCAAACGATCCCGTCTCTCGGAATTTTGACGTCTGAAGGTGGCTTGCCGGGGGAGGCCGATAGCCAGCGGCCTCGCTGTCGAGTCTTGCCCGCTCGACTCATCGTTGTCGGGCCAAGTCTGAGGCCAGTGTCGGTCGCCCGGGAAGTCGACGGAACTATGGGTCGGGTCATCTTTGGCAAAGAAATTGTGAATCTTCTGCCACATTCCCGATTTGAGGGGATGCTTATGGAAATGCGGCTCTGTTTCTTCCAGTTGTCTCAAGGGCTCTTCAGCATGTTGAGGTCTGATGCCCATGTTGGGGAGGCCGCTCTAGCCCTTTGGTCGAATGAGGGGCAACCTCCACAAGTCAGCAACCTATGCTGTGTCCGAGGTCCCTACAACGAGAAGCAATGAATGAATAGCAATCGGACATTGGAGGTCGACGGTGATACAAGGAAGTCGAGATCAGTCTTATTGGTGTCGAGACATTGCACAGAGCCGGGAGGAGATGTTGCAGCGGTCCTCCTAAAGCGGTGAGCGGGCGGACACCACACAGCTGTCTGGCCGATATTGCTGTGGGCTGTTACACAGAAGGCGGAAAGGGCTGGTCTCTATGCGTGTTGAAAAGTCCAAAGGTCCGAGAGCAGCTGCGCAGTTTGAAGTTCAGAGACGCTTGCAGGATGATTGCAGGAAGAGGAGAACGATGGGTATTTGGGAGAAGCCGGTCGGTCCTTTTGCTGATGGTCGACGGTGGTGACGCTTGTGATGAAATGGTGCGTTTGACCCACGCGTTCGGAGACGGAGATGAATATGAGTCGACCTGACGTGGCAATCCTGTTCAATTGCAATATGCAACTTGTCGAGATCATGGATTGAGATGAGGCGTGGGTGTTGATGGAAGTGGACGAGCGAGCATGTTAAAGCAAAACAGTGGGATGGGATGCGTTCACCGCTTAAGCAGCCCCTGGTCAGCCACAAGGCCGCGCTGCATCTCAGATTGGGTTGTGGTTTCGACAGAGTTCAAGGCTCCGGAGGGTTTTAGGCGGCCTGGACAGCTAATGAGGCTGGGGGGGTTTCTCGGTGGGTTTAGGGGGGGTCGGGGGCTGGTTGAGGCAGCCAATTGCCCCCCCGTCTAGGGATGCCTAGTCGCCCCGGCTGCTGCCCATGATTCCGCGCGCCGGGCCTTCGTGCCTAAGGGCAGCTAAATTCTCCTGCCTCATTGCATGATTTGTTGAGCTCATGGATATACGTAGTATTGTAGCAGCAGTACTCGGTAGGTATTGTGTCCGTGGAAGCTTCTATGCTACAGAAGCTTCTTCGCATTCGTTCTAGGCAGATTACAGCAACCCAACGACGCCCATCAATGCAAGGCAAAGTCTGCCTACTATCCGACACTTTGAACAGCAATCTGATGCACTACCAGACGAGCCGAGCCCACGGACCGCTGCCAGCCACTGCGCTTACATTGGAGCCTCCTCGTCGACGTGTCTCTTGATTGCAGCTTCATCTTGAAAAAAGAATTTTGGTGACGCCGGATGAGAAGTGCAATCAACTTTGAGACACCAATTAAGCCGGCATGCTAAGGACTTCCGACTGTCACTGCCTCGAAGTCCCCCACAAAGCTACTGCAACGACGCTGCAGATGCCATCCAGCGCCTGCATCATAATCCACTCATCATGCTTGTTTCTGGCCCTTTGTTCTTCAATTTGTCGCCTCACCAGTTGGGCTTCAATATTCGCATGTTTTGGTCCTTCAATTGGCCCTTTATTTTCCTTTAAGCAGTCCTGCCTAGTTATCGCTTACGTCGTTTTGGCTCATTTTGCATCGGCGACGATATCGGAGCTTATGATCTCATGACATTGCTTCTTACCCCAGACTTCTTTGACTGACGTGGCCATGACAAGGTGGAATCATCTCTATCTTTACCAACCTACGCATTCGTCCGTATTCATCTCTGCCGTCGCTCGTCATCCCGTGTCCTCGATCACGATGACTATATACCCAAATTCTGATCACCAGACAAAGGTTTAGGTATCATTGTTGTCTGTCTCGGCCTTGCCGCGGAACCGCGGCCAACCTCATGGCACACCGCTCATTCCATCGAGGTCATGCTGAAACCAGGATCGCAGCACAGTATCCGTACTTGGCTCCACGTAAACGAAACTCCGATCGAACCCGCATCTCGAGTAACCCAACATTTTTGCAGACATATATTATGTTGTTTGTTGCTAACCTCAGTCTGGATCCGGTCAAACTCGAATCCGGATCCCCGACAATAATCCTCTTTGCCGGGAAGGACACATGTATGCAAGCTATTGTATGTAAGACGAGAGTTGATCGTCTTGACCTTTTAGCGTCCATTCGTGCTTCTCGTTGCCAAGGTATGCTTTCCTGCTCAGACAAAAGTGGCAGTCGATTCACTGGTGCTCATCAGTGAACGACGAATCGACTGCCACGAGTAGTTATGGGGGGCGACCAGGTGACATCGTTGTACTTGTTGCAGCTTGCTTTCACGGGACCCAAAGGCATTTTCGTATGGTAAGATCGCCTGGATGTGGACTGACAATGCCAACTTTGCGGCAATTATTAGTTACCCAGTGTGCATACCCGGAACGGATGTATCTAGGCCATCTTCAAGCTATGATCCATAATATTGGAACCGAATCCTCGACCGCAGGATATCCTCACACCGCTACCTTCGTGGGATGGGTTTCGGAAGCTTATCGTACCTCGGTCATCCGAGATTGAGAGAGACATTCTTTCGGATATGCTGATCTAATCACAAGGACCATGAAGTACAGAACCTGTCGGTGAAGAGGATCAGGAGAGCTTCATCGCCTTGATCAGGCTTCTATCAGGATTTTAATCTAGATGGGGAGCAAAAAGAAGAGGCTTGTCACAGCACCAGCGGCAGCGGAAGGAGAAGCAAAAAACAATCAAAATTCAGGATTCCCACCTGGTCACCCACGGTAGTACTGACTGAACGGCACGTGGTTTAAGTATGGCTGAGCGGACGGGAAGCCCTGTTTATACACGTCCTATGGTCGATTGCGAGGATGAATTCAAGTTGAGCGGTTCATATCCTGGTGTTTTGGTAAACGGGGCAGGGTTTGTTTTGTCCGGGACCGAATGCCCCATGTTCAATACTGCAAATTGCATTCCGTAACCCGTAAAGAACTCCTCATACACTAGGTACTTTTTATCAATACTCGTATATATTTCTTGGTCCAGTGTCCCAGGTCTGATCAGTTCAATGGGTATACGATGTGATAGGTCTTTCAGAATGTTGGGATATAAAGCAGAAACACGGAGATGAGGAGAAGGAAGAGAAGTGTCGAATGTGTTTTGAACAATCTGAGAATAAAAATACTGTATGAGTTCACGTGCTGCGACGCCCAATAGCTCATATCATACTGCCTAGGTATAACTCCATAACTCACGATATACCCTTTCGTCGTCTTGCTGCTCCATATGGGTTTTCCCAATGTCCACACCAGATGGAGACCACTTCGCAAAGGGGGCCTTTTTTTTTCTCTCAAGCATTTCCCTCAAGGTTCGAAATGTACTCCCATCGTCGATTGACCTGACCTCGGGCTCGGACATTTATGACCTGCACATGTAGGTTACTTGACTTCGTCGTCTTCGTTTGTAAAACAAAAAACACCCCCGCGATCATGTCAAGGTCTGAAGCGGAGCCTGAAGCCGACCTCTCCGCCGGGACCGTCTACCCTCCTGACCTGACGTCCGTGACTGCCCATCCAGTAACCCGTGCCGTCGCCGCCGGACCCTTCTGTCCTGACGGTGCGGCCGTTTTGCTGGACGACGTAGATGAAGCGGGCGACGGTGTCGGCCTCGCTCAGTTGCTGGGCGTTGAAGTGTTTCCTGACCGAGTTGGCCAGGTGAGAGGGAGGTTCCCGCGGTCCCAAAAACGTGGTCGACGTTGACGCTGCCGCGGCCGAGCCGGATGACGTGGACGCTTGTTCTTCGGAGGTGTGGTCGGGCACCGCTGTTTCATTCCCTCCACTGGACGACGACGTCGCCACCACTGCATCTTTCCCACCTCTCTCTGTACCTTTTGATCCTCCACCACCACCACCAGCATTCTTGCCACTCGTCGTACCGTTCGTTTGTCGTTGCAGGTTTGATTGCCGTCGTCGGTGTTTCTGCTCTCGTAACCTCCTGCGGGCTTGGACTGCGGACGGCGCTCGAAGGGCCACGGAGGAGGAATTGTAGGTCAGGTCGGCGTGTGGATGGTTCAAGGTGGAAGGGACGGAGAGACGGTGGGCGACTCGGTAGGTACGGAGGATGGACGTAGGGACTGTGTTCCAGTCGGTCTTGAAAAAAAGTAGTTTGTTCAGTCCACATTGTCCTTTTTTTTGCTCTCCCCAAATGAACAATGGTTGTCATTGAAGGAGGCCCAGGTCCGGAGCCATCATTGTGCGCATCAAATACTCACCTTGGGTAAATTGCCGTCTTTTTCGGTTCCCACGGGTGCTGCAGAGGACGAAGTTGCCGTCGCCGCCGCTGCAGCACCGCTGTTCGCGGCCGCCGCCTTGTTACTCGAACCGCCTGCGCCGTGTGCATTCGCCGCGGTCCGTCTGCTCTTTGAAACGCCGGACGACGAGTTTGTATGAGGGCCCAAGAGGGCCTTTTCTTTCTGGTTCGTCACTGTGCTAGACGTTTCTGATCGAGAGTCGTCGACGTTTCGGGCTCGTGGAGGCATAATGAAACGTTTGGAGTTGAAAAGGTCTGGGTCCAAAAAGAGATGATGGGTAAAAAAGCAAAGTCAAACAGGCCAGATAAAGGCCAACATTGGAGCGAGCACTCTTCGTTGAATTAACTGATTACATTGGTAGTCATTCTTTACAGGAGTTGAATCTCGAGATTTGGCCGGTGTCTTCACTACTTTCTCGGAGTCGACTTACGCGCAGCGCAGGGAAAGGGAACTGGCACGCGGCGGTGATATCATAGGAGACGGTTATTCCCGCCACTGGTGTCTTGGCGCATCTTCGTATGCAGGGGCTTCGTACTCGTACTCGTAAATCCCATATAACACGAACAGATGGTACTTCTCAGTCCATCGTAATCTCCCTCTCACATATTTACCGATTCAGACGAAGCCTCATAAAGTACAGTCGGGTTCATGTCAGACAATCTTGACCTCCATCCGGTGAGCTACTTGAAACCATGAAGCGGGACAGAATGAAACCCCAAGACGAGTATATGACGCTTCGCCAGGAACCGCCTGAAGCAGGAGGCATGTTCCCTGTCCGCTGTTGATTCGAGGGTGCCACCTTTCAATTGCAATGCACACTGCTTGTAAGCCGTTGACTTCTGCAGGCACATCCAGTTGAAACGGTTGCCAACTAGGACCGCGAGATTCAGGTTCAGCGCCGGGAGCACAATCGGGGTCTTCGTCTTCGAGGGCCGCCGTGTGGTTCGTGCCCGAGGATTGAGCAAGACTCATGAAACACTCTCGTGATTCCTGATGTCCAGATGTTTCTTCTTGATGGAGAGTCACAGAGACCGCGGGCCCTGCCAGAATCAAGAATGCCGACGTTACAGCCCCAAAGGGAACCCCAATCTCCTTCGGACAGGTTTGGACATCCACCACCTCTGCTACTATTTCGTTTGCAAAGTGCCAGCTGATGTGAGCTTCGATTCGAGCACGTACCGCGATCCACGACCATGACGGACCACAGTACTCCTTTGGACGTTGGGTCTGTGTCTCTCCGGGGGCCGCCCGTACTGCTCGCCACAACAGCCCCGAGGGGAATTCATACCTCCAGAGTCCGGCACAATACCCATCCAACTCCTTCGAAGCAATCAGTCTAGAAAACCCGGACAGCGCTGGCAGTCTGTCCGCTTCGTCATGTAGTGCGCATGCCGAGTATGGCTCTACCACCGAATACCAAAGCTCAATTCGAGAAGTGGGGCCCTTGACGTTGCTAAGCGTCTTCAGTGTCGTGGTCTTGAACGTTCCTGCACGGCGGTGACGTCTGATTTCCATGCACTCACAATCAAGATTGTTTCCGCACTCAAAGACAATCTCGTCGGCCGAGAAGTGCACCACTCTTCTCCCAAGAAGTCGCTCCTGAAAACACCAGGCCCGCTCAAATAAAGGCGTCGTGTTGAACCGGTAGGGGTCGTTGGTCAGAAAGGCATCGTGAGGAATGGTTTCCTTTACGTGGAGATAGGAACTCTTGCGAGGATTATCTTCGTGAATGATTAATTCTTGTGCCCCTCGTCGGCTGTGGAAAAGTCCCGCATCGCCGGTGTTCCCTCTGGTGGCGGCAATCACAACATGTGCCTGGCTATATATCAATGCCATGCGCGCGGCCTCTCGCGCAAAGTCTGCGCCATCGTCCTGTACGATGCAGAGCGAGTCTATCCAGACGTATCTCAGCCCAAGCCGACGAATAACGGTTGATGGTATCGCGAAAGGTCGGTGTCAGATCGTCCCATTCGATTTTCTCCAAGTGTCGTGATAACGTGGCCATCGTTGTTTTCGGGACTGCCTTGATTCGATCCTTTTTATCGCCCCAGCAGTGGCTGAGTGCCGCGAATGGAGTATCCTCTGCCAGAATTTCTGAGCCGATGGCGAGTCTGAGACCTTCGGTCCGGTCGTCAGGACTCACATCTACCAACCGTGTAGGAAGCCCTCTCTGAGCTATATCAAGTCCACATCCATGGTCCCGGATGCACTCGTCGATCCAGTGTTTGATCTTGTCAATACAAACGCCATCATCAGATCTAGTCGGTGGTAGTGTCCGACGGAAAAAGCCACGATCCATCTTATAACCTATCGAGGCATTAGTTTTCACCACAAAGAGGTCCCAAAAATCTCCCACCTTCGTCCGCATATAGCACGAGATCAATGGTCCTATATTCCTGAGATAGTTGAGCCAAGTACGGTTCCAAGGTCGGACCCGACCCATCTGGCAGCCACCTGACTCTGATCCTGGAGTAATCGCCTTGATAGAAATGACCCGTGTCTTTGATGTGCACCTGAATTTGCCCGGGGTCTATATCAGCATACCTTGATTCGAATAATGCGACGCTCCGTACGATGAACCAACATCTTCCACACCCAGCTGATGCCGTCCTCTGAAAGTCGCGCAGTGTAGGCCAAAAAGTGTGAAGCTTTCTCATGGCGACCAAATCCGTACACGAGCAAGCACCACGAAACTTGATGCGGTATCGGAATCCATCCCAAATATCCTGGGCCCAAAAATACGTCCGAGATGCTCTCTCTGCTGCCCAAGCAGCAGAATCTTCAAATCGGGAGCTATCATTGAAATACTTCCAGCCCTTGACGCGAGACACATACCCGATGAAGCTCTCATTTTTCCTGGGCAGTAGGCGCGTATCTCTTTTCCTGAAGCTGTCCCATTCATCAGCAGTGATCTGCACCACCCGAGGAGCAAGACCGGCGAGGCGGGGGGTGTTTGTGATGCTTGTGTCAAGGTCAGAGGTCGTCATGCTGAGCCACAGCCTGAGCAACGAGAGAGACAGACTGCTTCCTGGAGACTTTCATGAGCATCTAGCCTCTCGCTCGCAGACGTCCATAGCATACTGCATTAAACTGTGCTTGCATCGAATCAACGTTTTTCGAGATCATTGAGGCTCTCGTTGATGATCAAGAATACCTCGTGTTTGTGTCGGGCACGATTGCCTTGCCTGACTGCTAATGCATGTTGCTTTTGGGACTCCCTCAGCCTAATTTGTGCCAACTGACATCGGTGGTTTTCCATACAGAAGTGAGGGCGCGCGAAGTTTCCACCAGCACTGAAGTTCAGTCAAGTATCTACCAAGGCCGTTTGTGGCCAGGATACGCTCAGGCTCACCAGACTTAGGGTGGTAGATCAAGAACTCACCCCGGCGCGACACACAATGCGGCTAAGCGAAGCAGCCTCGATCACCGTCCAATTGGGGGGATTTACAGTCTAATGGGGGGTTTTCCCTTGCAAGAAAAGGGACTTTGAGACCTCAAAACTGTTCCTGCATACACTTGAACTGTCTTACCTAACGTGAGAACTTCGATAATGGCGAGGCGGATGTACGGTCGATTCCTTGTCCCACAGCCATTGTTGTGAATCTATAGCGACGCGTGCTGCTTCGAGATTCATGGCATTCCCAGCCCTTGTGACTCGTATGATCTGCTCCAGGTTGGCTGGTCATTCATGAATGAATTGTACACGTCGTCTCGGGCTGCGTTCAGAGCGAATCCGAATTAAACAGATGGCAGAGAGGCAAGCCTACCTTGCGGAAAGCATATCCGCGACCGCTACAATGTATTCAATGTGCTATCAGCCACGGAAACACACATACAGGGCACTGTGCCTGTAATTGGTGAGAGAAAAATAAATCTATTTTGATTCAGGTTGATCAAATTACTGACTCCTCTAACAAAACGCGGACGAAAATTCACTCGAGCGAAATGCATGTGAAAGCCAGGCAAGCAGGGCTCATTATTTTCGACCCGGAAGGACTTACGGCCGCGTTGCAATCGTGGAGTGCCATGCTAGCATTACATCAAGATCATCTACCGAAGAAGGTAACCGGACAAGATATCTTGTTGAGTCCAGTAATTTTTCCTGCCACTGAAGGGCTGGGGTTGTATCATCGTGGACCAATTCCACATAGTTTGAAACTGAGAATCCTTGTCAGAAAAATTCGACGCAACAAGCGGTGGGCATGAGCTGTGTCAGAGAACAAAAATTTCGAAGAGACGATGATAGAAGGTGTCCAGTGTGTCTGCCAATGGGTTTTCTAAACAATGGTGCCAGGGTGAAATTTCGGACAGTCTCCATCGAAAAGCAGCACCGAGGAAATGCCGACATTGATGACGGTGTGCATTATTGTGCGGCTTGTAACACTGCCTCTGTGTCTCGGGTTATCAAGGCCGTTGCCCTGGTCCATGGTTCCATCTTCCACATGCTGGAGCAATCGAAATTTGGATATGTGGATAGCCTGAAGATGAGTAGGTCATGGTACCGTACCAGCAGCATGGTTACTTTGGCATATGAGTTTTTTGGCTATATGGTGGAGTTTCTCCGTGAAAACGCCCATTGCGGGCATACCCGCGCGATTTTCTGCAAACTGGATCAGTAGAAGGTTCTTTCGGTGCAAAGTACTATTTGGATCTGTTGAGAGAATGGAAAATGCGTAGTCATATGCATACTGAGGTCTCGATGATGCCATGCTCGGTGCCGCGTGAAAATTGATGGGAATGCATACCAGGCTGTTTCGTGCGTAGTGAAGTCGACACGAGGTAAGACAAGTGAGTACTGTATTCTTATCTCGAAGCCGATCGCGGTATTCTCCACGACCCGTGAACCCCGTAGAACATGTGATACTCATGCTATGTGCTCGATTCAGCAGGCTTCGGCTCGATTTTCGAGGGACAGAGCGGGTGTCAGCAAGCCTGGTCGTTTGGCCGTGCAGAGATAGCTATCCTACTGGGTTTTGGTCGAGACGGCATATTGCACAGTCGTGGGCATCGGAGGTCGTACTGATTCACTTGACCGTTCTCCAGACATCCTGCCGAACTAGACTAGTAAGCGACAAGCCCGAAACAGCCAGACGACGCATCCTGGGTATAGAGAAGAGATGACAATGTTGACCTTGTCGCTGTTCCGCAAAAGATGGTATGAAAACAATCACATTAATCTGTGGCATGAAAGAGACGCATGCTGGTTGTGCAGCGCCCGAAAGCCAGGACCGCTGGCCAACATTCATCAAGTTACGAAGTTGCGTGACCTGGGAGTCCCATGTCAGATCGGCCACCAGCGGGATGTGGCGGAAGTTAGAAACAGCTTGCGATAGGATGTCTGGACTTCCGAGGATCAGTTTCTTGATGTCCCCCAAGTCGAATGTTTTCCATGTCAAGGAAGTTGGTCGAGTGATCCAAAGCCTGGCTCTTTACCTTTTCAAGAAGCAGCCTTGAATACCAGAGATCCCGTTTTGTTTCTCCTCCGGACGTCGGCTTCCGTCCCCAGGAAACAACTCCGGGCCACATATCAAGATGGAAACATTTGAGGTTGGACAAAACTAACTTGGATCTCATGATACGACTCGATCGTGGGGAAGTCACGGAAAGACACCATACATAGTCAGACCACAGGCTTAATCCACAGGCCTTTGGTACAGTCCTGCCATATTCTCAAGATGGGGAGGGTCTTTGACTGCGGCGCCGGCGGCATACCGGCATTTCAGCAGAGGTTGTTCTCAAGGCAGATAACGTGAAAGGTACCCGGATACAGTTGTGCGTGACAACAGCATACGTCCGCATGAGAACAGCGCAATTGCACTCTCTACCTTGAGGAAGGGGGGTTTACCGATAAGCGCAGGTCGATGAACTGATGTTTGCTTGCCAGATGGCATCCCGCGCAGCACGGGCCTAAGCTTGTTCCTCGCTTTAGAGAAATCACTCAATAATGCGTGTAGTCCTTCGCCACACAATCTAGAACATGTTTTGTCCCGCGAAATGCTCAGACTCCATCTGCGGTGGGGATCAATTTGATGCAAAGAAGTAAGATACTAGAATAGGTATCTTTTGGGTGTTAGCGAGGCCTGAAGACGGGCGAGCCTGAGATTCCAGACTTGTGGAGAAGTGGGAGTAGTCCGACCAGCCCTGTATGCTTGGAAGGCAAGACTTGAGACCGGAGTATGAAGTAGATGTTTCAACGGGGTCAGGAAGTTCAGGATTGTTTGGGCATCGCTCTTCCCCGTATTAGTCCGGAAGACGATGGTGATTATCAAATGGGGTCGAAATTGTCACAGCAAGTCGCAGACGCATAGCGATGACATTTGACATAGTCATGGATGATGCATGTTGACCGCGGAGGACGGAAGCCATTAGCGATTTCAGGGAGTGGGATGGACCTTGCATATGCATTCATCCTCCTGTTTCACTTGGTTGTCAATGTCAGCCATGGCTTGGTGTTCCCTCTTCTCACTCGCCGGGCCCCTGTCGCATGGGGATGAGTGCTCGTCTTGATGCTCGAGGCCTTACTGGCAGGCAGTCGTTTCGATCAACGAGATCCGGACATGCCTTATTGGCAATATCCTCAGTCTGAGGTTTGCACCATTCTCCGGGTATAGTGTGGGGACAAGTCGGAAATAAATTGCATGAACAAGTTGTGGTCGTAGTCAGCGGATGGTGACTACGATTAGTATTTCAGGTACCGGAACTTGTCAGGAGAAAGCACTGAGTGTCTCTCTCGCGAATTATTGTCTCTCCTTTTTTGTGCATGGCATCAGCATGCATGCTCAGATCCAGGTAGGTCGCCTCGACACGGCCTCGGAGGTACAGAACAGCTTCCTTCAGTAGTCACTTTGTTGTCTCGCAACCGGTACTTCACCCTGTCACATTCCAGAAGTGCACATGTAAAATTGCAAAGGCTCCTTCGGGCAGATCAGTCCGAAAGCCACACACATGCTCGTATCAAGCTTCCCCACTGGTACCGCCAAAGTCACATCTGTTAAAGCCCTGAGAGCGAGGTCCACAGTCCCGCAAAATCCGCAAGGCACCAGCCAGACTCGTCTTCTGGCCACATGCCGCTCTGGGTGAGTCCCCAAGGCCGTCGCCATACCCGGGAGCGACTCTGGGGACAGTATTTAGGCTGTGAACTAGGGCTCCGTTGGGCAACATTCTGGGCGTTACAAAGCGCTGAGCGCGCTGAGCGCGTCACCGGAATGCCCCTTCGAGGCAATTCTCAGGGCTTCTGTGGATGCTCCAGTGGATACCATCCCAACTTGTCCATCTGTTAGTGACAGTACCATAGGAATCGGAGCCCATCATCGCCGTAGTGGTCTTATAGATGGATCTGGCACCTGATAGTATTTTTGAGACCACAATATTATTGTGCCACAAATCACCGTTATCACATGTGATGACAACACTGCAGACCCCTTCACCGACTTCGTAGTAGGGTGTCTGGGGGTAGCAAAGTGAAGCATGACAGGCAAGGATCTTTGTGGCTTTACGAAGGAAGGGGATAGGTAGTGATGATGCCGCGGTTTCCCATTGGTTTGGGTTATTGTTCTGCGTGAGTTTGCCGCCCAAAAGGCTCGGGGAAGTAGGTCCGAAGGAATGAGGCACTGTTTCGCAGGACCTACGGAGTAATTAGATTAGCACTCGTACCTCTCGATCGACGAAAATGATCAAGCGAAGGGACCAAAAGGTGCTCCAAGTTCACCTCATCGCAGCATCAGTGCAATAATAGTATCCGTTGTATTGAATACCTTGGATCGGTGACTCCGTCCAAGCAAGGGTGGCAGCGTACAGTACGAGCACGGAGAAATGTGGGAGGGTTTGTCAGTTCCGAAGAATTTTCGCGTTGGGATTGTTTTCTGCCTGACGGCGGGTTGACCGCCTCCGCCTTGTCACTTTCCCGCAAAATTCCAGACCACAGGTACTTTGGCCTGACTCACTTTTTGCTCCCCCATCTTTTCCAGACGCCCAGACACACTCTCTGTACTGTAACAATACTGTATTGTCGGTGCCTCCATACCGCTTCCGATACCACACCCGAGCGCCTAAAGCCCAAGTTATGTGTACTGGGTACCCTGACCACCGCTGAAACCATACCTGGTCTCGCATCAATCTTTGCATGGCCACCTCGTCATCACCTCTACAATAGGTACTGTACTTTCCTCGGGCCACGGTACTCGGCCCGGTAATCCTGCTCGTTTTGTTGACAAGTCTCCTGGTCACCTCCTGCGGCGATCGGCCATCATCGCTGTGCCAGCGAGCGTCCGAAACATGTCAGACCCCCTGTTGCCTGGCCGTTGTCTTCCCCAGATCCCTGAAAAGGAGTTGTCAGGATACGAGAGGTACAGGGAAAGAGAAGGAAACAAATCAAATTGAGTGAAGCCGGCGGCAGCATTCGACTGGCCGAGAAAGAATACATTCCACTTTGGGCCGCAATCACCTCCATCCAATAAATCCTCACATCAGCAACCCGCGGGCCTCATCACCGAATTCGGGGCCGCGAAAAGAATTGATCCAGTCTCTCAGCCGATCCACCAAAAGGGCCTCTCACACCCTCTCAACAACACGGACGCACATTTCGTACGAGTACGACTACGACCATCAGCTCGTCATCTTTACACTTTTCAGACGTGGACCGATAAGGATTGCGCTAGTTGGGCTTGCCTTGCCCCGTGCCCACAGAAGAGAAGGAAAAGAAGGTGTCGCCGCTGGGGGGGCCTTTCTCGGTGACTCTCCCACTGTTACGATACGAGTACGGAGTATTGTACGCCTGGCACGGGCACCGCCAACCCACATTCCTAAGCACACTCGGCTGGACAAGCCTCGCCTCTTTCTGCAATCTTCCGGCAGGAAAAAAAAAATTCACAGGCACGACAAAACGCCGCAGACGCTCCAACCCCTGCTCCCCCCGGTCTCCAGTTTCTAGTCCGCATTGCCGGAATCACGTCGCACAGAACCGCGCAACCTCCCTCTACCCTTCTCCAACATCAGGCTCAATCCCTCCTTCGCAAATTACTGCATCTGACACTTCGTCACCTCCCTGATTTCTTTTCCTCCCTTCTGCCCCCCGAATTTCTCTGACCACACCATTACGAGAACCACACCACTCATCACCCTGTTTCGCAAACCGCCCGCGCTAGGACTGAATCCAACTTCCATTTCAATCTACCGCCCTTCCGACCCCAGGTCTTTCGTCACGCACGCCCGCCCACTGTCCGACTCTTCCAGTGGATGATTCACCCCCACGATAAGCGATCATCTTGGGGAATCACAAAGCCTCTCCCTCTCCCTTGCTCGCTCGAATGCAACCTTCTTCGTCTGCAGTAAACTTTACTGCTCTTCTCAACCCTTCTCCTTCCTCTTCCTCTTCCTCCCCAGCTCCCAACACCGTGGCCACCACGACATCGCAACCACCGACAGATATCGCCTCCGGCACCCAGACAACAAACACTTCGTCGAGTACAACTCAGACTGACGGTAACATGGCTGCCGCTGTCAGCCTGTTGCCCACCGCCATGGCTCCTCAAGCGAACACAGAAGAGAGACAGGATCTCCCTCGCCCTTACAAATGCCCTCTGTGCGATCGAGCCTTTCACCGCTTAGAACATCAGACAAGACACATTCGAACACACACAGGAGAAAAGCCTCACGCTTGCCAGTTTCCAGGGTGTAGTAAGCGTTTCAGTAGATCCGACGAGTTGACTCGACACTCGCGGATTCATAACAACCCCAACTCGCGCCGGAATCAGAAGACTCACCAGATTGCCGCCGCCGCCGCCCTCACTGGCCTCCAGGATGGATCGAACCACAATATGTCTGTCCATGCTCAAATGATGCCGCCGCCTAATAAGAACGGCATGCCACGATCTGCTCCGACCTCTGCGGCTGGATCACCCAATGTCTCACCTCCTCACTCTTTCGCGGTACACGCTTCGCATGTTCCAACCCCGTTGGGCCCCTTTGGGCGCCATGACGAGAGGAACAACATGGACATCAATTTGCTCGCTTCTGCTGCATCCCAAATTGAGAGAGACGACCACGTTACCCGTGTCCCTTACCAGCATCAACATCATCTGTTTAGTCATCGCAATCACAACAGCAATGGTCGCCTCCCGTCGCTCTCAGCTTATGCTATTTCGCAATCCATGTCCAGGTCACATTCACAAGAAACTCATGACGATGACCACCGACATAAGCGATCCAGGCCGAACTCGCCTCATTCAACCGCACCTTCGTCTCCCACTTTCTCTCACGAGTCGATCTCGCCTACTCCAGACCACACACCTCTGGCCACACCTGGACATTCGCCACGGCTCCGACCTCATGGAAGTGAACTTCAACTCCCTGGCTTACGCCATCTTTCATTAGGTCACACACCACTCCTGGCTCCGATGGAACCACAGGCCGATGGCTCTTACTCCCATATCCCACCCCCACAACATAGCGGACCTTCGATTGCAGACATTGTCACTGGTACGCAACGCAAGCTCCCCGTACCGCAACTTCCCAAGCTTGGAGTTTCCGACATGTTACATCCACCGAGTGGTCTGAGTTCGGGCGAGTCAAGTACAGCAGCCTCTATCAACGGAGACTTTTCAAGATGACTTGTTTAAAACAATCAGCCTGGTGCCTATTGTTTTGCCGGGATTGGCAGGAACGGCAGGAATGAAAGACGAGATATCTCAGTTTGGGTATGGAGTTTGAGTGTCACTGTCTTTTCTACATGCTTTGTTTGTTTTTGGTTTGATGGTGTTTTCAGTGGATATATTTTCTATAGACAAGTGTCGCGAGTTTGGGCGACCTGGTACAAGAACAGCAGCGAGGTGCAAGGTATAGACGGGAAGGAACAACATTGTGGTTTTTGCGCCAGATGGCGGCATCGAATAGAACGGGTTCTTCAGTGAGAGGGCATTGAATGCCAGGCTTAAGGCTGTGTGGAAGAAACAAATGGGTTATTGACTTTCAGCTCTATGTACGCAACTCTATCAAGCAGCCAATCCTACAGTTACATGTGTAGTCAGTCAGTTACAGATGACCACAATCAATGATTTTAGCAGCCAAATTTCCACTTTCGTTTCCCGACTGTTGCTTTGGATCTTCTGTTGGGAGCACACAATGTTGTGGCTTACTCTTGGTCCTTCTGTTTTAGCAGAAGTGCATTCAGCTTGTGATCATCATGCCGGAAGCTCGAAGCCGCTCGCTTCCCTGGGGTTGACCATGCTTCCTCGTTATGCCGGAGCAATTGGCAGCTGAGTCACTGTGCATGATGGGTGGCCAGGAGCCACATCACGCGAGCGATTAATTACCCAGGATCAATGTCTTATTCACTCTCAACCCCGGAGTCAAGGCCCAGTCAGAGCGACCAGGGTTGTTGCCTTTTGAGCGATCAGCAGGCCCCAGAGGTGCAACCAAAGGCAAACGACATGTCAATAATTGATCATTGACCGGCACACCTGACTCACTCCAGTCTACTCAGACGGTCAAGGAGACCTTATCAGCTCCGTGTAACATTGTCCCCCACACTATGTAGGCTGCATCTCATGCACCAATGTCTGGCTGATCGGCCTGACTGGCCAGAAGTGTTCAATCTACAAGCACAAGGGGGGGGCCTGGGAATCTTGTTCAGCGCGAACGAAGCTGGTGGTGACGGCAGGGGGGCCACTGGATCGCCCTTTTGGTCTCACTTACAAGACCAACGTAAAGCATGTCCTTTCGACCTTGACTGCTTCAGACCAGAAACCGGCAGCGAGCGTTGAGCGAGAGTGCATGAGACGGCAGCCCAGGATGCTGGGGGAATCGTGGAGTCCCCGGCATCTCGTGTTGTCCCACGAAATTCAGAGATGTGGGGACCGTGGTAACTCAGAGGTACACGAGTACAGAGTCCCTCCCCGAAAGGAGAGACAAAGTGCCCGTTCAATTCTGTTGGGATCACTGTCTCTCAAGGAGTACCAATACGAGTAACCCTACCCTGTACGAGTACTCCAACCAAAAACTTGCCGAAAATGCAGCCCGTTGCGCCGACTTGTCTCTCACGGCTGACCGGCTGATGTTTCGAACGAACCGATTCCCCAATTACCGCAGATTAAATCTGTCAGTGCTGATGATGATCCAGGCTCAATAATAACTATTGAAGGCCGGGGTCCGAATCAGATAGGACACAATAATGGTCCGTCAACGACTCCAGCGTCCAAGCCACTATTGACGCCGTGCCTGTTCGGGCTACGGATCCTACAATAGTCGAACTGCTCCGGGGGGGCAGATCCTCGGCCCACCCAGGTTCTGGGCTCTACTCGTACTATTCTATCGCTACGGGGATCTTGTCTTCTCCAAACACAGGTTTCACACAACTGTTTCGCTTGGCTAGAAGCGCTGTATTCCACATAGCTGAGGAGTTGACGACTTCGGGTACGTGATAACAGGCTAATACTACGGAGTACATACAACATGCCAGTTGAACCCACCATTGCGGAAAGGGGCATTGGATTTTCAGACCCATCGAGACCTCGCCGAACGGTCTGACAACGTCTCACTATGGATTGTCCCCGGGGGAGTGTTTACAGTCAATAACATCGGTCCGCGTTCGCCACCTTATCCGTGTCACAAATGCATGGAGTATTGTACGAGTTATGGAGTAGTTGCTTTTCGCAATGGAGAAGCAATAATCCTACCGTACCCAGGTAGGTAATGATTACGACAAGCAACGATCAAAACAAACCCCGGGCCCCCTTTCCCCGGCTCCATGCATCCCTTTTCTCCAGGGTTCAAAGGATACGGGGACAAAACGACAAATGGATTCCATGCCATAACATAACAAAATCGTCACAACCGATAAGCAGAACCAATTTATTTGATGCTTAGTCCAGTTTCCGATTTCGTGCCCTCCCCCCACATGCTATAGTGTACAAGGGGACGCAATGGGAACAATGAATAGCGAGCATGGTCCAGGGCATGGGTCAACTTCGATAATAAATGGCGTCACGGTCGGCATTATTGTTTGAAAAGTTGAGAATTCTTCGGCGTGTCGTAACAATAATGTTGTTTCCCACCTTGCAGGAGAAACCCACTACTGCAACTCTTAGGACTGTTTTTCGAACTCATCTCAACGCCTCCCGGGGGGGGGAGGGGCGGATCTGGGGCTTAGGCCTGCAACAACGGATTTGTTTGCTCGCCAAAACGGTAGATTTGCGGGGAAAGGGGAAGAAACGGCACTGATGGACGCAACGGAGAAGGCGGTGGTGAAGCGGCTTTTCCGGGGGTTCACTCAACTCACTCACGCCCTCTGGTAACCCTTTGTCAATCAATACCTTCTTCCAGGTTCATCTTCTCGCACCTTTTCCCCCCAAAGAGACTGTTTGTTTCACCGAGGGCGAAGGAGTATTGAGCGAGCTGCAGTAATCGGTTGGCTTTCAGTTATGCCAATGTTATCTGACTTTGAGCAAGACCGGCCCCAGACCAATGGAGGTTACGCCGCGGCGACAAACGCTAGAAAGGAAGTTTTTCACGATGATCGACAAATAACAACGGGGTCCACGAGTACAGAGTTATGGTCTTGTTGCGTTGTCAGTGGTCAAAAGTCTATATGTCGTGACGGGCCATCTGAGTCAAGGGATTCTACACCTGCGGAACACGAATACCGAACATACGAGTAAGTAATCGTACCTGTCCAGGGGTAGGAGTGCGAGGAAATATCTCCATGAACGATGATCATGAAAAATTTAATGAGCCTCGGAAAGCTGCCTGTTTGTTGGAGACATAATGATTACTTGTTGTGATCGTCGTCTCATCGGAACGCCCGAGACTGGATAACCAAAGGCAACTTTCAGCGTTAAATTGTTGGCAAGTTCCCATCGACGATGACACTGCAGGCGCTTATCAGCCATTCAGCCGATATGTACATCCTCGTACGTCCGGGGAGTGAAGCGATGAATTGTTCTCCAGCTTTTCGAGCTCTTTGAGCCGAAGATGGGCATTGAACAAAAGTCACTGATCGACGCATTGGACGTGGACCTCCATTACACTTTCCCATATTTTGCGAATAATTCCCCATGGAAGCAGAACTTGGGGGGTTGGAGTGCAGGGATCATGATACGACATTAACACCAGGTTTTTGTGCTTGCTTGCCCGTTTGTCCGTGATACCTCATCGTCACAACATCACTCTCTACGTACGATTGATCTGGAAACCCTGCGTTAAGACACACAGACACAGATTGTTGATCGAAAGGTGACGTCGGGTATATACCGAATGGTCCGACAATCATCCCGAATCGGCCCCTCATGGACCTCGGATGTTCTTTTTTTTTTCTGACCGCTTGCGGTTCCGAACCTCATGTAGGTGACTTTTTTGTCCAACTCCGTATACGGTTTACAGTTAACACGAGACGGAACGGACTGAAACGATGTGATTTAAGGATGACGAGATACTTGGCTGCTACTGCTACAGGTAAAAAACAAGACTTTCTAGAGAAAATCAAAAGTCAATGCCCCCAAAACGCAACGCAATATTACCCCGTCGGTTGTTTGGTCATTGTTTGAGGGCGACGATTGACCTTTGTGTATTATCATCAAAGGAGAATCTCCGAAAATAGTACGGGAGTAGTAGTTGTCCTGACAATTTGAAATCCTACGAGTATCGCGAACAAGCTACAGTTGGTGTATTGACTTTTAGATTCTCTTGATTCCTATACCAGGACCCTACCTACAAGATGTAAGATGTGGCGGGGTTGTGTTGTTCGTAATCAAAACCCTGACTCAGACTCAAAGAGCCTTGAGGTCGCATCGAACCGTGTTGGTATCGGTAATACGGAGTAGATTCCGGAGTATTAAAGGCACTTACTGTCCCTAGGTACCTTACAGTAGAGATACGATAGGCTATCTCTCGACTTGTGTACTCCGTGCCTATGTACTTGTCCCTTTACTAGTGCTCGGGGATGGCTGAAAGGAGAAGATCTATTTGACGATAAGCGCTCCTTTGTACGGGAGTAGTTTGTGACCGATCGGCATCACTACCTGTCTCTCTCCCTTTTCATTTCTTGTATCGGCTATCAAAACCCGCAAAAGAGAATCCCCCCCCAATAGCCGAAGTCTCCGCTCCGCAATCGTCGGCGCTCTTTTTTCCCTTATCTGTTTCCATAAAGCTCCGTCGAACTTTGGAGGAAGTTCCAAGCCAAAAGGTACAAAGTTACGATGCCCTCAGCTACTCGTAACTCGTACAAAGGGTATGTTCGAGTCAGGGTATCTTGTATCCCCACTGATAATGCTAATGCTTTCTTGGTTTTGATTCTTCTCCAGTCGTCGCAAAGTATGGAGTTCGAGTACGTGCGGGCTATGCACGGAGTAGTTCCATCTTGGGGAATTTAATGCTGACTCGACACACACACCCCCCCACCACTTTGCGGAAAAAGCCGAACAACATGGATCGGCAAACGGAAGATACGAGTGGTACGTTGATTACTTTACAGTACCTACTAGGGAGGTACTCATCTCGTACTCCGGACGGAAAAACAATCGGTGATGCAAATCCGAAGATTCCGAGACTGTACGGAGCATGAAGACTACCACACTACCTAAACTCGTACGGGGGGTAGTACTGTAGATGACCAATGAATTTCTTTCACCGAGGGGATCCCTGTCTGTGGCTTATTTTGTTCTTGTTGTGGACCTCAAAGGATGAGTACTTTCTAGTACTATGATACGTACTGTACATGAACAACACCCAAGAGGCGTCTGGGGGAGTAAGCCGTAGCTAAAGGCAAGGCATCAGACGGAGAAACCCTTTGATTCGATTGTGGTCAGGTTCCCCCTGTTCTACATCAAACTTTCACGAACAGGAAGCAAGTCGACAGAGTTATTCTCACATGCCAACAGTAATTCTTGGGTCTTCGCAGCCGAGACATTACTGACCACAAAACGCGTTCGTGGTACAATCCGAAGGTCAATCAAATGTCGCTTCAAATGTACAAAAGTACTGACTGATGACAATGACGGGGGTGTGGCGGGGGAGGAAGGAAACTACAAATTTCCAAGAGACATCGGCAACAAACTCCCTGTCCTGTGTCGACACGGTGAGAGTGAAAAAGCCGCCACAAAAGCCAAACAGGTTCGAAAACAAAGACAGGAGGAAATTTCACGCGCCGCCGCCGTCGCCAACATGAGAAAGGTAGATACTGATGCCTTCTCGCTTGAAAGAAGAAGAAAGCGAGAAACATGTGTTGTCAGAAACTCTCGCACGACCGATCCCTCCCCTGGGGAATGTTGAGCCCCGACCAAAGGATTGGTTGGTTGGTCCCTTTTTGATGAACTGTACAGCTGATGACATGACATTTCTCCGAAGCTGGCCATGGCACATGCTTCTTCTGCTTCTTGCTGCTGGCATACTCACACATACCCATTCCAATCTCACATGTGCGTTACGCGTTATGTGGTTCGGGTTGCAACCAATCGAGAAATGTCACTCGCGAACTTGTTCACGCCCAAACGACTGACCTGGGCACTAGATCGGTCATCATCATTATACGGTAGGTCCCCTCCCCCGTTGCACATGCCATTCACAACAGTCCCATGTCGGAAGCGGATCCAGCTGGATGGAGTCGGATACTGTGGCTACGGTAACTCAGGCCCTAAACATGGTAGCCAGCACGGCAGCAGTCTTCCAATACGAAATCAATTTTTTTCAAGGCTTTTCTCCTTGGTATCCAACTCGGATCTACGATGGGCGTTGGATCCTAGGTATGTCAGAGTCAATTCGCGACGACCTTGATCTCGCGGACCAGGTAGCTCAGCACCAATCTACGAAGCCACCACAAGGGCCGGGTTTTGGAGAGACAACTTCCAGGACCATGACTGACATTAGAGAGAAACGATCGAGAAGAATCAACTCTGACGGGTTTTGCGGTACCATGCGCTACCGCTCTCTAATTGTCACCGTCTACTTTGATCCAAGCCGGTCTCTCCTCGAGGGTAAGCCACCACCTGTTCACATTTGGACGCCTTTCGAACACTTCGGGGTACCACTTCTTGACCCAAGAGCCGACCGGCAAGTGAAACAGATCCGCCAATGTCAAGTGATCTCCTCCGAGATAAGCCTGTTTGGACAGAATCCACTCATACGCGTCCAACTTGGTCTCTAAGTTCGCCACCAGTTGTTTGCATTTCTCTTCGTCCGGATCCCCGAGTCCTTTGAGTCTGGGAAGAGGAGAGCAGTCAGTAGTGTGATCACGAGCGGATAAAACGAGGCTGGGGTTAAACCACTTCTTTAGCCTTTTTTCAAAGTTGATGGCGGCAGCAATTGGTTCGAATTGCGAAGCCTCAATGGAAGCAGCTTGTTCGAACATGGCATTTTCGGTGAGGCCTGTAGGTACAAGACGACTAGAAGATGTTCCGTCTGCTGCCACTGCTGCTGAAGGATATTTCGCTTCAATGTAACGACATATGGCTCGTGATTCGAACAGGGTCAGATCTCCATCGATGAGCAATGGGATAGAGCCAAAGGGTTGTTTGTTGACGTATCCTTGGGACTAGACGCAAAAACAAGTCAGGACACACGATGAGAACTGGAAAAGAAAAGAATCAATCGAATAGATGACGAGTTGAATCAAGGTCAGGACTCCAAGGGGGAAAGGGGGGTAGCTCACCTTTTGTTCCCCTTTTGCGGTGTTGATGGCAACGAAATCATAATCTATATTCTTCTCTTCGAGTACGAGGAGAACTCGGCGTGTCGATACGCTCAGTTTAGAACCGTAGATCACGGGCTTCGTGGTCATCTCGAGGGAGTTGTCGTCAGTCTCTTATGCGTGCTAAGACAAAAGAAAAGAAAAGCTCGAACATATCCAACAATAGACAGCTGCGACCAATGTAGTACAGATGTTTTAAGAATCGACCTTTGTTTGCCAGCCAGTTTTCTACTACCCATATTGTACCCTCGAAGAGTAGTCTTGAGTCTGGAACGAAGCGGGATGGTTCCGGATTTTCTATAAAAGTCATTACATACGGTGATGGTGTACACACATGTCGATTTGGGTCCGGAACCAGTTCGGAATGAAAGTAGCGTAGGATGTTGTTTTTTGGCGGGATCCTGCCTATCATACAGCAGACGCACAACCTATCGGCCTTGTTTCGATACGGTTGCGATGGACGTCTCTGTCGGCCCATACTAGAGATACATACCAAATATACCATCTCTCCGTACGTTGCGTTTGGAATCACTGGGCAGGTACATTGCTCATCCCAGAAATTGTCACCTAGACCAGCTTGTGCGACAACTACCGCCGTTTCAAAACAGGCTTGTAGACCTTCCCGGACTTGAAATCATCCAAGGCAGATTAAAAATCCTCGGCGTCGTAGTAGGTGATCAACCCGTCAAATGGGTAATTGCCTTGATCGTGTTGGTCAATAAAATTTGGGATCATCTGAGTAGGAAGTGTCAGCAACGTGTAAAGACAAATTTTGAGATGAACGAGTCTTTGGCTAACCTGTCCGGCGATAACTGTCACCTTGGGTAGAACCCAAATATTCTCTGCCAAGGTTGAGATGTGAAAAGACTTCAATCTCAATTTTCGTTCCTGGTGAAGGTGGACCTATCGAGACAGCTTTGCCTCTAGTACCCAAACATTCAATCATTTCCCCAATCACACGTGGGTCGGAAGTGGTGTCGATGGCATTCATAAGTCCAGGTGGAAGCGGAACCCGGGGACGAATCTGCTCAGGAACATCTGGTTGCGAGCCTTCGACACTGAAATGTGCTCCTCCCAATTCGACAGCAAGTTCACGTCGATGTTCAAAAAACATCGACGGCGATGATGAGACCGGTTCCTCTGGTCTTTGTCGCGGCCATGATGGCACTCATCCCGACGGCACCCGCACCAAATACGACAAGGCTGTCCCCCCTTTTGGATGTTCAAAGTGTTCAGAACGACACCCGCTCCGGTTTGGAATCCGCCCATGCCCTAACACCTGTGGAAGTGGTATCGGCAACTTTCCTGTCATACATGCAACATCAGTATGACATATTCCTGTGGCGTGGATATCGACGAGTAGTTCGTCCGGTTGCAGAGGTCCCAGTATTACATTGTTGCCCCCCTCCAAAGGTTCCCCTATCTCCGTGAGATACATTGCATCAAGATACTTTGACATTTCGCTGGAAAGTATGTTCTGAGGGCCGAAACTGTACGAGGAGGCCCTTGGGATGTCTATACACTGCTATGCACGATGATGGTTTCTGCAGGGAACTTCTGCGGGCCAGCAGTTCCCAGGTTCTCCGCCACAACCAAGGGTGGGTCCAGCCTCTCTCAAGCTACATCGTTCAAACATACTCCTATTCAATATCATGTAATGAGGACACCTGTTGGTCTAATAGCATCGGATATACGTCCGAATCCGATATTGCTAACAAAAGCTTTCACCCACAGGGCTCTGAATCAAGCTGCAATAACTCTACTACCACCCTACATACGTTGCCACCTAACAACATGGGGCCAGTCTCAGAGACTGTACTGAGGGAGTCAGACTGTAACCATCATATTGAGATGCGACTTTTCATTGATGGAACCTTTGTGGACTCTATTCAAATCAGGAAGATCCGAGTCATTAGTCCAACGACGAACGAATGTGTCGCAGAGGGTTAGCGAAGCCACCGAAGAAGACGTCGAGAAAACAGTCCAAAGTGCCAAGCGAGCGTTTCCTGCCTGGCCCTCTGTCGATGGTAAGGGAGAAATGCGCCACTAAAGTACAAATGTGTTTTGACGTCTGAGAACACTCACTCACTGACTCTTTGTATAGCTTCAGAAAGACGAAATTGTTTAAACAGGTTGGCGGATTTGATCGAACAAAACGTTAAAGAGTCCTGGACGGGACATGTTGCAGGCGGATGCCATAATGCGGCAGCTAAACAACCAGTTTTATTTTGATTCTGCGGGATGGTCGTTTCCCGAACAGGTGGCGGGATTGTTGCAGTATGTGAGTTTCGAAAGGATCCTACATGGTACGGATTTTCCATGGACACCGATCATGGTGGTCACAGAGTTATCTCGGGATGATGATCAGTTTGTACCTGTGGTTTTTAAGCAGCAGGGTGCGAACCAGGAATTGTGGGAGTGGCGAAATGCCGAGAGATTGTTTAAGAGAACGGATGGGAGGATTAGTGGCGGTAATGAGAATAGGACGATGATTGGAGTAGATCATGAAAATGCCGATACAGGGACACGTCTGTAGATGAGGACATTAACTCATAACGTGCCTTAAGAAGCAACAAGCGTTCTGACAGCTTCTGCATTTCTCAAATCGAGCGACGACGCCAGTAAACACTTGCTGGCAGGTTGTGATTGTCATAGTCAGTTCTCAAGTCAGTGTGTTTTATCATTCAATATCTGATGTTCGTGTTGTGCTTGTCCATGATACCAGAATATCCAACATATCTTTAGCAATTCCCCATTGCGATGCCATGGTGCGTAGAATTATCTGGCATTGATAGAGCCCTTGACGTAAATTTACCGTCCTATAGTCAGATTTCACAGGTCGACCCAGCAGGTAGTCATGTAATGTCGAGCTCTTCTGAGCGGCCTGCGTATCTAAAGCACGGGCTTTGGAAAACATGTACGCATGCACGTCCTTACATTCATAGCGCGCCGGAATGCGAATTTCGTGATCTCCTAAGCCGAAGAATGCGTAGTATATTGTGGCCGAAGCAAATACTGCAGCTGGCATGCTCAGTGCATGAGCTCGACCAAGATGAAGACGTTGGGCAAGATGCTGAATGGTGTTGGCATGGAGCAATGCAGCTCGAGCTTCCGCCGATCGCGTCCAGGATTTGATGTCGCTACGGGTTCCAGGCAAGCCTTGGCCGATACAGAAGATTTTTTGAGACGTATTGCAGATATTCCTGAAGAGCTGTACACTGTCGGTAATCGCATCTATGCATAGGGTATGCCATCGAATGCGCAACTCCACAGCATCGATGGTGTCCCCAAGCCGAGCAAGACACGACTGTTGTATATGGCCCAGTGCGTCGATAATTTCAAGTTGGGAGGGTGTGCCTACCGTACCGGCTCCAGCGGCATTACTTTCGGAGATTAGGGCTTGAAAGCCCTCGAGCAAAACGAGGGTTGAGAATGGAGATAGTTGAGGTAATGTACAAGCAGAGCGGGTTCGGAAAAGGGTCAGAAATATCTCTCGAAAGGTAGGGGTATCCTCCAGAGCTTCCTCCATCTGAGATATCCACGCTTCTGGGGTACTGGCGGTGAAGATAGCATCACTGGCAATGCAGTGTAAGGGGTTCGAAACGTGCCTCCCGAGAGGCACTCCCCTTGCATATCTCGCCAATTGAGCATCAACGACGAAAAGACCGCATACGATCCTGCGTTGCATTTCGACATCGGCCCATTGTTGCCACGCAGCGTGCTTCGCTTGCGTAGTTTGGGCCCGATCGGGAAGGCCTTCCAGGCCACGGAGTGTCAGGTCAAACATGCCGAGAGTTCGCGCCCAGCTGAGTGCCCAACCATGAAGTGTTTGGGCCATATGTCTCAGCTTAGCGGACTGCGAGAGTTGAGTAATCAGCTTTGGTGGTATAGGACTTTGGTTCTTACCTTTGACATCATGGCATAGACTTGGCCGAGCAGAGCACAGCCGACAATCTGTGTGTTGGGATAGTCACCAGCGACATGCCGAAGAGTGAGTTCGTAACTGTAATTCCACTGCGTGGATGCGGCTGCCTGCGCTATTTCCCACAGCAGTTCACCTTTAGAAATTGCATCGCTGTTTCCGAGGAAGAGAGACCCGATGGCCACCATATTGAGTAGGAGAAATGGACCAGTGCTCTTCAACTTCCATGTCGCCTCGTGCATAATGGGGAAGGTAGGGTTGAATTGTGAAAAGAAAAGTGAAATACAAGCATCAAAGAAGACCGAGTTGATGCCCTTTTCTCGAATTCTTTGCTTGTACCTGGCGGACTGATAAATCTCGCGTATGAGAGAATGGCCCAGAACCAGAGCAAAAGAGCGTGGACTCACATTTTCATGTAACATGGCATTGAGTTGCAACAAAGCGGGCGGACTTGGATCAGCAGCCTGGCTTGGTCCCTTGTCGAGATCTGCCACGTCCTGAGGAGGATTGGCTTCAGTCGCAATGCCCGAAAGGTTCTGACTCGGGGACAATGGCATCATGGCGTCTTGTGGACTGGGGAATATATACTGGAGAAAGTCTTCGGTGCCAGTACTGCCAAAGGGAGAGAAATTAGGAAGCTCACTGTTATCGTTCTCAAAAGAATCTAGCTGAGTAAATGGCAGCGGCTGAATATGCGACTGTTCGGATGTCTGAACATGAGACCAATCGACATTGTTATGACCGTTATCGTCCAGGTTCGAGGGTGCCATGGACATAGATAGGTAACCAGGCTCATCGAACGCTCGTCTTCGATGTGTCCTTCTGTGCCTTGACAGTGTGTCGAGCCGAGCGAAAGATCTGTTGCACTGCTCACAATGGAAAGGCCTGTCGCCAGTATCTTGACGAACGCTTCAGCATCATCTCAATGACTATTACCTGGCGATCAACTTACGTGTCCGTTCGTGACGCTGCCAATGTTGCTGTAAGTATTTATGCTCTCAGAAGGATGAAGGCTCAGGTACTAACGATGAGATGCTCGTGCTTCTGATACATTTGGGTACAGAATCGACATTGCTGCCTTTTCGCGGAGGCGGGCTGCGTTGACGCCGCCATGAGCGTCGAAATCGCGAGAGGCGGTGCAAAGGCTGTTGATTCTTTGCGCTCTTGATGTGATGGTGGGACAATGATCAAGAAGCATCCTGTCCAATGCAAGAATCCAGCAGAAGGGGTGCGAAGACAGGAGAGCTCCTTAACTTGAGATGCGGGGGATGCTGCGTCTAGGCCTTGATATGGGCTTGGCTAAATCCACGGGCGTGCGGACTGGGCTGAGTTCTGGGTAAGGTAGGGCCTTACCTACCGAGGTATAGACAGCCTAAACCCCCGAAACCCAGCCTAACCCAATTCATGTCAAAGCCTATTTGAATCCTTCCCATTTTATCCCTTCTGAAAGTGTCACGAGCCTCAAAACGGCGGCATGCAACGTTCATATTTTCATATACCACCTGGATATTAGGGAGATACATGACTCTCTATGAGCTTATTGACCTCGGAACTTGCAATTATGTGCGGCCAGTGTCCCTGGGCGTCCACGATCTTTACGCTTAGCTGTGATGCACTGGCTTTCAATGCCGTTTCCATGAAACCCGGGACACTGGCTTTGTCTGGCTGTGAATCTATCGCAAGCACAGGTACCTGCACGTGGCTTGACATACGGCCAGCAGCCAGATCACTGCTTTCCTGGCTCAAGTGTATGTTCTCTAGCAATGCACGATACCAGTTTGTTGGTCCTCTGAATCCGCCAGACCGGAACTCGGCGAGCCAGCGCCATTTTTCCTCCTCGTCGACGATGCTCTGCCGGCCAAACCGGTTGGAACTTAGCCAAGCTTCAAGCTTGCCTGGTGGATAGAAGTTTTCCGCTTTCAAGTCTGCATCTTGTTCGTAGACGAGTGAATGGAACGATTCCAGCTACGACGGGTCAGCTAGCTGTCTATGTCCGAAATTGTATCGCAACTTACGTGGGCCTCGACTATGGGAGGACTGTCACTCGAAGCGAAGAAGTCCATGTAAGCGAACTTCTCCATCCCGATCAAACTCTTCACCCTCTTGTTTACTGCTTCCAGGTCAAAGCGAACGCCGGGCTGCATGAACGGCACTGAGATGAAAGTCAGACTCAGCAGTCTTTCTGGATGATAACAGTACAGTCGAGACATGAGATGACTTCCAAAGTCATGCGAAATCCCGTGGAAGCGATGTATCTGCTCATGATCGAGGATTTTGATAACGTCGTCGACCATATCTCGGTGATTATACGCCGATACATCGTCAGGCTTCGAGCTTCCGCCATACCCAAGCAAGTCGGGAGCAATGACACCAAACCCCAAGTCCGCAAAGTGCTCCAGTTGTCGTCGCCAGTCCTTTGAAGTCGATGGAAATCCATGGAAAAAGGCCAGTGTAGGTTTCTTTGTGCTTTCCGATGGGTGCCAGAAATATTGATACGTGAAGTCTCGTCTGCCCGCCTGAAGAGTTTTCGTTGTGAACTTTTCCGAAATCATGACGAGAGGTTTGTGTTGGTTAGGTTCTCCAGTGGTGAAACCAAATACCTTGCGACTATTGACAGTATGATGTCTCAAGGGCGACGTGCACGCAGTACCCGGTGCCGCAATCAATTTGCGGGACGAAGGTCGTGTCTGCGGGACGATTGCGGGACGCCGGTATGATCCTGGAGCACCGCATAGCAACTCCGTAGCAGTTGCATCAGCCATTCCAGAAAAGGCATCGACTTATGTCGATGCTTAAATCTACATTGCCATGTCATGGCTCTGTGTCCAGGAGCGCGAACCGTCAAGCCACTTCCAGGTAACCAGGAAATTTCACCAGTAACACAAGCAGCACGCATATGTCTATGGGAAGCATGGCGGTCACTACATCCATCTTATCATTTGAGACAAGACAGCGTATCGAGAGCGACAAATTGAGACATTGCCGTGGGAAAGCCCAAGGAAAGCTTCTTTTCGCAGAACGACATGTTAGAATCATCTGCATTGGAGCAGGAGCCTCGGGCCTATGCTTCGCGTACAAGTTGCAAAGGTCATTTCGAAATTTCACCCTGAATATCTATGAGAAGAACGAGGATCTATCTGGGACATGGTTTGAGAACAGATACCCAGGGTCTGTATATAGCCAAGTCGTTGTGAATGTTTTTGGGGTGCTTCCATGGCTAATGTTTCTCTCTCTCGATAGATGTGCCTAATGTGCCCGCCTGTACGTCTATGGGTTGGACAGATATATGCCGCTGACAGAATGTCACATTAATGAAAAACCTCTCTAGCACAACTATACATACTCATGGGGACCATCACCGACCTATAGCGCCGTCTATGTCTCTTCCCAGGAGCTTTACCAGTACTTCAAGAACTTTCGCGCGAAACACCGACTCGAGAAGTATATTCATCTGCAACACAAAGTGGTCGGTGCCACCTGGGACGGAAAAGCATGGAAAGTCCAAGTTGAAGAAGTCCAAACTGGTCGCTTGGTCGATGCAGAGTGCGATATACTCATCAACGCCAACGGCATTCTCAACAATTGGAATTGGCCTGACATCCCAGATCTGGACAAGTTTCAAGGAAAGCTATTGCACAGTGCCAACTGGGATACAACTGTGTCGTTGGATTACAAATCCGTCGGGTTGGTTGGTAACGGGTGCGTAGTACGCCCCTCGACACATACTCAAATTTTCCACGATACTGATTCAACGATACTAATGAGTGAGATCAAACAACAGATCGTCCGGCATTCAAATCCTACCTGCAATCCAACCTAGAGTCAAGAAACTGACCACTTTCATCCAGGGCTTGACCTAGGTCCCACCGAGTCCTAGTCTTCAACAACACATTACACACCTTCCGAGAAGGCCGTCTTCTCTTCTTCCCCTTCCACCCTCCGCGCCCTCCGCAAGCTGAACGAAACTTCGACCAGTTGTCTGTTTGGTACTTTCGTCAAGAACTCGGCGACTCAACATGATACCCGCACCGACCTCACCCAACAGATGCAGAGTCGCCTCAACAATCCCCAATTGGCTTCCGCTCCGATCCCGTCTTGGTCACCCGGCTGTCGCCGCCTCACTCCCGACGTCAACTACCTCGAATCTTTGACAAAACCCAACGTGCAGGTCTGTCTGGGTGGGATCCGCAGCGTCACCGAAACAGGCGTGGTAGGACCAGCCGGCGCCCATCCCGACTTGGACGTTCTGATATGCGCCGCGGGTTTCAATGTCTCCTTTCGTCCTCGTTTCCCCGTCATCAATGAGGATGGCACAAATCTGCAAGATTTGTGGGCAAAGGACCCCGGATGTTATTTCGGCACCGCCGTCGCTGATATGCCCAACTACATGTTGTTTCTCGGTCCCAATTGCCCGGTCGGCGACGGTCCTCTGTTGCCCGTGATTGAGACTCAAGCCGATTACACGTTGAAATGGATCGACCGATGGCAGACTGAAAACAACATGCTCTGTTTCCACCCGGAAGCGGCCGCCGTGGACGAATTCGTGGACCACGTCGACACCTACATGCCCAACACCGTGTGGACCGAAGGGTGCAGGTCGTGCTACAAAAGTGATGTCAACGGCAGGGTGGTGGCGCCGTGGCCGGGAAGTTCTCTCCATTTCATGGAAACCACGCAGGAGGTCAGAGGGGATGACTGGAACATCGAGTACCGAGGCAACAGGTACAGTTGGATGGGTAATGGTTATAGTTCCCCCGGACCCCCGTTCACCGCGGGACCTTTTGCCTGCCTCCCGCAATCCGTACCGGTCTAGTAGATTTGCGCGTGGGCCACGAGAAGCGGTAGCGGTTGGTTTACCGGTGCATGTACGGCCGCGTGCGACGATGTGCCCCAAGGCCAAGGGGTTGTATATCGACATGAAAATTAACGGTTGGTGACAATCATGGATCCTGAAGCTTGGAAGCACCTTTGGCGGTTGCAAGTGGTTAAGATCTGATGTCCTGTTGACAGCTCGGTGCTACCTTTGGTATCTGGACATGTTGGCCTGTCAACCATCATCAAGGCGCAGTGGACAACCAGCAAGTCCCCCTTGTTGGCGACTATTTCTTTGCCTGGTCGTTGGAGGAACGGCAGGACAGGTTGAATAAAGAGGGGGTTTCTGACTTCTGATACGACGGACGTTGTGTGTGTCAGGCTGTGTTTCAAGGGACCCCCCCCCCATCAAGTAACCCCGGACCCCCATGGCGGTTGTGATTGGGTAGAGAATAATGTCGACATTTTTTCAACTTCATCCCGACACAAGTATACTCTGCGCGAGGTTGTAGTGAACCGGCGAAAAAAAGGTACAGTATGCTGGACAAAAACTTCATTTTCAAATCTCTCGTCAATTCAAAAGCTCAAAGAAAAAAAAGGCTTCCGCGTTGGTTATACACAGTTTCTATATCATCAAGGAAAATCGCCAGGGCCCAAAAACGAAGACCAAATCATTCGTTCCATCCCTCCTTTTCTTTGGTCGCGAAATCGCAACCTCCCAAAAATCCAACAGGTTGGTCATCACGCTTGTTTACATCCATCGAAGTTCATCAATAGATTTCACTAGCTCTTTCCTGTGGTCGTTCATCTTGCCTCTTTTTGATGCTTTCTCTGCTCCTTTTTCCCTCAAGTCGCCTATTGGATAAAGTCTCGTGCTGCGAATCTTCCTCGTCCGAATCGGCCACGGCCACGGCCACCTCTGAAGCCGTTACCACCTCCGTTGCCTCCAGTGTTGCCTCCGGTGTTGCCACCATTGTTGCCACCGGCGTTGGCTCCTTGTCCAGATGTTCCGTTGTTGCCACCAGTGTTACCACCATTGCCTCCAGCATTGCCGCCCTTGTTGCCATTGTTTCCACCAGTGTTACCAGCGTTACCACCGTTGCCTCCAGC